TCTGGCTATCCTGGCTCCAGTGCTCCTCCGTCAAGCGGTCCTTACACGCCATCCTCGCCAAGCAACACCGCCACTGACGCTGTTCCAACATCTGGATACCCAATCTCGAGCGGTTACGGCAGCGCCAGCTCTACCGGTCCTGTCGGCACAAACACAGACTCTGTCCCCACTTCCTCAAGCCCCGGCGTATCCGGTCCATCCTCGGGTGGCTACACAGCTCCTGGGACCTCTGCACTTCCCACCCAAGGCACCTCAAGCACTCCTGGGGGCTATCCATCCGGGTCAATTCCAGTCGCACCGTCTAGCACCCTGAGCAATGTGTCTGGCACATATCCCGCCGTCACGTCTGTCAGCTCTGGTTTGGTGTACCCTGGACCTCCACCACCAGCCAGCACGACCGTCATCGATGGCACTACTAGGATTACGAGCCGTTTGACTCTGATATCGACGAACTACGTTACCGCACCGTTGCCCTCGAGTAACCCATCTACCGACACCGCCACGGATGCTGTTCCCACGAGCCGCGGCACTGGATATCTCCCGTCTGGATCTGGGTGAGTTTTGATTGCTGTCGTCTTCTGAACCAAGCTAACTCTTGCACAGCTACCCTTACCCATCTGGCAGCGCTAATGGCACTATCATCGCTCCCACTCCGTCGTACATCGAGGTCCCTGTCAACATGGGTCAGACCGTCGCCATAGGCCACAGTCCCATCGCAGCCATCGTCATCGCTTTGGCCTTCGCGCTCTTCGCTTAAACACACACCCTCGTCTCATATCATCTGCCCGTTCTCGCATGGCTTGTCGGGCAAGCATGCTTTCACGGTCTTGCGTCAGGGCAACTGTTACATCTCTTATTGAACCCAGCATCGATCGCGTATTCCGGTCATGTGCATAGTGATATATGCGTCATGGGTATGGGTGGTGTACGATCTTTCTAGGGCTGTGTGTTCTTTAGCTAGACAGGTTTTCGCTTCAATATGTTACCAGTTACGATGGCCGGCAACACTTTAGCATGTAATATACAACAACTTTGCTACGGCCGAACATGTTCCTTATAATGGTTTGTGATGTCGAGTTGCGCGGGACGTTGCTGAGGTTAGAGGAGAAGTCGTGAAGCTCACGCGCCATCGGAAGTCGATGTGTTCATCGAGATTGACTCACCTGCATGAGGCTAGTCTTTATGCGCAACACTGCAACCACTCCATCGCATGTTCAGCCGTAGTACCGAAGATGTTGTGGCACCATTCGATCTCGAAACATGAGTCCCGTGCTCTATTTTGGATTCTGAAGTTTGTGCTGCTCTGGAAGAGTCGGCCCTTTCCCCAGTTTTTCCATCCCGAACATCGGCCACCCCCACGCTGCATTTCACATTTCTGAAGCACAGGTCTCGTGACTAGACATCACAAAAAGTTCACTTTGCACCACAGAATTTTCCCAAATTGTCAACATGGCGGACTCTCACAAGCTTTCGGCACATCTAGACGCTCCAGTCATCTTGGACGGGGCACTAGCAACCTATCTCGAAACCCTGGGCGCAGATATCTCAGGCGCGCTCTGGTCGGCCGACATCCTCCTACAAAACCCCTCCCTGATCAAACAAACACATCTGGACTACTACCGAGCCGGCGCCCAAGTGGCCATTACAGCGTCTTACCAGGCATCCCTTGCCGGGCTCAGTAAATCTCTCAACCTCAGCGAAGAGCAGGGGAAAGACGTTGTGAGGAGGAGTGTACATTTGGCGCAGGAGGCGAGGGATGAGTGGATCGAAGAGCAAGCCAAGGGGTTGAGTGATGCAGAGAAGTCGAAGCTTAGAAATCGCCTCTTTGTTGCGGGTAGCGTAGGGCCGTATGGTGCGTTTCTCGCTAATGGGAGCGAGTACCGCGGCGACTACAAGCTCGAGAAAGAAGATATGAAGGCTTTCCACCGCGGCAGGATCCAAGCCCTGGTCGACGCTGGTGTGGATGTACTTGCGTGCGAGACGATTCCTAGCCTGGGTGAGACAGAGGCGTTAATTGAGTTGCTGCAGGAAGACTTCAGGGATACGGAGGCGTGGTTCGCTTTCACACTCCGTGACGCAGAGCATATCAGTGACGGCACACCGTTGTCTCGAATCGCTGCTCTCTTCGACAACACACCGCAGGTCATAGCCGTTGGGTTCAACTGTGTGCCGGACGACATTTCCCTTGCTGCGTTGAAGGCCCTTAAGCCGCTGCAAGAGGGGAGGAGGTGGAAGATGATTGTGTACCCCAATTCGGGCGAACAGTGGAATGCGGCAGCGAGGGAGTGGGAGGGGAGGAGGACAGAGGGTGGACAGTTGGCGGTTAAGACGAGGCAGTGGGCTGATGCGGGGGCGGTGCTGGTTGGGGGGTGTTGTAGGACGACGCCACAAGATATCACAGTTATGAGGGATGTGCTAGCCGAAGAGGGAGGGCTGTAATGCATGAGAGTTATCAGACAAGCTGATGGTTTGATATTTATGTAATGTATGTAGCTCTTGTCTCCATCTGATGGACGAAACGGAAAACAGCAGGCCCACATAAGCTTCTAACCTAATCCCCCGGGCCTCTCCTGATGGCTTTGAGGCCATTCATGGCTGGTGTTATCGCTGGTTGCCTGCAACGATCCTTCGTTTGGGCTCAACAGCTCGAAGCCATTCGGTGCATGTCGCTGCACATGGTGGAGTCTAGGAAGACCTCCAGGAGTTCCTTTTAGACGCCTGGTACCTCCAGCGTGTGGCAGCTGAACTTTGTTTGTGTGTGGTCGGTGTACCTGGTTCCTCTACGCCTCACCCATCAATTGTCATCTCCTCTCCATTGGTTTTCTGCCCATTCCTCTCCAATAGCTCACCCAATACCGCCTTCACCCTATCCAGTGTATCCTCCCCTCCCACCTGCCCAGACGAGACATTCGCGTTCAGCACGCCTACATCAAAGGTTCCATACCCTCCGTTCTTGACACCAGCATCAGGATCCTGCTTCATTGGTGCCTGTTGCTGCTGCTGTTGCGCTCCCAAACCCGGTACTGCGCTCGGCAGAGCCGTGAACTTAGGCATAGTCGCAGGAATAACCTCATAACGTTCCAAATCATTGATTTGCTCAATAAGGGCTTCTCGAAAACCTTGCATCAACGATCTAATCGCACTGCTGAAAGCGACAGTATCGTCTTGGCGCGCCCGGGGCGAGTCTTCTCGTGGCTCGGATTGAATGGGGTTGTTGGTGAGTTGGGAGAGTGCGGCTGCGATCAGGGCGAGGATGTCGGGCAAGTTGCTGTTCAGCTTGTTGAGGGCTTCGATGTGGGAGGCCGCGATTTGGCGGTATGTTTGTTGCGATGCTGTAGGTGCTTGGTCTTCTAAGGGCTGTGTGGGAGCTCGCGCGTCGGTTTCCATGGCATCTGTATCCTCATTCATTGTCGACATGGTGCAAGCAGAGCTCCGCGAGCAATTAGGGAGCCAATGATGCTGTGCGACAGCAGTGATTGTTGATTGTGGTGGGTGAATGAAGGAGCTATAGTCAAGCCCCACCTGCGGACCATGTGGCTGATGCACCAGCCACAAGCCATCGCTGCCGGTACCAAATGTCTCCTCCGCTCACTCCACAATGCGACAAGCCTCGGTGACGACTCCACAACCTTGCTATCTCGATCGCGTGCTCCGTACGCGTCTTTCGCTGCGCCCTCGACACTGGACACTCACTCGCGCATAACCGCCGCTCCTTCGAACCGAAATCCGCAACGCGCCTCGCTCCTCCCCAGCTTGGACACAGCTCAGGTAGCAACACCACGCGCTAGTATCAAAGAGAAGGAACGCAGTCGACATGTCAGGCCCACCGGGGCCAGGGCCTGCGCGGGCGATGAGCGTAGGCACAAACGGTCCTCCCAGCGCCGGCCTTCCACCACACAGCAACATGCCACCGCAACAGAGTGCTGGCCCGCCGCCGCCCAGCACATCTGGACCTCAGTCGCAACAGAACTTGAACCAAATAGTGAGTGACTTGTCTCCTTTACTGCATTTCAAAATCTCGTTTCCACGCCCTTTCCAGGTTTGACTACGGTTTGCGCGCAATGTATCCGGGAAGACATGTCCAAGTGAAAGCACTCTGGACACAGCTATGATACCGTACATATCGACTTCCTCTGAACCTGGACCACCAAACGGCGATTGTCGTGCAAGTCACCATGTCTCAACTACCACCGCGCAACTTCCATGTTACCAACCATTCGCTCCCAATGCAACTTCGACCCTCGTCTGGCACACCCGGGCAAGGACAACCAGCACACCACATTGCGCATACTCAGTCGCGGTACTACAGTACGAACGCCCTGAACAATACATGCCGCAATAACGTTAGTCTCCTGGTCCGGAAACCTTGACATGGCGCCTAACACATCTTCTGCGTCGTTTAAGGATTATCGAAACCAATGCATTGTCAAGTTCTTCGCATGTAAATCTTCGTTTCTATCCTGCTAACTCCTAAAAGGTATTAGAGTATCTCTCCAAGAAGGGTTATGTACGTACTGAAGCGATGCTCCGCAAGGAGTCCGAGCCGCAAGCGAATGGCCAGCCTCTCGTTAGCGGCAGCACGGAAATAGGAGGCGCGAAGTACACAAAGTCGTTCGAGTTGTTGCGGAAATACACAGAAGACAATCTGGATCTGTACAGACCAGAGTTGAAGAAGCTGCTGTGGCCCGTCTTTGTGTACTCGTTCATGGTTCTGGTGCGCGATTACTTCACAAAAGACGCAGAAACATTCTTCGCAACCTACCAAAACCAGTTCGAGCGCGATCATAGCGATGAGATCAAGACGCTCCGTCAGGTTCGCTTGCCTTCTCACCTCACGGAAAGCAACATTGCGAAGCTTTACAGCGACAACAAGTATCGCTTGACCTTGACCACGATGCCCTTCTACAACCTGATCCAGTTTCTGGAGTCCAAGATGTTCGAGGGCGGCCAAGCGCTCATGGACATCATCCGGGAGCACCTGAATATCGTCACCATGGACCGCACAGCGACTGCAGAGAAGAGCATAGCAGCGATTCTGGCAGGTGGACAGGGAGAGGACGAGCTTCCAGCAGAAGATGAAGGTATTCCGGGACACAACCCTGGTCATCCACTGACAAGTCGTCACGACCCTGAAGCTGATGCTGCGCGAATTCGTCTGCAGCTTGGCCCATACCCACAGGATCAGGACCTGCAAGACGATGTCCGAGCCACACTACAGGATGAAGACGCTAAGAACGCGCCTAAGCCTGGGCAACCATCTCTTGTGGATGAGTATGAGCAACGCATTAAGCGTGAACCAACAGAGGACGGGCCATCACGTGACACAGTACCACTGCCACCATCTCTCGCGCGCGATGTCTCTATGGAAGTAGCAAAGATCATGGAGTACCGTGATCGTTACAAGATGGAAGGCCGTACTGGCGGTGTTGGTCCAGCAGTCAGCGTCACTATGTACACCTTCCACAACACCTACGATAGCATCAACTGCATCGAGTTCTCGGGCGACAATCAGCTTGTCGCAGCCGGCATGGCCGAATCGTATATTCGTGTCTGGTCTATGGACGGCAGTCCTCTCACATCCTCACTGCCCGAGACCAGCACACAACCGTCATCATCACGGCGCCTGGTTGGTCACGCCGGTCCAGTCTACGCCGTCTCCTTCTCTCCTTCCACCTCAAACCGCGTTGAGGGTGGCCCACCTACTAACACCCAATTCCTTCTGTCCTGTTCCGAAGATAAGACAGTCCGCCTGTGGTCTCTCGATACATGGACATGTCTAGTCGCTTACCGTGGCCACGATAACCCTATCTGGGACCTCCAATGGGGTCCATACGGGCACTACTTCCTCACTGGCTCCAATGACCGCACTGCGCGTCTCTGGTCCACCGACCACATTGAGCCGCTGCGCATCTACGTGGGGCACGACAACGACGTTGACTGTGTCGCTTTCCATCCCAACAACCTCTACGTCTTCACAGGGTCGTGCGACCGTACAGTTCGCATGTGGCATATTTCTGGTGGTAACTGTCTACGTCTCTTCACTGGCCATACTGGCAACGTTACGGCCATCGCCTGCTCGCCAGATGGCAAGACTCTCGCCTCCGCAGACGACGCCGGCAACATTGTGCTGTGGAACCTCGAGACAGGTCGAAGGAGGAAGCGCATGCGCGGTCACGGCAAGGGCGGTATCTGGTCGCTCTCGTGGAGTGTGGAGTCCAGCATCCTCGTCTCCGCTGGTGCAGACAAGACTGTCCGCGTCTGGGATGTTCTGCAGGAGACCACTGAGAGTGGCGGCAAAGGCACGGATGGTGCGGCTAAGACAGACGGTGCGCTCACAACAAAAGGTGCGAGTGGCACCACAGTCACAACGAAGAAAGCGGCGAAAGAGGCAGGTGTCTCGGCGGACCAGATCGGCGCCTTCCCCACAAAGGACTCGCCGGTCTACAAAGTACAGTTCACGAGAATGAACTTAGTGCTGGCTGGTGGCGCATATCTACCACAGCGAGCTTAGAAGGCATCGCGTACTGAGTCGGCGTGTAATGGCGTTCTTGAATGGGTCATTTCTACTACGGAGGCTACGCTCGGCAAGGCGGAGTGAGGAGGTTCATTTGGCATTGCTAGACGAAAAGTAGCACTCCGGGATCACAAAATGCAATACCCACTTGATTCATACACTTGCAGATCTGGCTGAAAGCTGGAAGAGATCCTTCATGCATCGCGCCTGCAGGTGCAGTGGACACGTGAAGTCGTGAAACCGCGTTCTCGTCTGTGCGTTGAGCAGCGCGCTACCCTCTTGCTTCTCTCCCATAACACCACATCTTCCCCTTTCTTCAACTCGGCTTCTCGAACTCTGTCACGGCACTATAACCACACTTCGCTTCACCCATTCTTTTTGTACTATAATCTATACAGGGCGTCACTAAACCTGAAGCGCCTACTTATCGTTTGCTCAGCAGTGCGATCATGGAGACCTTCAATCCAAAGAATGGTCAAATCTACACGGAGACTACATTAAGCAGCGTGCGGTCTATGGTGCCGATGTGGAAGAGGCATATCAGGGGTAGAATGCTGAATCCGCAGGCCTATAGGAACACAGAGAAAGGATCGAGTACTTTACGAGACATGGCTATGCGGTCGTGTTGCTGGAACATCCATCTATTTGTGCCTGAAGCACTTGAAGATCCGGGATGGCACTACGCTGGCATGATCTATCACCATCTCAAAGCCACGTCAGTTAGATGTCCCTACAACAGAGCCTCTGACTGACTCTCAGACAGTGATACTCTCACCTTCGAAGCCTGGACGCTGCTTCAGCAGGCTTATCCTAATCAACCAGAGCTCAATCATCACTTCCGCGTCGGCAAACTCGACTCCATCACATCCTGGCCTTCCATCGTGAATAGCCTCAGCAGCATCAACAGCGTCCTCACTCAGTTCTGCGCCTACGGTCTTGAATTGAATCTCTCGCAACTCTTGTCACTTACGGAAATACCCACGTTGGCAGCTTTGATTCATGCTCACCCAGCTCAAAGGAACTTCAATCCACTGAGGGGCTCCGGCGTCCGAGACTGGTGCCGCGCTGTGCGCGAAAAGAAGGCTTTTCAAAAGCTGAAGTTGCTCTACATGTCCTCCATACCTCAAGATGGACCTCTGAACAGCGCGGTGCTGGAAAACCTCTCCAGCTTTCCCTCTCTTGCTCTCGTGGGAATTGAGCGTCGCTCTCCCTTTGATCCTTCGACGACCTATGGTCAGTGGGAACGTCCAGGCTCGACTCAGGAAGACAAACTCAGTAAGACGATGTGTGGATTGCAATACTCGATAGCCGAGAAGACGAAGCGTCTGTACAGATACGCCCAGAAGGTCTCATTGCCTGAGACAGAGGCCGAGAATACAGTCTCGCTTGCCTTGACTTGTTACGCTGATGGATCTGCGCATCACGTTGGAGACATATCCTGGTTCATCCGAAAGCAGGTCTTGCCAGAATTGCATTCGAAGCGGCCGCAGGATACACAGGCTCTTCAAGATGGAAGCGAACGCGGGACAAAGAAACGCAAGATCAGGCAAGGAAAGCAGCAGGATGTTGGGTCACTGCTCGGAACGTTTGGATGAGCATCTGCTCTGTTCATACGTCACACACAGGTTCAAGACGGAAGGGATCCACGAAGTCATAAACCTGGATTGGCTACGAGACATCTTCTGGAAGGCTTCCTATACTGGTCGATCTCAAAACTCGTGCATCCTCTCACCACATCAGAAGTGAAGGGCAAACTGTACACCTTCCCTTCTCTCTCATCCAAAGGAACGACGATAGGAAATAGCCGTACTCGTCCAGACCCCGGGAATCTGCAATATTGTGCCGCGTTCTCAGCCTTGTCAATGTTGAGTCACACGCTGCAAACTGGCATGTGATCGTACTCGAATCGTCACCGATCGTATTGGTCGCAATCGGCGGGGGCAGCGGCTTGTTGCATCTTTCAGCTTAGAAGCCGTGGACCTTGATGCTCTTGACATCAAGACCTAGTCCATCCTTCTTGTTTGTCAAAAAATCCTGGACGTCCTTGCGCTGGTCGCCCTGGAGCTGGATCACCTCTCCCATCTCGGTGTCGGCGACGACAGTGCCATTGCAGGCGAATTGCTTCTTGATCACCTTGAGAATCTTCTTCTGGTCAAACTTCTTGGGCAGGCCTTGGACCGTGGTCAGGGTCTTGCGGCCATTGCGCTCTGCGGGGTTGTCAGCCTTGGGTCCATAGGCAATGCAAGTTGATGTCGACTTGGAGGGCGCGTTGGTGTCGCGCGAGCGTGTAACAGAGATACACGGCTGGGGGAAGGACTATACGTACGCTGGATTCGAATATGAATGTAGTTCTGCTGGTTGCCAACCTTGACCTCTGCACCTGCGTCTTCGGCTTCCGCGAACGGATCGAAGGACTTGAGGTTTTGGATGTCTGTGGACATAAGACTGGACGAGGCGCGCTGCTGGTGCGAATCCGGTGACTTGCGAGTCTGAGGTGGAGAGTGGAGAGTGGAGAGTGGAGAGTGGTTGACCGGTCTTCGGCGTTGTTAAGTGGGTGTTGGTGGCGAGGGGTTCAGCTCAGCCCAAGTGCTAAAACTCCGCAGCCGCCCGCTGCCTTGGCGCTTCCAGCTAGAAGGTGCGAGACTGCTGACTCCTCCTTCAATCACCTTTCATCGAGGAAGACTCACGACCTTTCACTACTCGAGTACCGCGTCATATCGCAACAGAGAGTGGCAAGGTTAGGTAGAAGTCTGTGTCAGTGCCCGATTTTCATTGGAGCAAAGTAAAGAGTCAAACAAAAAGAGCGTGGATTCGGATGCATTTACGGTTACGCCCCAACATGCAGCATCTCGTGCTATATCACGTTGAAAATGCTCCTACCCATGTCGAAGAACAGCATTAATAAAATGTCATTATGGACCTAAGAGCAATTGCTCGTACGCATCTTAAAGGCACTTTGCTATCTTCATTCTATGAGCGTAGACTAGCTTGGTAAGGCTTAGTCCAATAGCATCGTTTCGTATCAGTCTCACGCTCAACGCCAGCTCAATCCGTCGTCTTCCGGAAGTGTCAACATGATGGCAGTCGCTCGAGCCTACACAATTGCCAGACTGGCGCTGAGTGCTGGACTTTCTCCGGGAAATCAGCAGCCTTGGGTCGATTGTAGCCTCTGGGTGTGTTTCTTCAACCATCACACGACTCGTAATGGATACACAACATGTTTCGCATCCTACATATGGACCCCCAACCGGCAGTCGTCGTTTCTATAATGCCGCAGCCATGCCACAAGCTAGGTTTACCTTTCTTAGCACTGACCCTCTCCCATGATACTCGCCGCCTCCCCACCATTGGCGAGCACTTGCTCACAGCTAGCGTTACGGAACCCGTGAATACCTCCACTGCTTTATAGCTGTCTCCCTTCTAATCCCTTTCCTCAGCTCTGTGAGCTTTGTTATGGCCTTGCTGTCTTCATAATCCTTTCTTTCTGTACCTAATTCACTTCTGCCAGCGCTGGATCGCCTTATAGTAATACACTAATCGGTTCTGGTAACCCTCGAACGCAGCTTGAAGACGACCAGCCAACCGATCCGAACCGCAGGTGCCACATACCAAGATGCATCTCCCGACTGTCCTCTTGAGTGTCTACTTCGGCCTTGCGGCCGCTGGCAATCCTCACCCATGGATGTACGGTGTGCCGGACTACCCAGATCTGGATATGGAAGAGGTCATGACTCAAGCGGGTGTTGAACTGTTATCTGAAGCTGCAAGCAATGCTACGTCCACAGCATCAAATGCAACCCTCCCCTCGAACACAACCACCTCCGCCGGTGGAGAGCCATGTGCAGCGATCAGCAGTGCCATAGCTGCAGCGCTACCTGGCGCTCGGAAGGTTGTGACCGCAGAACTGGGTATGAAGTGTTTGGCGTCAGTCCCGCTGGACAAGGAAGGGAACATCAAGCTCATCGATGACATGAAGCTCTTCGTCAAGTGGCAGTCCAATATCGCATACCTTAAGAACCCTCCCGCAAATTATACCGAGAAGCCTGTTGACGTAATGGGTGAGTTGGATCTGATGCAGAAGGGACTGGCGAACGGTACCTTCAAGACCGAGTACGACTTCCAACTGGAGATGATGACCTTGTTCAACAGAGCTTACGACAATCACTTCGCATACCAACCCGACATTCTTGCATCTGCTATGCAATTCCAGAGACCGCCAGGCACTGAATTAGTTTCGGTCTCATCTGACGGCAAGGCAATGCCAGAAGTCTTCCTTTACCAGGATATTCGGAAGGCCAATAACGATTCTTCGTACAAACCCTCAGCGGTCAAGATGATTAACGGAATGAGCGCCATGGATTACTTGCAGAACGCTTCTGCACAGTCTGACTTCCACGATGCCGACACACGCTGGAACGCATTGTTCCCCTCGCAAGCACTGATTGCTTCAGGCACTGTCTTTTTGGGCTCTTTCAGGACAGGCCAGTACCAGGGTCCCAACACAACTATGGAATTCGCCAATGGAACGACTTACAACCAGATGAACGTCGCTGTTGTATTTGGCAACTTCACTGGTGTCAACAGCGGACAGACATTCTTCAAGCAGTTCTGCACTGGGCCCAAGCCTGTCACTCAGATCGAACAGCCAGCGACGACTACGGTTGCTAGTAGGACAAGCAGTACCCCTACTCCTACTCCCACACCCTCTCAGATTGGTTACCCGAAGGCCGTGATTCTTAATCCTAACCTTGCTATTGGAGGCTATTACATCAACGACACGGGCTACGATGTAAGATGCACAGCCGCGATCGCCCGCTTCGCTAACATATTGTAGGATGTTGCAGTTCTCAGCTTACCCTCATACGAGTCTCCTGATGTTCAAAGCTTCCAGAATGTAATGCGTGACTTCATCCGCATGTGCAAGACGCAGGGCAAGACAAAGATGATCTTCGACATGCGAGGGAACGGCGGAGGTAAGCGGTCTGATCCGACAAAACACGGTGTGGAGCCGAACACTGATGTTTCATACAGGTAACGCAATCCTTGGCTACGACACGTTCAAACAAGTCTATCCTCAGGCAGACCAAGAGCCTTTTGGTGGAACTCGTTTCCGTGCAAACGATGCCATCAAGGCTGCCTATCAGCTTACGGGCGATTTCATTGCGAACAAGACGTTTGTGCAAGGCAACCAAACGGCGTTTGTCCAGGCTTTCGGACAAGGCACGACTTCAGATGATATCCTTGGTATCACAGCTAGCTTCAACTTTCAACATCAGCTCGATATCGATAACAAGGCTATTAGCACCTCGGACGCTGCGTTCGGGCCGCAGACAGCCAATGGTGATCAGTTTACGACGACCATTCGCTATAACTTCAGTGATCCGATCTCGACTTCGTACAATGGCTTCTCGGTCATTGGCTTCGATCAGAACAAGAACGAAACCAGTACACCACAGCCCTTCAAGGCCGAAGACATGGTCATGGTAAGTATCCACTCCAAATGACTTGTGCTTAGCTAACGTACACAGCTTCACGACGGCATGTGCTCCTCAACCTGCGCCATTGCCTCCGAGCTCCTCAAAAACCAAGGCGCAGTCCGTACCATCGCAGTAGGCGGCCGACCTCAAGAAGGCCCTATGCAAGGTGTCGGCGGCACCAAGGGCGCCCAAGTCTTCTCCTGGGACGACATCCAGCTGCGAATGCAAGCCACCTACTTGTTCGTACTCTTCATGCCATCGCTCTGTAAACCCGCTTACTGATATCCTCCAGCCTCGGAAGTCCCGAACAGCAAGCCCAATGGGACACCATGGATCTCGGCAAGACCGCACTCGCAACGCAGCTCTTCAAACGCTCCGCCTACCAAGGCGGTCGCGTCGCCGGTGGGGTGAATCTCAAGGACAATCTGCGCCAGAACGACGCTTCAGGCACGCCGCTCGAGTTCATGTACGAGGCAGCCGACTGTCGCATGTTCTTCACCGCAGCCATGGTCACTGATGTAACGGAGTTGTGGAAGGGTGTTGCGGATCGTATGTTCAAAAACGGTACGGATATGTGTGTCAAGGGAAGTACGGGCGATCCGACCAGTGTCAGTGCTGGTGGTCAGAAGAGGGCGGGTGATGGGACGATTGCGAAGGGCAAGGGTGTCAATTCGACGATGAAGTCGGTTGCGAGTGGTCCCGCTACTATGATGGGTGGTGCGGCTGGTAGGGCTATATGTCGCTGGGGAAGCGTTGCGGGTGCTGTGATGGTAAGCACGATATTGTTGTAAGTTGGGACATGACTGTCGTGCTAACGTCGGTTCTGTGCGGCATGCCCGGGAGCCTGGTGGCTTGTTTGAGATAGTTCATTGATGAAGTAGGGACATGATATTGTCCTGTCCTTCCTTATTCATACAGCTCAAATGTGCTCAAACGGTCTCCCTTTTGGTACCGTTCAAGTACATATATGATTGACATCCGCAAGTCTGCACTCAACTCTCACTTTTCTCAACAACTCGTTCACCAGGAAGTATCCGTCATGTCCGTGGGACATGGTCACGACTTCCTCGGAACTCATACTCCCTTCGTTACTGCCTCCAGGTTGTCTCAATCTTACTGGGTTTTCGTCCAGACTTCGGGTGATGCAGCCGTGTCTCAATGCCCTATCTTTCGGGCGTCAAGACACCTCGTTGTGTAAGCCACAGCGCTGCAACCAACATTGTAGGGTCAAGTGCAGCATTGTCCTTTCCTCAACGTGAGATCGAAGCGATGCAGCCTTGTTTCACAGCCTCATTTTCGGTGGTCAAAGATACTGGTTCATCAAAAACGTGGCGCTGTCAAATTGGTACCGAGGTGCCACAACATGTTCAGGAGAACACAATTCCTATCATGATCTCATAGGCAGTGAGTCGTGAGACCGGAGCGCGTGGTCTAGCCATGCAGGTACCTTTCATTTACTTCCCCTGCCGTTGGTAGAAGTGGCAGGGTGGCGAGTCAGGATGTGAACGGGTCCAAGTCCGCGGATCTGCCCTGTGCACCACCATGGAGGCAACAACGCAACAAGGGCCCATGCTGGCCATCACTCCTGCCCTCCACTCCATCAAATCCATCTCACCGGGGTTCTTCAAAGTTAAGCATTCGATCTTTGAAGCTACAAAACATGCATAACCGAGCCGCGGACGACATCGCTTGTACTGGAGAGACAGCTGCCGGACTTGGCTGAAACATACACAATGCGGCTGCCAATTTCGTCTTCTCGTAAGGCTGCGGCATTGACGGAAAAACCAGCCCACCATCCGCTGTCAAATTTCGTATATTCTTATCGCTCCATTTTTTCTAAGCCGAGGAAGGTGCTTTTCGACGAAGAGATGCAAGCGTCACCGTGTTTTCCTGTCGCCCTCACCGTCTGCGCCTCCTGGTGGCATGGATCATGGAGGAGTAACGGCTCACGGCCAAGATGAATCTTGACAACTCTGTCTACCATACAGCATAACGCCAAAGTCGGTGAGCAAAGGCGATGCCTGGGGCAGTAGGCCTACACAAGACACTAATGTCAACTACACTGCATGACCACATGGAAATACATGAAGTCCTTCACGACTGGCGGTCTGGGCCTACTCGGAGGCGCCCCCTGTTCCTGATCTCTTCCCGTAGGTTCCTGAATCCTTATGTTTCATATTTCTTGCTCCCGACTCGCCATTCGACGCTTTGGTGATCGAACGGATCATGGCCAGGGGCATGCATTCTAGGCTTGTTCTACACATTGCTCTTTCCGGCATAGATTGATGCACGTCGATTCGACTCTGGATCGTACCCAACGGCTCTCGGACATCTAACGGTGCTTCTAACCTGTTCCTGGCGCTAAACACACGAAATTGAATAATACCTGGTTAACCGACATGCCATACTCCCGGTGGCTCACTGAGTCAGGATACGCCGCATACAGGATCACCAGCAACCGAGCTGGGTGTATCTCGTAACTACATACAGGAGAGTATAAGAGCCATGAGCCGCCCACCTAGAGAGAGGCACGCTTGACGCTCACATTCGTTTTCCATACGCTCTTTCAGTCATTGACTTCTCGAACTCTCCATTTTCCGTCATTCTTTCTGACCCGTCATTCTTTACAGACACCTACCAACCAATTCACCATGAAGTTCTCTCAGGTCCTCGCTGTTGCAGCTGCCAGTCAGCTCGCCTCTGCCCACACCACCGTCTGGAACATCCTCGTTAACGGAAAGGATGCCGGTGTCGGTAACACCCAGGGTGGATACATCGACTCTCCCCCTAACAACAACCCCGTCACCGATGTCACCTCGTCTGCCATGACCTGCAACGTCGCCGGCGTCAAGGCTGCCAAGTCTATCACCGTCAAGGGTGGTGACAAGATCGCTTTCGAGTGGCACCACGACAACAACCAGGCCTCTGACGATATCATCGCCTCCTCCCACAAGGGTCCCATCATGGTCTACGCCTCGAAGGCTGGCTCTTCGTACTCGTGGACCAAGATCTGGGAGGATGGCTACAGCAACGGCAAGTGGGCCGTCGACAAGCTCATCGCCGGTTCCTACACCGGCAAGCCCGGTCAGCACGACCTGACTCTCCCCAACCTCGCTCCCGGCGACTACGTCCTCCGCCCCGAGATCAACGCCCTCCACGAGGGTAACCGCCAGGGCGGCGCCCAGTTCTACATGGAGTGCGTCCACATCAAGGTCGAGGGCTCCGGCACTGCCCAGCTCCCCGCCGGTGTCTCCTTCCCCGGCGCCTACAAGGCCACCGATGCCGGTGTCCTCTTCGACATCTACTCCGGCTTCACCAGCTACCCCATGCCCGGCCCCAAGGTCTGGGACGGCGCCAGCTCCGGCTCTACCCCTGCTCCTGCCACCACCACTGCGGCCGCTGCCACTCCTGCTAAGACCACCACTGCGGCCGCTAAGCCTACCACCACTAAGGCTGCTGCTGCGCCCGCTAAGACTACTCTTGCTACCGTTGCTAAGCCTGCTCCTACTAACGCTGCTGGCGCTGCTGGCTCCGTTGCTAAGTGGGCTCAGTGTGGTGGTATTGGTTACACTGGTGCTACTGCTTGCGTTTCTGGCGCTACTTGCACTAAGCAGAACGACTACTACAGCCAGTGCTTGTAGAGCGTCTGTTTGCTTGTCTAGGCGTCGGGAGACCTGACGATGGACTGAACAAAAGTGTTTGGTAGTGTCTTACATGACTATAGAGCCGCCTTTTCGATTCGATTGTATATATCTAATGACGAATGGACTTCGAGTTCTTGACCCCGATACGCTGCTTTTTTTGTCATTCTATCGCCGCTGAGGATCGAACGGATTGACAGACTGCTGCTCATAACCACTTAGCTGTCAAAGATGCAGTTGGTCATTGCTTCGTGAACATGGACGTGCATATATATGAATTCAGGTTAGTGTTTGGTTAGGCTGCTTCTCAACTGAGCATAATCATCTCTCCGCTACCAAGAAAATGCGTGCGCAGATGGATGGAATTACCACCTGCCTGCGGTGGTGGTTGCACAATGAAGGAAGAGAGATCTTTGCGGACCTGGGTTGCAGTTACACCCTGAAGCTGATTGGTCCCAAAGCGTTCAAAGCGGTCACCTAAGTGCCAGACCATCAGTCCATATTCTTTAGTTAGAGCTATCACTTTGAAAGTATCCTCTTCCAGCGACGAGCGCCTCGAGTTTTTGAGCGTGTTCTCAGATCTGCTGTTAAGCTGAAAAGCCAGTATGTCTCGAACGTCGACCAAGCTGCACAGTCCGGCTTGCTTATTAACCCACCTCGGCGGTCAGAGAGCGTCGTGGTTGCTGTACGACTCAAGTGTGAAAGAATCGACACGCTCTAATATTAAATTGATTGCTTTGAGTCAAGATAGCGGTGGCTCTACCACGTAAGATGTCACTCTCAGTCGAAGTGTATATAGAATCCATTCTGCTTTACTCGTATCGAGAGCAGCTGGATGATATTTTCACGCCATTCGGCACCGAAATTCGGCAGCGGTGATGATTGACGCCTATCTTCAGCTTTAGCAGCAAACTGCTTGTGCCAGTCCTTCTGTGAATGCATCCAACCGCGAATGATGGCGTCCCGGCTACTTTACTGGCGCAATCCAACCTGCCCAAGACCAACTAGGAAAGCCCTCTCTGCGTTCTGAGTCGAAGAGGCAAGGGGGGGGGGTTTTTTTTTTTGGCTGCATGCGATCCCCAAACATAACTAAGGGCCACATAAATACAGTTCGCCGGAGTTTCAACGAGGGTGCTAAGTGCACAATCAATCACCCTCATGCTTATATGCAATGGTCGCTAGGAGAAGTCGCCTTCCGGACTACAGGGCCAGCCTTTGTGGTGTTTTTCGCAGAAGGATAGCCTGCCCTTGATTTGGTCGAAGTCGATTATGCCCGGATGGACAAGGTGACCGGTTAACGAGCGCCTGTTCACGTCTATCTCGTACTGCAGTAAGATAAGCCGCGGACTCATTGTGCCAATTGCGATCGCCGGATAACCCTGTCCGGGACTGAAAGGAGGTATGGTACTGACAATTTCCACAGTCAAGACATCCTTCTGGGTCGCAAGGAGGCCGTCATTAGCTGTTCAAAGATCGCGGCAATCAACTAAAGTTTTGTGAAAGATTTACACGAGCAGGCTTGTAAGGGCTGCAACACAGGGTGATGTGGAAGGCAGCGTAAGAAACGTACCGCACTCATGAAGTTCGTCGATGTGAATTTTGTAGAAGTCGTTCCGAAGGTGGTGCTCTGAGGCCTCACGCCTTCCCCAGTCTGTCCAACTCCATAGCAGCAATAATCGCACACCCAATCCCACTCCCATCCTCCGCAGACGTTATCTTGATCGGCCCCTCCCCTTCCCTTTTCTCCTCGTCACTCCACCCCAGAATCTCACCCAGCGCCTTCGCCCACCTCCTCTTGAACTTTGGATGCTTGTTCGCCACACTGCCATCAGCCGCCACATGACCCTGATCGATACCCTCTTTCAAGCAGATAGCGGCTACGCCGCACGCGCATAGTCTTGCGCCGCGGACAGCGATTAATTCGGCGATGCGCCGCGAGAGCTCGATTTCGACATCCGACGGGGAAAGGTTAAGGAGGTCTCTGAAGAGAGAGCGAGATTTGGTGAAGAAGGAGGAATCGTCGTCTTCCACCTGCGATAAGAAACCCGTATCAATTGAGTATGATTTCCTCAATTTGCTGATATCCTGGTCCTTGAACACAAGGCCCTGGTCTGCGAGCTCAAGCACGATGAGACGATAGATTTCTCCGAGGTACAGGCCTGCGGATAGTTTCTCAAAGGCCTGTTCGCCAGGGCGTGGAGACTCGGCGTCGATCTGCTTGTCATATTGTGTCCAGGGGAGGACGCGGTGGGCGTTGTCGAAGGCGCCGTACTCGCAGTTGATTGCCATTTTGTCGCTTTGGGCGCTGGCGGTGCGCCTGTCGGGCTCCTTCATTTTTCCGATGCTGGATAGGTTGGCCATGTATGCTGCGTTGCAGCCCGTGCCGAAGATGGCGCCAATGATGGTTTTGGGGTCGTTGTAGGCAGATGCTATCATTGCGCCAACGGTGTCGTTGATCACGCAAATCAGTTCGATGGGCAGATTTCGTTCTTCGATCTTCTCGCGGAGCTGCTGGGCGACGTCGTGGTCTTCTACGCCGCTGATGTCGAAACCCTTGGTCCATGTCTTGAGCACGGCATGGTCGATGCGCGCTTGTGTTGCTGGGTAAGAGAAAGTGAAACCGAGCGGCATTGGCTTTTCTTTGGTGTACTGCTTGTCCAGACCTTTGTTCTTTACGAAGTCTTCCAGCTCTTCTGCAATGAAGTTCCACAAGCCATCTGCGTCACCTTTCTTGAGTTCCTCGGGCAGCCTGTACTGCTTTTGATCCAGCTCAGTCTTCTCTTTGCCCTTCTTCTCGTGTCCATGTAGTGTTATCTCACAGACTCTCAGGTTGGTTCCGCCAAGGTCCAGGGTGAGGAAAGTACCCCTTTCGTTTCCTGAAGGAAGATGATGTACCCAGGTCTGATGCATCGCAATGTTCTGATGGTGCTTGGCTAAGCCTTCGTCCAGCTCTTCGCGGAACCGTTTGACGATTTGCTTCAACTTGTCGCCGGAGATCCAAAACTCTTCGTCTAAGCGATCCAACTCTTTCTCAAGCTCAGAAGGCAGGTCGGCCATGTTCTCAAGCTCCGACCGCTGTTGTCGTGAGCTGTACGACTCTTCGTTTACGTGCTGTTGCGCCGAGGAAGCCATGTTGTGTTTGGGTATCTTTAGGGAATGAAATGTATGCAGGTGAACGCTTGAACGCAAGATGCAATTAGAAGGTTGTTAAGGGGTGTAGTAGGAATATATTAGGGCCACGCCCTGGAGTCGTATTGCGCAGTCGACATGATGACATCACACCTTGATGTCTCTGTCGTGGTTGTTTTTTGCTTTCAAAGCTAACGTGGTGGTGGATACCCTTCCACTCTTCAATAAGTTTTTGCTTGTGTTTTGTCGCAATGACGTCCGGAGCAACGGAAGTGACGGGAAGTTGCGAGACATTCGGTCCACAGACCGAGAAACGTTGTGACGATCTGTGGGGCGGGTGGAGCTGTAGATAGGCTACTCAATACTCACCAGTCAATACACCTTGTCAGGTGTATATACGGATATTACTACCTGAATGCTATGCAAAGATGCCATCTCGAAAAGCGCACATTCATACATGCAAAAAAGTGAATGCCGCATCTGGCCGAGCGTGAAAGATCGTACCCATGTCATCCTTTGAAATAGAGAAATAGAGAAATAGAGAAATAGAGAAATAGAGAAACAGCACATGCTTGGTTTCTACGCATTCGTTGTTCTTGATAGTGATATGTAGCCGCCACAATGGCACCCAAAACGCCTCGCGATGTATCCAACTCTTCCATGTGATCTATGCAATATGACAAAGTAAATATTGGCTGTCAAAGCCTGAAACCTCGTTCCCGATTCAGCAGCACGTTCATGCAGCGCACTTCTCCTTCCCACTTGCCCTATCTTCTTGCTCTTCGACAGTCATGGCCAGCGGCGCATGCTTCGCGCTACCGTCATGCTCAACGTGTTCCTGTGCAGCGGCCTTCTGATTTAGCAGACTCAGATAGGTCTGCCACCCAATCGCGATCACGCCTCCAAAGATACTCCTGTACTGGATCGGGACATATGTAAAACTGAACGCCGTCACTGCCGGCCAGAGTTTGCAGCTATTGACCCAACTCATGGGTACAGTGTGCTTGATGCGCTCTACAATCTCGTCGAGAGAGGCGCCGGTGAGGAGAGTTTGCATGCCGAAGAAGTAAGAATTGAAGATGGGAGTGAAGAGGATCTGGTTGACAACGACCTGGGTAGTTGTTAGCATCCACGATTTCGAGAGGCGTAAACAGGGAAAGAGGACATACCTTAGTCGTCAAACTCAGGATTTTGGAGGAGTAGTTAAAGTTCTGGCTCAACCACAGAAACCACTTGTAACTCGGTATACTGCTGATCCCTCCAATGATCAGCGCTCTCCCCGTTCGTGCCCAATCCCGGTCTTCACTCCACTGCTGTACCCATCCTCTTTCCTCCTCCTCTTCCACGGTCTCCTCCTCCTCTGGTGCAGCGATGCTCTGCGCAACCAAGTCGCCAACGAAGTATATAACCAGCGAGCTCACGAGCTGTGTCATGTACGGCTTCCGTTGCTGCACGCGCCCGTATGCGCGGAAGGGCTCGATGACGGGTTCGAGCCAGAGCCAGCTAGGCCCGGGTATTGTTGTGGCGGTCGCAGGCGCTCTCTGGCCTACAGGAGGCTTTGTTGCATTATACCGGCGTACGACGTGCGAAGGAGACGCTCGTTGTACTGCAAAGCTGGAGTGTGTGGCATTTCCGGAAATGTTGCTGGGGTTCCGAGGGTAAGCGTGTACGTTTTGTGCTGTGCGCCGTGAGCTTGAGCGAGCCCAGGCGCAGGAAGTGCGTATCATGGTGGTCGTAGAAGAGGTCTCATGGGTCCTATCGAAGAGGAGGTTGTCTGGGTGAAAGCAGCATCGTGGGCGTAATGTTGAGCTGTCAAGTGCCGGGTCACTCGCCGTAGACTTCTGACACTCTAGGGCTGTTCCGAGGCCGATGTTCGGAAACAACCGCCTTTATTGGTAGAACACGCAGGGTCCAGCCACTAGTGCGCGAAGGCGCAATGAGGCACGTGTCTTGCGTATCACCAGCGAATGTCGCACATGGATTTACAGAGGTAGGTATTCGAATGATTATAGTGCTCCGTAAACGATGACTGGAAGTTGACTTTTAGTGGAAGATGGTAACCGACTCGATGTGATCTATGTCTTGAGGAAAACCTAGGGATATCTCGCCCACGAAAGCCAGTATAAATGCCGCTTTGCTATGCCTCAGAAATCCCTTCTAATAACGCCAGTACATGTCCTGCACTCCGCACACATCAGCTCCACTCTCCGCTCGCTGTAAACACATCTGCCAACTTCTCTCGCTTTGGTGGAGACCCGGTACGAGAGCAACTTCGCTTTCTGTCCTTGTTACGCATGCTTTCCGCTATAGCTACCTGTAGCTCGACTTGAGCTACGAATCCCCGGACTGCCGCGTTATCTCTGACGCGTTCTTGTTAGCAAAGCAACAGAGAATTGGCCTGGCCCCCCGTGTATGGGGGCGAGCTCACGCCTTCTCAATTCCTTCGATAACCTCGAGGCCATCGTATTCTGTCTTCGACGCGGGCAAGTCGGTCATCTCGACATCTTTGTGTTCCGTCTCATTCATCGTCGTCTCTGCTGCGGCAGCATCTGGCTGTCTACAGACCGCTTCGGTGAGCATGTCAGTGCGATTCTCCTTGACAAATACGATCCCTGTGCTTCCAGCAGCCAAGGCGCCCGGTCCAAGTCTGAAAATGTCTTGCTCAGAGTACGGTCGTACAGTTTCGTCGTTGTATTCGCGCCATGTGTTGTTTTGGAAGTCCTTGATATAGATCAAGTAATGACCCGAGCCGGTGCCACCACGATGAACGAAAATGGCGTGCAACCGGTAACCGTGATCGTGGTACTCCTTGAAAACAGTATCAATGTCCGACTCGAGCTGAGTCATGGAAGCATCGATCTCCTCGAGCTCTCCTTTGAGTACTTTAGCCCTCTCATGCAGGTTCTCCGGAAGCTCCTCAGGCGGTGGTGCTGGAAGCGGATCAAGCATCTGCTGCTCTATTCCCGCAAAGAAGCTTTCAGTAAGCTTCGCAGTTTCCTCTACTGCATCTGCCAGGTTCAAGCCTTCGATTTCAGTTACTTGCAATTCCTTGCATCTTACTGCCAGGCGTTGGAGCTCCTGCTGTTTTGCCCACTGCGCTTGACGTAAATGTAGAAGCTCATCTCCAGACAAGGTGTTGGTTGCCTCGAGGTATCGATCCAGATACAGAACGTCGTCCAAGCTGAGTTGAGCTGTATCACGGACCTGCTGTTTCTTCTCTCTGTTGAATTGTAGTCGGCGCACGTTGACGATCTGTATGGGAGCAGGGTGGGCAATGTATTCATATTTGCTGTCACCGCCTTCCATTTCGCTCTGTCCGAAATCATCGTCGAGAGCCGCGTAGAGGTGGCGATCGCGCCCACCGGCAGAGATCAAGTGGTGGTTCCTGAGTTCTTGCGTCTTCTCGATTTTGTTGGTTGTGTTCCGAACAATTGTTACATCGCTGAAGAAGATGTCCTTGATGAGATCGGCCTGCTCGCCGTCACGTAGGAGACCTTCGCCTTTGATTGCACATGAGATCAGGTCCAGGATGTTTCCCATGACTTCAGCAGCATCTTGCTGTCGAGCGCTCTCAGCAATGTGTTCGTCTTTGGACTTTGCCTGTTCTTGTGCCTTCGGTCGAGGGGGAATCGGAGGTGGTCGGGTTGGAGGTGATGGCTTGTCGTTTGACTCAGAATGTTCCTCCGTAGCCTGGGCAGAGCCGTCGCTCTTTACATCGTCGTTCTTGGTGCCGTCACCTTCGCCCATGACGGTGTCATTTGTAGCGACTGCTGGTTCACCCTCTTTGATGAGAGCTGCTCCAGTGCCATTCGGTGAGTCTTTATGGTCTTGGTTTTCAGCGTCGGCAGCCTTCGCCTCGGTTTCTACGCTGTCTGTCTTGCACAGCGCTAGTTCAGCAAGATGTTTCGTAGGCAGCACATTATCGGTAGGTGCTCGGATCATCAGTTGGAACAGTCTTTGTAATTCGCGGACGAAATTCTGAGCAGTGGCTACTCTTTCAGGAGTGACGACTGCACGACCGACTTTCTTGTTCTTTAGTGCTTCTGGTGAGGGATCTTGTTCGTAGGTTTCGAAATTAAGAACTAGATCCCGCAGAGGCTTGATAGTGAACAGAAACTGGAGAACGCTATTCAGGTAGCATGTGTTCCCATTGTTGCGGCAGCCTACAGGCCAGGTTTCCAGGGGAAAGTCGTTAACTCGTGACCCTGACTCCTTAGGTCGTTCTTCTTTATTGTTGTAGTTCTGGAGCTGGTCTTGTTGGATCAGAGTAAATGCCTTCTCGAGCTTGGCAATATCGCTCGGTGGGGCAACGAGCATTGAGCTCTGCAAGACAGACAAGTCGACGTTTTGTCTGTCGGACATGGATGAGATTTCGAACAAAGCGTATGCTTCGCTCAGATCCCTCTCGGGCTCAGTCATAGTTCCCTCGAGAAGGAACTGCCGTAGTCGGTCGCTGTTTCGATGCTCGGCGATAATGGAAACTGCTCTCCGCGCAATCTCGATAGACGAAGGGTTGTCTTGTGTCTGTAGATCATCAGTGAGGAAGAGAAGGAGAGTTGCTTAGTCACTGTGGACTCACTTTGATGGTGAACATAGTTCGAACAAAATCATCAGCCTGCGACTGATCGAGCTCGAGCCAAGACAAGGCTTCTTCATACGTATCGATATCTTCCATAGCCTCTCGTCTTATCTCTTCACTTTCGCGCGAATTTCCAATAAGTTGAAGATTTCTGCGTAGCTCATCCCGCTGTGTTGGGGAGATATCAGGTAGACGGGACCTGGCTTGGTCGATAATGAACCTGTCGCTGAAGGTAGGCCCGTGAGCTGGGTCCAACCCAATCGAGCGATAAGCAGCTTCCAGTTCGCGCCTGTTGGGAATATCTTTACTAGTGATCATAGCCACCTCAAACTGCAAAGATTCGCTGTTTCGTCCATTCGCGATTTCCTGGAAGCACTCCAGGTAGTAAGGCGCGTTGACCTTGTCTACGATGCTCTGCCGTTGGTACGCAAAGTGTATGAGCGTGTCTGCAAAATCCCCGACCGCGCCGAGACTGGCGAAGTGCCTGACCCTTGCGTCAGAAGTCTTCGAGCATAAGTTTTCGGTTTTACATACGGGTGGTCTTCTTCAGTTGTACTTGTACTGCGTGTTCGTCCGGCCACCTTCTCGTCTGTATGTATCGTTAGCAGTGAATCGACCCAGAGCTCACGACAGGCTCACAATCATGGCAAGCCAGCACCATCTCGATGTCGCCTTGTGAGGGAACAGGGTACATCGGTTGATGTCTAACATTTTGGCGTTCATTCTCGGGCACTGCGAGGATCATGGTGTTCAGTTCGTATCTGGCATCCTGGACCGTAGTTCGCAGAGTCGACTGGAACACATCCTGCTGTTCTCCGGGTCTGGGAAGGTGCCAGGCCTCGACATCTGGCCCATTCTCTTCCTCGTTCTCCTCAAGTGTGTACTCGAAGCCCAGTTTCGTGAGTATCGAGTCGCAGTCTCTCCAAAAGGTCTTTGCAAATTTCCTGTTGAGCAAAGGGACTCGTGTCTTGCCTGGCGCTGGGTTGAGCGAGTCCCTCAGAAACGTATCAAGAAAATCGGGCCCATCCACACTCCGAGACATAGTTTCGCCCTCACGCTCTCCTATGAGCTCTCTCGCTCTCTCGAATCTCCTCCGTAGCTGTGCTTTGTTCATCATCAGTTCTTGATCGTGCTCTGTGAAGCGCGGTGGCCTCAGGTCTATGCGAACTGAGGTTGGACAGGCGGGCGCCGTGCAATGGAAGCTGAACGTCCTTGGGGCTTGCTGAGCGCCGAGTCCATTGATTTCTTTCTTGTTGTCGCTATCGTATACGAAGTGGTGGAGCGGATAGTCGCTCTGCCTGCCGCATATTTGGCTCGAAGAGTCTTGGTCTTTGAACTCTACAATGACGTCGATGTGCCAGCGACATTGCGGACAGTAAGATGCGACTTTATATACCGGGCCGTGATTATCGCCAGCCACTGGCAGCAGAGACTGCTCCTCCTTTCTTACAAGCGCATGTCTGCAGTTCCCACGAGGGACCGCGGGGATGCCGTTTCTGCTCGGGGTGTACTCGGGCGGGGCGCTGGTCAGGAGATTGCGGCCTGCTCGGTCTTCACGGCAGGGGTCGTATGTGAGCAGGTCCTGTAGCAGCCGTGGCGCTGTCTTGCCTATGGGTGGCAGCCGCGGTTAGCAGTGAACATAACCCAGTCTTGGAGAATCCTACCAGGCGCCATGACTGTGACAGCTAGTAGTGTGGAGTGGACAGCTGGAAGATATCACAGATGCAGCGGTAGAAGCTAATTATGGCGAGATGTGTAAGATGCGGGCACGATGGAGGCGGTGAGAGGTAGAGCGTCAAATGGACAGCGTGCGACTCGAAGTGTCTAACAGAGCATGCGCATGGCAAGCGGCAGGCAGAAACCGGAAGTTATAGTCTTGTTGTAGTAATCATAGTGCGGTACAAACACCAAGTGAGCGTGCGTAGGGATTCGAACAACTCCCCGGTAAGCTCCAAGCATCGTCCAGCAAAAAGTGAAGCACACAGCTTGTCAAGCTCTCCACCGTGCGACAATCCAAGATACGCATGACGGCGATGATGCAGTGCCGACCGCGTCTCACCAATTAGGTTTAGCGGTGCCAAGACAGTTTCCAGAGCCAACTTCAACGACATGCATGTCGCTGTCGAGAGCTCCCAAGACGAGATACCCACAGCCATTCCGCCCGCCATGGCCGACGAACAGCCAACATACCATCCTCGGGACGCCCTCCACAACACAGGCAATGCGGTGCTTCAGACCACCCTCGTTGGTGCCGTCCTCGCCGGTGTGCAGAACACACTCCGCAAGCAGAATGTTGGAGCCATGGGTATCCTCACACGGTCGGGAGGCATAATTGCTCTTTTCGGTGCGCAACCACTCAATTGGCAGTTTTTGGAGCTTCGTGAAGCTAATTGAGTGATAGCCGGTGCTGGAGGCGCATATCAATTCACACTCGACGCGACCGCCAACCTGCAACAGAAGGACGACTGCTACAACGAGTTTTATGCTGGCTTTGCCGCTGGTGCAACTGCTGGAGTCTTCAGTATGTGCGCATAAGTTCGCAGTGCGGACAGGACTAACAGGGTGCAGAGCGAAGCCTGCCGTTCATGCTCGGTGCCGGTGCCGTGTTTGGAACCGGCATGGCAGCTTTCAGATACACCGCCGGTCTGCGCGGTACAACATCTGGCGAGGTCGACGAGGAGGAGATTGAGCGAAGGGAGGCCATGAGAAAGCTTCGTCGACGACCATTGTCGGAAACTCTCGAGCAGTTAGGCGAGGGTCGCGGTAAGCTGGAAAGTGCTCTACTCATGCTGGTTTCCACTGACGCTTCTAGGTATCTACGGTCCCGGATACGAGGAGAGGAGGCGACAGAGGCTTATGGACAAGTACGGAATCGATGTAAAGGCAGCGCAGGCCTAGACGCAACATGCAGTTTCCTTGGAGTTCACAACAGAAGTAGACATCGAGTCTCAGGAATCGGACACTTCGCACCACTTGTACATACCATTTGTTCCTACAAGCTCGAAAATGGCAAACAATTATCAGGTTCGCAGCACGGATTGCCCGTGATCCATCAAAATCGAAACCGCAAAGCAAATCTTTAATTGCCATTGGCGCACGTAAGTAGTTAAGCTCTCTAGTTGTCATCCGAACGAGTATACTCGTGGGAAGGCAAGATCGCGCACGTTGTGTAGCTTGTTGAGTTGACAACGCAATGACTTGAACATTGCACGATGGACAGTTTGAAGTATATCACGCGGTGTGCCTACCGTGCTTTTCATCTGAACTCAAGTCCCATGGCTACTTGCGCGGTCTGAACGTTAGAGCAGGTAAAGCATTGCCGCTGCTGGTGTGGACTTGTACTTGTCAGACAGTCCTCAATCAAAGATCTTTTAGCTGAGTAAACGCGGGCAATTGATTGGCCGAGATTTCGATATGCACTATAGCGGACAGCCAGTAGTTGAGAACGATGAGTCCAAGAAGGTTGAATGCGTAGATCAAGAGCTTGTACTCTTTTTCGAGTTCGAAATCACGATGCAAGCACATTGCCCTTGACACAAATGCGAATTACGCACGTGCACTCGCATGTCAGGAACGCGTCGAGATCCCGGTGACGTGACGCACTGCGGGGTAGCACCTCTCCAAGTGAGCCGTCACCCTTTACATCAACCGTCAATCAGCTACTGTAAAACGGTGCCTGGCGCGTGAGCTCTTTCACTACCCTCTTACCTGAAACGGATCGTTTGAGGACGATTATTGCCATGGCGTTCTGCATGATGATGTACTCGATCTTCTCGTCGAGCTTCGACGCGCTGGTCGTGCTTTCCTCGCCCAGATGTAGCCCCACCACCCTGGTCGACATCCGATATATGTCGCGCGACCACGCGCTTTGCGACTTGAAGACTGTAACACTGACTCGCCTTGCTACCGATACAACGTTGATGCCAACCTGAATTGACCTCTCGTCCTGATCACTCCAAACATCATAATGCAGGCAGCCTCACAGACACAGACCGAGGTCGACTCGAAAGACCGGTTCTTTCAATACTTTCGGCATGAAGTTACAGGTAGTTTGCGCGGCTCTCAATGACAGGCTTCCGACTGACTCTTCCAGCACTCCAGGAGCAGATGGAACGTCTGAACAGCATAGCGACTGGTGGAGGCGAACGCAACGACGCTGTAGACCACTGCCTAGCAGGGATAGACCGTCTATCCCACGAAGTCAAGGACGCTTCAAGTTACATTCCAGCATATGATCAACGAACATATAGCGAGGTATTTCTGCTACGCCATACTCAAAGGCCTTTCAATTAAAACCCTCAGGCAATCAAGGCTCTCTCCGAAAAACTCCAAAACATCCGCCAGAACTTCAACCCACCTAAGAAGTTCGCCTTCAAAACCCGCAAGAACGCCCCCGCAATCTCCATCTCAGATGCCGCCGAACTCGCAGCATCGCAACGCCTCCGTGCCCCAATCATTACCTCAGACACATCGAACGCAGACCCTTCCTTCGCGCCGACACCGCTCGACAGGCTATCCCCCGGCAAGCGAAAAGAGCAGGAAGCAGCCCTGAGTCTGCAGAACGGGACAGCTATCGTAAGCGATGGCATCGATGACACAAACGGCGGCGTCCGACGCCCCTCGTTCTCTGCCGCAACAAGCATCAACATAAACAACCACAACGCCATCGACATCATCGCTCCTGCGTCCGCTTCACACGCAACAAGTTCCGGCACAGTCACAAATCTGATAAGCTGTGTTGTCGATTTAAGCGCTCCAACGTCCGTATCCCCCTTCTCAGCGCTGTATCTCAAGAACATAATCTCCAGCACCATCGTCACAGGATCCGTAGCAGGCGCGACGCACATCACCGACATCGCCAACACAAAACTTTACGTCACAACTCGCCAGTTCCGCATGCACGGCGCGAAGAATGTAGACGTGTACTTGCACTGTGCAAGCCGACCGATCATCGAGGACTGCGAGGGCGTGCGGTTTGCGCCGTTGCCGGAAGAGCTGGTTACGGATGAGGTGAGAAAGGTGGAGAATCGGTGGGATCAGATTGATGATTTCAAGTGGTTGAAGGCCGAGCAGAGTCCGAACTGGAGTATCCTGCCAGAAGGCGAGCGCACGGCGCCTGCGAAGGAGACATAGATTAGAGTGGTCCAGAGGTACAGACAACTTGATCGCACGAATGGAAAGAGTACACCATTTGCACAAGGCCGAGTTTTTGGCTCATTCAATGGACACAACGACAGCTCCTCAAGCCTTCTCTTTCTCCTCCCACTCCCCCTTCACTAACCCAAAAACAACCAAATCACTAGCCCCCCCATTCTTCTCCACCGCCCCCCTCAACACACCCTCTTGCTTATACCCACACTTCTCAAAACACCGAATACTCCCCTTATTCCCCTCAAAAACCCCTCCCCACAACCTCGTCCACCTCTTCCCACCCTCCTTCCCCGCAAGCAAACTCTCCTCCGCCTCAAACACCCACCGCGTCAACCCCGCAAGCATCTCCGTCACCAGTCCCCGTCCCCAGAACTCCTCGCCGATCCAGTATCCTACTTCTGCGGCGTGGGTCTGCACGTCGACGCCCGGCTTGAGACCGCACCCGCCGATTATGGTGGAGGGCGAGGTGCGCAGGCTGATGCCCCAGTTGTAGATGGGTGGCGTCAGGTTCATATTGATCCAGCCATTGGCAGCTTCTAGGGTGTAGGGCGAAGGGAAGCCGAGAGACATGAACTCGGTGATTTTGGGGTTGTTGGCGTGGTGGGACATTGAGGGGGCGTCCTGAGGATGTAGTTGCCTGACGATGAGGCGAGAGGTGGTGAAGATGGGTTTGGGGATTGGTGGGTCGGATGTGGTTGCTGTTGAGACGGCTGAGTTGGCTTGGGCTGCGACTTGCGCTTCCATTGCTGCTGGGTGGGCTGGTGTGGGTTGTGCGGCCATTGTGGATGAGGATCGAGGTTGATGCTTAGGCTGGTGTATGCAGAAGCTCGGTTCTCACTCTTCTTGATTGCGACGTTGTTTGCCAAACGGAAACGCTGCTAGATCGTTTGTGAAGGCCGAACGACGATAACGTTGCAGCAGAAGGCTTGTGACGGAGACCCGCAAATTTCAGTTGGCCGTTAGGAAGGCAACAGCGTCCTGATCACGACAGCTTATATACGATGAAGGTAGTCCTTGAGTCATTCCTATGTTGTGTCGTATTGTCTGTGGAGTCAATAGTAGTATTGCAGTAAGCACTTATGGGGCGCTCTCAGCGACCTTCCGCATTTGCGTGGCGTGGCGTGGCGTGGCGGCTTGCTCGATTGTGGTTGGATCCACCCAACACAAACGTGGAAGTCGAGAATGGCATTGAGACAGGCTGTTGTACGAGTTTCATTCTCGGGTTCGAGAGTGATGTTTGTAGCGTGCATGACGTCTGAGGTCGAGGTGCAAGGTGGTAGAGGGGAACCCTGATTTTAGCGCGACGCGGTCACCACGCGCATCGCGTGCACAGCAACATCTCTAACATTGCTCTGAACGACGCACCAATGTTCCCCTCCTCTACAAAGTATGTGTAGTTTATTCTTGCGACCGCGGCCCAGCTAACAGTCTGCAAGAAAAGTCGTGAGGACTTACTCGCGACAAACAAAACGGCCGTTCTATAATGAAGAGCCACCCACTAAGCGCAGACGCGTCGCAGATACCGAAACCGAACCTACACCCTCAACCACACCTGTTCCAAAATCGCCGGTAGGAATTTCGTCGCCTACACGCATAAACTCTGCGTCCCTTAGCTCCAGTCCACAACCCTCGCTGCCATCTTTCTCAGATGCACCGACACGATCATCCCCTCCATCGTCACCAGCGCTGGAGAGCTCCCCTCCACCAGACCTAAAGAGACGACCTGTCTTCTCTCTGTTCAAGAGAAAGCTCAAGCACAGCGTTTCTGCGCTCGAAGTCCTGCCCGAACGTAGTCACGATACGCAAAGCCCACCGAAACCACTGCCACCGAAGAAGAAGCGCATGGTGCAGATGCAGCTGGATCTAGTAGGGCAGCACCGCAAGGCCTGCAAGACCTGTGGGATGGAGTACATACCATCGAACGCCGAAGATGTGGCCTTGCACAAGAAGTTTCACGCAATGAACTTCGGTGGTGTTGACTGCACGAAAGCCATGGTCGAGCGCTTGCGGCAGAAGCAGATCTGGAGCGGAGGCGAAGCGAGCTTCATAGCTGTTGTTGGGCGAAGAGATGCTCTTGCGCTGCGTAACAAGGCGAGCGACGTGCTGAGAGTCGTCAATACGGAACTTGCAGCGGTGCCTATAACAGACAAGGAGCTCTGGAGTCAGACTACACTGTCTGCAAGCTCAGAAACATCAGAAGGCGATGTGTCGACACCTGAGAAGTACGACAGATTCAAGGTCTACCTTTACATCCGGGGCCAGAAATGCGTAGCAGCGTGTCTGGCGGAGAGAATAGAGGAAGCCTACACCGTTCTGGGGCAAGAGAAGGCGTCTGAGCAACCAACACAGAACCTCGCTGAATCCCAGAGTTCGTCCATCTCCGTTAGTGCAACAGCAGAAAGAGTCTTCCTCGGCATCTCAAGGATCTGGGTGTCAAATCAGTTCAGAAAGCGGGGGCTTGCGCGGAGGTTACTGGACTCAACAAGAAGTGACTTTATGTACGGCTTGACCGTCGAGAAGCACCTCACTGCTTTCAGCCAGCCAACAGAGAGTGGTGGGAAGCTTGCGCGCAGGTACTTTGGGAGTGAAGCTGGATGGCGTGTGTACATGGACTGAGGAACGACTCGGGACAGGGGTGAGCCGTGAGCCGAATTGTTGTGCGAGGCTTACGACGGTGATGCAGCATTCGATTTGCGCGTCTGGAGGCACTCTTGGTCGCAAATTGGATTCAAGGACAGCAAAGCCCATTCAGGATATGTATCTGCCGCAAGCAACGTTACTTGCCAGGCACTGTGTGATGTTGGGGGTGCACAAATCAAGATGCGCTGTAACATGGTGGGGTTGTCTTCGCTGTCCCTCCAGATCTGCGCCAAAGCACGTCGGCGGATGATCGTCCAGGCCGTCCGAGCATCAGCAGCTGCAGCACCGTTAAGGTTCAGCACTACACACACCGCTCCTCACGAGCTCCTCCCTGTACATAGAGCAATGCATTGTCCATAACTGCACCATGTCTTCTGGGAACCCCTTCCGCGCATCCCTCGCCCCCAACCAAGCACCGTCCTCGCCTGTCCCGCAGACTTCCTTCATCACCCCTAAGACAAGCAGGCCTGAGGCTGGCACCCAGCATGATGATGGTATGCCGCTGCGTTGCGTTTCAGATTGCCCTGGTAGTAGTAGAGTAATGGTTACACAGTGCCTGCCCACACCGTCTCCCCGCCGTCTAGGACAAAGAAGCATGTTCGCATAGAATCCACCGCCATCTCCATCCCACCGCAACCGGACATCTCCAGTCCAGATGACTCTCCACACACGTCTTTTGCACCACAACAAGCCCCGGCCCAGCATGCAGGTTCACCACCCCCTGCATCCTCTGCTGCTTACTCGAATAGCTCTCCTGGTGCATACACGCGTGAACCAGGAAGAAGCTATGGTGTGGCGGCACCAGATAGCATAGCAATCTCGAACACTGCCTCTGGGATGAGCTATTCAGCTATATCTCCATCTGTGGTCCCGGCGAATCCATTTGCAAAGACACTCGCGTCCATGGAGCCGCAGAGGGCAGGTGGGGAGGACCGGGCATCTGCGGAAGGAGCGGCCCAAGGCAACAACAGAGCTTCTCTCGATGTGGAGAGCTTCAAGAACATGCTCATGACAGGTAAGCCGTATCCACGACAAACCACGCAAGCCTCGCAGCCTCCTACCGCACCGAGCACTGCAAGTGCAGCTATAGTCGAGAGTGGTAGCAGCACAGACGCGTCATCAACATCCCGGCAGTCTTTACTTGAACCTGCGCACGAAGCATCCGTCGAGTCCCCAAGGACTTCATACGAGATGGCGCGTTCAGACGAAGACGAGGTTGCTGGTCTGACACCGGAGAGGACAAGATCGAAGAGGAAGCCACCGCCGGCGCCAGCACACCGTCACGGCAAGCTTGTGTCGCCGCGACAGCCGCAGACAGTACCGTTTGACAGCTTTGCAGCGACCGAGGCCGCTCCGTCTCCTGTGACCAGACCACGAAACACATCAGACACGAACAAGCCACTCCCGCCGGCTCCCGTAGTGTCACCACCACCACACATTGATAATCCAGAAAAGACACGAAACAACACATCGCCAATGACTGAGAAGCTGGACGAGTCGTTAAGTCGATCGAACTCTCTTCAACAGAAAAGAGCACCTCCTCCAGTCCCTCTAGCTCGCAGACAGAGCCAGCTACGACACTCCTCGACAGAAATCCGATCAAGAAGCAGTTCCTCCTTGACACTGTCTTCGCAGCACTCCCTCGAAGTGCCAGCTTCTGGTGTAATTCCTACATCTGGCGAAGTTGCAAGTAATGCAACCACAACAGCGAGTTTGAAGTCACCACCACCTCCCCCGCCTTCCAGACATGGCGCACGGCTGTCAGACATCGGCTTGTCGAGCGCCGATTCATCATCCACCGAGCTACCCCAACGATCGACTTCAGTGCGGACTACGGGCTCATCAAAAGGTCCGTCCTCCAGAAGAAGTACACTAGAAGGCGAATTCGAGTTGCCCATATCACGCGCAGCGTCGATAGCATCAAAACGCAACAGCCACATCGCATCCAGCGAAAGCACAGGCGGCGGCATGCCTCCACCTCCTCCTCCGCCCCGACGAAGACCAGGATCCGGCCGTTCAAGTCTCGACCAGCAACGACCATTCATACCTTCATCGTCACCTACAGAAAGCCGGCGAACCAGTACAGAGCACAGACGTACGAGTGCCGATCTGCGGCGCACCAGCTTGGATAACAACAGGAGGACTAGTGGCGCGAGCGAGCATTCTCTGCGGCAGGACTACGCGCCGACAGAAGAGAAGACAGGCAACGAATACGCCCTGTATTCGCCGAGGGAAGAGGCTGAGGATATGTTGGCAGGTGCGGGTACAGTAGAGGGGAGGAAAGACTCGAACAACATCCTTGACGATATGGAGAAATTCCAACGAGAGATCGATGAGTTAAGGAGTCGATACAAGCAAGCGGGATAGTGTTGCGCTTGAGACGATGTCTGGGCGGAAAAGTGGTATGCGATGGAACGGCATTTTGCATTGTTACCGGGAACTGGTAGCATTTGGACATTGTTAGTACGAGATATGCATCACGTTTTATCGCCGCTTTTCTCTCTGGGCTGCCTGGACCACTGCGTTGGGCAACACGTCGTGTTGGTTGGAGGCGCATCTAACGCTATTACGCAGTGGCTATGCGAGGCATCTTGAGGACTATTCTTCCACGATAGTGGTGCATTACGATAGCAGATCAGACCGATATCGAATGCTGTATTTGGCTAGACTGCACGGTCACTTGGCTCACGTTCTGCCTACTACCATGCCTGAGACAGCGAAATGCCTGATAAGGTTCCAAGCGTAGCGCATAGTCTGAATGTTCGGAAACTGTGCCTTACACACCATACATAGTGCAGGACTCTTGTCGTAGTGGCGCTGCAGTGTGCAAAGTCGATGTCATAGACGGTTTCGTTGAGACGACCGGGTGGCATCCATAGACAGCGCATTCAAGTTCGGTGTTTGCGGGATTGCGGTTGATTCTGCACCAGTGTAAAGATGCCGGCTATCAATTGACTCGATCCGGTAGATATTTGGTGGAGACTTCAGAGTCAGCGTCAGTGCACCCTGTCCTCCTTTGTCGTTCGATGGGATTGTGTGCTCGAGGATGCCGTACGGTATGTCGATTCTGCAATTACAGTCGCCCCCCGGGGTGATCTTCGTGGTGAATGAGAGCCACCTGGAACCAAAGGGTCAGCGAACATAGTCTACAGTAGGCTACTCATCTTGACAACCCTCTCGTTAGCCTAGTCCAGATAATGACGCGACAGACACATGCACGGCTGAGCCCAGTACTATCTGGTCATGTTCGCGTAGATTGCTCTGGTCGATACTGTACCGTTGACGACAGCATGCCATACTCTCCTCTGCTTGGTGTAGCTCACCACTCCTAGTCCTTTTCTACATCCCCCCTTCTCTCCAGAATCTTATCCACAATCCCAAAGTCTACGGCCTCTTGTGCATCCATAAAGTAATCACCGACCATAAACTTCTCAATCTCTTCCAGGCTCCTCTTCTTTGTCAAGTGAGTCTGATAGATCTTGTTCAACCTCTCCCTCACCCGCAGAATCTCCTTTGCGTGATCAGCAATATCGCTCGCCTTCCCCGAATACCCTCCACTTGGCTGATGAATCATGACTCTTGCATGTGGCAGAATATACCTCTGGCCCGCCTTGCCACCACACAGCAGCAGCGAGCCCATCGACGCAGCCTGGCCCATGCATATCGTGCTCACCGGGCAGCGGATGTAGTTCATTGTGTCGTAGATGGCGAGGCCGGCGCTTACGCTGCCGCCGGGCGAGTTGATGTAGAGCGAGATGGGCTTCTCGGCGTTGTCGGCTTCGAGGAAGAGGAGTTGCGCGACGATCATGGCGGACATGGATTCTTCGACTTCGCCGTTGAGGCAGATGATGCGTTCTTGCAGGAGGCGCGAGAAGATGTCAGAGGTTTTCCACCCTCCACCCTGCACAGTCAGTCGAAGTAGTTGGGCGCGTCTCCGGTGAACATACAACTGTCTCGGTCACATATGGTATTGGGAGTGCAGCTGCTCGCGGCGCATGCTGTTGCTGTTGCTGTTGCTGTTGCGGCGCATAGCTCGTGGAGAAACCGATGTGGGTCGAGATCGGGCGCGTGCCGTTCCTACATATCTCCGTGAAGGTAGTCGGCCGTGCGGCTCTCCGTAATAAAGTTGCCATGGTGTGTCTGGGGAAGCTCTCATGGACCGCGATGCTGTAGCTCCACATGCCGCCAAGCGACCATGCCGCCAAGCGACTAGGTCCCGAGGTCCCGAGGGTCGCGTCCAAACCGTCGGAGCTACCAAACTTCCACACGACACTCCCGCACCCCGCGTTTCCCTACTGATGCCAGGCCAATGGACGCGACGCCTGGGATCATGTTCGAGCCAAGCTAGAGCTATCTCGACCGCTCAGCGCCAGAGCAGCGTCAAGCATACCACGCCCCTGACGGGCAGCGAACTGGGGCCTACCCAGCAGGATGGTCACCGAACATTCCGCACCAGGCAGGATGGGAAGAAGGAGCTCCCACTCCCGCCACTGCTCGACCCTGTAGTGCTCGGGAAGCGGTCTCGGTATGAGCAGAAGAAAGAGAAGCCAAAGTTCGCAGACTTCACACCCTTCCAGCGCCAGCTGTGGGAAACCCCATTCGGTAACCCGCCCCCCCCACACACATACACACACATACACACACACACACATACACACCCATCGCCCACAACTACTTACTCCGTACAGCCCACGCACTCGCCTCCCCCGTCCGCGAATGCCGCGCAACCCAGGCATTCCTCCCCTCCGCCCTCCTCACCACGCTTCACACACGCCCGCACCCCGCGACCGGCGACCCGTGGCTCCTCCCCGTGTCCCTAACCACATCGACTCCGCCTTCGCACCTGGGCCGACCTCTGCGCTTCCTGGGCCGGCGGCTCATCGCTTCACAGCTCGGCAAGGGCAAGAAAAAAGCATGGGAGAAAGCACTCTGCACGCGCATGCTGGAGAAGTTCCAGCCCGGCGAGTTTGGCAAAACAGTATGGCGGGAGGACATGCCGCAGTTGATTTTGGAGCTGATGCAGAAACGCGTTGTGGATCGGCTGAGCTGGAACTTCTCGTTTCGGGGGCGCTTGATTCCTGTTGCGAGTCCGAGGACGGAGGATGTTGAGAGCGTGGAGGACGTGAGCACCGTCCTGGTCTTTGGCAGTCTGCGCTCGCGCGCGGATGATTACCAGGATCGCTGCGACGCGATCACGGCCGAGTTGGACAAGTGGGCGACGTACTTTGGCCAGAACTTTGGCAGTCATTTCAATCCTCATGACTCGCCGGACGTCACGCACAATGCGCCGCAGTGGTATACGCAGCCGCTGGTGCCACGCATGCAGCCGCGGCTGCAGTTCCCTGAACTTGAATTCAAGACGACAACGTGGCGCGGGAGAAAGGTTGCAGTGTACAGTCTGACCGACTTGCTGAGCCCAGAAAAAGCTCAAGAACTGATCTCGGGCCCGGGGAGCAAGTACGCATCTCAAAAATGCGTCGTGATAAAGCGAGCGCGCCACAACGTGCCCGTCGAGATGCTGCTCATGCAACTACAATCCTACATAGCCAAACCCTCCATCTAACAACAACAACAACAACAACAACAACTCCTCTATTCCACATCCTCCTCACCCCCCTCCTTTTCCTCCTTCCTCGGCCTCGCCTCCTGCTTCCGGTACAACACCGCCAACTCCTCCGCCTCCGTCGCCTCCTCGATCCCCTTATCCTCCCTCACCCTCAAGAACCGCGGAAACCTCGTGCTCAGCCCCCGATCCTCATTAACAAGCCCAATAGCAGCAGTGTACGTCGGACTCAGCGTCAAATCCGCAAACGCAACCTCCCACACCTCCTGCGGCTCGAACCACACCGCCGGCCACCCCGCGCCGCCGTTGTACTCGACGTAGTGCGGCTTGCCATCCCTTATCACGTTGGTGTTCTCAGGATCGTCCGGGTCGTATTTCGAGCGGTTGGCTTTGTAAAACGCGTCGGTGAAGCCGGACATGCACTTCGTCACCGCGTCGAGCGTGCCGGTTTGCTCGTTGCGGATTGCGAGCAGGATGGGCGACCACCAGGAGGCTTTGCGCCCGGAGCCGTGGAAGGCGCCAATTGGGATCAGATCGAGGGTTTCGGACGTTGTCGAGTAGTCTTTTTTCACCTTCAGCCACGAGTCGAGGCGTTTGTCCGGCTCGTAGGTGCTGAGGAGCGCTTTGCGGCGGCCGGGTTTCTTGGGCTCGTCGATGTGGGCGTCTTCGGCGGTGGTTGTCTTGATCTTGCCTTTGGGCCTGGTGGGTTTCTTCTTCTTGGGCGTGGGTGGTAAGGAGGGCGTGCCGTCTTCGTTGAGCTCTTCGAGGAGGTCGGGGTTGGGGAGATTGTCGAGCACTTTGACCATTATGCCTTCGCATTTTAGTTCGAGTGCGCTTTTAAAGAACGATGATACGGTTTCGGTGTCGGCGGATGTGGCGTCGAGGCTTTTGACCCAGGTGAAGTTGTGCGGGATCTCGACGAAGAGGCTGCGTAGCATGTCTCTCCGCTCTCGGAATGGGCGGTTGAGGAGTTCTTCGCTGTTCAGGTACATCAAGTCGAAGGCGAAGAGACAGACGTCGATTGTTACTGCACCGATTAGGACGTCCTTCCGGGCGCGGTTGGCGAGTGTCTGGAAGGTCTTCAACTCGCCTGATTCGCGGTCCACTGCCACGACTTCACCCTCAAGGATGAAGCTGGACACACCTTCGCCTCTAATCTTCGGTACCAATGCAACAAGATCCGGATACTTGTCCGTCATGACTTCCAAATGCCGTGAGAATATCGTAACTTTGCCCTTCTCATCGCAGTGCACCTGTGCTCTTTGGCCATCATACTTGTACTCGCAGCTGAAGTCTCGTCCTTGTAGCTTCGTGAGCATCTCGCCCAGATCGCGTGTGATGCTGCCCAGCATAGGTCTGAGCGGTATGTGTAGAGCCAGGCCACATCGTATCAAGAGCTCATCGCCTACACCAATCTCCAGCAATGCTGGTATTATGTCGTTGTAGTTTGGTCTCCGGGCAAAGCTCGCTTTGACAATCTCCTCGTTTCTGCTGTAAATCTCGGCCAAGTCTTCCTTCTTCAGTTTGGCAAGGTCTTTTGAATCGCGAGTCTCGAACTCGGCGTTCGGTGGCTTCGATAGGAGGAATGCGCGTGATAGCGCAATGAGCATCGTGGTTTTGACTGCGCCGATCCTCAGGTGCTGCACTAGCGTTCTGACGATGTATCGGCTTTCTTCTGCACCCCGTGCATCTTGTATCAGCCTCTCCACAATCCTCTGCTTGACCTCCACGCTGCCGTTGCCCTTGCTGGTTGCGATCTTGACCAGAGAGTCAAATACACTTTTGATAGTCAATGGCTTTGGCTTGCGTAGCGTGAAGGACTGACGCTTCTTCGCCTCGAATGCCACATCTCCAGCATCGCCGTACTTGTTGTTGAGTGTCCTCAGACCCGCATTGTCCAGACCACAGACCTTCTTCAACGCCTTTGATATTGCTGACCCACCGAGACCGAGTTCGAGATCGATGTATGGAGGTGATATCGAGTTCGTCGCAAGCCATACTGCAGGGAGCAAGCTGTTAGGATCGCTTTCGATGATTGTCCGTAGCAGATTGACAAGTGTGTCTACGATCTTGATACGGCTTGTTGTGCTATTGACCAAGATGAAGCATCTGGTCAATAGTGCATATGTCGCACGCCCTCCGTCCGCTGTCCAATGCTTTTGTAGATCTGGTATGTACTTAGAGGGGTCGAATTCGAGAGGGCTCTGGTCGAAGGGTATGTTCGCGGTTATGGTGTCTTCTTCGGTTGCGGTCGATTGCAGTGAGAGAGTGTTCGACTTCGGCTTCGGTGCTGCAGATTCGATGATGGGCATGAATGCTTCAGCTTTAGTTGTAGGATTTCCCTCTTCCGTATTGCTACTGTTCACGCCAGTTGTAGCGGGTGGACTGGGGTCTCTGTAGAGCTCATTCGAGCTGGACAGCTCTTCCTCTTTGGGTGGCTGTCCTTGGGTCTGTAGTTCCCCTCGAGCTTCCCTGTCCCATTCCTCCTGTAGTTTCCTAGCATACTCTTCGTCCGTAAGATTAGATGGATCTACTACTTGGGGCGCAACGGGCTCGTCCGTTTTCTTCGGCGCACCATTCGTCGTAGCTGCAGCTTTTGCAGTCTGTTTGGCGAAGAAGAAATCTAGTTTGCGCACTGGCTTACTTGATCCATCGTCCTTCTTTCGGCGCTTTGACGGACTGTACATTATTGCAGATTGGGCATGTTCTTCGAGAGTTGCTAGGAAAGTCGCTGCTCTCGGTTCATTCACGTCATGACGTAGCCTAGCGCTTTGACCAAGTCGCGTCGCGCTGTCACGAGCTGTGCTTTTCCCATCTTTGGGTTGCTTCGTCGACGTTCGCACAATTGTCAAGATCATGAAACGAACCATTGCGCGGCTTTGAAGCGATTACATTGCGACCAGGAATCCTTTGTGATGGCTCTTTCCCTACTAGCAAAACTACGATGCCGTCCCTGAAATCCTGCCATCACAGACAGCTGCGCAACCAGTGCAATCACGCCCTCCGCCATCTAGAGCCATCGTCTACTTCCTGAACCGCACTATCACCGACGTTCCCATGCCAAGGCTCCTCCTCTAGTTGTCATATCTCAGTATCCCCTCAGACTCTCGCGACTCGGAGCCGCGATCCCAATAATCGCCTCGGTCAGTGTCCCAACGCGATCGCTTGTGTGACTGCCGCTCAGCTCCAGGCCGGTGAGAGCTACGAAACCGCCACGTACCAGGCCCGAAGCATCGTCTTGATCTTAGATTGTGTCATTGACTGCAACTCGAGATTAGTGTGCAAATGGCAGAGGAATGGCAGCACGACTCACTTAGCAGAAGACCACTGTCGACGTGCAGTCCGTGGACAATGGCACGTGCGGCTGCGATCGGACAGACAGCGACCTCTTTGCGCAGTATCTTTGTTGCTTCGTTGAAGCTGCATACGAGAACCGCAGCAAACATGGTGTCTGGCTTGTTATATGCGATAAACACGTCTATTATTATGTTAACCTGCACCTGTGAAACTCCGATCGATGCTACCGACCGAAGAACTAGAACTTTTCCCACCCATACAAGATCTTTGCGTTTCACAAGACCATAGTACGATGTTCGTGGAGTTGTTCGAGCTACTGGAATCAGTACTGACATGGTAAGACGATGACTTATCCAATGCCTCATTCTGATTGCTGGGCCAGCTGCCACCGGAAGGGCTTGTGCCGCCATTGAACGCAGCGAGGCCATCAACACCAACAGCTGCAGCTTGCACCATGAGGCCGTTCGCGTTGCTCATGGCTGAGGAGATTACTGGACTTGGAGCGCTATGCGAGTTGACGTTGCGCTGGAAGCTGGTGTTGGCTGAGAAGCGAGAAGGGAAGGATAAGAAAGAGTTGCAAAGATTAATATGCCGGATGGGATCGGCGCTATTCGTTTACATCTCAGCGTTTCCAGGTAAGGGCCAATGGACAGTGGATCCTTCAGAAGGATCCAACTTCCGTTGGGAGCGGTAAGAGACGGAGCAAAGGGGACATGCATCAACATGTGGACTCTCACGCACATATGAATTTCCATCAGCTCGTCTAGGCACTGGTCTTCATCAGTGTGCATAATGATATAACTGGATACAGCAGCGACATTACTACTTGTTATCAAATAAACTACTGGACTAAGCTAGAGACGCCACGACCTCTAACAATGGAACCAACCACATGATCGCAAGAATCGGCAGGAGAAGTCTATACATCCATGGTACGAAATTTTGTAAAACAGACGGTATCCACCCCAAAGAAACAGTCCGCCACAATGAGTCTGGTCAGCGTCCCCCTACCTTCACTGTCTATCATAGTCGACTGGGTCGTTTTGCCATTGGAGGCCGGTCACGCGGCCTTCAGCAGCATCCCATATCGTACGTCGCGATCCAATATTCGGTTCGGGTAACCCTAGAATGGGAGTCCCGTTGCCATCGGAAGGGATTGGAGTTCGCATCGATGGCGAGCGAATTCTTTCCGATGGTGGTGGAGGCGGAGGTACGCGGTACTTGGATTGTCGAGCCGTTTCGAAGCGTCTAAAGTCTTCTGAGATCGGGTGCTGCGCACCACTCAACACACCGTTGCTCTGAAGGCCCCCGTTTGAGGGTCTGAGGGGTATCCGTTGGCCGCCAGCCGTTGCGCTCTGGACGCTATCAGCCCGTCGAGCCTGGCTCATAACAGCCGGAGGCTTGTTGATGGGTCGGCCGTGCTTCTCCCAAGGACCCTGATATGGCTCGCCTCCATGGTGGACGAACTCCCACGGCGGATATTGCGCCCAATTCGCTTTGACTCCTTGCAGCAGACGATTCTTTATCTCGATGAACTTCTGATGTTCCTTGTCTGTCGCGAAAAACTCGCGTCGGTCCCATTCGAGCAATGTGTTGCGTATAACTCCCAAAGCAGCATCCGATTTTATCATGTTCTCTTTGAGCTTGTCGCGCTTGTACTCTTTCACCCCTCTTTGGCGCCAGATCTCAATATCGAGGCTATATCGGTATCGAATAAGTTCTCGCAGCTCTCGAATCTGTTGAGCTGTGATCTTCTGCACATGCGCCGGCTCTGTTGGTTGCTGCGGCGCCTTGGATATCTGTTGCTGAGACGAAGTAGCTGAAAGAGCTTGCACCTCAATTATTGCAGGCATCGGCGGTGGAGCGACGGGAGTAGATGAGTTTGGCCGCTTGAAGAAGCTCTTCATTTTCGTCAAAGTGCGCGGCATGGTCGTTGCAATTCAAGTATCGCAATCTCGATGTGATAAAAAGAATTGTGACTGGAAAGGCCTCGATAATGCGTTATGTAGCGACCACTATGTTTGTCTATTATCCGCTTGCGTTGAACCAACAGGAGAGGTGCTCTGAAGAAAAGTATTTTGGGTGAACATGGACAAGGCTGAGGCTCAAGCAAACGTAACTAATGATGCACCAGGCTGCTTTCCCCGACTGAGGGCTGTGTCGGACCGGCTATTCATAACCTCAACCCCTGGCAGGCATTCTATAGAATGGGCTGAGGCCAGAGTTGGGCGAGCAGATGTTGCAGAAAGCTGCAGGCGCTGCGTGTCTTCACACCCGAGCTTGCATGAATGTGCAGCATCCCCGCGCCTGGCGCCGTGGCTTGATTGCTCTCTCTCACGGTCAAGTGCCGTGAAATTACGCGCGCGATCAGCCCTTTGTATGGCTTTGCTTTTTGGCCGAATCTCAGACGCCACTACAGGCCTACAGGAGAAGTGCTTAGCCAATCAGCATTGCGTACTGGCCATGCCACAATCACAGTGGGACGGTTGCTTTGCGTCGTGAGAATACAGCTTTATCTGCTCATCATTCGGTGCTGCAGTACAGGGTGTATGTTGTTTCTCGGACAACAATCGTCCAAGTTATCGCACTGGATAGCACTCGAACAAGCCCTCCAAGCCAGCAACAACTTCTCCCGTTGTAATGTCGTCGCCTTGAGACGTCCCAAAGCGCTTGATATCCGGTTTGATCAAGAGCGTCAGAGAATTAAGCTCCCTCTGAGGAGATGTCAAAAGATCGTCTACGAAGTCTGGCAGCACCGCGAGCAATCGATATCGTTGGGAGCAGCACTCTAACCAGATCTTCGCGCTAAGTCGAACGATACCACCTAATATCTTCTCGTCTCTCTCATCAAGGAATGCTACCTTTCCTAGAGCGCGGTGAAGATCGCTTAGAGCATTTGCTACCGCATCCTCGAAGCTATTCTTGAGCCTTTGGTCATCTGGTGACAACCCAGAGGTCCGCTCGATCGCTGCCAAAAACATCTGTGCCGTTTCATAACGTGCCTTTTCAAGATCGGCGGAGACTTCGGGCCATTGGAACGAGTCATCTGGTATTATCGCATCAGCATACAAGATTACGTGCGGCCCGAACAGAACTCACCTGTGCAATATATGTTGCGCCATGTCCCGTCTGCTTGTTGTCCTTCCGTACCCATGATTCTGAAGGGTGATCCAAAAACATGCTTGTGAAGAAGCATCCATATACAACTCTGGACAACCTGCTGTTTCAGCAATCTGATGTTGCTTGGATGTATCTGTCGCAGTTGGTTCTCGGAGAGTGGCCAATCGACTGAGTTGTTACTGTTCCATCCCAGCGTGGAGATGTCTTCAATCTCAGTCGCCAAACCTGTGAACTTCTTGGTAATATCACGATCTCTCAGTCCTTTAAAATGCTCCCGGGCAACCAAAGCTGACCTGAACTCCTCATTGACTGAGCGGAGCTGTTGGGTGTTTGCTTGGTGTTGTTTTTTCAGTCTCGCTTCTTGCGCTTCTAGTTGCTCTTGCAGCTTCTGCTTCTCCTTTTCCGCATCCAGTTCAGCCTTGGATAGTTTTGCTTTGAGATCCTTCACGGTCTTCCCCGTCTTGAGACCTGCGTCGTACAGGTCATCTTTCAACTTCTCGTTCTGTCTTTCTAACAAAGCTATGCGGTCGTTCATGCTCTTCACGTGATTGTTGTAGTTCGTACGATGAGACTCTTGCTGTTGACTCGCACGTCGTTTCTCTGCCGCCGCAACATCCTTTGCTTCACGCAAAAGCTTCTCATAGGACTCTTTGAGGCGCTTTCTATCACTATCCTTACTCTGAAGGCTTTGGTTCTCGGATACCAGCTTCTGAATCTTCTTTTCCAAAGACTTTCGGTCTTTTTGGAATATCTCATAGTTTCTGTTGATGTTCGCCCGGGCTTCTTTTAGCTCTTTTTCCAGTATCTTGAGCGTGCTTTCCAAAGATTGTGCTTCAGTCTGCTTTCTGTTCCACTCTGCCTGCTTCTTCTCAAATTCTTTTTCCAGCAATGATATTCTGCTTGTGGCTTTTTCGAGGTCTTCATTTTGCCTCTTCGAAGCGCTCCAAACTCTGCCCAGTTGAAGCGTGATATGATCGACAGCATTGTCCAACGATTCACCGTTACTTCCTCGCATGTCAGGATAATCGGCGAAAAAAGCTTCGAGGATCTTCCAGGTGTTTTTCACTTGCCACAGGACATCCTTGTCACCGGACGTCTTTGAATGACATAGTCAGCAACCCGGCCGCTTGTTATCAGTCGGTCTTTTTACTCACTATATCAGCATGGATGCTCTGCAGCGGAGTACCATTAGTGTTGGTGAAAGGAGCGCCTGCTTGAGCCGTTATCGACTCTAGTGATCGTGGCGTATCCTGATGCATGGCCTCCGGGGGTGCCTTCCGTTCCGGGGTGCGCAACTGCCGGCTATATGGCTGCTCGACTGAAGGTTCAGGAGATTGGGGAGGGTCATTTCGAGGCAGCGAAAATGTCACTGGAGTAGCTGTGTGCGGTACATACGGTGGCCCGTTTGCGGCATCTGGGTTTTTGGGAACAGTATAAGCTAGAGCAGGATCAAAATAAGCTCCAGTCTGCAACGTTCGACTTTGGCTAGAGGCGATTGGCACATGCTCAAGGGTGTCCGGGATCTGTTCAGGTTGCCGTGTTGTCGGTGAAATTGATACGTGTGTGTCGTTCTTTCCAAGAAGGAAGCTCCGAAACTTTTTTGTCTTGGACTGAGGCATGTCGGTGGTTTCTTTCTTCGGTGAAGGCATGGATGCTTGCTGCTGCACATCGCCTTTCTTGGTGATTCTGCGTCTATCCCCGGGTTTGGAGATATCCGGTTCTGCTGCCGTGTTATCTGTCTCTTGTCAGTCGGCGTCAAGGAAGTTGCGATCGTTACGCACTTCTCAAGGTTTCCAACATCAGAGAGGTGGATATAGCCTGGTATCAACATGTGCTCCATAGTCTGAGCCTTCCTCCAGGGAGAGATGTACGGCAAGCACGTTCACACAGATGCCAAGAGTTGCGACTGGACATGCTTTGCGTAGCACGACCTCGAACCTCATCCACACGATTCTATTTCCAGATGCATGTTTAGCGCTAAGCGGAGCTGAAATGCTGCCTGCTCATTTATTTGTTTTCGGCGCCACCGGCGGTACTGTCACAAGGCTGAACCCTCAGCCTTGCGCCGCATCCTCGTTGTGTCAACACCAAGCAACCTGACTGGTCATCAAAGTTAACACCTCGCTTACGTTTCCCAGTTTTGATCTCTGCATGCACAATCTCCAGATGCAAGGCTGCGCTGTTTCTTCCGCCTCTGCCTTATATGACACATCAAGACTATCGTATATAATATGCGAAGTGCTTATGCATGCATCTGTGGTCAGCCACATGGCGATAGTTGAGGTCTACCGAGCTAGGTGGCAGCCACCAGGCTGTCTGCGGTATGCAAGAGTCCCGCTTCGACGAGACGCCTGCTTAGATGTTTGCGCCTTCGGTAATCTTTTTCTCTTCTTTTTCGCTCAACTGTAAAGAATGTAAACGTTTTGGTTGCTCCTGATTTTGCAACAAACCTTTGACAGACCCTCAATGGATCAACACGAAAATGGCATAGGCACCCCAAGTGGAGATGAAGTCCCGCTGGACAATCCAAACACGCAGGATGTACAAGAGACGCGTCTGATTATCGGTCTGGATTATGGAACAACTTTTACTGGTATGAACTTAAAGCTTTAATCCAAATCTCATACTCACAAACGAGTGCAGGTGTCGCATATGCAACACCAAGCGGAGCACAAATTTCCCTCGGAAAGATCGACGTGATAACAGACTGGGGCCCGAAGATGGACAACCACGAGAAAGTCCCCAGCGTCATCTCCTATTCTCGGTCGAGCGAACGAAATGAGCAGCAGTGGGGAAGTAGCCTCAGCCCGGATGCTGTGGCTATGGTTCACACCAAGCTTGAACTTGGGATACAGAACGTACTCGGCGAACTGGATATGACATTACAAGTTCTGGATGGTATGAACAACCTTAACTTCGACACTACATTCATGGGAAAGGGAAGCCAAGACCTTCCGCCATACTCGCACAAGAGCCCAGAAGAGATCGTGTCCGACTATCTGACGAAAATTTTCCAATGGCTGGAGCAAGAGGTGGAGAAATTCGACACGGTACTGCGTAAATACACAGCTACCGATATAGTCGTCACTATACCTACAGAGTGGTCTTACATGGCCATGAACTCTACCTTTCGAGCGCTATCGAAAGCTGGCTTCAACAGAAGAAACTTCCCAATGCTGGAGGACGTCTTATTTATCACCGAGCCCGAAGCTGCGGCTCTCTATACAGCACGTCACTATAGAGATAGTAAGGGTGAAGACTTCTTACAAGAAAAACAGTACTTCATCCTTTGCGATGCTGGCGGAGGTACGGTTGATGTAGTATCATATAGGGTCCGAGCATTGCATCCGGTTCTACAGCTGGATCAGATTGGGGTACCTACCGGTCGAAAATGCGGATCGATATTCATCAACCAAAGATTTAAAGAATGGATCCGCTGGCTGCTCGGAGATGAAGCGTATCGGCAGCTTGACCCCAACCTGGACATAGAGAGAAACGCGACTCATGCATCTGAAACCCCAGCGATGAGAGCCTTGATGAAGAAGTTCGATGCACTGAAGAAGAACTTCAACAATGAATCCCGCGAGGTCCGCTTAAATCTTCCTCCACCTCTGCAGAACCTTGTCATACCGAATAAGGTAGATCAAGGGCTGATAACAATACCGAGGTTTGATCATACTGCTCAATTTTAGATCAAGCTTACAAAAGTAGGGTGGCAATGGAACATTTCTTCGACAAGTGTATCAACGAGATCGTTCAGCTGATCAAGAGGCACATCGCCAGAATTGAGAGGTATGGCAGTCGCCCAAAGGTGAGTGCAACCGTAGTCAAAGTCTGAACATAATTCTTAACACGACGCATAGAATCTTTTCTTGGTAGGCGGCTTTGGTGAGTCCGAGTATCTGCAATATCACCTTGAGGACACTCTGGTAGAGCAGGACTGGAACATGCAGTTCCGACGACCTGATGAATCGTGGACAGCAGTTGTCCGAGGCGCAGTCGTCTGTGGCGTCGAAAAAGCTAGCATCAAAAATTTGCGAAGGACCAACGCATGTCGCCATAGTTATGCCGTCTGTCTGGATGAGTTGTTCAGCAGAATGAACCACTCGGAGCAGGATGCCACTCAGCTCAATGGGCAGAACCTAGCCGCCTCACAGCTAATCTGGCTGCTCAACAAGGGTGACCTCATTCTCTCAGACCAGCCCTGCAAAGAGGAGAGGGAGTTTGACCTCAGACTGGCAAAACTAAGACAGGACGTCATTGAGCTTGAAATCTACCGCAGCACAAGCGAAGAGAAACAACGGCCGACCCGCTTCAGAAACGCCCGAGATGGTGAGTCGTGCTAGGATAAAAGAACTCTAGATCTGTCACTGACATCTACATAGAGCTCGAAGTAGCTTGCACTCTGAAGATTGACCTTTCGAAGTTGCGATTTGAGAGCAACCGCCCAGGCGTACTTCGCAAAATTGGTACAACTACAGTCTACCAGACGACTCTGAAGATCGTACTGGAGCTATTCTGGGATTCGCTAGAGGCATCTATCTGGTGGCAGGATAAAGAGTTGACCAGAAGCCCTGTAGCATACTAATGTAGTTACTAGGGTAGCTGTTAATGCTGACTATGAACTGTTGTCTTGTTTACGCGCCATTGTGAGCCACCTGACGTTGTGATCTCGGACGATTGCATAGGAGTTTTTTTCGGCGGCTGTGTGCATGTAGTCCGTCATACCAAAGGAAAGGGGCTCGGCTCCATCACGCCATTCACTGAAGGACTCTGGCAACCGTTCGGGCGACTTCACCAGATTCTCAGCCTGACGCCTCTTTCCCCACACCTGCATCAGGCAACGCATGCACTCAGCCTAGCGCAGGCGCGTACTAAAGCCAAGAGCTGAAGACATTAGTCGACAAGGCGAATACGATGCAGGCGTCAAATGCGCCTCGAATTACCCTTTCATGCAAGAACCAATACAGAGGACAGCCATAGCGCTGCGGTCCATCGAGGCAGAGCTGTAATACCACCGTGGTGGAGTCGCCATATTCTGTCCTCTTTTTGCAAAACCGCCCACCTTTACCAAGAGTCACTGCCACGGTCCCTCTCTTGTGGACAGTACTTCTTTCCCACGAGACACTACCATAATTGCGATCAGCCATACGCAATCATCCGCACCCTGAGGTCGCTCTCCCGAACTATTCAACATAACCCAAGCTGGACATCGGATTACAACTGGTACCCCTTCCGATCATTTTTCCCATATCCTACCACCATCCTCTTTATCGTTCCTCTACCTGACTTCGTTGCCTTGTTTCACCAGGTAGCTCACCCCTGCAATAGTCACTCCACGTAGCAATAGCAGCAAGTCATCATCGCTCTCTATCCTCCTCCAACATGGTTGTTTTCGCCCCTCATCCTCTGTGGCTGTTCATACTGCTCTCTTCCTTCGTCATGGCAGACATAGACTTGACCGCCCGCTACGCTCTCATAAACCCATTACTTGGCTCTTCGCGCTCCTTGGCATCAACGTCTCTCAATGACTCCCTCCTCGTAGCCCCCAGTACTTCCGACTCTAGTCAGTCATGGTACTTCACCTCGACCTCTTCCACGGACTACTACCGCCTACACACCGTAGCGAAAGGCGACCAAAACGCGCTCGACGTCGACAATTACTATGGCTCCAATTCTATCGATATGCACTTTTATTATGTCCAACCGCGCTCAGGCCAGTTTTGGAAAGTCAGTAAGCAGAGCGACGGGAGTGTGAAGATCAGCAATAATTATACCGGTTCGGACATCTTTCTGGACATCGACGAATCGAATCTCAAGCCAACACTGAGAGCAGGCGATGGGGAAGGCACAAGATGGACGCTGAGCAGTCCAGGGTCGACTCCCACGGCGACAGATGTGACCACATTGGCTTCGCCCTTGGCCACGACGATGAGTACAGCGGTGTCGATATCTAGGTCTAGTGCTGTTAGTACTGGACCGGGGAGTACATGTACTGTAGAGTGCTCAGCGACGAATACGCCTTCACCAAAGCCGGGAAAGTTGTCCACCGGTGCGATTGCTGGCATAGTGGTTGGGGGTGCCATCGTGTTGGGGGCGGTGGTTGGCTTGCTTTTGTACAGGCGCTGGAGGAACAGCAGAGCCGCTCAGCTGCCTGATAGGCCGGCGCGGATGACGAGTAACCCTATGTTAAATCTTAGATGAAGATATCGGGCGTGATAATGTAATTGTGGAAATACCCAAATCTCGCGCTGTGAGGGGTGCATTATCTCTTTGTTCGCTTCTTGTAGCAGTATAGACTTGACATGTGGGGTGTAATTATAGCACTAGGACTGAGGTAATCTAAATGTGATGAACACAGAAGGAGAACATGATGCCCCAAAGACTCACAGGAAGCTTCTTCGCGAGGAGTACTCCCTATATTCACGGCAGCTTCTGTTCCTCACTGCTGTGTTGATGCCAATGGCCAACTACACCATCAGAACTTGCGATACATTTGGCCAGTGTTCTGTCGAATTCATTTCTCCGGATAGTGAATGTGACATGTTCGTTTGTGAAAGTCTGCAAGTGTGGTGTTAAGACACCCTTCGTGGAGAAGAGGCAGGTCTAACCGAGCGCTAATAGCTACCTTGCAGATCTCAAAGCTCGACTTTCTGAACATTCACGTCATACCTCGAATAAACACAAAACCTTCAGGTATGGAGTTCCAGAAGGGTGAACGCGTTTTTCTAAACTTCGAGACGGGTGGTGTCGAGAAGACCAATCAGGAACCTGAACATGAGCCTCCAGTGTTGCCCGCATTCGATTTCGTGGGCGACATTCTCGAGCGCAACCCGTCTTCAGCCGCTCCACCAGTGGCGCCCTCCTTTAAAGCAAACACAACTGGCTTTCCAGCACATAAGAAACGTATACCACGAGTTTCGGCCTTCAAACAGCAACGCGCAGCGAAAGAACAACAGGCTACACCAGCACCGAAAGCGCAAGATGTCTTAAGTCTACACAGCGCGCCCCCACCGCGGGCAAGATTTGAGCTTGATGACGAGAGGAGGGCGATAGACGAAGAGAACAAGCGAAGACTGGACGCTATGTCTGAGGAGGAGATCGAAGAAGAGCGCAGGGAGCTTATGGCGCACCTCGATCCTACACTGATACAGAGATTGCTTGCGCGGTCCAATATCGGTGACGGGAACAACGAGCAGCAGCGCTCGCCAACGGAGGAGCCTGTAAAACCTGCAGAAACACGGCATGCTGACCCAGAATCCGCGATACAACGGCGACTTATGCAGTCGAACATAGACGATGGAAGCAATGAACAGCAACAATGGCCAGAAGACAAGGTCGATGCCTCTGAACCTACATTGTCAGTGCAGGAGACCGAGGGAGAGTCCGCCAAAAAAGATTCGAGCTCGAAGAAAGTGTCTTTCGCGGCGCCAGAGGAGCAAGAAGACGAAGAAGAAAAAGTCATAACATCACAACTACCAGAAGCGAGTACACCACAAAACACCTCGACAGCATCGTCACACACGCACAGTGAAGAAGCGACTGGCTCGTTACATTTCCCACCCACACCGCAACCGCCTGACCTCGACCCCAACGACCCCAACTTCCTCCAGAACATGCACGCTAAATACTTTCCCTCACTACCCTACAACCCCTCGACCGTCGCCTGGATGACACCGATCGACCTCGCTGATAAGTCATCACCATACCACCCCTCACAAACTGCTCTCAATGCCTCTGAGCTGCGCTTCGACTTCAAGGGCACGCTTCTAGCACCAAGCGTTGCGCGCGAAATACCCAGCGATAGAGGGCTACACCACCACGCCGATGCACCTGAAGCAGCAGGATATACAATACCCGAACTAGCAGTCACTGCGCGCAGTGCGGTGCCTGCGCAGAGATGTATGGCGTATCAAACACTTGGGCGGATATTATACAGGCTGGGACAGGGCGAGTTTGGGGTGGAGAAGCCGAAGCAGGAAACTGATGGGCCTGTGAAAGTGGCACGAAACCCTGATGAAGAGGACGATGAAGTGGAAGATGAGGATGTGGGGCACTACATGGCAGCTGGGCTGTGGCAGTGTATTGAGGATGGGAGGGTAATCGAGACGATGACCGAGGAGGCCAATAAAGAGAAGGGACACCTTACTGCAAGGACGTTTGCACAAGAGGCGCTGTGGAATTGGAGAAGAGGTGGAGGACGCAAGAGACATGCTGTGTGAAGCATTTACCTAATGACTGTCCTCATCGAGGCTGCATACAAATTAAAATGCACTTCACAGCTGCGGGTACAACGCTACAATTAATGAACCCTCCGAATTCGACTACACTAGGCCATGAACTCTCTTCGACAATCTGTCCTGTGGTCTATCAGCATCTCGAACGCCTGCATCAACTATTGGCATAGGCCAGTAAGGCCTTGAATGCGAGCAATGCGATGCCGGGCCCGCAACATCTGCAAGCCTTATGTCGCAGGTACGCGATCTAAGCAAACACAATCATCAAAGTAATTTGCGCGCTGCATGAGTAATTTAAGCAGTACAAGGACACATACCCAATGGGACAAAAACATAACATCCAATTTCTCGTTGAAGCAGAGATGCGGAGATGCGGACAGAGCGCGAAATGTATAAATACTACCACTAATGCCACCCCAGAACATACAGACCTCTCACCAACCACATCGAATATTCCTCTCAATTCACCCGTACATCATGAAGTTCACCACACTCGCCCTCTTTCTAGCCCCCCTCGCCCTGGCCCAAGAGCCCACCGCCGTCGGAGGCTCGGGTCTCGCGAAACGCGCAGCCATATCCGCGACAGTCCAAGTTGACGGCCTGAGATACCGCACATGCCCCAAGACATCCTGCTCCGCGCCAGGCCAATTCGCAAAGGGCAAGAAAATCACGCTGTCTTGCTATACGCGAGACAACACCGAGACCATCAATGGTGACAAGTAAGTGACTGTGACTGTGACTGTGACTGCGTTTGAGAAAGGTGATATAAGCGGCTTGCTGATTTCTGGATAGGGGTTGGGCAAAGGTCTCTAGTACTCCGGGTAAGGGTAACTGGGTTGCGCTGGCGTTTGGAGAGTATGTGTCCTGGACTGGTAAGTTCATGAGTTAGTGCGAATGCGCTGCTTCTGTAGCTAACATTTCTCAGGGCAAATTCCCTACTGCTAAAGGACCATGACAGACTTGTCATCTGGGAATCTGAAAACAAACATGCTGGGGCTTTCACGTCCGGTGATCTTGCTATTGGTCGTAGTATTGAATCAGATTTTCTGAGTATATCTCAAATCTCTATGTACCTCTGATATGCTCGTGACATGTCTTCACTTCTTAGCCTTCTTGTCCCGCCCTTTAGACCCAATGAACCTATCGAGATTCTGCTCGAGATAGCCATTGCCAGCCAGCATTTCTGCCCACAGTTTAATAACAGGACCACAATCAAATCGTCCCTGGGCCGCCTTCTGAGCCTCTTCGGCTTCGTTCTGCATCTCCGATACGATATTTGTAGCGAGATGGTCTAGATCCTTAAGCATTATTGTCCGCCGTTTGAGGAGGTCGCGCATTTCTTCGCCTGCGATGGTGGCCGCGAGCGTATCTGGTACCGGGTGAGCAGACAGTTGGTCTTCGATACCGAGCATTTGCGGGTGTGGTGGTGATGAGTCGTTGATAGTGAAGGATCTCCAGTCGGGTGAGATTTCGTCAAGACGTAACTCTGTACATTTGATGCAGTTGATCGCAAGGCAAGCCTGTTTGCGAAGAGACAGTAATGGGGACTGTATGATGGCGAAGCCGGTGTAATCGTCCCCACCTCCAGCAAGGATGGCGAGTATGGAGTCTGCCGCAGTTGACAGCCAGTCCTCCCCTCGGGAGGTATCAAATGTGCCTACACTCATTGGTCGGGCGTTGAGACCATCGAGCATCCAGATTTCGTGGCCTACCGGGACATATGCAATGAAGTGATGTGCATTGTCCTCGTAGCCCTCGGCGCTTTCATCGGTAGCTGCGGAATCTGTGGACTCGCGTCGAGCCTTTTTGTCGTTCAAAAGACGCTGGGCTTTTTTGGCTTTGTATGAGAGGTGCTTGTCTGCCTCTAGTATGTCCATCTTCTTTGCAAACGAGTTGTGGATCTTCTTGATGAAGTCAAAACAGGCGAGTGCCTCGCCTCGCTGATAAGGCGTGAAGTCCTTGGTAAAGTCTTTGAACTGCTGCAGGTGATCGCCAATCTCAATATCGGTGTTGTTCATGAGGATGTTAATCATAGCCAATGTCGCACAGCTATTCTGAGCAGGAAGCTGGTTAGCAAACCACACGTGGTTAGAACTCTCTGTCGGTTGATCAGAAGAGCCATGATCACGGTATCTGTAGAGTAAAATCAGGCCATAGGTAGGTCTTGGAATCGTTTCGAGAAACCATGGTTGCATGGCGACAACCTCTCGGACATTGATGCCTTGTACGCCCATATCTCGGAGGATTGCAGAGAAGTAGGCCGGCTCTGATTCGATTTCGCAAAAGCCCTGCCAGGTCTCTTTGTTGAAGCTGGCCACGGGTTGAACAGGCTCATTGGGATCTTGAGGAAGAGGCTCGATGCTGCCATTTTGGGTTGAGGTTGGCGACTTGACTCTCTTAGGCCCGGGTTGTCCACAGGGCTCAGCGGAATCTCTCTTCCTTGTTTTTGCTGAAATGCCACAGGACCGCTCAGCTGTTAGCGCATGACCAACGGCATCATTGTTGATGTGCTGGTCGTCAGGTCCTGCTTCGACACTGGCAGATCCGTTGGTGGCTGGTAGCGATGATGCTTCATCCGGGCTGACAGTAATACCCAGTTTTCGGTTTGGCGACGAATCCATTTTCGACGCAGACGCAGGGGCTGGGTCAACTGCCATCGTACCTGAATGCGAGAATCTCAGAGTTTAGGACAAAGTTGCATCTGTACAAAAAGAGCAGAGGAAGAAGGATGGCTCAGGACTGCGGGGTGTTCGTTTGAAGGATGTGCAGCAGACAGGAAACGACCATTGTGACTGACTTGGGTCAAGGCAACTGCTTGCAGTTATTTTGGGGGGGCTGTGACAACAGCGGTGTGTGGCATAAAGAGCGAAGGTGAAAGCAGGTGAGCGGAGGTGACGTCGGGTCTGATTGGCCGAAGCTCCCTCCGTCGCGCCTTCCACGTACGCGACTGGGGGCCTACACCTCGTTGCTCGTTGACATCGACAACGCTATGGACCAAACAATGCGCTACCCCTTTCTACGCGGCGCACAGCTTTCTCCCCGCAGCACGTGTCTTTGATCAAGTTGGCAAAATCGCGACAGTGCCGTCATTTTGAAGTAAAGCTTGAGAGCGCCGCTATCACCAAGCTTGGCATGACGCTGCAGCCGTAGATGCACGCATTCTCCATTGTTACGCTTGGTATCTTCGTAGCAGGATACTCGACTGCGCGCTGGGACCTTACCACTCGCCTCTACGAGCTAGCCATCTTCGCTTGGGATCACGGTGTTGTCACCAGAGCAGCGAAGGGCTTTGCGATCCTGTCGTTATTCTTCTTCCTGCTTGTATTGCCGTTTGCGCGCCTTGCAACCGAGGAGACAGATCTAGTCGGTACAGCCTACATGGATTACATACACACCAGGACTGACTGTCAAAGCATCCACGGGTCGGCACCGGTGGCATATCCGCGCGCGAGCAGCTCAAACGTCGAGGATCGTTCTAGTGGGGTAGCAGCATGGTGATATGGGCACACACAATGGGCTGATGCGCATATTCTGGCCATCAGACGCACCAAATGGACCTCTCTCGGGCGTTCTGGTTGGGTTCAGGAACTCGGAACTAGACGTCTTTGTAGTGTCTATTCTCCAAGAAGTCGAGGTACGTACGGACGGGACTATGATGGTAGCACGCATGGCTTACGTTTGTATAGCCTCGTCAGGTCGACAATGCGCTGGCGGTAGGCACTCTATTGCGATACAGCCCCCACGACATTAAAGAGCTATTCACACGATGTGGGCACTCTTCTCTCCGGGTTCTGGGCGAGGTCAACCCCAAGTCACCACCTGATGACTTCAACGAGAACTTCCTCACTGCCTATACCGATCCGTCGAGCCGCCTGCCACGATGGTGCTGCCTAGCCGATGTCCTCTCGACTATCCAGGTCGTTGTCTACGATCGACCAGATCCAATGCGTATGCAGTATCTCTCGTTGATGCCAATCGCACTCGCTCTGGGTGATAAGAGGATCAATGAGAGATGGGACACAGCTTTTGAGAAGCATGAAGCAGAGGAAGAACGACGGAAAAGGAAGAAGGCAATGCTTGTTGAAAAGCTGAAGCTGCACAAAGTAGTGGCACACCCACCTACACAGAAGGAGTCCGCGCTACCTATTCTCATTGAGCAGGTCAATTGCTCTTTCGAGCTAGATTCGCTGCTGCAACAGAACATTGGCATGATTGGCAGGCGCATGAAACGAGCTTTGAGTGTCAGCGAGCGAGTTGTGGAGTCAGCGAACAATCTGTGGGATTATATCTACGCAAGCTTGTGGTACTTCCTGACCGTCTGGGTTTGGCCTATAGCCGCACAGCTCTTCGTATTTGGGTTGATGGCTCACCGCATAGCGGCCGAGTACATTCTACGCTTCCTGGATTGGCGACTGTCGCCTGATGCACCTGCATTGAAGGACATCTCTGCAACAGCCCAGCAAATTGACATACGGCTGCAGCAGTTCTGCTATTGGCCTATTCAATACCTCACGTTGCGCAAGAGGAAGGCTAGCTGGGGCAGCATTACGAACAGTCACCCAGAATACATACGTTTCTACAACAGCCTCTGGCTTGTCGCCAACGATGTCATCATGGGCATTGCTCTGGGGTCTTACATCATCGAGAACTCTTCTTTCGTCGCTGCGCAGATCGACACTATCTTTAGTGCTTGGTCCATCGAAGGTCTACGGCGTATGATCTCCTGGCTTACAGGATGGCCGCCACCAGGAGGCCTGAAGCTCAACACTGAGCTTGCGGCATTTCTGGGTGACCTTTTCCTCTGGGTCATCGAGTACTGGGCTGGTATGTGTTTAGCTGTGTATGCGATACTCGACCAAGCTGACAGGCATAGGGATCATGTCCATATTACGACCTCATCTGCCAGCCCTCGTCCAGGTCATCGGATTCTCGGCGTTCGCTGGTGCCACGATGCCCATCTCTCTCTTCTCGGACATTGTGTCTTTGTTGACGCTGCACATCTATTCCTTCTACATTGCCTCCGCTCGCATCTTCCATTGGCAGCTGACCATCATCATTTCGCTCTTCCACCTCTTCCGTGGCAAGAAGCGCAACATACTTCGAAATCGAATCGACTCTTGCGACTACGATCTCGATCAGCTACTGCTGGGTACGATCTTGTTTACATTGCAATTTTTCTTGCTACCAACGGTATTCGTCTTCTACTTGACGTTCGCAAGTGCAAGAGTGGCCGTGATCGCGTTGAAGGCTGGACTTGAGATTGGACTAGCGTGTCTGAACCATTTTCCTCTCTTTGCGGTCATGCTTAGACTGAAAGACTCGCGGCGGTTGCCAGGTCAGTCGGCATATTTTACTCATATATTAGTGGTACTAATAGCCTCACAGGTGGTATATGCTTCGAATTGCACGACCCAAAAGATAGCAAGTCACATGCTCAAGATGGTCTGGACTCGGCACCAACCGCTTACATTCATCTCAAGGTACGATAGTTTCTAAGGACTGTCACATTACGTACTTTGCTAACAACCACCGCAGTCTGTACCTCTACCCCTCGGCGCCATGTTCCAGTCTTACTTCGAGCTTGGTAATCGTATACGGAAACACTACTTCTCGCCAAGCGTCTTCCTCAGCCTCGCATCAGGCCAGTTCGTGCCTCCCATCCACCGGCGGAATCTGTACAGTCTGCAGTACAGCATGCTTCCTGCGAATCGAGCCAGCATTGGCGAGCTTTGGAGGCAGCTCACGGAGCGAAGTGAGAAACCATCGCAAAAGCCTAATGGGCATGCTCGAATGCCTTCGTTCGAAGGGGTGATCAACGGTCGACGTAGGAGGGCTGCTAAATGATACCAAAATCTAACACGATTCATACGCAACTTCTCACCTCTGCGCAACCTACACACCTCATGCAAAGTACACTGAAGGCTGACTTACCTTGGGTGCGTTCTTCAATCGCCTACAGGACATCATATACTGAAGAAGATCAGCCAAAGAAGCACAAGCAGATTGTATACGAACTGAGCGACGATGGTTGCACGTGATTCTTCACGCCTCCGTTACAAGGCTGCAACCTCAGCTGGTATGACCGTCGACACAGCTTATCGTAAGTCTACTCTAACATTTTTCTCACAAACCTTGTGCAGCTTCCCCGCTCAACTATGGAGCCACAATCGTATTATCCGTTATCCCGTGAAAAAGCTACCTGGGAAAACTGTGGGCTCGAGGTGTATAAGTACTGTGCTCGAGTTCACGCAATCGAGCGTTCAACATCGAGTTTCCTTCCCCCCTCTCACGAGCAAAATTTCCTAACCAAGCATCATGAGATCCACCGTTATTGCCCTCGCAGTCCTAGCTTCGGCCGTTGTGGCAGCTCCTGTGGGCTAAGATGCACCCGCAGGCGAAGCTGTGCCAACAGGCGAATATGTCCTCGAGGATGCAGTGGGTATCTCTGCTCCTAGACCTGTCAATGGGATGGTTCTGGTAGACGGTCTCCGTTACCGTACGTGTGCGAAGACGTCTTGCAACGCACCCGGGCAGTTTTCCCAAGGGCACGCCGGTCAAGCTCCTGTGCTCCAAGAGAGAAGACACTACCACCGTTCTCGGGAACAATTAAGTGATTCGCGATTATGTAGGCGAGTCGTCACTGACGTAGTCCAGAACTTGGATAGAGATTGCTGAAGGACGTGGAAAAGGAAACTGGGTTGCTGTGGCTAATCGACAGTACATTACTTGGAGCGGTAAGTTCAGTCCCTTCAGTCGCGGTAATCAGCAGGTTGCTAGCGTGAACCGAGGATGGCTCTGGCACTGCTGAAAAAGGGTGTCACCAAGTTGGTTCATAAAGTCACTGTTCGAGAGAGGGATCCAACATCCTGTATCGACCTTCCGTAGCTACAGCTTTGCAAAGCACTCTGCTTCTTCGATATCGTGTGGACTCAAGAGACAATGTCCAGCGTTCTTGTGAACCAGTGCGAAAGACTTCTTGTCATTCTACGCAACTTCTCAGCCTTTTCACGCAGCGAAAAGGCCATGCATAGCATTTCATTCTCAAGCTTCCCAATCTAACTGGACCACTTGAAACAGAATAAAGTTGGTCTTCACAACACATCATTTAATCCAAGAAGTCTAACAGCTCACCCGGAGATACATCCAGCGGTCCGAATCAGACTGCCCTGCTTAGCTCCACAACTGTGCCTCAACGCTTACCAATTCTTGCAACCTCATTTCGGAGCCACCGACACTCCTCGCACCAGCCACACCACGTGCCTCCAAAAGCACCGTGACGATTCTCACTACGCAGCCGATCCGATCCGTACACACTATCCATCCTAGGTTGCACAAAAGAAATTGCATAAAGCAAACACCTTCATCACCTCGGGAACAATAGTAGTGCTAACAAGAAGGATTTTGTCAAGAAGGAAAGTTGTGGTAGTCGGTGTGTATGATGTTTGGATGTGGGTGTTTAACATATGTCATAGATGCTGCTGATCGCACACTGCCACCTCCACGTTGCACTGATCGCTATTACAGCCACGTGGATTGTGTTGCACGGTCCGGTCAGGTTCGGCTTGTTCAGAGCTCAAACCGGGCTTCAGTTTGCGGGGCAGTATTGCTTGAAGGGAGGTGCTCGTGTGCTCCAACTGTTACTATAGTCATGGCCAAGTGTTTCAGGATCGGCAACCTTGAATGCATTGACAACCTGAAGCCAGCGTGCGTCTGGGTTGCTAGTGAGCTGAACTATGAGGCGAGTGGTTGAGATGCAGTAAGCACTTCATTGACGCTACAACGCTACAGGACAGAGACTTTTGAGGTGCTGGGTGGAAGAGGAAGGAAAGTGTAGGAGGAAAGAGACACTAAATTGAAATAGATGGCTTGGGGTAGAGGAGCTTGGGGGATGATAAAGGTGCAGGCAGGGCACGTGAGAGAATGGCATGGACAAAACTACTGTCCGAGATGTAATGGAAATAAGAAAAGGCTCGAATCGTGATGCCGCTAAGATACTGTATCGCCCATTTGATAGTCCATAATCTAACACCCATGACGCCAGATGTGGTTCGAAAAGCTCGGAGATATATAACAGAGAAAAGGCCCTAGCCAACGTTGGGTATTCCGTTGTTCAAAGGGAACAGACAACGCCCATTACAAGGGCTCAAACGCAGGATTGTTTTCTTGCTCTCGTCGTCAAGCGTAGTCGCGCACCGCAAAGGCGAGACATAAGAGACGGTAATGAGGATTAGCGAGGTGGTATCGGGGTATTGGGTTATTCATCAAAGGAAACCCCAATTCAGTCGTGAAAGGAGATGCGTGCTGGCGGCATGAAGTTGATGGGGGGAGGTTGCCAGGTGCCATCATCATTGCGCTCATACATTGGTGACCTAAGCGTGCATTAGTATGGACCCTTCTTTACGCCGTCGTCATCACGACATACCTTCAATATCCTCCTCGAGTAGTCTTCGTTATCCGCAATGCTGCCATTGCTCTGCCTTCGGTCCATGAAGCTGGGGTCAATGCGCGAGTCGTTCATGGAAGAGGCGCTTGTCTTGCCTCCGTTGATGAAGTCGTTCACGCCGACTGCGTTGCGGCGGTAGTCCTCCTCAGCCTGACGCTGGCGTCTGCGTCGCAGGAAGAACCATACACCACCGATGATGGCAGCAAGACCGACAACACCGACTACCACTCCTGCGGCGATGCCGGCCGTATTAGGCTTGCTGTCCGAATGGCTGGAAGCAGTCTTTGTCGGTGTGGCGGAGGCGGAGGCGGCAGCGGTCGAGCTAGGTGCCGCAGTCGACGACTTCTTTGCTGATGATGATGATGAGGAGTCGACAGGGATTTCGTAGTGATCGACCTTGTTGCGTGTGTTTCCAGTAAGCATGACCCAGAGCTTGTTATCCCCACCGCCTGTCAAGAGTGAGCAAAAATTCATCGTAAGCAGGTCCAAAGATCAACATACACAATTCGTCCTTTGTTCCTGCGCACGTTGTACTGCATGTGTCGTTGCTGACCTGCCATTCTGTTGCAGGGATTTTGTCTCCACACCAGCAGTCGACACCGTTTGCCAGACCAAGAACATTTTTTCCCTCCTCAATGCAGACCAGCTGGCAGTTACCAGGGCTCTGGTATTCGTAGAAGCCATAGTTGGACAGCGGTGTTCCGGTCTCGAAGCAGCCGATCGTCTGCATAGCACTGGCAGGCAAGGTGGTCGTCGGCGACGCAATGGCCGAAGGTGTTGTTACGGTACCCCAGAAGGCATCAGAGGTCTCCTGAGCAGAGGCCATCATCATCATCGCTGCCGCTGCGAGAGCGGATGTGAAGTTGAAAGAGACCATTGTGTGGGAGGTGTTGGGCGAGGTGTCGGTGATGTAAGGAAGAGTTTGCCGTACGTTGCACTATACGAGAGACTCGTATAGTCTGCAGTATGCGTCAGCGATGTGCCGTGAAGTACGCAGACAGTGAGGTCGGACCTTCAGCTAGGCACAGGTGGTGATGGCCTTTCGATGGGCTTCACTCGACGGGACCGTCCGGATGCTGGTGGTGAATGGGCGAGCAGGTGGCTCGGTGCGGGTAAACGACTGAGGTGCTGGGTGCGGGTATGGGGTAGAGTGGGTTGTTTGTGTCTTCGATCCAATGTCGTGGAGTCGCAAGGAAGACAGACCCAGTTGACAGCTGCGATGTAGTGGACTCGCTCAACGATGCCCTCGACTGCCAAATTCGAAACGCAGCGCGTTAGGTTTGCGGATGATGAGGCCCGAAATGAAGTTTCGGATTTACCCCTTGATTTCGACGGGCTGCAAAAGGAAGGAACGTGGCCGCTCGCTGTGAGTTAGTTAGAAGAGCAGCGTCGATGGACAAACAACAAAGTAGAAACGAGTGTGATGTCGAGCAGCGAACGACAAGGACTGACTTGGGTGGGTGTGAGGAGCGAGGAGGCTTGGGCGCGCGGTGCTGTGGGCCGCCGTGAAGGGGGATCGAGGAGAGCATGCCCAGACGGGCCTAGCGCAAATGATAGTGCACCCTGCCGGACAGTCGCGTTGGCTTTGTTGGGCCACCCACCGGAGCGTATTGGTTGCTCTGTGCCTGGCTAGCTAATAATACAGCCCAGCGTAAGTGTCTCTTTCACCAACTCCGTCTCCACGTCTTCTCGTTGTGCACACAAAGGGCACTCTCTTTGACTGAGGGCTCGGCCGCCTCGGTGTTGTGCTCATGAGAGGGCGACGCAAGCGGTCCACAATGCCACGGTTCCTGGCTCAATCAGGTCCAACACGCCCATGATTGGTCGGTCCCTTGCAGGCGTGACAGGCCAGTCGTTCCGCCGTGTCCACAACTGCTGCCAATTCGTTTCACGCTGCAAGCCACACCCACTTCCAAGCCGGGCATGTTGAACGCTCGGCCAACCACGCGGCCCTCTGCAGAGCGCGAGCGCTTGCTTTTGGTGGCCGCTGTAGCTGACGTTGCCTGCGCCCAGATGTATTTTTCGTCCATCATTGCTCTTTCGTGGGATAGTTCGCGGTCGAGAATGTTCTCCATGATGGAGACGACTGCTGCATTTGATCAGGAAGGAACGACTGTGGGGATCAATCGGGCCCCTGCGATGAACGCGACGACTTTCAGAGAGCCGAGAAATCGATAAATTGAGCAGGTGAACCCCATCGACCGGTGAGCTGTGGGCCGCTGCCAGAAACACTCGGCCTGTGAAGATGGCTTCGTCCGAACTGCTCCTGAAGACAAATGGAACGCCTCCGGCCGCTGTTCATCAGCCCTGCTGCGATCGTGTATCACTGTGACCGTTGACGCCTATCTACCGCCTGTGCAGCATGCATTATGCATTGAGTTCACTCGCTTCTAGAACTGTGACAGGTGTTACTGACATGCTTGAAATCGACGCGTGTAACTCGACGAAACGTTGCTTCTCTTGAACTCACAAGAGCTTACACAGCAACGAAAGGCGTTCACGTGAGCTCTTTGCAGTGTCCGGTCGTGTTTACAGAAGTCTTTGGTATCAATCAAATCGATATCGTTTTCGTGGAGTTCATCCTGAGATGCTCGATGGCGAACTCGAGAGCTGACGAATCACAAGCCTTGTGCACGTGACGGGTTTGGAAGCGCGTTCCCTAATTGAGAGCTCCAACGCGACAGATGCTCTGCAGCTGGGATGGCAACCCTCTCATGACCAGCATTGCGCTTGATGCGACGTCCGCCAATTGCCTGCCAGCGAGCAGTGCAATCGCTCCAATCTCCCGCCCCGCAACACATCTGGGTTCCTGACGAGGTCCTGTCGTTGGCGGTTCATCGATTTTTCCACAGCACCTGTCCGCAGCAAAAGCGCCATGGCAGCAATGTTCCGGGGCCATTGGAGGCTAGGAGGAGGGCAGCGAAGCGTCGCATGACAGCTTCAGCTGGATTCTATCCGCAGGAAAGCTTTCCTACCTCTTTCAGCCTCGGTGCGCTGTTCGGCTACCGTTCGAAGCCGCAGAACTCATGGAGATATGAACCGCCGTCACTACCAAAGGATGTGCTACCATTGGACAATCGTATGTTGCGCAGACGCCGGTGTTGATAGGAGGCATGTCTGCTAACACATCACAGCTCTAGCCACATGGAACAGCGCCCGTCCTGTTGACTTTCAACCTCAAAGCCAGGCCAGTGAACCGAGTCCAGTCGACCGCGATATACTACACCCCTTCGCGCAACAGCCTGCGTCGCTCACCGAGACATGGAATCAGCACTTTGACCTCGAGGCTGTTAGTCAGAACCCCCCGAAGCCGCAAGCAATCGGGCACATCCTGACCAACGATAACGAATTCGAGAAATGTTTGGAGGGCTTCGAAGCTAGCATCTGCGTTGCAGGAGACAGTCGCACTGAGCTGCTGTTGAAGGAATCCTTCCGGCAGTACCTGCCATCTGCCCCCTTCGTCTGGAAATACTACACTGCGGCACTCCGACATACGCTTCAGTTGGGATGTAATCCTACACCCGTACTCCAATGTTTGCTTGAGGAAGATGGGCGGTTACTTCGGTCCGTGAATCCGCTTCAGATAGTGAATGACTGTGCGGGTTTCATCGCTTGTCTGGACCGGATCTCGAACACCAAACGTGCCCGTAAAACGTCCCTAGTACGTCGAATCTTTGGAGTAATGGCGCAATCAGCAGCAGAAGCAAGACGTTCAACAACAGAGGCGCATGATCTCATTCTGCTGCGTCTCATCAAACACACTGGGCACTCAGCATCGTACAGAGGGTCAGAACGGTTGGTCCCGACCATAAGGTTGTTGCGCGCACTTGCGGCCAATCTGAGAGAGAGTGCAGAGAACAGACTATTGTTGTCACATCTCGCCCAACCAGTACGTGTTAAAGGAGTCATTATCTCTACAATTCGTAGCGTTGCTATGGCGCCTGATGGCTTCGCAAGTGCAGAGCGTGCGTTGTTCTACATGCCACGCAAGCAATTGCTTACCCTGATTCCTGCCATCACTTTACGCTTTGCAAATTCTCCCAGAAGCAAGCGTGATTCTGCAGATCCAATGCGATCACAATGTATGGACTTGTGGCTACAGCTACTCGACCAGGTTGATGCCAAGGCCAACGTCGACAAAGCCTTGCTCAAAGCTGCTATGGTTCCACTTGCAGAAGCTCTACATTTCTACGACGCGCCAGCTATGGTTCCCCCGGAATATTTCGTCAGAGCGATGATTCTACATCAACAACTTGATGCTGAAGCACCGTCCACTACCAGCGAACCGCGCCGTTTTCAAGCGCTTTTTGCGGAAGTTTTGCTTCAAATACAAGAACAGCCAAGGGCATATACTGCATTGCTGGACATGGCCTTACCGATTATTGCTCGGCATGCGGGATTGAGCCTACTGCTGCGTTGCATACGGACAATGGAAGAACAAAAGCTTCCACTGTCCACCCGGATGGATTTTGAGTCACTTATCGCCAAGAAGCTTGCCATGCTCCATACTTCGACAGACGATTTATCGGAGAGCCAGCTGCAAAGTAGAGCGTTTACTTTACAAGCTTGCGAGAAGCTGACCAAGGTTTTGAGCCGGATGGGCCACGCACTGCCAGCAAGGATGGAAGAAGTCGCCACACTCTCAGGTATCCGTCAATTTGATAACCTGTTGGTTCACGCAAAGGCCAAAAATGCCCTTCCAATCGCCTACCGTGATGTCACCAGCGACTTGTCCTTGATGGAGCGTGTGGCCATGGTACACCAACTCGCCCACCATTACTCCCAGGATACAACTCGCACTCATCGTGAAGTATGGCGATCCATCTACTACCTCTACCACTACCTTCGCTCCAACTCACTTCCTATTGGTCCTCTATTCACCAAGGCGGTCGTGCATTCTTCGATTACCCGGCCTTTGATGGAAAATCGCTTCGTCAGCGCCAGACGCTTAATTTGGGTGTGCCACCTCGTGGCAAGAGTGGAAGGTGACGAAGTGGCTGCGCGACTAGAAAACCGTTTCTTCACATGGCGAGGAGATCTCATCGGTCATGCTAAGCGGGTTTTTGTTGGTGTTGGCGGAGGCAAGCAGAACAAGGCACATGTTGGGACGATGAAGAGGCTGGGATTGTTATGAGTATCTGTAAGAACATGGTTGTAAAGTTAAGTGAAGCCGATGACGATTTAGAGCAGGCGATATACCCTTCATAGACATAAACGAATGAACAAGTCAAAACAGCTGCGCGCAGTTGGTCTTGTATGGCTTACTGATGAACAGTGGTAAACCGCCTAACTGTAAATGGTTAGACCTCTATATCGAAACCCCACCTTCAGCCCAGCCTTCATTGGATGACCCATCCTATTCCAGCCACTCTGTGATCGAATGGGCTCAGGTGACAGTGATTCTTCTTGCTCTTTGGACTGTGCAACAAGCTTCCACTGCAGAACCAGACCTGCAAAAAACATCCGGCCTTCCGCAACAGCGACGTCATCGGTCAGCAACCTGCTTTCCAAACCTGGCAACCCGTTAGAACTGAAGAAGGGGTACCAAAGGTCAACACAGTTGTCCGCAAAGACTGTGAAGCCTAGACAGTACATTGAGTGGTTGCAAGGCGTTGAAGATCATCAAAGGTGGTGACGAACGAGGAAAGAAATGGAGCGTAGCACTTCCCCGTTAACACCGTCCATCGAGCAGCTGCGACATGTTGCACTCAACTTCCCCATAATCGACAATCATGCCCACAATCTCATTCTGCCAACACACGCGGATACCATTCCGTTCGAAACCATCACTTCAGAAGCGCAGGGTCGAGCTTTACGGGACACATTCAAGTCGCTCGCCCACCTGAGAGCAGCGAAACAGCTACGTGAGCTATACCAGCTTAACGATGATGCAAATTGGGAAGACATCCTTGAGCAAAGAGAAGAATGGCTCCGTTCTGACCCTGAGCGCTTCCATCAGCGCTGCTTCGAAGGCATTACTGCTTTGCTGATCGACGATGGTCTTGCTGGTCCAGGGAAGGTGCATCCATATGACTGGCATGACCGGTACACAGATGCGCCGAGCAAGCGCATCGTGCGCATCGAGACTGTTGCTGAGCGCCTGATGGAGGCCATTGTCAAGGATGCAGGCGAAGATGATCTGGGAAGGACACATTTCTACACCGAAACTTGGACCACCTTCATGGATGACTTCGAGGGCAAAATTCAGGAAGCCATCGACGATCCGGAGGTTGTAGGGTTCAAGTCTGTCATTTGCTACAGGACTGGACTGGACGTTGAAGAAGATTATGAGCGTGCTGCAAAAGCCGTCGGTTACCCATTCGAGCGATATGTCAAGAGCTGCGTTCGTAAGCGCAGCTTCAGGATCGAGCGGAAGGCCCTCAATGACTATCTGGTTTTGAGAACTCTCGAGATACTGTCAGACGGTCTGGCGCGATCTGATAGCTTCTCAAAACCTCTACAATTGCACACTGGACTCGGCGACAACGATATTGATCTGAGCCTCTCGAACCCAGCGTTCCTCCAGCCACTCATTGAGAATTATCCGAACGTACCGTTTGTCATCCTGCACACAGCTTATCCCTATACGCGCGAAGCTGGCTACCTTGCAACAGTATACAAGCATGTCTATCTCGACATAGGGGAAGTTTTCCCAATGGTCAGTCGAGATGGGCAGAGAGCGATTTTGCGTCAAGCATTGGAGTTAGTACCAGGTAGCAAGCTGCTCTACTCTAGTGATGGACATTGGTTTCCCGAGACTTTCTGGTTGGCAAACAAGCAATTTCGAGAGGTGTGGCTTGAGGTACGCTTATGGAGTAATACGTTGACCAGATTGCACTAACCTGTGAACATAGCTGCTTGTCGAGTATGTTGAGAAGACCGACATGACTACCCACCAAGCAATTGGCATGACCAAAGATATTCTTTTCAACAACTCGAACACGCTGTACAACCTACGTTATGAGGCTTTGTTCCACGAAATACCGCGAGAGGCTCCCAAGCAACTTACGTTCAACCCAAAGAGCGCACAAGAGCCACAGCCACAGCCACAGCCACAATCACAGCCTCCACCGGTTCCCATTCCAATTCCTTCACCACCACGGAGAATTTCAGCACCACGTTCAGACTCACAAGTATCACCTGGTCAAAGATCTGCTAGTCTATTCGAACCACCTCTGTTTCCATCGCTATCAAGGACTTCACAATTGTATAATGTCGCTCACTTCGATGACTTCATGAAGCAGAACCCAGATATCAAGTTTATCTACATCCAATGGCTTGACTACATGGCGACGATAAGAGTCCGTATCCTGCCTGTCAAAGAGTTCGCCCGTATCATCTACGGGGGGCACCGCATCGGTATATCGCAAGGCAACACAGGCACATTGCAAAATGACACTTTAACACCTGTCGTCAACACAAAAGGACAGATCTATGTTGAGCCTGATCTGCGCTCTTTACGTCGAGCGCACGATAAAGACCCTCTCAAGGCTGCAACGGTCTTGAGCTACTGGCGCTCCGAAGATGGCCACCCACTGCCCTCTTGCCCTCGCAACAATCTCGAGTCCCTCATTAGTGAACTCCAATACAAGCACAAAACTACTCTCCAAGTTGGGTTCGAGATCGAAGTCACCTTCCTCTCCCGTGACAAACCACTCAACCCCTTCAACTCTCAACAACCACAACAAACATACGAGGCAGTCACCAACGTCCACGCATGGTCCACTCTGACTCCCACACAATGGCTGCAGACACCTATGCTTGCCGAGATCGCCACATCTCTATCAGACATGGGTATCGACCTTCAGCAGTTCCACGCCGAATCTGGTCCAGGCCAGTACGAGTTCATCCTGCCACCTGCTCCACCGCTCCTCGCTATCGATACCCTCATTCAGACAAGACAAGTCATTGCTCAAATCGCGGCTCTGCATGGCCTGCGAGCGACACTTCATCCCAAGCCGTTTAACGAGAAGGGCGCAGGGAGCGCGGCGCATGCGCATATCTCGATGCAACCTCCTACTCGCGACAAGGACTTCTTTGTTGGCGGTGTGTTGAAACATCTACCCGCTCTTTGTACATTCACGATGCCTGACGCGCAGAGCTATGGCAGGGTCGTAGACGACCAGTGGACGGGCGGTACATGGGTCAGCTGGGGTACGCAGAACCGCGAGTGTCCACTCCGTCGTGTTGAAGACGGGCGTTGGGAGATACGATGTATCGATGGACTGGCAAACATGTACTTCGTCATAGCCGGCCTCGTTGCTGCAGGGATGTTGGGCTTATCTTCTGTCCCAGCGTCTACGCCAGCGCCTGGCCCGGCTTACGATCAGACCGTGGCTGGAGCGCCTGAACATGGTGGCGTGGGCCTGGCGGAAGGCGACGAACGACCACGGCAAGCAGCTCCTGAGATTGGATACAAGGAGCTGGACCTACCTGTCAATCCCTCAACACTCGACGAGGAGGGGCGCGCGAAGTTTGGAGTAACAAGGAAGATGCCGAAGTCTTTCGATGAGGCGTACTCTGCGCTCAAGACTGATGGGGAGTTGAAGGAGGCGTTGGGGTCGCAGCTGGTGAGGGATTATCTCACGATGAAGGATTATGAGCAGGAGATGTTGGATAAGATGAATGAGGTGGAGAGGAGGGAATGGCTGATTGAGCGGTATTAGTCTACGTACGCACAGTTTGGAGATTTGAGTCTTTGGTATATAGTAATGAAATCAACAAGCAATGATGAATGTATCGAGTTTCAGTATGCATCCTCTGCATTGTTGCTGAAACGTCTTCACTGTATGGAAGGTGCAACGTCAAATGCACACTTCACGTCGAGAAGATAGATTTGCACAGCAAAGCAACCGCATCAACTGAGTGGATCAATTCCACGTGCAACCATGTACCTCTGCATGCTGGAGCAATTGCACGTCACGCACCCCATGCCTGCCTTTCAAACCCACCAGTTCACCAATGACAATGCATATTATTCATGGTCTCCTTTCTTCAGTCATGCCACTCGTAGACGTCTAGACTTTACTCATGTGCAAACACATCCAGCACAAGTCCGTATTGACCATCTCCACATCGTATTACCCCGACTGTGCTTCAATGGCTGCATTTACTCGGTGTCTATTCTTGATCGGCAGTTGGTGTATCTCGTATATACGCTAAGTGAACCGTGAGTTGTTCATGAGTAGTGTGTTTCTTGCACAGCCCCCCATCTTACGCGCATCGCGACAGTCCCCGCTCAGGGGAACTCTGGGAGGCCTGACAACAAGAGCGAGGGGGAGATTCTACGATCCAAGCGTATTGCGGTTTAGATGATGATATTGCACATGAGTGACTATGCGTTAGCACAAGACGAACAAGTTTTGCAATGTTTTGATTCTCATTTCTGTGTATATTGAAAGAAAAGATTACACCCAGCTCGTATCCACAATCTCCACCTCCGAGCTCACAAACAAAGGGGAATATCACCGTCTCATCTTACTCTACCGCAAACCATGCAGAAAGTAAAGAAATTTTTTAGCACCGACACAGCTATGCCCTCTACAAGAGGATCATGGCCATGCCAGAGGCAACAGCCCCGAAGACGTACATGCCCAGACCCATACCGAGGCTGGGGACGGTAAGACCAGATGCAGCGCCAGTAGAGTTGGAGCTGGAGGAGCTGGAGCCTGAGGCCGTAGGAGCAGAGGTGACGGAACCAGTGCCAGCAGCACCGGCCTCCTTGAGGAGGTTGGAGCAGCCAGAGGCAGTGGGGGAGGCAGTGGCGGACTTGGTGGTGGCCTTGCCCTTGAAGCCGCAGCCGCCAGAGACAACCTTAGCGTAGGCGTTGAGAGCGAAAGACAGCTGCTCCTTGGCAGAGCACATGCCGTAGGCACCGTAGGCGCCGGCGGTGACGTTGCGATTGATGCCGGCGCAGTACTCGCCGTCCTTGAGACCGCAGACGTAGCCGAACATGTCACTGTAGTCATCCTCGGTAGCCTTGTCGGCGACAGTGCAGCTGAGGGTGTCCATCATGCAGGAGCAGAGCTGAGCGTTGGCGGTAGGAGGGAGAGGGTCAGACTCGGCCTCCCACTTTCCAGCCTTGACCGTAGGGCAAGAGGCAGCGGCGGTGTTGCTAGGCTTGTAGTCGGCCATCTTGACGCCGCTGGGAGTAGCCTTAGCGATCTCCTTGGAGAGGTTGTCGAAGTCCTTGTTGGTGGTGACCTTGCCGTCCTTGATGGTAGCGAGACCGAACTCGTTGGCCTCCTCGAAGTACATGTAGACAATACCACCGGACCAGACACCAGTCATCTCATCGCCGTAAAGAGTACCGACCTCGGTGAAGACACGAGGACGAGGGGTGTTGCAACCGTACTCGGCGAAGAAAACGGGGACGTTGTATTTCTCGAACTCCTCGGTGCGGACATCGAAGCCGGACTCCTTGAACGAAGATTCACCGCACCACGAGTAGATGTTGTAGCCCCAGAAGTCGATAGCATCCTCGCTGTTTCCACAGTCGAAGTAGTTCGCGAGGTTCTCCCGGATATCAGCATCGTCATTGGTGGCATAACCGACACCGACGGCGCGGTAGTTCTTGCTCTTGATGTAAGCCTTGCTGTCACGGACAGCGGCCTTGACGAAAGCAGAAGCCAGAGTGTTGTTGGGCTGGTTAGAAACCTCGTTACCAGCGAAGAAACCGAGAGTGTTGTCGTATTTCATCAGCTCATCGATGACGCTGGTGTAGCGGGAGTAGAGAGTGGTGGTCCATTCAGCATCATTACGGTTGATGGAGTTGCCGGGCTCAGACAGATCGGCGACAACATAGATACCAGCGTCGGCAAACGCGTTCATGCAGTCCTTGTGATCCTTCTCGGGGTCGATCGCGTAGACACGGATGGTGTTGGTTTTGAGCTTCTTGAGGTACTCGATGTCGCGCTTGCAAGCCGTGCTGTCAGCAAGCGGGTCGGTGATGTTCAGATCATCAGAATCTGTGGATGTGGTATTCGAGTTGACTTCCTGCTGGTAAGCAACACCCTTCATGAAGAATTGGGTGCCATTGTTCTTGTAGAAGAACTTCGAGCCCTGCGTTACTGTTAGGACCCTGCATGACGCCTGCCGCTGTCGTGGAACAGCGTACCTTGATAACAATAGGATCGACGGCGGCGTGCACACCGGCAAGCAGCGCTGTCGCAGCAATGAGGCCCCGCATAGTGATAGTTATCCGACCAAAGAAAATATCCAAGGAATGTCACAGGTGTTGGCAGAACTTGGTGTTGAGACGCCGAGCACTTGAGGTCACGGCACGTCTAAATGGTGTTTGGAAGGCGCAGAATGGGGTGAAAGAGTGTGACGCAGCAGCAAACGGCGCTGGATGCAAGAAAAGATACAGAGATATGATGTAAAGAGTGACTGGTAAAACAGAAAATTCACAGTGGAAACAGCACTGAAGCAGCCTGAGTGAAGAAGTGAGAGGTTGACCAAGCTTCCCCAAGGCGGATCAGCAAGGTCGAAGATGACCCCTGAGGCTAGGCCAGTTTCATAATTTTGGATTCCTAGCCCGAGTCCCGCTGCGCTCCACCCCGATCGCCTGCCAAGTGTGTCTCGGAATTCTAGAAGCGCTATGGTGCTTCTCTGGCATGTTGCTGTGCACGCAGTTCACCCATCTTGACCTTGCGAGAAGCGCTGAAGTGAAAACAGACGCCAGCGAACGAAGTCAGCGCGCTTGAGACGCAGGTACAACGACGCGTATGCGCAATTTTCTGCAACCCCCACTGGCGGCCGTCATGCCCCACAATAGCACTTGCAGATCGATGACGCTGATTCCGACCGGAAGGCTGCATCCTCATGCGCTGTCAAGACTGATACAAAACGCAATGCCGTCGGGACGCCACGCTCGATATGCGTGTGATGTTTTTGACAGATGCGTGCTGTCGTCGGTCTTGTTTGGGTCGCACACGGCGGCCGACACACGACAAGGAGGGCCTGAAGGGGAAATCAGGCGCGAGTACACCGGTACCTGCATGCATGCAGCTGAAACGGGTGTGGCGAAGCAGCGAGGCGACCAATCGTACACTGTATTGGGAGAGTTGTTACTGAGCTACCAGCTCTTCTCGCCTTGCAACCGCGTATGGTCGTATGCACTGCACTATTGGACGACGATAGCTGTAGAGGAAGAGCACAGCCAGCTCGGTTGCATACTGTGTGTCCACATGGTGCTCGTGAGAGGCGAGTTTGAGGGTTGTGCTCCTAGGAGTGGCGGTTGAATGGGCTACCAGCTAATAAAGCTGGTGCGCGGCAAAAAGAACAGCTTAATAGTCGTCTTTCACCTGCTGCTTTATACAAATTCTTATTCTGAAGCTTTACGTGTCGCTGCTGCTAGCCTCGCGTCCAGTGTAAGCCAGAGGCGGACGAAAGCCAGGAAATTGCGCAGTCAACGCAATCATGATCTCAACTAGTGGTGCTTGTAACGAGATTAAGGTGTGCGTCCCAAAGTGTTCGCTTTGTAACGCACCCGTGGACCGCGAATTTGACATGTGGGAACAGGAGTGTCTAATATAGCCCTTAAGGCCCAGGCCCCTTGCCCGAACAGTACATACTGCCGTTGGCAATTTCGTCATCTTGCAAACCGTTTGAAGGACTTACTATCAATCGCCACGCAGCACTCAGGGGGGCAATCTTGCAATCTTCTGGGTGACAGTGGCTTCAACAAGGAGTACAGGCCTGACAAGTGTGCAAGTGCAGCGGAAGGGGGCGGGCGTGGAGCATCCGGTTTCCACTCGGCAGCAGGTTGGCAGCCTCAACAGTCGGCTGAATCGCTCAGGCTGTCAGCCCCCTTCCTGCTTCTGGCGTTGCGACACACCGTTGGCCGGGATCGAGCGGGAGCAGCGCCACGCCGCCATTGGCCATGAGCGATAAGAAGAAGTGCACTATCGCTATCGCGCCGTCGCAGCAGACAGGCTGGCAGCACCAATCCCAGCGCTGGTCTTCCTCGTTTCGGTTTGATCAACGAGCGGGCCCATTTGCCGTGTGCACTTGTGCACGGGTCCTGCAGTGTCGTGACGTGGACTGCGAGTGGTTGAGTGGGTGCATGGCAGACGTGCAGCCCGTGGAATGATGATGAGCAGACGTCTAGGGAGAGCTTTCACAGCGCAGCAAGAACAATGCAGCGCCCTTCGAGAATCAACTGAGCGTGCGGCCAGGGTGCAAGACAGTCTCAACTGCAGCCGTTAACTACATGGAGTTTTGCTCGGGCATGTCGATTATCGATGTGCACTGCGACCGATCGGGGATCCCAACACGATGGTTTTTTTAGAACCTGTTTTCCCCAGCATTCCCGCCACGCTTGCGTGCATTGCAATGGTGGATGGAAGAGCAGTGCTGGGCACAAAAGAGAAAGAAGAGCAGCATCACCACCATTGCTTGCGCAAGACCATATGTAGATAGATATATCCAGCCCTCGTGCACGCTGTGAAAGGCCTCATCATACCAAGTGGCAACGACATTTGCTGCAACTGCTAGGCGTGAAGAACTGCGAGGGTACCCATGCGTAGCCCATTCACGGCATTAGTCTAGCTTGGCGCGAGCCTCTCATTTTCAGGGGAAGCTCCTCAAAAGGTCTTTTACCGGCCCTCTCGCATTCATCACGCTCGCTCCTTTCCCTCTCCGACTCTTGCGGTGCTGCTCTTTTCCCTCCTAGTTCTTTCACACTGCCTCTCGTTCTGCGTTGAGGTTGTTTGATCGTCCGCGGAGGTCCTTCCCTGTTTTTTGAGGGGAGCCGCTACCACCCACCTAATTCGCCCAGCAGAAGAAAGCGCCGACTCGCCGCGCGTCTCCTTTGGCAACAACAACGGACTGCAGCTGCAGCAGCGCCTTCACCTTCGTTAGCATCATAACAACGCCCCCCCGGCCTCTTTCCCGAAAAACAGGTCGTTTAGCGCAGGCTGTGCACCTATCTTGATTTCGTTCCTAGGGCAATCATAGTCCTGTTTCACCCTCGCCCATCACCTGCGTCCTCCCTCGCTACGGCGACAACACTCGCTCTCCGCACCACGCTCGCGCACCGTCGCAGCAATTAGCCATCGACCTACGCTGCGGCTATCTTAATACGATCAATTCGACGTTGCCGCCTCTAATGCCCATTGTTTGAGGTACGCACATACCCTCGTCTCGCCTGCGACACACAGTGTTTCAGACGCAGCCCCGCGCCTGCGCAACGATAGTTTGTTGACAGCTCAACCGCAGTTTCTACATAGCAACTCTAATCTTCCCCCACGATGTCCGGACATCCGCAGGGAGGCCACTACGACGACGGCTACGGCCACAGTCAGGGCCAGGCCCAGCCCCAGGGCCAGGACTCGTACTATCACGACGACCAGCAATACGGCCAGTACCACGACGATGCCCGTGGGCAACAGGGTCACTACCAGCAGAACGGCAACGACGCCTACTATGACGAACAGTGCGTTTTGTCACCCCTTGCCCCCAATGGCAGCAATTGCTAACTCCGCTACAGAGCCTACTACGACGGCCAGCAGGGCGGCCACTATCAACAGAACGGCGGATACTATGATGACCACCAAGGTCAGCAACAGGGTTACCAAGACGAATACTACAACGACCAGTATTACGACCAAGGTGGCGCCCAGGATGGATATGCACAGAACGCCCAGGGCGGCCAGCCCAGACGTCGCCAGCACGACTCCGAGGAGGATTCTGAGACCTTCAGCGACTTCACAATGAGGTCTGACATGGCTCGCGCGACCGATATGGACTACTACGGTCGTGGTGATGAAAGGTACAACAGCTACGGTGGCGATGGCAACCGCGGATACCGCCCTCCTTCGTCACAGGTTTCGTATGGTGGCAACCGCTCATCTGGTGCATCGACGCCCATCTACGGCATGGACTACTCGAACGCTCTGCCTGCCGGTCAGCGTTCGCGTGAGCCCTACCCTGCCTGGACCACCGAGGCCCAGATTCCCTGCACAAAGGAGGAGATCGAGGACATTTTCCTTGACCTCACTGCCAAGTTCGGATTCCAGCGTGACAGCATGAGGAACATGTACGACCATTTCATGACTCTGCTCGACTCGCGTGCATCTCGCATGTCGCCCAACCAGGCTCTTCTGTCTCTGCACGCCGACTACATCGGTGGAGAGAACGCCAACTTCCGCCGGTGGTACTTTGCTGCTCACCTCGATCTCGACGACGCTGTCGGTTTCGCCAACATGAACCTTGGAAAGGCCAACCGTAGGACGCGTAAGGCCCGCAAGGCGGCGAAGAAGAAGGCTGGCGAGAACCCCGGCAACGAGGCTGAGACTCTCGAGGCATACGAGGGTGACAACAGTCTGGAGGCTGCGGAGTACCGCTGGAAGACAAGGATGAACCGCATGTCGCAGCACGACCGTGTTCGCCAGGTCGCTCTCTACCTGCTCTGCTGGGGTGAAGCCAACCAGGTCCGTTTCATGCCTGAGTTGCTCTGCTTCATCTTCAAGTGCGCGGACGACTACCTCAACTCCCCTGCTGGGCAAGCCCAAACCGAGCCCATCGAGGAGTTCACATACCTGAATGACATTGTCACACCTTTATACCAGTACTGCCGGGATCAGGGTTACGAGATTCAAGATGGCAAGTACGTCCGCCGCGAGCGCGACCATGCTGCTATCATTGGATACGACGACATCAACCAGCTTTTCTGGTACCCTGAAGGTCTTGAGCGCATTGTCTTCGAGGACAAGTCCCGCATCGTCGATCTCCCTCCCGCTGATCGCTATGCAAAGCTCAAGGACGTCGTATGGAAGAAGGTCTTCTTCAAGACATACTACGAGCGACGTTCTTGGTTCCACATGCTGGTCAACTTCAACCGCATCTGGGTTATCCACTTGTCAGCTTTCTGGTTCTACACTGTCTACAACTCGCAACCTGTCTACACCAAGAATTACCAGCAGCAGATTGATAACCGACCGAACAAGGCCGCCACCATGTCCGCTGTCGCACTCGGTGGAGCTATCGCCTCTTTGATCCAGATTCTGGCTACGTGCGTTGAGTGGGCTTACGTTCCTCGCAGATGGGCTGGTGCCCAGCACTTGACCAAGCGTCTTCTGTTCCTCATCCTGGTCTTCGCAGTGAACGTTGGTCCCAGTGTCTACATATTCGCTATCAGCCAAACAGGATTGATTGCCAATGTCTTGGGCGGTGTCCAACTGACCATTGCTTTCATTACCTACATCTTCTTCTCGGTCATGCCTCTCGGTGGTCTCTTTGGAAGCTACCTCACCCGCAACTCGCGCAAGTACGTTGCCAGTCAGACCTTCACGGCCAGCTACCCTCGTCTCAAGGGCAACGACATGTGGATGTCTTACGGTCTCTGGGTTCTCGTCTTTGCTGCGAAGCTCGCTGAGTCTTACTTCTTCTTGACTCTGTCGATCAAAGATCCCATCCGTATCTTGTCGCACATGAAGAAGCCTGACTGTCTGGGTGATGCTATCTTCAAAGACATTCTCTGCAAGTACCAGCCTAGGATCTTGCTTGGTCTGATGTACTTCATGGATCTGGTTCTCTTCTTCTTGGATTCCTATCTGTGGTACATCATCGCCAACATGTTGTTCTCCGTCTCCCGATCGTTCTACCTCGGTGTCTCCATCTGGACTCCATGGAGGAACATCTTCTCTCGTCTGCCGAAGCGTATCTACTCAAAGATCCTCGCCACCACGGACATGGAGATCAAGTACAAGCCCAAGGTTCTCATTTCCCAGATCTGGAACGCTGTTGTCATCTCCATGTATCGCGAGCATCTCCTTGCTATCGACCACGTCCAGAAGCTTTTGTACCACCAGGTCCCTTCTGAGCAGGAGGGCAAGCGCACTCTCCGTGCCCCTACCTTCTTCGTCTCTCAGGAAGACCACTCGTTCAAGACCGAATTCTTCCCTGCTCAGAGTGAGGCTGAGCGTCGTATTTCTTTCTTCGCTCAGTCTCTGTCTACGCCCATTCCTGAGCCTCTGCCCGTCGACAACATGCCCACTTTCACCGTTATGATTCCTCACTACGGAGAGAAGATCCTTCTTTCGCTCCGTGAGATCATTCGTGAAGATGAGCCATACTCCCGTGTCACCCTTCTAGAGTATCTCAAGCAGCTTCACCCTCACGAGTGGGATTGCTTCGTCAAGGACACCAAGATCCTCGCAGATGAGACTTCGCAGTTCAACGGAGATGATGAGAAGAACGAGAAGGATACCGCTAAGAGCAAGATTGACGATCTTCCCTTCTACTGCATTGGTTTCAAGTCCGCCGCTCCCGAGTACACTCTCCGAACCCGTATTTGGGCCTCGCTTCGTTCTCAGACTTTGTACCGCACTATCTCTGGTTTCATGAACTACAGCCGTGCGATCAAGCTCTTGTACCGTGTTGAGAACCCCGAGGTTGTGCAGATGTTTGGTGGTAACTCCGACAAGCTTGAGCGTGAGCTCGAGCGCATGGCCAGGCGCAAGTACAAGATCTGTGTTTCTATGCAGCGATACGCCAAGTTCACCAAGGAAGAGCGCGAGAACACCGAGTTCCTGCTCCGTGCCTACCCCGATCTCCAGATTGCCTACCTGGACGAGGAGCCGCCTGTTAATGAGGGTGACGAGCCCCGTATCTACTCCGCTTTGATCGACGGCCACTCCGAGATTATGGACAATGGCTTGCGCCGACCCAAGTTCCGCGTTCAGCTTTCCGGCAATCCCATTCTTGGTGACGGCAAGTCTGACAACCAGAATCACGCTATCATCTTCTACCGTGGTGAATACATCCAGCTTATCGATGCCAACCAGGACAATTACCTCGAGGAGTGCTTGAAGATCCGCAGCGTTCTCGCTGAATTCGAAGAGATGACCACCGACAACGTTTCTCCCTACACTCCCGGCATTCCCAACTCAAACTTCAACCCTGTTGCCATTCTCGGAGCTCGTGAATACATTTTCTCTGAGAACATCGGTATTCTTGGTGACATCGCTGCTGGAAAGGAACAGACATTCGGTACTATGTTCGCCCGTACCCTGGCTCAGATCGGTGGTAAGCTCCATTACGGTCATCCTGATTTCCTCAACGGTATCTTCATGACAACGCGTGGTGGTGTCTCCAAGGCTCAGAAGGGTCTCCATCTCAACGAAGATATCTACGCTGGTATGAACGCTCTCCTCCGTGGTGGTCGCATAAAGCACTGCGAGTACTACCAATGTGGTAAGGGTCGTGATTTGGGCTTCGGTTCCGTCCTCAACTTCACCACCAAGATCGGTACTGGTATGGGTGAGCAGATGTTGTCTCGCGAGTACTACTACATGGGTACCCAGCTGCCTCTCGACCGTTTCCTGTCCTTCTACTACGCCCATCCCGGTTTCCACATCAACAACATGTTCATTATGTTGTCGGTGCAGTGCTTCATGTTCGTCCTCCTGCACTTGGGAGCACTCAACCACGAGACCATCCTCTGCCAGTTCAACAAGGACCTTCCGATCACCGACCCGCAGTGGCCTAACGGCTGTGCCAACTTGGTTCCCGTCTTCGACTGGGTTGCCCGTTGTATCATGTCCATCTTCATCGTCTTCTTCATCGCTTTCGTACCTCTTGTCGTCCAAGAGCTTACTGAGCGTGGTTTCTGGCGCGCTGCTACCCGTCTGGCCAAGCACTTCTCTTCTGGATCACCTTTCTTCGAGGTTTTCGTCACCCAGATCTACGCCAACTCGCTCCAGACCAACTTGTCCTACGGTGGTGCTCGTTACATTGGTACTGGCCGTGGTTTCGCCACTGCTCGCATCCCCTTCGGTATCCTCTACTCTCGTTTTGCTGGACCTTCCATCTACCTGGGTGCTCGTGCCCTAATGATGCTTGTCTTCGCTACAATCACCGTTTGGGGTCCATGGCTCATATACTTCTGGGCGTCCCTGTTGTCTCTCTGCCTTGCGCCATTCCTCTTCAACCCCCACCAGTTCTCTTGGGACGACTTCTTCATTGACTACAGGGAATACCTCCGCTGGCTGTCTCGTGGAAACACCCGTTCTCACAGCGCCTCTTGGATCGGTTACTGCCGTCTGTCCCGAACGCGTATCACTGGTTACAAGCGCAAGATTCTTGGAGACCCATCCTCGAAGCTTTCTGGAGACGTACCTCGTGCGGCCTTCAGCAACATCTTCATGGCTGAGGTCCTTGGTCCTCTGGTCTTGGTCGCCGTCACCGTCATCCCGTACCTTTTCATAAACGCTCAGACTGGTGTACCCAACCGCCAAACCGAGTTGGACTCCGAAACCAAGAGCTCGGGAGACGACCCCAAGGCTGCCGGTGCTTTGGTCCGTGTCGCGGTCATTGCTTTCGGTCCCATCGCCGTCAACGCTGGTGTTCTCGGTGGTCTCTTCGCCTTGGCTTGTTGCGCGGGTCCTCTTCTCAGCATGTGCTGCAAGAAGTTCGGTGCTGTCCTTGCCGCTATTGCTCACGCCATTGCCGTCATCATGCTCCTCGTCTTCTTTGTCGTCATGATGTTCTTGGAAGGGTTCAGTTTCCCCAGGGCTCTTGCTGGCATGATTGCCGTCGTCGCCATCCAGCGTTTCGTCTTCAAGCTCATCATCACCCTCGCTCTCACTCGTGAGTTCAAGGCTGATACCTCCAACATCGCCTGGTGGACTGGTAAATGGTACACCATGGGTTGGCACACGCTCTCCCAGCCTGGCCGTGAATTCCTTTGCAAGATCACCGAGCTCGGTTTCTTCGCTGCCGATTTCATTCTGGGACACGTTTTGCTCTTTTTCATGCTTCCGATCCTGTTGATCCCTTACGCCGACAAGTTCCACTCGGTCATGCTGTTCTGGCTGCGACCAAGGTACGTAGTTCTCTGTATCATTCAAAGCGCATCTACTAACAAGCAATAGTCGTCAAATCCGTCCTCCTATCTACTCGCTGAAGCAGACCAAGCTTCGCAAGCGCAGAGTAGTTCGTTACGCGATCTTGTACTTCGTACTGCTTGTCGTCTTCCTTGCTCTCATTGTTGGCCCTATCGTTGCCGGCAAGCAGATCAAGCTCAGCGTCACGTTGCCCATGGAGCTCCTCCAACCCACAGGATACAGCAACAACGACACTTCAAGCACACCAACTGGCACGTGTATCCATGGTGCATGCCCGGTGTACCAGGGTGGCGACTCCGACTCCGGTTCTACGGACGACACTGCCGAAGCTACAGCAACAGAGGCCGCTCGCCGCTTCCGTCGTTACATGGCGTATTGAAATGTTTCTGACGACTGGCGGATCCACAGGTCAGCAGCCTTGACATTTTGCATTGTAAAACATGGGCGGAAGCATAGCGTGAGGACCTGGCTGGTCCCATAACGATAGTAATATTCGACTTAGCATTTATTTGTGTTTTGGGGTGTTGAGTGGAGCTAGACGCACTTCAACCTCTTTCTTTTTGGACAACTACTCCGCTTGAGCCGCGGACTTTGCACATATACTACGATGGGATCGTTTTGGTTCATGGGACGGCGAATATGTTAGAAAGAGATTGCACTACATTTTAAATACATGAAGATTTCAGTTCAATAAACTTTTTGCCTTGGCCATGAGTGATTTGCGACGCATTCTCGACTGTGTGCTGCTTGAAGTGAGGAGACGTGCTGACATGCTTGATTGCTACAATTCAAAGTCGGGCAAAGGCAGTGGCATGAACACGTGAGGGAAATTAGACGCGCTGACGTCCCGCTGCTCTCCGCGTGTCGCCGCAACCCCCGAACTTCGAGGAGGTCCACGGTTTATTCGCAGTCCGCACGGCCACAACACCCAGACTCTGAGACACCACGATGGACCTACATGAAGTGCAGAATGCGACCGTCCGGTTTTTGAACGACGCCAATACCTATCTAGAGAGGATACCCGGCTCTTCGATCGCGGTGCGCTACATCAAGTCGAGTTACCAGAATGATCCGGTCAGAAGCGCAGTCGAGCTGTTCCTGTTCCTCTTCGCCGTGAGGTACCTGCTTGCGCCGAAGTATAGTACACAGAAGAAGGTGCACCTCACAGACGCGGTATGTTGTGCGAGTTGATCAGAATAGGAGCGGGAGCAGGGCTGACTGGGAAATAGGAGATCGATGAGCTCGTAGAGGACTGGACGCCTGAACCGCTTGTTGCAGTGCCTACCTCGTTCGAGGAGCTCGACAATGAGAAGAGGCCTGTGATTGTAGGGTATGGCGCCCTGGGATCCTTAATGTATTGGCGCAATGCGATGCTAACATCGGCGCAGACCTACAGGACCCAAGTCGAAGCTCTCAAACGGCCGTACCGTCACGAACCTCGCCTCCTTCAACTTCTACAACTTCGTCGCAAACGAGACGCTCAAAGAGAAAGCCATCCAGACCCTCCGCACTTATGGTGTTGGTCCTTGCGGTCCCCCCGGTTTCTACGGCACACAAGATGTACACATAAAGACAGAGCAGGATGTCGCTGCGCATTTGGGTGTGCCCGCCTGTATCATCTACGCGCAGTCCTTCTCCACTATTTCGAGTGTCATTCCTTCTTTCTGCAAGCGTGGAGACATCATTGTTGCGGACAAGGCAGTGAACTTCCCTGTGCGCAAAGGTATTCAGATCTCTAGGAGCACGGTGCGCTGGTACGAACACAACGATATGGAGGATCTGGAGAAGGTGCTGCAAAGGGTCATCAAGGAGCAGGCCGGCAAGCCCCTCACACGGCGCTTCATCATCACTGAGGGTCTGTTCGAGAACATGGGCGACGTTGTCGACCTGCCCAAGCTGATCGAGCTGAAGCTCAAGCACAAGTTCCGCCTCATCCTCGACGAAAGCTGGTCTTACGGTGTTTTGGGCAGGACTGGACGCGGTGTCACTGAAGCCCAGAACGTCGATGCGACTGAGGTTGACATGATCGTTGGCTCGCTATCGGGATCCTTGTGCGCAGCGGGAGGATTCTGTGCTGGTAATGAGGAGGTTGTGGAACACCAGCGCATTTCTTCAGCTTCGTACACATACTCTGCTGCACTGCCAGCGCTGCTTTCGACAACCGCGAGCGAGACTATTTCACTTCTGCAGGAGCAGCCTGAGATCCTGACCAGTCTGAGGGAGAGAATCGAGGCGATGCGCGCACAGCTCGATCCCAGGAGTGACTGGGTCAAGTGTACGAGTTCGGTGGATAACCCCATTATGCTGCTTGTCCTTAAGGATGAGGTCATCGCGGCCAAGAACTTCAGCATCGATGACCAGAACCAGATTCTGCGCGATGTCGTTGACGAGGTACGTCCTTTGATATGCTCACTACTAGTAACCGATAGCTAACTTCTACAGTGTCTCGCAAACGGTGTTCTGATCACACGACTAAAGCCTTTCCCACTTGGTCTCGGTGCTAACCCTCGCGACGCCGGCTGGCAACCTGTGCCTGCCCTCAAGGTGTGCATTACCATCGGGTTGACGAAGAAGGAGACCGAGAAGGCAGGTGTCATTATACGACACGCCATCACCAAGATCGTCTCGAGGAGGAAGTAGAGCCTCGACGACCTGCTACGAGTACGATTCATGTTGGGTTTGGTGAACGGAGCATCGTCTTTCCCGTTGCAGCGAGCATCTTTGTTTGCGAGCCACTCCTCTGTACGAAACTTGGTCAGATAGATATACTTTTTGTAATGCATAATACCGATGGTTAGTCCACTGTCGACTCTGCAATCAGATCAGACCAACATACATATCAATTGATCGAATCAGGACAGATATGGGAAAAACTTGGGGGTGCTATGTAAGCCGCCAAACACACAAACTCCACACGAACACGTTTCGTACATGGGCGCACAAGAACGATTACCACGTGTGAGCCGGCTAAGAAATGCGTCACACATACGAGAAGACAAATTCGCATGTGCTCAGACACGGCAAACTTGGTTTCTGGAATCGTGATGTTGGTTCCGCGGCCAGCCTCCTCACCAGCCATCGCCAATGGCAGCGGCACTAGAGACCGAGCCTGCATGAACATCAGGGTAGCTGCGCGCCCACGTTTCTTATGATCCGTCTGATCCATCTCGCACGTTCTTACCGACTTCCATCGCTCCTTCCTGCATCTGCGTCGTCTACACGTCTGCGGTAAATAATCGAGACGCTCTCCACATTTCCTGCCCCGCAACGCATCGTCCCGCAGACAACGTCATTCGCTTGCGCCCGCTGCCGGCTGTACCACCGCGACGCGCCTCGACTTGAGTGCTGCGGCGAGCGATCCAAGACATCGAAGCCTGTCCGTAGAAGAGCAGGGAAGCAACTGTAGGGGCGAGCCACGGCTATACGGCTGCGTGCCAAGTCAATCTCGCAAGCAAGCGCATCTGCGGCATCCCGCTCGCTCATCTACCAGGGCCTCGACAACTTCGAGAGCTCAAACCTTGTCTGAAGCACCGAACAAGCTACCACATTATACACAATGGCGCGCGCAGGCCACTCAGGGACGGTTGTTGGGTCGGCTGTTGTGGTACGGGAGAAGTACTATTGGCCGGATCTGCAACTCAATATCTGGACTATTGTTATGCTGGCGACAGCAGGCACAATATTGGGTGTGAATGCGCAGTTCATGCAGATACAGGATCGTATGGGATTGGGCACACCATGGTGAGTACCAACATACACTGGCGAACGTCAACTATATACCCAGGCGCCCAGCATGCAACTTAAACTCTATGAGAAAGACAACGCTGACGTACACCCCAGGATCATGCCCTACGGTGTAACAGTCGGCGCGCTCGCGATAATATTCATCATCATCGAAATCGTCTACATCGCGCAGCGCAAACTCCTGCCCGGCACCATGATGCTGCTCTCCTTCATTCTGCTCGTCCTCTTCATCGCCGGCATCATTGGGACAGCGATCCAGCTTTTCGCTGGGCCGAACATCAACAACCAGTGCAACACGTATGTTTTCAACGATAACAGCAGTGGGCCGAATGCGAACACGCTCGCGTTTCTGCAGCAGAGGAATATCTGTAAGTGGATCTGCGGGAAAGGAGTGAAGAAAGATGGAGGCTAACGAATCCCAAGGCCAGTGCTGGCAGGCAGCCTTCGCGTTCTGGATCGTCGGATCCGTGTTTCTGGTCTGGATGATGATTATGGCTAGCCAGGTCAACTCGAACCAGTACCGCGATTGAGCAACCAAATAAGGGACGCGTCTTTTACTTTTCAAAACTTTATATTTACGGCATATACGAAATCTTGCGGGACGAATGGGATCATGTGCATAGGATGGTAATGGAGGGACGGAAGGATGGGATATGAGATACCACTGCTTAGCAGCCACGGCGTTATTGGAAGTCAAGATGTTGCTATGAGATACAGAGCATTTGGCTTCTGTAAGGGAAGAGAAGAATCGTGAGATGCCACGACGTATCACATAATCTCAGCTACGCATAGCATGGCTTCAAGGTCATGAAATCTCATCAAACGTTCATAATGCAAGTCTATGCCAATCCCGAGTCCATGCTCGAGTCCGTAACTCCGTTCAATGATAGTCATGTCTTGATGTAAGAACCCCCTGTCTCACACTTTTGGTATCCTTCCCATTACCATCACCGCATGGTCATCCTTCTACGCCTCCAGTGTCGTAACATCCACCTCCCCCTTCTTCGTCTCCTTAGTCAGCGTCTTCTCTAACTGCAGATGCTCCTTCTCTTCCTGTGGGCTCTTCACCAAATGTTTTGCAACCTGTGCGATCTTGCTGACTGAGCTTTTGCGCTCGATTGGCGGTGGTGATTCTGTGCTGTTGGAGTTGTGTGTGGGGTCGACGGTGCCGGGGGAGGTGGTGGTGGTCGAGTCGGTGTTGGAGGAGGGATGGAGGGAGATGTGTGGGTGGGCGGGCTCTAAAGGTGTTGTTAGTTGTGCTTGAGGAGATTTGATCGGTCCGGTGCGAGGTGGTGGAATGCATTGTCAATGTGTTGCAAGGTTTGACTGGGTGCAAGCACGGTATCGGGCTTCCGGATGTGTGGTGCGATATGCTCTATCCACAGGGGGCTGCAAGGCCGGTGTAGCATCGGTGTAGCATCGGTGTAGCATGTGTAAAGACAGACTAGGATAGCGCAGGCTATGATTTACACCATAGCACCAATGCTGTTGCATAGTATACCATATACGGTGAATCCATGCAAAGCCGCTGCGCTATTCGGCAAATCATACATCTAGAAAGTGACGAACCTTTGAACTGGAGCGAAGCGTCTGAAGCCATGTTTCCTGATTTGCTGATCCTTCTCCGCTGGTTTTGGGCCGGTAGTGGTCGTCGCACGATATGTATTGCCGATCTGATTTGTATCGTGTAATCCGTGTAATTGTGAGGTCAAAGAAAAAGCTCTGCCTGCGTGGGTGTTGATATACGGCAACTCGTATCCTTGCAGAGAAAGACAGGGATACGTCAGCGGCTGACGAAACAGGAAATCGGGGCTGTGTAGCGGGGGAGGTGCGTTCCAGGATTGTGGTGATCGAGATTGGCGAGTGAACATCGAACGAAACGCATACACACATATTCAAAAGAGTAAACGAACAGAATATCCCAATAGTATCCTGGCTAATATTGATTCTCAAAGTATCGTTGAAAGTTCATCTCTTACAACAGCGGTGTCCGCCCAGTCTCTTGTTTGATAATAATTCGAACCGTGTGCTTCCATTCATCATATCGCAGACAAGGTAAGCTTCTTACATCATCAAGTTCTTCATGCACCAGCCGCAACCCCTCTGCGGGCTCTAGTTTTACTATGCCTATTCCCACGCGCTTGAACAGATGCGCTGCTGCGTCGACGAGTTCTAGAAGGAGCAGACGCCGGCTGCACTTCCATAATCCATATCCTGCCCTTCGTTGCCGCTTAGTCGACCACAGAGCATATAGAACCACTGAGAAACCTCGCTGCCTTGTCTCATGAGAGTCGCTTCCAGGAGGGGATGGTCAAGTGCACCGTGGCACCTATCGAACAGACCGCGCCCTTCTGGCCACAAATCCCCCTTCAGGTCCAACCAACCACCCGTTAGCTGGCCTGTACCGTCCTCTCATGCATATTCGAGGTGGAAATCCTTTACCTCAATCACTACATCATCGTCCCATTGACGGGTGGAGCTGTTTTGTACTGGCTCGTCGACTGAGGCCCAGGACCAGCTTGGGGCGCGATAGACATTGTTCTGAGCGAGATAGGTTTTTCCTGGTACACCCAGACGTTGCCACACAAGTTGACGATGGAGTTTGTAGCGCCACATACCCGCTACGTAATTATCTTGTACCAAAGACCAAATCACAATTGCAATCAGTTTGTGGCTGGGATAGGTAAACGACGTACGGGTATAATCGTCTAGTATGAATTGCCACATGTCATACTACGCGAACTTGTCGTTTCCTGAACAATCCCCGTACGTTTTAACGCCAATGCACGATTGTTGGTTGTACACCTTTGGTATCTTGGAAGGGTACTGTTCGCACACGATGCGTGTATGGTATTTCCAGAAGATTTGGTCGTGACAGAAACGGAGGACCTGCGGCGCAAGAATCCTCTCTTGCATGCCTTAGCCGCGGTTGTTAAGAGTAGATTCGGCTAGACTCTGTCTAAAGAGTTCATAACTAGACAGAATGTAGGGCTGCTGGTCTGAGTCACCCTCCAAATAGATTCGTAGGGAGAAGTCGACGTTCGCAGGGTGGAGCATGTGAGGATTGCGAACTCGAAATAACCCTTTTGAACTATCCTCTGCATCCGAAGCCGCTATGTTGACATGTGAGTGAGAGTAGACTTTATGTATCTGGCTTGCTTTATGGCTCCAATCCGCGAAGTCATCCCTGTCTTGTTTAAAACAAACCGAGTCGATCCAGAGGTACCGTATTTGCAAGGCTTTAGAAACGACGGCCGCCTCACGAAAAGTTCTGGGTATATTTGTAATGGCGATTCTGTTACAGAGGTCGTCCAGATTGTAGAGTGTAAGCTGGATGAAGTTTGCCTTACCCCATCGGTGGCTTAGCGTGGCGTAAGGCCCAACGAGTTCTTTGTCTTTTATATGGATCAGACATACATGTTCGAGAGGTTTGACCATATCTCCTAAGTCCAGGATGCGTGTGGGATACCATTGTGCAGCTGGGATGTGCGCCTTGCAGCCCCAATGACCGGCTGAACGGTGACGCAACCACTCCCGGGCTTTTGGATCGATTTGTCTGATGAAGTGCAGGTAGATTCATCAATATTACTGGTAGTAGAATCCTTGCCACATCTAGACACTCATCAGCGCTCTACCTATATGCTTCGCAGGTGTGTATGCTGGCCAGACCCAAGAAAGAAGATAAAGCGAAGTGACTGATCGAAACCGCTGCGAGACCTTAACAGGTTGAAGCTTATTGTGAATTCTACATAAGTATCTCGAGCCCATACACGCTTGATTTTAGCATGCAAGAAAAACTGTACTCAGTCGACGCAGCAAGATGCTGAAGCCATAGTGCATCAGTTTCTTGCGCCAGTTGCCGTTCTGCTTCAGTGAGGCGTGTCCACACTAGCCAGCAGACATGCCACTACTGACCCGCCAAAGCCTGTAAGTCGGCAAACGTGCGGTAGTGTCCATATGTCGCGCATCGTCCGTTGTTCGTCTCTTTCTTCGCTTTGACCACATCGTTCTTAGTCTTTGCTCCAATCTTTGTACCCAGATTGCCACTGTCACCACCGGCTAGATTTACGTTATCTGTCTCAGAAGTCTCCTTGCGGCCAAACACACTATCGTCTTGTGTTATTTTAAAGCGCTGTATGTTCGTCTAAGTAAAGGCATCTGCGGCTCCAGGATCGCAACGATCCCGGATGACGCCTAAGCAGACGTCACATAGCACCGTAGTCGACTCTTTGGACGATGACCGATCGAAGTCTGTCTCAGAACGACAACGGACCGTTATATGTCGGAGCTGTTCAGTTTTGGACTTGAGCTTCTTTGCCGATCAATGGATCCCGTCGTATCAGACAAGGAGCTTGGAGTGATACTTGTACATGACGACTCCCTTATAACTAGATCTCTCTCATCAATGGAAGACATAATGAGCAATTGTACGAGGGCTGTTTACTAGCAAGAAGGCTGTTGAGGTACAATCATGTACTAGCGAGGCTGAGTACATACCTCGCCCCGCTTGCGCTCAGCCGTTACTACCGAGAGCTACACCATGCGAACTGTGTGCAGTCCGTCCTCGTATAGCAGACATGGATATTCCTGCATTGCTTCTTATCTTCTTTGGCCTGCTTCAGAATATCCAACTGTAACCTAAATCCCATAGCTACACCGATCCTCTCGAACATCTTCTCCTTGGGATCAACAACACGGAGTAGCAGATACCTGAACTGGCCAATATTATGATCGGGGTTTTCGTAGCAACGCACTTAGAACAATCGGCCTTCTTCAGAGTCGTTTTGATAGGAGGATTTATCTGAGGGCGGAACGTCCAGCCGAACGAGTGTATCATCTGGATTATGAGTGTCGGGAGTAACAATGACATCGTGGACGGTCATGCACCAAGCTCCGTGGTGCTGCACAAGGCCTATAGGTCGTAGTTGACCGCGCAAATCCAACGATCCGCCTGTGACGATTCCAAAGATATCTTCAATGCAGATATGTACACCTTCTTCTGCCGAGGAAGGTGTGTGCAACGTGCGAACCATTCACCCCGCAAGCTCTCCACTAGCGTTCGCTGCCTTGATCAGTATATCTTTTCTCCCTTCCTTCCATGCCTTGTCAAGTGCCTCGAGCTTCCCACCCAATGTCTGCACATTGCCAGGCTCGAGCATAATAACGGCTCGTCGTACCTCGATGTTTCGAAGTAGGAGCTTCACACCCATACTCATGTTCGTGTTAAGTCCATCGATACCTCGAAGATCCACCGCATAGACTTGTAGCCCTTTCGCATCCTGTAACAGTAGTTTGAATGGGCCTTTGGTCTGTGCAGGCGCAGCAGCTTGACCAGAGTCGTCGTTCTCCGACTCGATCACTCGAACGATCTCTCGCCCTTTCGTCATCTCGCCGCGCTCCCTTGCCTCGATAGCTTCGACTTGTGACCAGCGCGATTGTCCAATGTCTTCGATGTCGAGCACTTGACAGATGATTGGTCCAGCAAGAAAGCGAGACTGGACCGTGCCTCGCAACACGTCCTCCGGGAAGACTGAAGCTGCAGGTTGATTGAGCGAGGTTGTGATGTCAGTTGCAAGAAGACGAAAGAGACATGTCTGCTTCAGTGCAGCAAGTGCTGTATTTGGCCGTGTAGTTGATAGGAAGCTTTGCAGCCATGCTGGTTTTGGGTGAAGGTGTCTTGCTGCGAGGTGCTGCATTAGCTCTCCTGCAGCGTTATTCGCCATTTTGACAACCTCCAGAGGTGTATGCGGTGATCGGTGATCGGTGATCGTGTTGTAGCTTTCATGCAAAAGTTTGGGAAGACGCGTCGCGTACATGACGTGGGGAGCTCTTTCCAGTAGTGGCCTTGGCAGTTCACACCTCGAGCTTCGACATGACACCTCACCCCTCAGAACACATATGCTATACCAAACGCCTCGAAAACTGCTGAAAGAAGTTCCATAATGTCGACTATAGCCTCGTCACGCGCCAGCTCCTCTATACGCAGTCCTTCATCCACACGCAATTCGTTCGATAGCTCCGCGAGACCTCCGCCAAATGCACGCCGCAATCGCGCAGCCTTACGAGACTACTACGGAATCAAGAACGCCCAGAAAGAAACGGATGCCAAAATATCAGAAGAGTCGCCAAGGACAGGACTAGGGTCGGAGGAAGACGAAACCCTGACAGAGCTCGACGCTGCCGACTTCAAGGCTGAGGCCTTTGTGGAAAGCTTGCTTGCAAAGGAGGGTTTGAAAGGCGTATTGAAGGCAGAAGCTGACCTTGTATCACGTATGTTGCACTTGAGCATATGGTATGTTGCTTTTACTAATTACAGGTAGAAATACGGAATCTCGACAGCGACAGGAAGTCACTCGTCTACAACAATTACTCGAAACTGCTGTCTGCGACCAGTACGATTCGACGGATGCGCGGAAACATGGACCCTCTGGCTCCCACCACCCACACACTCGGTCCTGCCATAGCACACATCGCTGAAACCGCTGCCTCGCTCTCCTCTTCTATGCAGAGCCTCCAGAACAAACCAGAGGGTCTGGGCATTGATATACACGTACAGGGAGAGCCAAAAGAAGAAGAAGAGGCTGCTAGAAAACGGAAGCAGCAAGAGACCGTCAGATGGGTGCTGGGTACACCCAAACGTTTGCGTGATCTTGTTGATCAAGAGCAAGAAGAGGAAGCCGCGAAAGAATGGGAGGGAGCCAGCAAGATCCTCGACAAATGGAAGAATGTTGCTGGCGTTGAAGAGCTCAGGGCAGCTTGTGAAAGCATTATAAATGAGGATGCGGAATCCGACTGAGCTCGAGCCTCGAAGTGTATCAACACACGCCAAGCCACGCTTGCGAACATAAGACTCTGAGCGGGCGTTGACGGGCACAGAAATTACGACTTTCGCCACGAAGGTACCGAAAATTTGAAGTCAACAACTCTGAAGATGCACCTTGCAAGCTTACTGCGGAGGACCGATCTCGCGCGATTGGTGGAACAATGCAACTGGGATCTTACATCTGATCATACCGATCTGGCAGCTCTCCACCTCCGGATAACAGTTCAACGCCCACGTCACATGGTCAGTATTCTGTGCCGGTGCTGCGAGGTAGCTGCAAGTCGGTCAATTGCATGCCATCAAGTCTTGGCTGGATCTGCAGTCCTGGAGCATGATAGGTTACGACAACACCAGCCTCCTCACATGCCAGCCTCCGCCGCCGCAAGAGCTTGGCTTCTACCCCACGGCTCTTACTTAGCCCGACTACCGAAAGCTTCGTAGCTATATGTGGGGTATTCTGGGGAAGCTTGCAGCGGAAAGCTTTTCCAACATTCGAGCTAGACTTCGAGGAGCTACAGCTATGGCTGCTCTAACGGAGGAATTGAAGGAATTCAGCGTGCTACGCGACTCAGAGACTTTTCAGATGGCAGTCATAAGCAGCTGGAAGATCGTTACAGTTGTGGGGAAGAGTTAGCTAGCTGTATCACTTCCACAATGCTGACCTTTACGACGTCGTCTTTGGCTGCTCTATTGCTGCTCGCTCCTGTAGCATCGTCAGTATCAGTAGCTGAAAACTTCCTTGAAACATTACGCACACCGCGCCCTTTCCACGCTCAGTCCTCACCAAATCGCAACCGAACTTGCGTAGCCGAATCTCACAACGATCTCAAGACCGACGACGCAGAGAACATCCTCAAAGCAGTCCAAGACTGCAACAATGGCGGACACGTAATCTTCGCCGAGAAGCAAACCTACACCATTGCCTCCCCCCTAAACCTCACCGGCCTCTCATCCGTAGACCTCGACATCCAAGGCACCCTATCGTTCCCCTCAGACAACCTCACTTACTGGCAAGCCAACTCCTTCGACCTGCAATACCAGAACGCGACCTCCTTCTTCATCCTCGGCGGCTCAGACATCAACGTCTACGGCTCCGGCACCGTGCAAGGCAACGGCCAAGTATGGTGGGACGAATACGTGAATAACAAGAAACTCAAGCGGCCCGTTCTCTTCGCCATCGTCGGACTCGAAGGAGGGAGTGTGAGCAGCATTAAACTCCGCAACTCACCGTTCTGGCACAACATCATCGCTAACTCGAGCGACGTGGTGTACTCCGGCCTGGATCTGTTTTCGACGAGCAATAACGGCAATTTTGAGAAGAACACTGATGGATGGGATATTTACCGCAGTGAACGTATCACGATCGAGAACTCGACGATTACGAACGGTGATGGTGCGCTTCCCCCTCCCCACCCTTCATACATTGTATGCGACTAATTGAGAGAGACAGACTGCGTATCCTTCAAGCCCAACAGCACATCCATCCTCGTGCAAAACCTGCACTGCAACGGCACCCACGGGATCTCCGTCGGCTCGCTCGGCCAATACCCGAGCCGCATCGACTACGTCGAAGACATCCTGGTGCGCAACATCAGCATGTACAACTCCTCGGAGGGGGCACGCATCAAGGTGTGGCCGGATGCATACTCGGAGAAGAGTGCAAGTTTGACTGGCGGTGGCGGTCGTGGTCTTGTGCGCAATGTTACGTACGATGGCATGTTCCTCGACAATGTCGACTACGGCTTAACCATCACGCAGTGCTATGGGCAGGATGATGAGGAGGAGTGCTTCCAGCATCCGAGCAAGCTCAACATCACGGATGTCACATTCCGTAACATCAGAGGGCGCACCAATAGGGTATTCAGTCCGATTGTAGGACACCTGGTTTGCTCGAGCCCGCATACATGCTCGGGCATTCTTGCCGAGAACGTGGATATCAGGACGATCAACGGCAGCAACCTCGTTACGTGTAGGAATGTGGACGAGAGCACGCTAGGCGGACTGAACTGTACGGATTGGAGCAAGGGGTATAATCCTGCCTAACTTGTCTAGTTGGCCATGTCATCTAGCTATCATCGTAGCTGCAAGGTCAAATGATTTACTTTGGCGACGTCCTACTTCTTCACACCCCACACATCCCCCCCAAACCCAATCACTTTCCCCTCACCCTCCATCTCCAGCAACAACCCCCCAACCTCCTCCTCACCAAACGGAAAACCACCAACGACCATCATGCGCATCATCATTAGAATCCTCTTGACCGGCATGTTGCCCTGCGCCGTCAACATCCCGATAATAAATGCAGCATACACATCCTTCTTCTCGTTTAGCAAGTCCTGCTGACTCCGCACAGCAGTGGGTTGCTGCGCGGCTTCTACAGCTGCTAGTTCCGCCGCCGCGGCCGCCGCGTCTTCGTCTGCCTTGGACTTCTTGTCGGACGTGGGCAGTGTCTCGATGACGGCGTATGTGTCCGATCCCGTCTCTCTCAGGACTGACTTCCCAACCCAGAACGCAGCTGCTTGTCGGACGAGACTCTCATCCATATCGAGCATGTCTTCCAGCTGGCTCACATTCCTACTTATCCCTTCCCCAGATTTTGTGTGCTTCGCCGCAATATGTTGCTCGCCGGGCTGCGGTTGGAAGGCGTGCACGACACTGACTTGCCAAGGCGTGAGGTTGTCGAAATCTTCTGTGCGGTCGGCGAAAGAGAGGGTGATGGAGCCGCTGCCTAATGCGTTCATCCAGCGCAGTTTGCGCATGCCTTTTATGCGAGTGAAATTTGTGCCGTATTGGGTTTGTAGGGCGGAGATTTCGGCGGGGACGCGGAAGTCGTCGTCTCGTAGCAGCGGCCAGAAGAATGAGGATAGGATTTGGGCGTTGAGCGTCGGACCTGGGAGTGCTGCTGCAGGGGTAGAGGGGGCGAGATGTGAGGATGCTTGGGCTGGGCGACGGGGCTGCGGGGTGCGTGGGTGCCGGCCGTCTGGTGTTTGTGGATTTCTGGATTGTTGCTCGGGTGTAAAGAAAGCTTGTGTGGGTGGTGATGTGATTGTAGCGGTGTGGATGGAGGCGTTAATGCGTTTTGAGTCCAGGACGTCGCGGAGCATGACTTCGCATGCTTGGAGGTTGTTGTCGCCAAGGCGCATCTTGATGAGCTCCAGCAGTCGAATCTCCTTCTCGTACTCTGGGTCCTGACAGCGTAGGAGGTGGTCGCCGAGGATGTTCTTGAGTTCGTTGATGAAGTCATCGCGCTCCCAGAGTGTCAGCAGGAACCAGATCACGTCCTCTACCTTCGACTTCTTGTAATCCGGTGAGGCGTCTTGTGGCAGTGGCTGCCAGTTCATGTCGTTCCAGTTCAGCTCTTCGTCTGCTTCTTGACCAAGGTTTGCAAGTGGCTTTGCCATCTCGCTGGCGATTTCGTAGGACAGCTCGCTGTTGGAGGAGAACTTGCTACCAGTCTCATGGCTCAAGTCGGTGAGCAAGCTCGATATGATGATCCTCGCTGTGTCTTCCCGCTCCTTTAGGTACCTGCGAATTGGCCGTGCAACCCTCTCAAGTAGCACGCCCTTCGGCTCAAGCTCATGAAACGCGCGGACAATCGAGATGTAGACATTAAGGATGTACGTCGTGGTCGCACCCGGGTGCAGTAACCGTCTCGAGACCTGCTGCGAGAAGCTGGATGTGAGATGCTGTTTCGCGCCCGCAACTTTGAGGTAGTCTTTGATGTCCAAGAAAGCACCCAAGCTCTTGTCCCAATTGATGACAAAGTCAAACAAGTTGTCGACCCGCACCCGCCCCAGTCTGCCAAGCGCCATCTCCTGCCATGAAGTGACCTCAGTCGGTAGAACGCTGCTCTGTTCGCACCGCAAGCATTCCAGCACCAGCTCGACCAGTGGGCAAAACCCATCACGAATCCACAACTTCAATTGCGGTACAACCGACTTCTTTGAGTACCAGTCGACCTTCAGGAAGTGGCTGTTGATGAAAGAGTCGAGCAGCTTGTTCATGGCATGGGCGAACGCCTTCTGTGCGTTCTCACCACCAAGCCCAACGCGCTCCAGACCCTGGAGAAGCGCGGTCATCCGCTGCCGGAACTCTGTTATGTCCTCTGGGGGTGCGCTGGGCTGGACACCGTCTTGTCGTGTGTGTATGCGGAACAACCTGCACCCCGCATCGTACAAGACGTAGCTCAACGTCTTGGAGAACCGCTGAGGCGCAACGCAATGAGCAAACAATGCGTGCATGTCTCTTCTGAACTTCCAACTCGCGTGCCCCGCTGCACCATCCTCATCCCTCCTTGTCGGCCTCATCGGCCTCGGCGGCCTCGACGGCCTCGACGGCCTGATCGTTGAGTTCGCACCGCTCTGCAGGAACGGGAGTACATGCTCATTGAATGGCTCGAGGTACACATTCTGCACCTGCTCCAGCACCCTCTGGCTCTCATCAAGCACATCCCAGCTCAGCCCAATCTTCACTTCGTCTCTCCACAACTCTTCTAGCACAGGCCGTACGTTGTTCGCAAAGTGTAGTCTGCACTCATTCGTATACCATTCCACCAGCCCCTCTTCTCCGTTCCTTGCGCCATCTTCAACTCTGCCCTCGCCAGCGAGCAGGTATACCAACGCGTCCTCCACCTCACGTGTGCGATGCAGTATCCGCGGCACGGCAGGTACGACCTTGTCTAGGCTCAGGAACCTGGTTGCGCAGCTCCACGCTATTGTGCGCTTGACGCCTCTGTGTTGTGTGTTGTCGTGCAGCTCGGCTTGTCGTGGGATGTATGGGCTGCCAAAGGAAGTACCCGGCGCCGTGAAGCCGAGGTCTGGCGTCGCAACGGGTGTCGGTGTTGTGTGCGAGAGCGAGAGGACGGGGAAGACAGAGGAGAAGACTAGGGTCTGGTGGTCCATGGCAGGCTGCGGAGGAGATGCGGACCCCCGCCTCGACGTTAGTGTTTATGCGGGTATGGGTGGAGGTGAAGGGGCTGTCATGGAAATTGCAGACTGCAGGAGGTGTGCGTCGGAAGGTTTCGCGGTACCATTCGTTCGTCGTGAGGTTGTTGTGGAGGTGTTCGGGAAGCTGCGCTGTGCTTGAATGTTTGTTGGTCGCGGTTGCCGGTGAAGTTGACGCGCCTATCGATACGCGAAAGCACGTGGGGCTCCTTACACTGTCAGCATCATTGCAAGAACGCGGACCATTCATGTCAAAGCAGAGGTCAGCTAGTAGTAGCAATCAAAATGCATAACACCTCGCCTATCGCTCAAGTCGTCCAAAGAGGGGCTAACACTACAGTCGTTCACCCACAAACCATCATGGAAACAAAGCCAAACCGAAACCCCTGTAAGTCGATGCCTCCCAGTACGCCAATTTCACGCCATCCTTGTCGCTCGTTGTCCGAAAAATGCAGCGTGGTAAAAGTCATGACCATCTCGCTCCCCGATAAAGCTGCTTGCCTCCCTAGGGCCTGAGCACTCCATGCCTCCTCCTAAACGCCTCCACTCTTTCTTCGTAGAACAGGATCTCCCGCACCCTAAGCTTTGGTCCCCTGTGCTCCTCGTGCAAGAAGGATTCATCGTCGCTGTCCTGTTCGTGGCCCCCATCACTTGCCTCGCTCTCCGTCTCCTCGCCGCCATGACCCATCGCGCCATCATCGTCATCATCGTCCTCGTCTTCAGTGGCTTCGCTCTCGTCATCGCTAATGGTCACCGGATCGTGGCCCACGTACCCATGCACGCCGGTACCACCTTCGCCACTCATGCTGTCGCTTCGTAAGTCGTAATTCGTGGGTCGATTCTCAAGGATCTCAAAACACTTGTGCGTGAGTCCCATGTAGCAAAGCTCGATTTCTGGGCGGAGGTGTACGATGTCGAGGATCTGGTATGCGAGTTCGCGCGGATCGATGTTGTTACCATGCGCATGGTCGGCGATGAATGGGATGTATAGGGAGCGGATATGGGGGATGAAGGGTAAGCGTTGAAGAAAGTGGTGCTAGAACACGTCAGTACTAGGTTCTTCGAACCCAACCCGATGAGATAAGACTTACCCAGTCCTTGTAGTCGATCGACACCGCCAGCTCTCTCAGACTACTCATCCGTCCACTTGTGATGAACGTCAATATCTCTCGATTCATCATCCATCGTCGCCATCGCGAACTTGTAGTTGTGTGTCCATCCAGTCCCTTTTCGCTGCTGTCAATCATCAACTTCTTGAGACTTGCTTTGTGCCTTCGCATTGGACCGCGATATATAGCGTCCACTGTCACCGTAGACGAGTATGAGCGGCCTTCTTGGAGGAAAAGAACTTCGAGACTGTTAGGCGCCAAAGTCTCTTTGAGGAAAGAGATGAGTGATGGTGAAACCGTGTTGGTATGGATCCGCTTCAGGTTGAGCTGGTAGTCAGAACGAAGAGTGTAGGATGCTTTGTAGGCTTTCGATGAAGACGGCGACCCGGAGTAATTAGCACGTGGTGTATATGTTCGACGAAGAACCTTCCACAGCTGCTCGTGGTTGCTGCAGTGTAGCAGAGTCAACGTCGAAAGTATTGACCAGTCGAATGCCCTTCGCAGCACAGATACAGAGAGTGGTATGCGTTCGAGCTCCAGAACCTCCAGCTTCAGCTTGCCATTTAGCAGCTCCTCTTGTGGCTCGTCTGGCGATTCTGCGGTAAACGCACGACTTCTGACGTTTGTCAGGTCTGAGGATTTCCTGCTTCTCGCCGGTGTAGCTGGCTGGCTCGCTGGTGAGGCCACAGGCTCAGCACCAGCTGGTACAGTTTCATTGAACAGACTGATGCCTTCCGTGATGGTCGAATCTTCCATCGGGTTCCCAAAGTGATCCACATCTTGCTCAGGATCCCGGTCCTGCATCGAAAGCGACGCTATTGAAGGTAGAGGGTTCGATATCGTCGATTTAAGGGGTGTCGTTTCCACTACCCTGTCCTGCACTCCGCTTGCACTAGCTTTTCGGGAAGATTCTTCAGAATGGCGCATGTTGTGGATTCGGCCAACCAAAACGCCCAGAACACCTCCTAGTCTCTTCTCGTCTATTGAACTTGCTGCCGTCGTTGTAGCACTGTAATCAACTTGCTGAAGCCCATCGCCGTCCCACACTGTCACCCAGTCTCGCTGCTGCGCGTGAGGAGCAATACCAACACGAAGCTCCCGTAGCTTCTTCTGGGACCTTGCGATGAGTATACTCATCTCGTCCAGATAAGGCAGCTCATCGATGTCTAGAACGCTCAAGCTCTTCAACGCGGGAATGACCGAGAAGGTAGGATGCTCGACACGCTCCAACGCTGAAACGCTGCTCGCTGGGAACGGTTGAGGTACGATGACCGGTGGAGGAACCGAGCCTACGCCGCTTGGCTGCGTGGTATTTGGAGGTGCTGGGAGGTTCGCATTGTTGAGTATCATAGGCGGTGCGGGTGGAGGCACAGGTGCATCGATTGTGTTGTCATGCCACCGAATCCATAGGCGCTCAAGACGACAGTCGTCGCCATCATTCCGGCCAGCGAGACTTGACAGCGCAAGCCAGACGTCTCGTAATACTCCGGTAGGCATGTCCCAGACGAACGTCTCGAGGTTGACCATACGCGCAATTGCAAGCGCCACAAGAGTCCCCAGCATCTTTCCGCTCTCCTTGGTGATCACGTACTCCTGCACCCATGCTTGCGGTCCATTGCCGAGGGAGAACTTCTTGGTGAACTGCCCATAATAGTTGCCGAACCGCCGGCGCGGGATAGGGTACGGCGTGGTTGCTTGCGAGCTCGGCGTGTGAGCGGCATGCTCGCGGTAACGTTGGCTCTGGTGCGGGAAGCACTCATCTCCCATAACGAGTGTCGCAAGTCCGTAGGTAAGCGCATCGACGCCAGACCGCGGCTCCATGTGGGTGCTCTCGTCGGGCCAGACAATATCGAAGCGCGAGTAGATGCATGGTATCGTGAGGCGGTGGAGGGCCGTGTGACAGAGCGAGAGGGACGTCAGGTCGTTGGTATGCGGCAGCTATTGGCAATCACGGTCAGCTTACCGGGCGTGATACATGGCGCATAGCAACATGCGCATGCATCCTTATCAGACCTACCTGGTGTATGATCTCTTTCAGGATATCCACGGGCAGATCCAGCAGCCGCAGCGGTCCTTTGGTAGCCTTCTCTTTCCCCTTCGGTACATGCTTCACTGGCTCCGCTGCCGAGGATGCGCCGGCAGTGTTGGGCACAGCAAGGTGGCTCGGCCAGGCATCGTCGGACTCCTTGTGTGTCGCAGTCGTATGCGCATCGTCCGGCGAGGAAAAGAGCGACTGTGCAATGTCCTCTTCAAACGTCAACGGCGACGAGGTCCTAGGGCTACCGGGTGTGGAGTGCGGAGAAGCCATGTCGCTGTCGTTGAGCTAGGATCATGTCATGAGCGGCAGAGAGTGGACCGCTCCCATCGGTAGAAGGGTGCCAGGCAAGGTTCACCTCAGCAACAGCAAAGCTCGTCCGTTGTGCGAAGAAGTGATGCTGAGCTTCGTGTTGTTCGTCGTCGTGGTTCCCGGGCCGACCAATGATCACCGAGGCCAAGCGGCGTTGCGCGCAGCTCTAGTACGAGGCCTTCAGCGTTGCAACGCCCTTTCTCCAATGGTCAGCTGAGATCTGTGTTATGCAAGGTTATCACCGGGAACAGGAAGCAAGGGAGCATGGCATGAACAGCTTTGAAGACGCTTTGTGCGAGAGCTTCAAACTTCATTGCATCATTTTCAAGAGTACTCCTAAAGCTAGACGCTGTGCAACGCGCATGATCCGCGTCCTGAAGTTCGACCGAAGGCACCCCATGCCACTTTGAGCACCACCATGATGCAGATCCGGGGACTCCAACGCCGAAGGGGTATAACTTCAAGAAACTCACAAATAACCATCCATATGCGCCTCGCTATCAATGTTCAACGAAGGATCCCGCAAAAACGCTGCGTCCTAGATTCCGCCTCCTACGCTCGTGAGAAGTTGAGTGCTGTCTGACCACGCTCAGGGTCAGTCATGCGAATAATCTTGACGTCCGAGTCTTGCCGAACGTTGTTCATCGACTGCGGCGTGATGAAGATGAACTGCCTCCCAATAGAGCGTCGAGCTGCTGCGATAATCATGTTCATACTCCTGTCACGGTTGACACTGTCCATGAAGACATCGAACTCGTCGAGGCAGCGGATGGGCGAACCCATAGCATCCCAAAGCGAGAGCAAGAGACAAACCGTGGAGAACGACTTCTCGCCGCCAGAGAGCGTCTTGGTCTGTCGTCCGTCACCGGACTTCTCCGTGCTGTCAGGTTGGACGTGAATGTCAAGGGCCTGGTTCTTGTGGTCGATGTGGAGCGTACCGCGGAACTTGCGTTCACTGAGCAGGTAACCGAATGTAACGCGAGCGCGCACCGAAATCCCAGAGCGGAACTGTTTCCACCGCATATTTCGGTGTTGTAAAGTTCTGTTGAGATAGTTCTTGATGCCACTGGTGCTCTTATGCTCATCGACGGCCTCCTTATGCGCAAGCTTTGCCGCATTAGCTTTTGCTAAGAGGTCCTGTTGTGACCCTCCCAGCTCCCTCTCGGTATCCTGTCTTGTCTTTTGGAGCTTGTTGAGCGTCGTAATCAGATCGTCGGACGATTTGCCTTCCGGCACTGCAACGCGGTCGGGTGCAATTGACCTGGCTTCAGCGGCGATCTTATCCACCTCGGCCTGTTTGCTGACTCGTTCATCTTCCCACAACTTTTTGTTGTCCTCGACGGCTTTGATTGAGTCCAGCGCCTTGTTCTTAGCTCTGAGGGCATCTTCCCGCTTGCTCTGCATTGTCCTGACCTTCGCCTGGGCTTTGCCGAGCTTGAACTTTAGGCCCTCGAGTTCTGCTTGCGCAGTGTCGAGCTCTTTTTTGTTGGTGGCATTGTCATTGCCCAAATCCATCTTCTTCACGACCATGTCTTCATACACCTCTTCACATCGTTTCTGGTCCTCACTGGCAGTTCTTAACTGGTCTTCGAGCACTTCGATGGCAGCTGCATCCGGAGTTGCATCGCTTAATTCTGCCTCGAGGGTTTCCATGCGATCTTGAGCTTTCTGGAGCGCGTGTTGCAGCTGTTTTCCGAGACGAGAACGGTTTGCTTCACGAGCTCTGCAAGCGTTGACGTGTTCCAGAAGCCTCTTAGACTCCTGCTGGGCATCACGCGTTGCCTGCTCAGCGAGTTGAAGTTGCTCTTCTTCTTGCCTTAAAACTAGTCAGCGAGATTAAAAGAGAGAAGTTAGCTGACGTACCGAATCTGGGCTTCCTTGTCAACATGCATGCGCAATTGCCCTCTATATTCGTCGATCGGACTGTTATTGATACCGCCGGCTCCCGTGTAATTTATTACTCGGCCGCGCCTCTTGTCGCCATTGGAGAGTGTAAAGCACATCTTCACATTGTTGCTCAACGGGCCCCGCATTGCCATGAACTGCGCGCCTTCATCGGAGTTCTCGATAAGCACTGTTTGCTCGAAGCCCTGGTTTATGATGAACTGGTTCTTTACAAGATCGTTATCAATCTAAAAGTGGTCAATTGAGTTCACATCCCAACCCAGCTATGCAAGTAATGCGTACCTTGAGTGCCCTCATCCAAGTCAGCAGAGAAGGATCGGGTTCGTGCCGAGAAGTGTCGATGCGGTTCTTGCTTCCTATGAAGATCGGCGATTGCCTTCAAAGTTAGTCAATATGTACGAGCAAGGAGCTTGTGCCAACTCACCATCCGGATCTCCTCATCAATTCAGCCAGGATAGTCTGATCTGGTTTGCTGGTGACGACGAAGCCATTCAAAGCTGAGCCAAATTGCTTTTCCAGTATGTAACCCCAGTCTGCATTTACCAGCTTGACGTGGCGCCCTAGCGGACCGATGGGTGGTTCTCGAAATCTGTTGTCGTTTCTGATGGCTTGGAGTAGCTTGAGCAACTTGTCAGATTGCTGATATGCAGACGTCCAGTCACGACGCTCTCCTTTGAGGGTATCGATAGTTGACTTGATGCGTCTTTCGTTGTTCCTAGCAGCTGTGATCGCCTGATCCGCCCTCTCTTTCTCTTTCTGTGCATCTCTCAATTGATTCCGAAGTTCCGGAAGACTTGTGCCGTGCGCCGTATATGCCTCCGTCTTCTGCTCGCATTCTTGTCTGGCTATTTCGAGCTCACGCTGCTTCTCAGCGTAGATGCCATCGTCCGCCTCGGCTTGTCGTTGCCGGAGTCGCGCTATCTCAGCATTGTAATCAGCGACCTGCTTCCTCTTCATCTTGATGTCGCTTTGAGCTCTTCTTTCATCAGACTGCAGGTTGAGCATCTCCTGTCTCACGGCCTGGAACCTGTCTTTACATTTCTGTACTGCTTGCTGCTTTGGCTCCATCTGGGTCGTTGTCTCGGTAACGTCCTCTTGTGCACCTGTTACGGCTGCATCTGCACGTTCGAAAGCGAAAGATGCCTCATCCGCCTCGGTGGTCCTCTTCTCGATGAGAGCATCCAGTTTTCTAATTTCAGCCTCGGCCTCCGCCAATTCTGCCTCCTCCTCTTCAACTTTGGCCCAAGCTGCTTGTTCTGTGAGCTCGCGCTCTCTTTTGCGCATCACCTCAAGACGTTGCGCGCTTTGGGCCTTGGCCCACCACATGTCCATCTCCTTGCGTTTGCTAGCAATGATTTCTTTGGTGATCTCTTCTCGACTGTTCATCGTATCCAATGAAGTTTCGATCTGTTGGTAGTCTCGATGGAGAGTCTCGAGTTGTGTGCCTGCCAGAAAGAACTTGTACTTGTCCTTCGGGGTAGAGTGGTTGAGAAATTGTCTTGCCATGTCTTGAGTGAGCACGTTCATTGGGTTGTCAATCTGCATGGAGAATGCATCCAGGATATCCTCGAGTTCTGATTTCTTCGTGGTGACGACCTTGTCGTTCTCGTCCCTCAACTTGAAACCTGAGGTTCCGTTGGTGCTAAAATGTCTCTCGACAGATATCGACTTGCCATATTCGTGTGGTTTGAACGCCAGCGAGCCCTCATTCTTGATCCGTACACGTACGCTACTATGGCTCTCTCCTTCTTTGATCAAGCTCTTGAGGTTCTGTGCACGATTCGTAGCTGTCGCCTTGCCACCAAGGCAAATCTGGAGAGCTGTGAGGACTGCACTCTTTCCGCTACCATTGTGTCCAATGATGAAATTAATCAAAGGTCCTAAGGCGATGACTAGGTTGACATGACACATGAAGTTGACACATCGAATCTCTTCAATGATGCCGCATTCAGCCGGCACGTTCTGCTGGTTTTTTGTTGCCCCAAAATCCTTCTGGACCTGTTGTGTTGCCCAGATCATCTGGTCGTTCTCACGAGCAGCATCTCGCTCATCTTCGTCGCTGGCGTTCGAATTTTCATCGCTTGCGGATCGTTCATTCTCATCTGGCAGGGACTGTCGTGGCCGTTTGCTCTACAGTTGTCAGCTACATCGCGGATCTGCTAATCTTGGTGACGAACGTACGCGACCATTGTGCCCAACGCCGCCCACTGAGTCTATGCCGTTCGTTAGGGCGCGAGGCCGCTTTGCAGACATGGCCGCGGCCATGTTGCGAGGCGCGAGGGCTGGGTGCTGACGTAGTCAAAGTGTTGCAAGTGGAGGTGGATTTGTGGAGGAGTGCGGGTGAAGCAGAGCAGACGCGTTGACGGCGCCCCACCCAATAAGAAATTACGCTAAGGGCAACAGCAAACCACACTCGTGGACCTACGCAATACTCCTGTTTGACGGTGTGCTGTGGGCTTCACTGCAGCGGGATAAGATTGTGGATCTAATTTGCCAGGGATCAGAACTCTTTTTGATAGTGTAAGTGCGCTACTGTTGTCTAAAGTAAGACGTCATTCGTTGCCCAAACGCGTTTTCACGTGACCTGCAAACGCGTTCGAAACCGCGTTTAAGAGCTACATGATGTTCACCGTAAATGTCATTCTGATTCGATTGTGTTCTATCAATGCATACGTTCTCTAGATTTTGGCTTTGGCCTCCGGGTATAGAATCGAAAAATAGTAGAACCTGGCTTAGTTGTTGCCTAGATAGAAAATATGCAACATGTTCTACAGAAAGCGGCCGCTATGCAAATTGTAATAAATGGCACTGTGGCTCGAACTACATGACCACCTGTTGCGTGTTAACGTATGTATCAAGTTGGAGCTCAAAGTGCAACTTACACAATCCTTATCTTGGGCCGCCTGCCCAATGCCCATCTCATCAAACGTCTTCGGTCCCTTACCAGGTGGTGAAGCGACTGGCGCAGGCTTGGCTGCAGGCGCTGCAGCTGGAGGTTTGTTGACCTGCGCAGGAGCAGACGCAGGCGCAGCTTGTGGAGGCGGTCTCTGCTGTTGTGTGGGTGCCCTTTGTGGCTTAGGCATGGCATCCTGACCAGAAGGTCGGCCAGCTGAACCTGGTCTTGAAGACGGGCGTGACCCTTGTCCTGGTGTGGCAGTCGAGGGTCTATCGGGACGCATGGAGGTTGTCCTGCTCTCTTGGCCTGGCTGTACGGTAGAAGGTCTTGTATGCTGTCGTGGCTCTAGCGGAGCAACGTAGCCAATGTCTGGAATTGTGGGCGCTTTCTTCATACCTTGCCCAGGCTTTTGAAGCTTGTTCCGTGCATCTGGTGCGCTGTAGCCAATATCGGCGGGCTGAGCTGTCTGAGGGCGGTCTATCTCTGGACGTTGTGCGCTTGGGCCGCCCGGTTGTCTGTAACCTCCAGGTCCTCCACTTGGCAATCCACCACGGCCACCGCCTGGAGGAGGGCGCATGCCTCGGCCGCCTGAACCGATCTCGTTTACACTTGTATGAGGCCGCAGAGGAAGAGGGCTTGTGTGCGACTCTGGTCCAAGTGGAGGTCGGCCGCGCCCGAAACCATCGTTAGCGGGGTAGATGTTAGGGTTGATATTGAATGCGTTGCCCGAAGATGTTGGACGAGCGCTGGAGGCTCGGACCTCTGGCGCAAATCCACCTGCCATCGGACGTGCAGATCCAACTCTCGGTGGACCATTGTCCATAGGGTAGGGCGCAGCAGTGGAAGAACGCCCGTACGGTGCTGCATTGGGCTGCACATTGATGACTGGAGGCTGATCGGAGACTGGGTATGGGGTCGTGGAGTCGCCCCTATTGTTTCCGTAGTCTGATGGACTGTTGTCGTTGATAGAAGGCAGAGCAGGCGCTGCAGGTTTCTGCAACCTTGCTGGTCGTTTCCCACGCATGGAGCCGTGTTGAGACTTGATCCTGTTGATCGCAACATTCTCGTGATCCTTCTTCGAAAGCGTCCGTGATATGGACAGACTCTCTATCCGTGCAACTGCATCCTTGTTGCCATTTCGCTCAGCATTTTCGTACCACTCCATGGCTTTTTGCAGGTCTACAGGTACGTGCATGCCGATCTCGTTGAAGTAACCCATCGCAAATTCGGCGGTAGCAAGCCCGGTGGCTGCGGCGCGCTGCGCGTAAATGTATGCCAGTTCTTCATTCTTCAAGAATTCGCCCTCATGACCGCAAAGGAACCATTTGCTTATAGCCATATCCGCCTCCGGCTCGCCTTGGCGTGAAGCCAACGCGTTGTAGTGCAACGACAAGGTAGGATTGAACTCGCAGCCCAAGCTGCACAGCTCGTACGCAGATCCCATCTTGAGTTGAGCCTTCGCAAAACCAAGATACGCCGCTTTTTCGATATTCTGCCTTGCAGCTTTCTCGTCGTAGGGCAAGAACACGTCCGGGACCTGGATCTGAGGGAGTTCTCGCGACTGTAGCATGCCCAAGACGTACGCGCCCTGAGGTGCGTTCTCGTCCGCTGAAGCTGCAGCAGTGCGGATTAGCTGAATACCCCTAGCAAAGTCCTGTTGCTGCCCGTGCTGCCCAAGTAAGGTCATCATGCCCAAGCGGTAGTTCGACGCGGAGTCGCCTTGGTCTGCGCCAGCCTTGTAGTGTTGCAGAGCGCGGATAGGGTCGTTCGACTGCTCGAACTGCATTCCCATCCGGTACTCAGCTCTTGCATAGCCCTTGCTAGCTGCGCGAGAGTAACATCTGAAAGCCTCCTTCTTGTCTGCGCGCAAGCCAAATTTGCCAAATTCAAGCCACATGCCTCGCATGAACGCAGCCTTTGGGTGGTGCTGGTCTGCTAAGAACTGAACCACGTTCATCGCATCTGCGCGCAGCTGGTGCTCAATCTGGGGCGTCGACGGCCTGGCTTTTTGTGTCTCAGCAATCCGCAGCTCGTGCAACTGCGCAGCGTCTACGTATGCCAATGCATCTTGCGCCCATGCCAGCTGCATCTCGGGGTCGTTCGAGTTGAGTACGGGCAGGCGCGCATTCTCGAGGACTGCCTCCTTCTCACTGTCGGACGGCGGTACGTTCGGTGGGCGGTTCGGAAGCTGAGGAAATGGTGAGAAGTTGGGTGCGTCGCCAGCCTGCGCGAACTGGTTGTAGTCGTGGGAGGGCTGCTGGAAATCGTTCTGGGGCTGCACGTTGGGCGGCCCTTGAAAGGCAGAAGAGATGCTTGCATGTCGCGCCGGCCATTGCTCTCTGTTCCCCTGCGCACCCCCGTCCTGGAAGCTCGATTGCCGTGGTGGGAAGTTTCCCTGTGGTTGGTTGTAGTCTTGACCTGGCGACGCCATTGTGTTTGCGCTGCGGGGGCCGTTCGCCTCCAGCTCCATGTACTGTAGGTTTTCTTGCATGTTCTCAGGCACCTCGGGCATTATCCTACCCCGGGAGGACTACGTCAGCAGGCGCAATTTCAAGGCGCAGCTTGTAGGGGTCAAACGAACCGTTGAGGCGCTGGCGAAATGACTTCAGGCGAAGGAGCCGGCATATAATAGTCGTCGAACCCACCGGGGACGAACGTCGCCCCTAGCTGAGGCTGGCCGGGTTGGTGGTGGTAGCTCATATCGCTGCTTTCGGCCGCCGAATTCAGGGTCTTATAAAAGCAAGTGTCAACCCACGTCCAGGAGTAGAAGTCTTGGCTGCAGTCTCCTTTTGAGCTGGAGATTCTCTTCTAAGGCGCTCATGGAGGTAGATGAGACCTGACGACGCGCGGAGCAGGAAATGATCGTACTCACCTAGCGGCGGGGTACCTGACCCTAGACGTCTCGCAGTGACCACGCTTCTGGACCACTTCGTGATGTGCCGTATTCCGTAAAGATGTACGGGTATGTCCGTCAGTGTAGGCTGCTTGAGACGAAGATTTTGGAAGAAGACAGTGGATTGCGCAAGGTATTGGACGACGGCGATACACGTGGGAGGAGGGGCAGTGCAAAGAATCGCAGCCTGAGGGAGAGCCTCGAAACACTGGCGAAGACCGTTTTCCACTGAAACAGAGGCTGAAATGATCGAAGGTCGCTAGGATGTCCAGCCTGGAGAAGTGGAGGCTGTTGACGTCGACGCCAGACTAACCTTCTGGAACCGGCACTTGCAATGTCATATGCAAACGACTAGAGTGGGTTACAAGGTGACCAACATCTCCTTCGGCGCGTGCTTAGAGCTCACGTTTACTATAAATGTTTGAGCTTCCCGTTGGCGCGCGTCGGTCACAAGTGCTGCTGCTGCGCCATCGAGGCTGTGGATCAAGGTCCGCTTCAAGCCACCATTATCGGCTCGCTTTGAAACAGTCGCATGATGTTGACCTATCAGGCATGGGACATACTGTCGAGCTGATGCGTACTCGTACTGTGGAGAAGGTCGTTGTAGCTTGCATGTCGTGGAGCCCAGCTTTGGCTTGCGCGTCTGCATATGGCATCAGCATTCCAGATTGGGCAGTGGCAGGCTTACGCCCTGATGCCTACTCAGGATGACAAGACATTAGATCGTTGGACAGGAATCCTTCTGTAGCACGAGTGCAATAAGTTTTGACCTTCGAGCAAGGCGGCAGTATTCATCACCCCTTCCCTATCACGAGATGACGGTGTGGGCAAACGAGAACTGATTGACAAATGCTCAAAGTGCAAGCAAGATGTCTAGAGCTCTTCTGCAGCACAACGTGCGCTCGATCAAGGCAGACGGCATGAGTGTCGTGCGGAGCATCACGAAAGCCAGGATACCCAATCATCATAGCCAAACTCCCCATCACCAGTTGGGGTATATCTGTGATCATATTTCGTCCATGCAATGCGCGCTCGTGAACTCAGCAACAAACCCAAACCCAATTCTAAAGACATTCAGTACACGGCGTGACTGCAATCCGCCGCCCACGCCTAGTGAACCATCACATCCGGGTTGTGCTGCTGTACGCTCCCGGGCTGTTGCTGGGCTTGCTTGTCGCCGTTGGAAGCATTTTGCTCGCCGTCGTCCATCTCCATGTCGTCGTCACCACCCTCCTCTTCATCCTCGTCCTCGCCCTCGGAGTCTTCAATATCAATGTCCTCACTGCCGTCTGACTCGCCATCCTCTTCCTCGGCTGCAGGGCCTGCAGTCTCCTCACCGCCAGCCATTGCGGCATCTTCGCCTTCCACAGCGGCACCCTCGGCCTCCTCTTCCTCTTCGTCCTCCTCTTCAATTCCATATTGGTCGCCATCTGCGTTGAGATCGGCCTCGGGCTGCTCAGGAGGGAACTCAGGTGGGGCAGACTCCTCGGAATCCCTATGACAGTCAGCTATATGCAGTCCAGCAGATAGCCCAGGACTGGATCATCGATGGATGGCCCAGAGACGCTGAACTGTGGGAAGGATCGCCTACCACTTGATCGCGAAGCGTGTGACACGCGGCTTCTCTGCCAGGATCTGTCTCTGTACCTTCTCGATGACAGGCTTTGCGGGAGGCTCAAGAGCCAGTGCCTCATCGACGTACTCGTTGTTGACGTAGTAACCAACGCGAACGAATTCTCGGTCTTCGTAGCTGCAGCTGAGCAAGATGACTGTGACGCCGATGATCTCGCTGTTCGGGATGCGGGACAGATCTGGGGGATCAGCGCGGAAGAGGAACTTGTTCACACCCACAGGCAGCGGGCCAACGAGGACGGAGTCAAGTTCTTGGTCATATTCGTTGCTGGTTCGCGTCAGTTGCTCCCTAATCAATATCTGCAGTAGCGGGAGCACTCACGAGGTAGCGGAGCCAACGTAGGTCAGCTTCCACTCGAGATCTATTCCCAAGATTAGTCTGGGTTCACCACACAAAAATATGTGCACTCGCCCTTCTGCAGCTGCTCGAGACACTCGAAGGTGATCTCAAACTCGTAAGGCGCGTCGAACTGGGCGGGGTTGTTCTTGACCTCGACACCGAGAAGCGAGACGACAGACATTTTGGCAGTTGTGACTTAATATCTGTACTGGGGGTGTAGATGCTGGTATAAGGCTGAGGGTATCAAAGTATTTGCTACTAGCGGATGAAATGCAAATTTGTGTGGATGAAGATCAAACAAGCAAAGACGCGAGCAGAACAGTGTTTACGTCTCGAAGCGGTGAAGTCAGTGCGTGGTTGTCGAGGATATCAAGTGGGGCCTAGGAAATCGCGTTCGCGCGTCTCGTTCGTGCACGCGTCGGTCTTGCCCCTTTGCGCCTTCATACCGAGCCGTTTTGCCTGTTTCATCGGCGCCTGAACCCCGACCTGCCTACCACCAGCCTGCTACGTTCCTCACTTGTGAGTAATGAGGGAGACCATGGTATATTGATATTGTAGAACAAAAGGCTACATACTTTCTGGCAGTATATTGAGCCCTGCTGAGTTAGATCTGAGCTTTTAGGCCAGTGTCAAGCACGACAGCACGAGATCATTCAGCGCCAATCCTTGCGTTTGAAGAACCGTCATTCAAAATCACTTGAAATGCAAGTAAGGACGAGCTTCGGTATATAATCCAACCCTAGGATGTAAGCCTTTCATCGAGTACCATGGAGCAATTAACATCGCTGTTCAACGAACACTTACTCATTGCTCGCACATCATCTGGCTAGGAGACATAACTACTGACGGAATGCAACGGTCGCGCAAAGCGTATAGTGACAGCAGCTGTAGGTCACACATCAGACAGGTATTGCCCCTCATTGGTACTTGCTGCGATCAAAAGTTACATCCGCGACCTGACAGGCTGCGTGTCACATCTATTGAATGCAGTGGTAGACGCAATGAAGTCAACGATCGAGAAGGGACTCACTTCGAAGAGGACCTGAGGTGGAACGCCCATGGCGCCTCTTTACTTAGCTTGGGCGGCGATGTCATGGAGTAAGCGCGACCCTCTAAATCTGACATCTCAACATACAGCGACAACTTACAGCGACAACTTACAGCGAACAGCACCGTGGGCGAGGCGCAAAGCGTCCGTCAGCACGAGCTACCAAGACATCTAATTAGCCATTTTGACTACTGTTGCAACCGCTGCTGACCAGGAGGAGCTTTGTGTTCCCTTGTGCCTTCAGGCTTCCATCTCTTCAAAACGTCGTTGTTGAGAGCGGGGTCATTCAACTCAGTATCTTCACAATCAACAGCCGTTGGAGCAGAGCAAACGATCTCCCGGATAAAGTGTTCGCCAGCCTGACAACACCAAACGCAGATCTAGTAGATAAGTGTGGTTTGGTTATCTGATAGGGTTCAGCTGATCGTCGCAGCCATCAGCCGCTGCCGAAGTCTTCAAATTGAGCGCTGAAGTTGAAAGACATCCTAGGTGGTTAAGCTGAAGTCCGGGGGTGGGTTTGAGATCAGTATGTATAGATACCCATGTTGCGCACGACTGACCAACGCACAGGGTTCTGTTCACGCGCCGAAGCCTACGTCCGTAAGGACAGCCGTGGCGTACTCCACACACCTAACCTGCATGCACCAGACTGCAACAAGATTCACTTTCAGCAATGACTGATTCGTCGAGCCCAACGCGTTCCGGTTCTAACGGCCAGGTCCGGACTTCCTCCTTGAACACAACTGGCACTGTGGACGAGAGAAAGCCACAGAATGCGCAGCCTCGTGTGCGTCGTCGTAATCGGATTATCAGCTCCTGCCTGGAATGCCGACGCCGAAAGCTCAGGTGCGACAGAGGACAGCCATGCAATAACTGCGTCAAGGTCTCTCGTCAATGTCATTTTATTTCGCCAGGTTTTGATGCTGCAGCGCAAGCCAGGCTGGCTGAAGTCAAAGAAAAGATGGGTATACTCGAAAGGAGCCTTGAAGAGGATATAGCACAGCGGAATCGAGCTCAGGCAGGGTCGCTATCCTCTATCAACGAGTCTGACCCAACCTTGAGCTATGAGGAGACTTACAGCGAAGATGAGGAGGAAGACATCAAAGACCTAAAGTCGTCAGAGTATGCCAGAGAAGATGCCGCGTACTATGAATACGAAGAAGGCGACGATGACATTGTAGATCTCGGCATAGCGCTGGGCAAAGTGAGGATCACCGAGAGAATTGGTGGTTTGGTACGACCCAAGTTCTCCGATGAAGTGAGTCTACGCGTGTCGCTTGATGAACTAAGCTAAGCATGCTGTCTTCAGCTAGGACAAGCGCTGAAGGAGCTGCCCAAGAGAGAACCTCAGGACCCAAACTCGTTCTCGACCAGTGCTGTAGATTGGATGATGCCATCAAAGGACTACGTTGCACCCTCTTCGAGCTTCTTCTTCACCCCGGGCGCTGAAAGAACAACCCTCATGAACTACCTTCCGGCCAAAGTCTTGGTCGACAAACTTATGGCACATTATTGGCAAGCTGTACACGTGATTGCGAGAACTGTCCATCGTCCATCCTTTGAGCGACACTACGAGAAGTTCTGGAAGAACGTGGCGTCCGGCATTGAGCCACGCAACTCGTTCCAAGCTGTCGTGTTTGCAGCTCTGCTGAGCTCTGTGGTCTCCATGTCTAATGAGAGAGTATTAACAGAGTTCGGCGTTGACAAGCAAGGGTTGGTGGACAACTTCAGAGAGGCTACAGAAGCCGCATTGTCAAGAGCTAATTTACTTCGTACCACGAAGCTTGAAACATTGCAAGCATTCGTCATGTATTTGGTAGGTTTACACTCTGCCAGCATCGCCTGGAGGCTGTACCGTACATTGTAGGAACGTATCCGCGGATCTATCTCAAAGAACGTAGATAAGGCAACGCTGACAATGCCCTTACAGATCCCTCTTTGTCGAGCCGAAGTATCTCGCGCACACTCCGCCCTGACAGGCACCTGCATTCGCCTAGCGGAGTGTATGGGTCTACACAAAGACCCCTCAGCATACAGCACATCGCCCATCGAGTGTCAAGTTCGACGTCTCATATGGCATCAGATATGCTTTCTCGACCTGCGCACTTGCGAAGCGACGGGCCCGCGACCACAAATTCGGCCAGACGACTTCGATACCCGTCTTCCTCTCAACATCGATGATACTGATCTCGATCGAGCAGAACATGGTGACAGAAGTATCGATGTAGAGAACGACCGGACATACTTCACTGACATGACAATTACACGCATGCGGTTCGAGTGTTACGACATGCATCGCTACCTGTGGGTCGAGCGTCCCAAACTGGAAATGAGGAAGAAAGAAGGAGAAAAGAAGGTGACCATCAACTTTCTACTTGCACGCATCCAGTCGTTCAGAGCTGCCATGGAGAAGCGATACCTTCCCATGCTGAGCAAGACGGCCCCTCTTCATGCGCTTGCTTCGCAGATCTACGGCATCTTATCCAACAGGCTGTACATCCACATCCTGCAGAAGTACCTGAGTAATGACAGGCACAAGATGCCTGACCGCCTACGTCAGATCGTTCTCAGCGCAGCCATCATGATCCTCGAGCATAGTCAGAACATCGAGCAACAACCAGCGCTTTCCACTTGGTCGTGGTATGCTGGAGCCCTTCATCAGTATCACACCGCGCTACTGATCCTCAATGAGTTATATGCTCAATCCTATACACCAGCTATGGAGCAACGAGCGTGGCGTGTGTTGGACTTTGTTTTCGATCTTGGACCAGGTTTGACGAACCCAGAAAAAACCAGGGCGGTTTTGGAAGAATTGATGAACAAGATGCAAGTGTATGCCAGCGTCAAGAGGTGGAGAGCACCGAAGGACATGCCACAAGCTGGACCACGAGTACACACTCCTGGATACCAGCTTCAACAGCAACAAGCAGATGAGAGAGCGCGTCACGACAGCCTACAGCCTTCAGCAGGAGTTGATAGCCAGGCTCTGTTCAGCACCGCAAGTCCCGTAGGCCCACAGATGTCACCACCATTACAGCAACCATTCGGACCACCAAGACTATCCCAATCGCAAAGCCAAGGCTCAGGTTCAGGTGCCATAAGCTTCCCAGGAGCCATGCCAAACGCCGACTGGGGTACCTTTGACGTTCCACCACCGACATCAACTTCAAGTTTTCAGCAACCCTTGGTCAGCCCAGACATGTATGCAACACCCAACTACCCTCCAGCCACGGCTTCCAGCAATCTCATGCCTCCTCCCCGCATAATGTCGCAAGGCGGTGATACAAGTAGCCTTACCAACCCAAGCGCAATCCTGAGCTATGGCGCGCCTACCAGCACCACAGGTAATAGCCCGTTGGATGCTCTGAACGAGATTGACTGGGTAAGTCCTTCAAGACGCACTAGTCTATATTATGTGGAAGCAATGCACTAATTTCAATGCAGAATGAAATCGAACAGCTATTCGGCGGCGCGGAGACAGGCACTGGCAATGTGATGATACCACCCTTCACATTCCCTCAGTTCTCAGCTACTGATCTCAGCGATCTGCAGTGGCCGCAAGAAGGGTTTCAGTGATACATGCGATTTTTCCCTCTGGCCTAGATCGAGCGATCATTATCATGTGTATTGTGCGACGGTACTTCATTCGCAACTCCTCCATTGTGCATTGCTCTTTCCGTCTTTCACACCGACAACTAAATGAGCAGGAGATGCACACCCAAATAGTCTTTGCTCAACAATCACCCTGCAGACGGATAACAACACCTGACACATGTATAGTCACTGTGCTATACATGCGTTGACGTTTGACAAGTAGTACCAGCGTAACGCACAACAACAATTACATGCATGCTGTCCAGCAATACAGCACATGCATCTTGGCCGCGCCAATATCGGGATCTTAACAACTTGGGTATCGCCCCTTTTCGGGTGTCCCATTGCTGTTCTAGGAAGCGCAATTTACAAAATCAGGATCTCAGCAGGTTCTTGGAGCAAGCGAACCTCTGGCTTGCGTGAACTGGTGGACGGACCTACAACACCAAGCCAACCGGCTGTTCTGTTTCCTGTGTATGCCGGCGACAGCGTTCTGCAAATGATGGATTGCATAGCGCCGATGAAAGCTCATGGAACTGAGCAGGCATAGCATTGAGCAAAGACTCTGAACAAGAACACCAAAACAACAATGCGAAATCAACATCCACGTCGCATTCGCATCTCCCGCAGATCCCCATCATCCCGCCCTCAAGCCACTAAACCCGACCCACACGCACGTAAGCCACCAAGTGCCACCCAGCTTCGTCCTCCCCACTCCTCGATCTTACATCAGCCCTTGGGTATTATAAGGTACCGTATGCAATCTAAATCAAGGTCGATAAGTGCTTCCCCTAGCGCAAGGGCACCCAAGCATTGTCCAGCCAACCAAACGCCGGAACCAAACTACGACCCACACCTCCGGACGCCAAACTCGCACGTCGAAACGCGTCCGGGCGCGTCGCCATGGAGAGAGGTTTCATTGGGTCGTCATCGAGTGATCATAGTGCGCTGTCGAGGGGTAGACTACACATGAGCCAGCCGTTCGCGATGCTCCGCGGCAGATGGGCTCGGCGAGGTTCTTTGTTTGAGGGTCGGAGTGTGGTGTTGGAAGTGACAGGGCGAATTTGCTGCAGGAAAAAGGAAAAGTGTTGTGGGTGCAGGGCGAATGCAAGGGTGGGACTTCCGGTGTGCACTGTGCATGATGCTCCGCAGCCGTGACATAAAACCGCCAGCTTTGACACCTCGACTTTTGGCAAATTTTAGCGCAAGTCTACATCGCACATGCAGACCTCTGCAGAAAACTGCGCATTGAATATTCCGATTTCGTGATTCGCAGCTGCTCCTTGCTAAGGAGTTGCCGAACATGCGTTGGCAATCCTGGCTGTGGCGTAGCAATGATTCGCTGTCGTGCTCGTATGCGGAGATGTTCCCACACTGAAATCCAGCTGGGTTGTAAGCGACGGTTCGCAGCTGCAGTTCAGAGTCAGAGTGAACCATCCCGCCCATGTGTTGTTTGTGAAAGAACGAACAGTCGGTGTAAATATGTGTATTATTGAATATATCTATATGCACCATCTGAGGCGACACAGTCTCCTTCATTGTCCTGCAGGGCCTTCCTCCAACGGTCCATCGTGCTGGGGGAACAAAGAAAATCATTTCCACGGTCAGCCTTGCTGCCTGGTGTGATGCCGGACGCTTGTGGTACAGAGCGCTTGCTGTGTTGCTCATGTCGCCCAAAATGAAATCCTTCAAATGTGAAGACCGACGTGGAAAGTGTTTGTGATCTTCCGAGATCCAAAATGACGCTCCAAAATGTGAGCAATGCAAAGCTTCGCCAAACAGTAAGCAGTGCAACGTGGGGGTGCCGCCCGTATAACGCCATGCTAAACAAACGATATCACAAGCAAGAAAGTCAAGAAAGTAGGGTGCCGTATCGGGGTGTAGGACCAACAACATAGGCTGGACATATATAAGGTATCCAGGGTCGTTACAGGGTCGTTGTTCGCTCCTCACATCTTGAGGGTGTCGATAAATAGATGTGGATGCTTGTGCGCTTCCTCAGGAAACCAGCTCGCCTCCAAGGTCCATACCAAGGCCTTCGACCTTAGTGATGAGCCGTGGACCATCGCCAGTAGGAGGCACAAGGTTGTCGAAGTTGATCCGGCGTCTGGCTTCACGCACTGCGGCAGGTGTTTTGCCTGTGACTGGTGTACGATTCCATGATGAGCCAAATTGTGCTTGTGCCGGGCTTGGTGTCATGTTCAGAAATTCGGCAAAGTTAAGGTTGTTTCCGGGTGTTGTAGCAAGTCCGAAGCCACCGTATGATTGTCCGCTGCCTCCAGGCGTTGACATCATAGACGATGGCAAGGGCGTTGTCTTTGAAGGTGGGGTGGAGGGAGCCTGCATCTGGTGCTTCACAGAGCCTGCTCGAACTGGTGTTGGTGATGTGGCCAGGTACGCCAGCAGGTTCGCATCGTCTTCGCCATGTTTCCCTTCACGAGCAGCGCCAGCGGCAGTGAAGCCCCTCTGACGAAGACGAGCCGAGCGGGCCACGTCTGGCGGCGGTGTGCGTGGAGCTCGAGCTCGAATCGGCGACGTTGCGAAGTGTGATTTGCTGATCTGGAACGAGGAGATGGGAAGATCTTCGTCATCTTCTTCGGACAGGAGAGGGGATCGGGGGTCGTCGGGGATGGTTGATGTCTCCGAGACAAAGGAGAGACTGGGCACGTGGGTTCGACCGAAACGTGCGTGTCTGCGATGGTATACCGGCGAGGACTCGGGTAGGTGGAAGTTGTTCTTCCATGAGGACGAAGCCGTTGTGGCAGATCGCATGACCTTGTTGCGGGTGTGGTTGCTCGATGCTGGGTATCGGCTGATGGGTTTGTCGTAGCGGGGACGCTTGTGCTGGCGGTCACTGCTGACAGAGGGGGTCCCTGATCGTCGAACGTCATCTGAGAATATGGAGGCGGCGAGCGGGGAAGAGTCGAGTACGCCTGGCTGGTAGAAGCGCTCGGAGACACTCGAGGCATCTGACATGGCTTCGTTGCTGGAGCCAGGGCGCTTACGCTTGAGCTCCACATCGATGACGGGCTCAATTGCGTCGAGGCTGAGGCTCTCCCAGCCGTTCTTGATCTTGACGTTCGCCAGAGCAAGTCTGTTCTGTAGCGTCCTGGTCATCTACAGCACGCAATGTTAACAAAGTAGCCGAGGGAGGTGGACACCGGGTGAGCAACCTTTGAGACCTGAGCTCGCCGCAAGACCTTGCTCGCAACCTCATCTTGCTCAGCCATGGCGGAGAGCTTGTATAGAGAAAGGATCGTGGGGTGGGCTGTCAAGTCGCTGGCAATTGTCTCAAGCGGTGACAAGCATTGAGATCTCGAGCTGAATCGACCGCCAGTGAAGGAGGAATGCAGTGGAGAAGTAGTTTAGCGTCGAAGTCAAAGCACAGACCAGAAACAAGGCTGGTGAATATCAGACACGCATCATATCATGGATCTAGTGCCTCGAAGCGTTTGCGAAGCGAGCAGCCAGCCCACTTCACCTTGGGCAAGGTCGTGAGGAGCATTCGGTTAGCCGTATCTGAGGTGCTGCTGAGTCATGGTATTGTATTCTCCAATAGGAGGGGTATCGCGGCGGCGGGTTTCTACGTCTCAGCCGAGCTTGTGGGACGTTGTTCAAGACAAGCCCGCTGCGCTTCTCCAGATCCTGGACGGCAGCAACGCAATCTTGCAGTATTGTCGAGAGCGGATAAGTTTGTTGAAGACTACAGATAGCTTTGACTACATCAGAAAGATCGTTCGGACTCCACCAAAGACCGCCAAGGTTCAGTATTAGAGCGAGGATTGGTAGCCATCTGCGGCGTCCGAGCTTTGACATATAGGAAATGCTGACCTGCATTTGCGTGGAAATGGCCTGCGTTTGCGTGGAAATGGCCTGCATTTGCACTTGCGGAAGGAAGTCTGGCGTCCAAATGCTCATATCTGTACAGCTGTGCTCAGCAAAATTCACAGCCATCGTTGGCAGGCAAGTGCAACTCAAAGAAGGTCAAACTCAGTGTGGACCAGCTGCAGGCGCATCGTGGCTAGCTTCAACGTCATTCTCAACTATTGGAGAGCCGTTGGCGGCGCTGCATGCTCCGAAGACCCCCCAGAGGACATTGCACCTTGCCACCTTTAACGGCGGATTATTGCACATTTGCAATTCTCTCCATCAAGCTGAGCACAGCACGTGCCTGCTGTGACCAAGGTCGACGACCCTGGGATGCCACTTCCTTGCCTAGATCTGCGCAGTTGCGGCTTATCGTACCGCGACGCACCTGCTCCCTCCAACATCTAGAGGTATAGCAGAGACCACGGCAGCCCCCAGATCTCGCTCTTCACGTCAAACAACTTCTAGTGACACTCGTTTGTTTGCGCCAAATATATTCACTTGGTATATTGCCATTGCCGTACTCCGAGAGCTCGATCGCCCGCACGCAATCCACCGCGCTTGCATTACGCGTCACCACCGCTTGCTCAACTTCTTCAGCTATTCAACATCTGCCTTCCGGCTGCCACTCGTTACGCCTATGAGTTCATAGTAACGTCCAGTATCTCACAGCCACAGTAGCATAGCGGCTATGCCTTCTTTCCTTCACAAGTTGAGCCGAAAGAGCAGCAAAACGTCCGGCGACCAAAAAGGCGAGCTGCTTCCCACGAAGGCCCAGTATGGCATTGGCCGACGCCAGTCGTCTTCTACTATGAACTCGTCCCCGATCGGCTCGTCCACACCTTCCACCACACCCGCGACATCGACTATAGAGGGAGATGCACCGCCCGTACCCGCCCGGCCTCAGCGACCCAGCGTTGATCCTTTAAAGCGCTATAGCATGAATGTGAGCGGACGTGGTCAAAACCCTTGTTGTGTAGGACTAACGGAGCTACAGGGTTTGTCCACGACACCGACCAGTGGCTCTGGCTCGCACAACTCGTTCAATCGATCGTCGTTGCTCGCACCGCGCATCATTTCTGTATCGGATAACTCCTGGGTAGGTTGTAGTATGCCTGGGGGCCATAGAAGGTGCTGACAGTAGGCAGGTTCATCAGCAGGTTCTTCTGATATTTGGACAGGTCGGCGAGCCTTCTCACAAACCGCTGGATGGCACTCTTACCGTCAACCACCACCAAGGCCGTTTTCCCCCAACATGCTGGCCGGTAAGGGACTCTTACTTCAAAGCATTGGTACACTTGGAGCCAGGGTGGAACCGAGTTCGCCTCGACTTTGCGTCACCAAAAGTCTCATCCGGCAATCAGTCGATTTCCCCACACGCGACTTTCATAAACATCAACTACCTTCCTCTGACACATTCACCGCCTCTTCAACTGGCTATCATCCTCGGAAGTGACTCGCCTGGCACATATGATGCACCGCCATCGCGCATACAGACCGAAGGAAACGGGCTGGATCTCGCGGTGAAGAAGTTCCGCATGGCAGCGTACTTATGGCAGGCATTCACGGGTGAGCAGATGAAGCGCCATGGCTTTAGGCGACGTTGCTTCCGCCTCGAAGATGCGTGGGAGCCTGGCACGATAAGCTACCAAGACTGGGAACCGGGCCACTTTCGCACGCAGGCTAAGGTGCACATCATACGCTCGAAGAAGACTGTCGCTGAGATAAGAGACCTCGATCGAGCGCAACAGTACGGACCAGGAACGAAGAAAGGCGAGCTATTTGGCATTGCTGCAGACGCCGTCAAAGACTACTTTCATATCACACCAGGCCAGAAGCTCTATGTTTCTTGTATGTTCCTAGACTCGACATGGGACGCCAAGGAGCAGGTCATCCGCGGACATGCAGCGCTTGGTGGAGGAGTGCCAGACTTGCAGCTAGGCATCTTCGGGTCACAAGCGCTACACAGCTACCCATCCAGCATCGAAGAAGTCACTCAAGCATTCGAGGATTGTACACGAACAGACACCAACTTTGTAGCAAATGACTGCAACGAGTCCGGCAGCAATTGGGAGGCAGCCAATATTGGAATCGGCGCCCACCTTCACGAGACTGGACATCTGTTTGGTTGTCCGCACCAAGAGTCCGGCATCATGTTACGCGACTATGTCACGCTGAACCGCACGTTCATCTGCCGCGAACCTTACTCGACTCGTACGAAATCGCCTGGTCAGCGGCTGGTACTACCGGAGGACGAGTGCAGATGGCACAGACTGGACGTGCTACGCTTCAGGTTCCACCCTTGCTTCCGCATACCAATCGATAGAGCCGATGTTAACAACGACGGAAGCGTACAAGTCTGGACTGTTGACCCTGGTCAGGGCGGTGTGATTGCAACATCAAAATCCGGAATTGCCTGGGTCGAGCTTTACACAGAAGGAGACGATGTCTGTCGCTCTTGGCGAGAATGGCCGGAGGTCGAGCTTCAATATCCACGACAGGTCTCACTAGACGAGACTGAGCTGCGCTCGGTGCTACCAAAGGAGAAGCAGAAGTCGAAACTGAAGGTCGAAGTCTATTCTGCAGGAGGTGGAAAGCATGTAATCGAGGACTTCAGTCAGCTAGCGAACCAGAAGCTGGCGCGTGTCAAGATTCCTGATGGCCGCTGGGGCTACCGCGGCAGCAAGCTGGGTTACTCCCAGATGGAAGGATCACAGCCTGTGGAGATCATCCTTGACAGTGCACACATTCAGACAAAACTTCTACTCGGCATCAAGGTATGGTCTGGGCTGTGCGTCGATGGTCTGGAGTTCTACTATGAAGATTCGACAAGCCAGGTGTTTGGTAAGCGAGGAGGACATGCGACCGACTTCCCGTTAGACACACGGAAAGGCGAGATGCTTCTCGGTTTCGCTTTACGGGCAGGACTTTGGATCGATGGCATTCAGATCTTGACAAGCCTGGGAAGGACGAGCGAGTGGTTCGGCAACGCCACTGGCGGTAGTGGGTAAGCTACACTCAGATTATTGCGCCTGGAAATTCAACTAACAATCATCAGACACACTCTCATCCCTCCTCGCGGTTACACCATTGGCGGCATTTCTGGATCCTCTGCCGCCTGGCTTGACGGGTTCGCTTTGATCATCACACGTTAATCGCAGTGCACATCCAATCACATACCCACCAACAACCTCACAGCATCGCGAGTGTTGTGCACCCTACATCTTATCACAGCAAGTCATCTACAGGCTAGCGTTGGTTAATAGGCTACCAAGAGGTTTCACATCTAGATGCGTACCGATACAGCGTACTGTTACAGGAACAGTTGGCATTAACTCAATGCAATCATCTTTCACATCTGAAACTATCGGACAGGCGCATATGGGCGGTGTCAAACATGGAGAAGGGCCTAATACAACACGAATCTCAAGAGTTGAGATAATCGTTTCTCAGTAAAGTTAACAATATTAGACCAGTACGCAAACGTACGGTAACTCACATCATTACTTCAGCACCCATGCAGACTGGTTTGGTGCTTTGATGTGAACAACTGCTCGTTCTTTCATTTTTGAATTTGCTGATCATATTCTCTAGCTAATCACTATGGTATCATCATCACGCATTGCTTCGTGCATACAGCAGATAGCCTGTCTATTGATAGGTCCAGTACAGCTGCATACAAGCAAAGCCCCTCTCCGCCCACCAAAATTCCTTCTCGATCCACACCCTGACGCCGCTTACGGCTTAGGAATGTGAATAGTCTTACTGACCATCAAACACCCGTGCAGAATGAACATAGCCACAACAGGGTGGAACTCGAACACGGTTCCCTCCAGCCACAGACCCAGCGGTATCTGCTCAAGCGTCCAGCCCTTGTACACCCAGAATGCCATGACCTGAACTATTCCAAGCGACATCGGAATCGGGGTACCCTCGAAGTATTTGCTCTTTCCGCTCGCATCCTTGGGCACCATCGAAACCGTAACGTTAAAGCGCGCCAACCTCGTCAGACCGCACAGCACGAAGAAGGTAAGCAGGAGGTGGTCGAGCGGCGTGCGGATGCCTAGCGCGAAGGCGGCGGCTGCGGGGGACACGCCGAAGGAGACGAGGTCCGCAAGTGAATCGAGTTCTTGACCCATCAAGGAGGCCTTCTTGCGCCAGCGCGCCACTTTGCCGTCCATGAAGTCGAAGAAGAGGCCCAAGGGGATGAAACCTAGGGCCCAGTAGAGGTTCGTGTAATCGTGGGGGTTGGGTTGGATGCAGTAGCGGAGCGAGGAGAAGACGGACATTACGCCGCAGAAGCCTAATTGCAACCTGTTAGCATTATCCATAAGCAGGTTGCCTGTGTGCTGGTCGCAGTTCGCAGATGTACGCGCCGTAGAGCTCGGGATCTGAAAGTCGGTGTAGAGGATTAGGCATACCATTTAGCTCGGTGATGAAGTCTGCAAGATGCAGCGCGCGCACCAACGAGAAGTGTCCCGGATTCTGCTCAGCCAAAAGACGGGCCTGTTTGTCTTGCGCTGCTGCTCGTTAGTCCTCAGTCCTACGATGTCTCTATTCCTTTGCAGTAAACATACTCTTATCCGTAGGCACAGGCGCCTCGTCCTTGGGATTGCTGGGTCCGTTCCTGCGAGTCGCCATTGTTCACTACACAAGTAATTCGGTAGGGGTAGAGAGGAAGTAAGGTGCAGGAGAAATATTTGTGTGTGTAGTAGGAAAGAGGATACGCTTTCAGGGTTTGGGCGGCCTGCGAGGACGTGACAGAGGTTAGTGACGTGCCGCTTCTGAACAACTTGTTTGGCGAGAAGTCTGAGAACGTCATCCGCCGGGCTAGGCCGCACTTCACCGCCATGTGATTCGCCAAGCTTGGTTGGTACACATGGACTTTATGATGCAGCTGGCTTGTTTTGCAAACCGTCTTGAACGTCTTTCTGATCTGGATGCGTGCAGAGAGGTTGCAGAAACAACATGCCTCGAAGTAAGTATGTTGCAGGCTGTGCAAAATATGAGACAGATTCAATCGCAATCGTACAGTCTTCGATAAACGGGCATATTCAACATTCAAATAGTCTTGAACATCTGTGGTATTCAGGTACAAGACGTTGCTCTGTAACTCGTGATGCAAGCTCCAGCACTCTAGTCTGTGGGTAAACGGTTGATCCAGACCTCAGAACCAAGACCAATGCGCTGTGACATGATTAGGATATTTTTTGAAGTTTCGATTGAACGTGAAATGACTATCATCCGTACACAATGCTCTAGAGCCTTTTCCAACATGGCGCCATGTTCCACATGTACAAGAAATCCCATTGAGCTCCCAAACGCCGTCGAATGTTCGTGGTATCGATTGGTATCCGTGATGTCCAGGGTCATACCGCGACAAGGAAAAACCGCCCGTCCTGGTGTCTTCGTAGTAAAGGTAAACCGATCCGGAGTGCGCTTAGTATCCACCTCGCCCACGGGGGGTGAAGCCACCTCGTCCACCACCGCGCGAGAAACCACCGCTGCCGCCACGGCCACCACCACGTCCGCCGAATGATCCACCTCGCGAAGAGAAACCACCACGTCCGGGGGGACCGCCGCGCCCTCTTGGTGCACCGCGACCACGGCCACCACGAGCTCCACCACGTCCACCTGCACCGGCAGGCTTCTTGACCTTGGCCGCACCAGGGGCGGGCTTGGGCTTGGGCAGGAACCTGTCGAGGGGCAGGAGCTTGTCGCCGCCAATGTAGAACTTGTCGCCGGCCTTGAATGACTTGGCTTGGATGCCTTCCTGGGGCTTGATGGTGAAGTAAACCTGGTTCAGGGGACCGCAGATCTCGTCGACCTTGCCAATTGGTGTCTTGTTCTCGAGGTAGATGGGCGCGTTGAAGTAGGGGATCTTGGTGTTAATCGACTCGCAGAACATCTCGTTCTCGACTTCGTGGACGAACTTGCCCATTTCTGATAACTTATTAGTATGGCACAAATGTGCTTGAAGTGTTGCGCATACCGAAAACCTGGTCTGGCGGGCCGAAAGAAGCACCTCCGCCAAATCCACCACGTCCTGGAAAAAAGTTAGCTTCCAGCACTGAGAGCTGCAGCGCAGGAACACCAACCTCCACGGGAACCACCACCAAATCCACCCCTGCTGCCTCCGCCAAAGCCGCCACGGCCGCCTCGAGGTGTTCCACGGAATCCAGACATGTCGTTTGTTGTGGGGAATGCAATCGGTTCGCGGAGTTCGAGCTGGTCGGCAGCTTCAAAGTTCGCGAAGAAAGAATTCTCGATGGCCGCGCAGCCAATCGGCGACACATTGTTCCAGGACCCACTTTGAATGTGAGCCAATCCTCAACCCCGCTATGCAGCGCAAGTGGGCTGTAGTGCGCGTGAAAGCTGCCCGAAATTGTGAGTCGATTGCAAGCTCGCATTGCTCGCAAGTGCTGACACGGACTAGTTTCGAGTCACTCAAGCTTCACACTAACCGGTACGACCATTGAACACACTTATCTTAGGTCATATTCCAAGTTGTGCGGGTTTGACTCAGAACAGCATATAAATACAACAAATCTCCGCTTCCGACGCGGTAACAACAGCGAACATGGCGGAAGCGGTCAAGGACACTGTGAACCAGGTTGTTGAGGGCGTTAAGGACCTCGCGGTCTCTGGCGAGAAAAAGGTCGAAGAGAAGGCCCCCAAAGCTGCAAAGCCTAAGAAAGAGAAGAAGAAGGGCAGTGACGATGGTGGCCGACCTTTAATGCTTGACCCCGTGCCTGCATACATTGACCACCGAGTCAAGATCTTGTAAGCTGCCTGCAAGGATATATGACGTTAGCACTGACAGCTTGCAGCGAGAAGCTTAAGGCCAAGTACGACGAAGAAGTTGCGCAAAAGCCCCGCGGTACGTTCGACCACATCGACACCCCCAATGTCTTCAGCGCTGACATATTACCTCTCATACAGAGAAGATCACAATCACACTTGGCGACGGCAAGCTCATCGAGGGTGAATCATGGGTCACCAGCCCTGCGGACATTGCGCGCGGCATCAGCAAGAGCTTGTTCGAGCGCACCGTTATCGCCCGTCTCGACCACGGCACACCCGAGGAGACATTGTGGGATCTTGAGCGACCTCTCGAGAAGAGCTGCAAGCTGGAGCTTTTAGACTTCGATCACCCAGAGGGCAAGCGCGTCTTCTGGCACTCGAGCGCTCATATTCTGGGAGAGGCCTCTGAGCGCAGATTCGGCTGTGACCTGTGCATTGGTCCTCCTATTGAGGATGGATTCTATTACGAGATGGCCCTGCCCGACAAGGCTGCTGTCGAGCACTCCGACCACAAGCCCCTCGAGACTATCGTCAACAGCATTGTCAAGGAGAAGCAGGTCTTCGAGCGATTGACATTGTCCAAGGATGACTTGTTGGAGATGTTCAAGTCGAACCCCTACAAGCAGCACATCATCAAGGACAAGATTCCTGATGGCACCTCCACCACCGTATACCGCAACGGTCCCCTTATCGATCTTTGCCGTGGACCCCATGTACCTCACACTGGAAGGATAAAGCAGTTCAAGGTCATGAAGAACTCGGCCTCGTACTTCCTCGGAGACGCAAACAACGACAGTCTGCAGCGCATTTACGGTGTCTCATTCCCTGACAAGGACAGGATGGCAGAGCACCTGAAATTCCTGGAGGAGGCTGCGAAGCGTGACCACCGCAAGATCGGAAAGGAACAAGAACTGTTCTTTTTCCACGAGTACAGCCCTGGCTCATGCTTCTTCTTGCCCCACGGACAGATCATCTACAATACACTGCAAGCTTTCCTTCGTGAGGAGTACTGGAACCGTGGATACCAGGAGGTTGGGTCACCGAACATGTACAACTCGGCGCTGTGGAAAATCTCCGGTCACTGGCAGCATTACCACGAGGACATGTTCACATTCGATGTTGAGAAGGAGAAGTGGGCTCTGAAGCCTATGAACTGCCCTGGTCACTGCCTGATCTTCAAGCACCGCGAGCGAAGTTACCGTGAGCTGCCAATCCGCATGGCTGACTTCGGTATTTTGCACCGAAACGAGGCCAGCGGCGCTCTTACTGGCCTTACCCGTGTTCGCCGCTTCCAGCAGGACGACACTCACATCTTCTGTACCGAGGATCAGATCAACGAGGAAGTCTTGGGTCTGTTTGACTTCCTCCGCGCAGTGTACGGAAAGTTCGGTTTCACATTCAAGTTGAAGCTCAGCACACGTCCAGAAGGTTTCCTTGGCGAGATTGAGACCTGGAACAAGGCCGAGGCGAAGCTGACGGATGCTCTGAATAAGTTTACCGCCGAAGGTGGTGGTGCTTGGGAGCTGAATCCTGGTGATGGTGCGTTCTACGGTCCTAAGATCGATATCACCATCTCCGATGCCCTGAAGCGTGAATATCAGTGCGCTACAATCCAACTCGACTTCCAGCTTCCCAACCAGTTCGAGCTCGAGTACATGACCTCTGAGGTCGCAGCCGCGAAGCCTAAGGAGGAGAAGGTCAAGGCATCAGAGGCACCTAAGGAGGAGGCGCCCAAGGAGGCTCTTGCACAGGAGCAGCCAGAGACACCTGGAGACCTTGCCTCGATTGCGAAGAAGATTAAGCCTCCTCAGCCTGGTTACGCTCGCCCCGTGATGGTTCACCGTGCCATCTACGGGTCTTTCGAGCGCTTCATTGCGTACGTTCCTCACCATTAGACTCCCTCACACGCTTTGCTGACTTGACTAGCATTCTCACTGAGCACTTCGCCGGCCGATGGCCATTCTGGCTGTCTCCTCGTCAGGTCATGGTCATTCCTGTCATGCCTGGTGCTAACGACTACGTGAAGGAGGTCCAGGCCGCGCTTCGCAAGCAGCACATCCATGCCGACATCGACATCAGTGGAAACACCATGCAGAAGAAGATTCGCACAGCACAATTGGCTCTCTACAACTTCATCATGGTTGTCGGTGCTGAGGAGCAGCAGAACCGCGCCGTCAACTGGAGGAACCGTGATGACCAGGCGTCTCAGCAGCGTGGTGAGATCATTCCTCTCGACGAGGCGGTTGAGAAGCTCGTGAAGTTGAGGGATGAGCGAAGGATAGAGAATAAGGTTTGAGTGGGAGACACAGTAGATTTGCATGAGCAGGCGCACGAGCGATGAAGTATGATGGCATGTAGCAGTTGGAAGCAACGACAGGAAGAAGCGTTGTAAGACAATCAAACAATTCACATCACACGCAGGCCTTCCGTCAGCATATCGTTGCCACGGCCGTTGACCACGGAAATAGTGAATGCCAACAAGCGTTGACAAGGCCGCAAGCGTAGGCTAGAGACCTTGATGGGTACGCTAGAAGAAGCGACCGTTCCGTAGATGCTTCAATTGTCATTTACAGTATTTCCTCCTAATTGCTCTCGCTATCACAATGTTCTGAATCCTGCAGCGTGACTCAGGTACAAGGTATTGCGTCAACTTGCAGGACGACGCCCTAACTCTTGGCGAGGTGATCGTCACGGCCCGCGAATCGCCAGTTGACGGCGTGCTTCAGATCTTTGACACTTGGGCACGGGGTTGGACCTGGTGTTTCCACTTCCAAATCTCCACCGCTCTTGCGTCTGGACGATACGCAACGCGTCAACTCATGGTCTGCGAGGAGCGGCCCCGCCATCTCTCCACGCTGTGCAATGTGTAAGGCTGCAAAAGGGGGTTGAGGCGTTTGGCCAGCTGCGGCATGACGATGCCCAGGCCCTGTTGCCAGGCTTTCATAGCCAGTCCCGAGTTGTTGGCTGGGCCATTCCTGATACAGCGCGGCCGTCTTAGCCATAAAGCATGTTTATTATCTTGAATTGCCCGCGATGCTTACACCCTGTTTGCAATTTTGGTCGTCTCCATGGACAAGTTGAAGATTCAACAGAAGTCGCGCACTGCGCGCAACAGGCTTGCTGAAGCTGTATCGCGAGGAAATGGCACCGGTTCCCTTGCTGTTCCCCCTTCGACACTTGCGATCAACGACAACGCTAGCACGACCGGCGTGAATGAAGGCTTCCCAGGCCAGTCCGCTGCACGCGACTTTGCAGTTCCAGAACGCGTACCGGTACCACAGCCAACCATTGAGCCTCCGACATCTCTGCAATCCTCAGTAGACGCCGGCAAGCGCGTGCCTGTGCCTCCGCCTAAAGATGTTCGAACGCCAACGAAACGAGGGTCTGTCCTACCTCAACATGCAAGGAAGGTGCGATTGCTAACATTGACAAAGGACGTCATCCCCCTTAACGCCTCAAAGAGCAAGAAGCAACTCAGCACCACATCGACCATTGAACCAGCAATGTGGATCGTCTCAGCAGCAGCACAGTCCCTACAGTCGGCCTTCCCCAGGTGTTCGTCAAGCTAGCATTGGTATTCGGCGGATGCCTTCCTCAGCCACAATAAACCAATATGCACAAGCCACGGATCCTTCTTCACAGCGAGTCAGTCAACCTCTAGACACCTTAGAAGAAGGCCGGGAACTTGGAAGGACGCCATCGAAATCAACTGATTCGACACTCACCCAACCTGAACTCAGTAGGCTGAGGAAGGTCAAGAGCGCCATACAGACGAGAGTGCCGTTCTGGAACAGCCCTAGCAGCAAGGAGAAGGAGTCTCCCGAGCCCCTTGATCCGTCTACCCAGGGGTCTGCAGATGTAGGGATGGACTACACATCTGGGATGGTAGATGTATTGGATACGATTGGCATGAATACTCTCACCACGTTAAAGAACATGAGCTAATCTATCCAGATCCTGAGGTTGCGACTTTGACATCTTTGACCAACTTGCAGAACTCATTGTTCGTGCCCAACTTGCCCTTCTTCAATCGGCGACCGACCTACAACCTGCGACGTGCTCCGAGTGAGACTGCAAGTCTCGAAGAGATCAACCGCATCCTGGGTCCAGCGCACGCAGCTCAAGCCGAAGCACAACTGCAGCCACCTCCTAGGTTGCAGCGCACAGAGACTGAGGGCACAACAACCACTCTGGCGACAATCGATTCGCAACTGAGCGACTCTCGGTATGCTGTTCTTCCGCATGGCACTTCCCTGGAAGGCTGGAGCAAGCAAGACAAGGCAGAGGTGAACGACCATGTTCGACACATGCTTCACTCGAAGCGCTCGAAGTTCAAGCGCACAATGAGAGGTTTCGGTCAGTATGTCAAAAGACCCTTAGGCTTCTTGGTCACGCTGTATGCCACGCTCATCACCCTCTTCGGTCTTGCATGGGTGCTGTTCCTGATCGGTTGGATCAATGTTGGAGGTCAACAAATCTACGTGGTCCACATCATCGACAGTGTCCTGGTAGCTCTCTTCGCCATCGTTGGAGATGGTCTTGCTCCTTTCCGAGCCATCGACACGTACCACATGATCTACATCGCTCACTACCACCACTACACATGGTCTCGCAGAAAGAAGGACATGCTTCCAGCGCTACACGATCAGAACGATCTTCCATCTGGCAATGCACCCATTACTGGACCGCGCATGACTGACCCTGAGGATCCCGAGAAGCAGTGGGAGTTCACTGTCCTGACACCTAAGCAACAGGAGAAGCTCGAGCATCACCAAGAGAAGTTCTGCAAGTCGCATTCATTCTACAAGCCTCATGAGACCGAGACGCACTACGCCTTCCCACTTCGTTTCCTGGTTGCCATCGTGGTACTTCTGGACTGTCACTCGCTTCTCCAGATCTCACTCGGAGCCACCACATGGGGCATCTACTACAAGAACAGACCATTCGCCATCACCACCGTCATCCTGATCTGTTCCATCACCTGCAACGCTACCGCAGGTCTACTCATCTGGCTTGGCGATAAGCGCACTAGGAAGACGGATGTGCTCGAGCGCATGAATAGACAAGATCTGACCGAGGAAGCCATCCAGAAGGTTGAGAAGAAGAAGGAGCGCGAGAGCGAGAGCGAAGGAGATGAGCTCACTAAGAATGAGCGGAAGGGGCGCATGAGCCTTGATATGATCAGGAAGAAGACACAGGGCAGCAGCAGCGAGAAGAGTGGAAAGCGTGGTGAGCCACAGCCGACTGCGCAGAACCCGTACCCTTGAGGGTCAACGATTTGCATATGCCTTTCGATTTAATCTTTTGCAGCGTTTTAGCGGATACCATTTATCTCCTGGCTACAACATAGCATTTTCTGGACGTTTAATGAACGATATACAATTTGATGCCCTTCGGATGGTTGCGTGTTCTCTTGTTTACACTCGGAAGTTCTAGATTGGTTTGCCTTCACTTCACCATTCATCACGCCCTCTCTTGGCACAGTCGCTTGTTCTTGCCCACTTATAACCCGTGCCCACACCTTCCTCTCGACCATCTTACGAAGGTTCCAACTGGAATTTCCGAACTCAGCCTATGGCCAAAAAGAAAAAGTGTGCTGTAAAGCGAACAAGGACAATGTCTGCCGATCCAGAGAAGCTCGAGGATGGACCCTCTTCAGACTGCGGACGCATATTGCAGACCCAGGCCATCAGGTAGGTTGGCGCTCCACTGTTAGGAAACAAGAGACTGATACCTCATAGCATGATCGATCAGATAACCGTCAACGTGGGTACTAGCGAAGACAACAAAAAGTTTCCCGTCCTTGAAGCCGTCATTCGGAAAAGCTCTCGCTTCTTCGACAACGCCCTGAAGCACAAATGGGCCGCCAACAAGACCGAACCGCGTACCATCGACCTCTCAGAAGACTCACCGGACATCTTCAATATCTACCTTCACTGGTTATACTTTCAGCAAATGCCGATTGCTCGTGCCAGAGCGTCTGGAAATAAACAAGCGAAGGGTGATGAATACATCGACATAGCCAAGTGTTATGTTCTTGGCGAAAAGCTCATGGACAACGCTTTCAAGAACGCTATTCTTACGGCTTTGGTCGACGCTTACGTAGACCAGCCGGCTGAACCTCGCCTATGCCCTGGTCGACTGACACTTCAGGTCATATACGCGGGCACCATGGAAGGATCACCCGCGAGACGTCTCCTAGTTGACATATGGGTCCGCTTGGCAAAAGAGACATGGATTCAGCACCTGACAGAGGATTTACCTCATGCCTTTGTGCTAGAGTTCTCGAGAGCGCTTCTGCTGAGCAAGTGCAGTGGCAAGGACAAGGACGACGAATATTCCTGGAAGGAATTCGTTAAAGACTACATGGAGGAGGAGCGATGAGCGACGCGAATGCTTGGAGGTTGCGACACAAGCAAAAAACGTGGCTCGCGGTCACAAGCGCGTTCAGAGTTGTTAGGAAGTAGATAACAGCGCGACAGGAAGAGCAGGCATACAACTCGCAACAATGAAGACCTCCTGGGTCGTGAACAGAGATCAGCATCATTCAAATCCATCAGTGTCAATATCAGAGTTCGACCCCTTCTTTTCCGATCCCATCGTCAATTTGTGGTGTCCCTGATATATTCGCTGACTTCGCTTTGTGCTGCTAATCTTGGCTCGATTGTTTGTCTCTTCACTCTTTGATTCGCCCTTCTTGGACAATGCGTCAGAACACCGTTGTGAACAATGACTAGCAAGACTTGGGCCCTTTGAGCTACTGCAGTATCCAAACAACAGAACACGAGACGTTGATGTCCTTCGAATGCTACCAAGGCCGACCACTTTGTCTTATGATATCTGTATTCAGGCTCCGAGGCTCCGAGACTCTTTCTACGTGCGACTCTTTTATGAAAATACCACTGCACTAATGCCGTTAATGCTCACTACCAAGCATGCCGGAAGCTAGGCAAGCGACGAAGTCGGTCGATTATGAGTGGGAGCATTTCACCTTCACGTCAGAATATCGGACGCTGACATCAGAAAGGCTGGAGTAAGTCGAGTCGCTCACACAGTGCATGCCTATTAGTTACTGACACTTGACAGCTTCATCAAATTCATTACTGCTAATGTCGGCACAGTGACAGATAACATCAAGCGTCCCATCAACGAAGCACTCATCCGGCGAAGTTCCCGGTTCTTGGATAATGCTAAATATGAAGCCACAATGGGCGTCTGCTCGCTCTGACCCTCGTACAGTTGATCTGTCTGACGAAATGCCGGAATTGTTCGAGACATATTCCCACACTAGTTTTTATGACTATCTCCCTGGAAGATACAAAGAGTTCGCGAGTACTGGTGGTCTCCATTCGAGGGACCGTAATGAGGACGACTGAATACTCAACTTCAACAACGCACCGAAACACGCTCCCAGGGTAGATACTGATCCCCTGAATAGAAATTCGTGTCTGCTAACTGGTGCAGCTATTGAGCAGAAGATTGCAATAGCACAGGGGTTTCCTAGCCGTGGTCCAAGCGAAAACTCGCCTGACAAAAGGTATCGCGTGGCTGGTACAGCATGTGGGGCCTATTGACAGTCTGTTCTTTAGTGGTCATTCTGCGGGTGGAGCAGTCGCTCAGATTTTCTACGCCATGAGCATGTCTTGCCTCTACAACGTAGCTGATGCTACCACCGGTACGTACTCCGTTGTACAGCTCCATAGCATCGGCTTATTGTCAGTAGGTTTCAAGCAAGTTCACTGCATCACTTTTGGTACACGTCCCCTGGCGTCTGTGGCCTTGCATGACCAGCAGCTCGGGCAGAGACCTAAACCTGGCAGATTCTGGAGCGTTATCAGCGAAGGCGATCCTGTTCCTCAAGCGCAGGAGGAGTTCCTCAAGAACTTGATCGAAGTCTACGTCCTGAAGCGTAGTGACCTAAAGAATAGGTACCCTGGTGACGTTACAATTCCTGGCGGGCACTTCCGCGCAAGTGGCAAGAAAGACGGTGTTGGAGCTTACACAACATTGTCAAGTACGCTTGAGACAAAGTTGTTCGGTAATGCCTTTGCGCACAGCTGCGAGCTGTACAAGTAGCGTTTTTCAACTGGCTCACTCAGCTTTGGTCGAGCTAGATCTCGAAGATGCGGATGATAAGGAGATTGCCATCAAATTGGAGCCACTGAACTACCAAGGGGGCTGCGTCGAATGTGGTAGACGTGATGCGCGCTAGGAAGAAGATGGCACTCGCAAAGGCATGCACGGCTGGAGACGTGCATATGTAAGGAATGACGCAACACATTTCTCGATGAACATCTGCACTGCAAGGAGAGCAGGCAATGTGGCTCGCAACGATGGAGACCTTCAAGATCGTGAATCAACTTTAGCAATGTCTAGAAACATCGAAACCCAATCTCAAAAGCCGACCCCGGTGCACCGGCTCCTTCCCTCGTGTTCCCCCAAACGTCATTCCCCGGACTCACTCCCCGGGAAAATTGTTTCCCCACGAAATCCTGCCGTTCGCCCCACATTCACCCCCAAGCAATCTCAACACCACTCTAATTGGTGGAATCGCATAAATATCGCTCACCTCCCGTCGCCCGAGATACTGATGAAGGTCAAGATTCGCAAGAAACGTGCGCGAAAGCTTGTTTCATGCCTGACTCGGGTTGCGCTCGAAGCTGATTGAGGGGATGCTGGCACTTCGTGGTAAAGGTGGCCGTTGAAGATGCGCCGGGGCGGGTGATGACATGCGCTGTGGAGTGTAGACAGGTATATATGAGTGTTGGCCTGGTGGGTTGGTGCAGTATCGCACCACGTTGGCATCTGAGTATATTCTCTGCTATACTGTCAGAATGCATTTCTTTACACTCCCAATCCTTGCGACGATCGCAACCTTCACATACTCAGCAGTCGCTGCACCAAAAGCAAAGCCCCCAGCGTTCTTTCTAGCCGGTGACTCGACCACTGCCGTGCAATCAGCTGGTGGAGGAGGTACTTTCCCTCCCACAACCCTATTCATGATACTTAACTGACCACGTACAGGCTGGGGCGACGGCTTCCTCAACACCACCCTCAAGAACGGCGCAACAGGCAAGAACTTCGGCCACAACGGCGCAACAACCGTCTCCTTCCGCGCTGGCGGCGACTGGGCCAACGTGCTCGCAGCCGCAAGATCCGCTGCAGCAAAGTACAGTCCCTACGTGACGATTCAATTCGGCCACAATGACCAAAAGCCCGAGAAGAACATCTCCATGGCCGACCTGACCGCCAACCTCGTCAAGTTCGTGGATGAGGTCAGGGCTGTAGGCGCAACACCCATCTTAGTTACGAGCTTGAGCAGGCGGAAGTTTTCGAACGGCGAAGTCGTAGAGTCTCTTGCGGACGTCACAGCTGCGGCCAAGAAGGCAGCCTCGAAGTCGAAGGCGGATATTATTGATCTGAACAGCGCGAGCACCAAGTACTTGAACAGCATTGGCGCGGACAACGCTGCAACGTACAACCTCAACCCTACCGACTTCACGCACCTGAATGGCGAGGGTAGTGTTGTGTTCGGAAACTTGGTGGCGACCCTGATTGATGCGGAGGTGCCGGAAGTGAAAAAGTATGTCGTGCCGGTGAAGGATGTGGCGGTGGCGTTGAAGGCAGGCAAGTACATCTTCCCTGCGGCTAAGTCTTAGATGTTCGAGACTGTTTGAAGGAGAAAGTGAACAGAAAAAATCTTAACTTGAATGATTTGATTGCAATGCTGCCCGGACGCCAGTGTGAAAAGATTTATCCAAGACAGCCTCCATATTGTGCCTCTAAATCCCAAGGTATCTGCAAAATGTACTGATATGTGACCCACCAACAGCTGCTTACTTGATAAGCACCGGTGCAACCTTGCCAGCCTTCTCTGCTGCAATATTGGCCAGCTTCTGTAGCTTCTCGGCGCGGACTTGGCGGAAGTATCTAATTAGAAGGATAAACTGGAGCTCGATTCTATATGCTTTGTTAGAGAAGATCCCAGTGCTGTGAATGACGAAACGTACCTCTCCTTTGTCATCATGAGGAATCCCTGGACCAGCAAGCCCTTCAAGATCTGTGGTCCAATGCCCTTGAACAATGCCCATGGGCCTTCGTGCTCAATGATGTAACGCATGACCTCGGTGAACGTCTTGAATGGGACGCCATTCCTGGCTGGTGGCGGCTTCGACTGGAGACCGACCTTGGCGACAATGAGTGGTTGTGTGACGACGGTAGCGAGCATCTTCGACAAGGATCCAAGGACTGTCCAAGTTAGTTTCTACCGATTCCAGGAATTATTAACAACCACGTACGGAAAGCTTCATGAGGCTTCAATGCTGTTCTGCCTGGGTACAAGATGTCCTTGAGACGCTGATATGCGCCATATGTGATCGAAGGGTTCACCACTAGGACTAAGCTTGCCTTGAGTCCTCGCCAGAGACCTGTCCAGCCATCCTCGCTGTTGACGACATCCATGCCTGTGGCAATCATGCCCTTGCGCTCGTGCTTGCTCATGGTCTGTTGGCGTGTTGTAACAACAGCAACAGGGATTGTGAGCAGTTGAGCCAGTGCTCCAGCTACGGCTCCCAGTGATAGTTCAGCGGCCGTTCCTGGAGGTGTCGAAACGGTCTGGTGGGACAAGTACAAGCTGCGAACGAAGGTGTACCAGTAGAAGTATGCGAAGTTTGTCGAGGCGACACCAACCAAGGAACCAAACATGCCTGCGTACAGCCCAGAAACACCTTCGTTCCCGATAACCTTCTGGATGGCGTCGAGGGTGCCATTGTAGTGCTCGTGGTCGGCAGGATTCGGATCATTCGAGTTTTTTGAGCGCTTGACTTGTACCTGTAGTCGCGTCTTGATCCTGTGGCATGATGAGTGCTGAGTGCACCAAGTTGCTCCAAGCAGTGGTAGCAGCATTGAGGTAGCTTACATGTCCAGCGGGTAGACTAAGGTGTTCGCAATGACGGCGCCAGCAGCGCCTGCGACGGCATTACCCCATGGAGGCAGCACCTCGACCTTCGACTGGCCGGCCATCGTTCAGGTATGAAGTGAATATCACGTAGCCGAAAGTGATGTATTGGGCGCGAGGACGGTCGATGGAGCCAGCGATGCGGGGTCTATGTTGAAATTCCTGTACACTTTTCACACCATGGCCTGTAGAGTCAAGCTGATCTCTAATTTCGTGTCCTGGATTCGTGATAGTATCCTGGCCCTGGGAAAGCGGGTAGGAAGCTTTCGTGCTGCTCCCGATAACCGCAAGCCTGGCGCATGACGAAACCCCAGCAGCCGAGGTCCACGGCCGAGGTCCAGTTCTTAGAGGTGTTCGACAAGGTTCATTGTGCTCAGTGCTCAGTGCGCTTACATTCCGCGTACGGCTGGCTAAACGATGATGACTGAGACATTGTTTGCTCTTGCCATAGCAGCTGCTTCCAGACATACTCAATCGCTGCGAGAGCCAGCGTGTTAAAGGCGAGAAAGGCGGTCGCAAGGCGGTTGTGAAGGTAGGCACGTGCACTACGCTAGCTGGCTCAGCCTCAACACCATGGCAGGATCACGACCGTTGACTTGCAATGCACATTCGACTTGATCACGATCGATGCACCATTTCTATGGCGATAAACAGATGATTTCCCATAAACATTTCGCACCAAGCTGGCACGGTGAAGTTTGATCGCGCGGCCACGTCATTCATCATGGCGGACACGGCGGCGCGGCTTGAAGCCTACAAAGCAGCAGCGAGCGTACGTTCACAGCAACACAACCACTTGACACACATGTTCGAGCACGTGCACTTACACTGATTGTAGAACTACCGCTCACAGTTACAAGCCGCTGGCACCAAAGATGAGGCCCTCACACTCGCCATTAGCGTAGCCGAGAATCTTATGAAAGCGCTCAAGCTGTCCTCGAACGCAGACGAAAAAAAGCAGCTGAAGGCCCAATGTGGCGTGCTAATGGATGTCGCTGATCGCATCAAGAAGTCCAAGGATTGGACACCTCTGATCAGACAGCAGCACGAGAACGCCAAAACTGCACAGATTGATCAATGGGCAGCAAGTGTGGAAGTGTCGACAAGTCCTGGACCCGCCTACGAGGAGATGGCATCTACATGGAGCTCGTCTGTGTACAGCTATCCCCAAACCGCCGCGCCTGCGAACATTCGGTCAGCATCAGGTAACTCGCCATTTTCATCAGTCTCATTTCCTTTACAGAGTACTTTCGACCCAAGTTTCTACCGAGATGATTCTCGACAAGTTTCCATGCCACTCATCGATCTCTCGGATGATCAGTTTCCTTTGCCGTATGACAACAGCTGGAGCGCACATGCTGATTCACGACGCAAAGATAACGCTCAGACTCGCAGTGGTGGAGCGTTAAATGTTGATCCGTCATCAGAAGCAGTTCAAAAAGCTCCTTCACCACTTACACCCTCGGTATCCCAGTCGCGGTATCTACAATCGAACCCGGCAGTCGCAGCGGCACCGAAAACAACATCAGCAATACCAATCGCACCGAAGCTTGCCTCAGCTTCACACATCCATAGACTGACTGAGCCCGTTTCAACCAGGAAGCGATCGAAGAAAGAAGACATCATATTGCTAAAAGCATCCGTCATGAACGGTTTCAAGTGTCCACCGTGGGACAAGAACCCAGCGCCAACTGACTTCGTTCCACCAAATGGTCAGGACCTTTTCCAGTAAGTCACTAGCTACTATACCTGTATCTGGACACTGTCTAACGGACTTTGCTAGGGATACTCATGATCTCAGTCTATCACCGTACCAACAGCAGTTTTTTAAGGGCTGGGTCCGCGCTATTGACGCTGTACCCCCTCCTTCCCTATATCCGAACGGTAGAGATGGTATTGGACCTCTAATGTCGAGCTCGCGCTCGATCGATCTTGTGCAGGATGCCGCATCCGACTGCTCAGTGGTGGCCAGTCTCTGTGCTGGGGTCGCTCGAGCCGAGCGCGGACATGATCAAGTTAGTAGACAATCAAAGAGGCACGACAGTACGATAATCACTGACTAATGCAGATGCTTCAAGACAAACTGTACCCTTTCGACAAACACCTGGGAAAACCCATTCCATCGACGAACGGGAAATATATCGTTCGTCTGAACTTCAATGGCTGCTGGCGAAAGGTCGTAATTGACGACCGATTACCAGTCTCCAGCACCCACCGATTACTCCACGTAACCGATCGACGGAATCCAGCATTGCTGTGGCCAGCACTGCTCGAGAAGGCATATCTCAAGGTTCGCGGCGGATACGACTTCCCTGGGAGTAACTCGTGCAGCGACTTGTGGACATTCACTGGCTGGGTGCCGGAACAAGTGTTCTTACAAGAGTGAGTCTTTCAGTTAGTCTCAACAGCTTGGCTAACTTTTGCAGGACGGATACGATCCCTGATAAGCTCTGGAAGCGTATCTATAATGCTTTCACATATGGCGACGTTCTTGTGACCGCGGGTACTGGAAAGATGTCCACAAGGCAAGAGCGCGAACTCGGCTTGGAAGGGCAGCATAGCTACGCGGTGCTAGACATGAAGGAGACAGACCACGATCGGCTTCTGCTAATCAAGAATCCATGGGTAGAAGGAAAGGGCTGGCGAGGTCCTTGCCCACTAGCAGCACCAGTCTGTGACTCTTCCTCCTCCAGTGCAGGTGCGGGCTCCAAGGACAGCTTGGAAGCCTATCATCGAGATAGTGTCCCAACACTCGAGCGGCCCCATCCTACAACATTCTGGATCGGACTCGAACAAGTCATCCAACACTTTGAGAGCTTGTATCTCAACTGGAATCCTGGGCTGTTCCGGTATCGTCAGGATTTACACTTTGACTGGACCATCGAGTCCCAAAAGACGCCCGGTAATTGCATCGTACATCATCCACAGTTCACCTTCTTGTTGAAGAAAGCGGACCATGTCTGGTTCCTCCTCAGTCGCCACTTTCGAGACACACCTTCAGATATCAAGGAAGAATCTGATGCATTCAACGACGGAACTGTCCGCTCTGACTCTCAGGTGAACACTTCGGGAGATCCTCCGAAAGGATACATGAGCATGTACGTCTGCAACGGACACGGAGAGCGTCTCTATATCAAGGACACGTACTTAGAGTCGAGCGATTATGTGTCGACGCCGCAATCTCTTTTGCGATGGGACGCTGACGCAGACTCGAACTACACAGTCGTTATCGACCAGGACGATCTTCCACCGTCTTCGTACAGCTTCTCGCTGTCGGCCTTCTCTAATTCGCCTATGGTTTTGGAACCTGCCGTTCTAAAGTATCCCATTCAGAAGATCGAGAAAGGAGCGTGGACAAGACAAAGCGCGGGCGGTAACACCAGCTCTCCAAGATACTTCGAAAACCCACAGTACGCTCTTGAGATCCGCGAACGGTCTTCACTTACGGTTCTTCTCACGAGCTCCAACCATGAGCACCCACTTCATATCAAGCTTGCGCTTGGCCATGGCAAGAGGATATATCGACTGCAGAGCCGAGACGTGCTCGTAGACTCCGGCAACCATCGCGTTGGAGCAGCTACTGCAGAGATCAAAGACCTCCAGCCAGGCCTGTACACCATCATTTGCTCTTTGTTCGAGGCAGGTCAGACCGGGGATTATACGCTGCGCATCGACAGCAGCAACGACGTACGATTAAAGCAAATCCCTCGAGATGGTGCCGGCTTGAAGTCAATGAAGCTGACACCAGCTTGTTTCGGACCCAACATGCACAAGATTGCTGCACCACTCTTGCCACAGCGTCTTGCTTCGTACACGATTGTTGCTCGTTTCTTGAAAGCAACCAGCCCACGGTCAGTCGACCATGGAATGCTAGCTCGCAGTCCTCTGCGTTTTAGCGTTGAACAAGGCCGGGGTCCAGAGCGAAAATTCCTGATTGCTAGCGAACGTGGAGAATACGCTGACTCGGCAACGGTTCGGTCCGAGAGCGTCCACATTGATCCTGCAATCGTCCACCGTGGTGATTTGTGGCTGGTACTCGACAGGCTATCAGGACCAGGCGGACCAGTTGAAGAGTGGTACGACCTGGAGATATTTACAGACATGCCAGATGCATGTTCCGTTGGCGTTTGGCGCGACTGGAGTGACTAGTCCATGAGACGAAGTCATGATTCGGCATTTGCATCTGGTGTGGATGGCGTTCAACAGGCGGTGGGTCATGTGCATTGCTACTTTGGCGATCATCTTCGAGGAGTTCTTTTGCTTGCAACTGCTGCGTTAAGCGCATGGGAGCTGGCTGTCAGCATGACCGCGACTGCAACTACATGCTCACATTTTTCCAGCTACAATGCAACATTCTCAACTACCTGTGTAGCACAAGATAGAAAATAGCATGTTCTAACTTCAAGGGTCCTGGGTGTGAATGCTGCAGAAAGTGAAACGAGCAAGGATGAGCGTGGGGCGGTGAAACTGCATCCAATCACGGCGACACGAAGTGTAGCAGGCCATCTCATTGCCTGTGGCTCGCGTGCAGCAAGCGCATGTTGAGCTCTGGAGCACGACAATGGGGCGCTAGATAAATGCGATTCTGCTGCCCATACAACTTTTGACGTCTTTCCTTTGCGTTGTGTTGTGTGTGCAGTTTGACAAACTTTGTCTCTCCAGATTTACCCCACCTGTCCACCGAGCGGCTTATCGGCATCATCTACGTCAGAGCTTCACGCGTACGCCAAGTAGAGATCACCTGCAGGGCATTCGCACCGCCACACCACGACGACATCGCCGCCTGTCCTTTGATACCAGCTTGACGTAGATTTTGTGCAGACATCCAAAGACACCCCTAGAGAACGCAACCAGCCCAACCAACATGGCGGACCTCGCCGCAGAAAATGCCCGCTCGGGCTCCACCACAAATTCGGCGACAGCCTCCAACGCTGCGTCGCGAGCTTCAACGCCCGGCGCAACAGCAGAGAAGCCGCCGGATGACAGCTCCAAGTTCAAGACCTTCTTGGGCATATTGCGAAAGTGTGTTGCACGACATGGACCCTGAATATGCAATGACACGTTTGCTAACTTGAGCTCCTCGCAGATTCATAGGTGTCTCCGATCTCGCTGCCGTGCGCTTCTCTCTCCCTGCGCAGCTTCTCGAGCCTCGGCCAAATTTGGGTACGTCGAACATACTAGGAAGAAGAAAGATTTGTGTAGGACATAGCCTGACGGGCAACAGAGTACTGGCACTACCTGGACAGGCCAGACACATTTATCAGCATCGGTGACTCCAATGACGAGCTTGGACGTCTGCTGGGATGCTTGCGCTTTTGGTTCACAAAGGATTTAGTATGCACCATAAATGCAGGAGAGAGGAGCAAGACTGACTTGGGGGTAGAAATATGTCAAGGGCAAGCCATGCAAGCCCTACAACTCGACTTTGGGCGAGTTCTTCAGGGTACGTTACAACTCCAAAGCATTCTACAGTGTACTGACTCTCGCAGTGTAACTGGAAAGTCGAAGACACACATCCCACCATGAAGACACCGAACTCGGCTCCCTCGAGCAGTGCCAACAGCGTCGCCGGCGATGGCAAGACTGTCACAGTCTCATACCTCACCGAACAAACCTCCCACCACCCTCCCGTTTCCGCCTTCTATATCGACTGTCCCGAAAAGGGCATCAGCGCGAGAGGGTACGACCAGTTGAGCGCAAAGTTCACCGGTACAAGCGTGCGCGTTGTAGCCGGAGCGCACAACCTGGGCATCTTCATCACCTTGAAGAACAGGGATGACGAGGAGTACCAGCTCACACATCCGGCAGCATACCTGGGTGGTATTCTGCGAGGTAAGCATTTGCAGCTGCACAAATCAGCATAAGAGGCTCACAAAAGGACAGGCTCCCTTAGCGTCTCCGTTGCCGACACCTGCTACATCACATGTCCCAAGACCGGACTGAAGGTCATCCTTGAATACCAGGAAGAAGGTTGGCTAGGCCGCAGCCAGAACCTGGTTAAGGGAGTGATCTTCAAGTACGACCCCAAGAACGACACCATAACCAAGATCAAGGACGTGTCAGATAAGGAGGTTCTTGCACGGATAGAGGGCGCCTGGACAGACAAGGTCTACTACACACTCGGCAATAAGCCCTTCAACAAGGCTTCCGTAAGCGCTATGAACCCTCGTTTGCAAGCAATAGCGCACTAACCGTCTTGCAGGAGAAGCACCTTGTTATCGACCTCAACCCGCTCTTCCCTGTCCCCAAGGTCGTCCCTCCTATGGAGGAGCAGCTCCCCAACGAGTCCCTCAAGTTCTGGGAAGGTGTCACCAACGCCATAGTCGGGCGACAGTACAACCAAGCCACAACGCTTAAGACCGAGATCGAAGAGAAGCAGCGACAAAAGGCAGCGGAGCGCAAGGAGGCGAACAAGGAATGGCAGCCCCGGTTCTTTACCGGCGCAGTCACACCTGTCGGCCGACCAGATCTGACCAAGGACGGCGAGATTGCATTGAAGGGGCTGCATGAGGAGAAGTACCACCTCGAGCCCAACGTAGAATATGGCGCATAGAATTTTGGATATCTGTTCGATTCGATATACATCGGAGCCGGGGGTGCAGAATGCGTTGGGCGGTTCTTCGATACCTTCGCTTGGTTCACGTCTAGGTCTGCCTTTGTTTCGGCTTGCGGGAAGCATGTACAGTTGGCGTCCCGTCGAGTCTTTCGATACATCACCTTGCGGTTTGGGTTTCGACACCATCGTTCGGTTGCATATATTCGACAGTTTGTCCGAATAGATTTACCATCATCTGAGCCGGGTGGCGTTCACTGTGCACCTTTTGGCATCGTTTGTTCAGCTTTGGTCTGGCCTTAGGCATGTGGCACAGCACAACAATGGGAGGGAGACCCACATGACGAATTGTTAGCATGGTCCTTGAATGTTCATCACTAGCAACGGCAGCAGTTGGCACGATATGGCTGAAGTGCCAGGCGAAAAATCCTTATGACACTGTTTGTTGTCTCGTGTCAGTCTTTGATATTCACAACGTCTACCCAAGGCATCAAGGCTGCACAATGTGAAAACTCTGGTAGCGAGTATATTTGCTCGATTACTTCATTCACAGTTCCGGACATATCGAACACAACAGCAACAATATACCAAACATCAACTCCACGACCAAGACGATACTGCCACCAATACTACACCTTAACATGTGCTACATCTCCCACACCCGCTACACCTGCACCCACCTCGCCCCCTTCCACCCACCAACTTACCAGCGTCCTACCACTGCTCAAGACGCAGTCCAAGCGAATCCAAAGACTGAATGGCCAACACACCCTCACACCACGCTCGAGGGCTGCCAGGATGCGTGTCGTCGCGGAGCGCGCTGTAGTGGGCGGCTGGAGGAGTTGGAGGTTGTTGAGAAGAAAGGGGAGGGTGTTTGTGAGGAGTGTGAGGATGGAGAGTGGGTGGTCGTTGAGCGTGGATAGTGAGGCTGGACTCTCGTGAGATTGGGAAAGCCGGAATCATGCAAATGAGCTAGAGTCAAGCAAATGACCGTAATGTACAATGTTCTGAAGGCCTCCAGGATCTCCTGTCAGGTAGCAACAATCTGGCAAACCTGTACTTCCAATCCTTAACTCTAGTATGTAGGATATGGTGATCTGAGGGTGCCGTCGAGAGGCACTGGAGACGGCTCATTTCTGCAAGATTCTATGCCATGATACAATGAAATGAAAAACAGAAAGCACCTTCATCTATTAAGCTCTCTGCCTATCTATACTAAACACCTCCGAAGAATCCTCGTCAGCCGAACTTTTGCTGCCGCCGCTTGGCTTTCAGGGCCTTCAGAGCTTCACGCATTTTCTCGGCAGCCGTCTTATCTCCTCGACCGGAATCACTTCTCTACGCGGCACTAAGATCGTTCGGTACGGCGCCGCGTTCTCTTCTCTGTCAAGACCTGACCCTTCGCCGTGGCTGCATCTATCACCTTGAGCGCTATCACTGCGCTTGGCAGACACTTCGCCAGTAGCTGGGAAAGAAGGCTCATCCTTAGGCATACAATTGAGTGCTTTCTTAAGCACTTGTCTATCCGTCAGAAGTGGAGCTGGAGGTGACTGCATACTCGTCGCTTTCGTCGTCGCCGTCGCCGTCGTCGTCGCCACAGCGCCCTGCGGCTCATTCAGACGACGTAATGCCTCGGAAAGTCTGTCTCTGTCACTATTTCCTGACGGAGGAGGTAACGGGGTCTGCTTCATCTTCCTCTTCCACGCCTCTTCGCTGGCTGCGAGATTCTTGCTGCACATCTCCTCGATCCTCGCTATCTGAGCCTTGTACTTCATGTACAGCTCAAGGTAAAGCAGCAGCGCGTCGAGCGCTTCTTTGGAAATCTCGTCTGGCTCATCAGCTGCACGCATCTCACCAATGGCAGCCTTCTACTCTGCTAGCCGGATGATTCTGTCGCGCTGATTTAGCATCTCTATGCATACACTTCGCGCTGCACCGTTGTTCACTCGCAGTCTCTTCTCACAGGTGGCGAGCCGGTGATTGAGGCTGTCACCCTCTGCGTTCACCTTCCCGATCGTGTCATCTATCTCGGCGACGGAAGCACTCTCGATGATGCTGTGTCACTCTCAGTGATTCGAATGCCTCCAGTGGTAAGAGTCTCACAGCGCTTCTGCTCAGTTGCGCTGTTGGCTTCCTCAACCAATCTCTGCATGCTCAAGAGCTTGTCTCGAAGTTCAGACCCGGCAGCGGTCGCCCTCTCTATGGGCAATCATGCAAAGTCTGTATGGTCAGCGCGCTTGAGTGACCAATGAGCCTCACTGCGCAGCGTAGCAGTCTCACTCCGGATCAGCTCATGGAGCTTCGATGTGCTCCCTCTCAGCCTCGGCTTTGACCCAGCGACGGTACTCGATCAGGGTCTGTACCTCTGCCCATGGCTTCCTCAAGCTCTGCATCGCACGCTGCAACCTCATGAGCTCATCTCGGAGTGCAGATCCGTCAGCGGTGACCCGGCACTCCTCCACGGGCGATTGCGCGACATGTACACGATTATCGGTGCTTTGCAAAAGTATTGGCCCCCCCTCCTTTGCGAAAGAACTATGCCCATATAGGCAACTATGAGAAGAGGAGGGGGCGGATACGTGATGTGGGTATCCAATTAATCGTCTTGTCAAGCTGAGTATGCTGGTGATGCTTGTAGATGGATGCACGTTAAGGAACAGCCAAAATTAAAAAGAAGAATAGTGGTGAAGAGGGAAGAGATTAGACAGAACAGTGACGTTGACCTGACCTCTGCTATTTCCGTGGCTTCCGAGTGGTGGTGAAGGTCTGGTTCAGGGTCTAGCACGTGGAGCAGCTTACATATATATTGTTGCGGTATCGGTTGGTCCGTACAGTGTCTGACTATACCCCTGATCGACCATCCTGGACTAGTGTGTTACAGGTCAGGTATATAGTCATCTCCTCCTAGCTAGATAGCAATACAGCGCAGTATTCCATCGACCCGATAGTCCTACGTTATCGTTTACCGTAGCTATGAGTACTCTACAGCGGTCCACACCGCTACATATCTCCTCCGATCAAGCCCCTGACCCTTCCCTACTTCGACTTCTTGGTACGCTCTTCTTGAGCTACTAAACAAAGGGGGGACCTAGACTTTTGCAAAACATAATAGCAAGCTAGGTTGCAGAAGTACACTTACTGCTCAGCATAGCAGTGTGGACAGACAGCAGCGTCTGTATGTTTAGGATTGAATGACTCATCAGGAGGGCGTGAATCCTGACCCGTGTCAGGTGTCGACATTCTGGTAGTGATTTCCAGTGTTGTGGTGTGGAAGTGAGGTGGAATCGAAATGTTGGTGAACATTGAGGCGGCCAAAATTGCTCAGTGATGCGCCAAGTAAGTGATGATGATGGCAGAAATGAAGGTGAAAGTGAACGTGACAGCGACCTGCAATACGCAAAGTAAGGGTGATAGTCCTAAGATCTGATCTAACATTCTTCGACCAAAGAGGGAGTACTAGCGGAATTGTTTACATCAACTATCGATGCCGATGATGTCGACAACCCCTGTAACATGCTTGGCATTGTAGGGAAGGCTAAAATATAGTCTGGGAAATGCAAAAGATCATGTGAATGCGCCTAGAGCATCTATAAAGTACTATGCAGAGTAGTTCGATGCCGGCTATGATCGTAGGGACTCACCACTTGTTGCGAGCCACTCAACCTCGCCTTGACTCTGCGCCCCACACACCTTGGTACAGTGCTTCTTTGATCTCGTATACCTCCAGTTTTCAGCAACCTACTACAGCCAGCAAGGCCCAACCACGAGGATCTGCGAACTTGTGCGCTTCTGAATGACCTCGCTGCTATTGTCAGGCGGCGGTATTGGTCGGTATCCGTGGTCGTTCCAGATCAACGCAGAAGCATCAAAGGATAGCAATGTGTCCTTTGGGAATCCATTATGGGCAGTTCTTGAACTTGGATAACCTCAGTAGCTGGCGTCGGTATATGGAGAGAAGACCTTACCCACGGTTCTGTCTGGCGGCCTCTTACAGAGCCACTCCGTTGGGTAAAACGAGTACTTGACAAGGTACACGGACTCTAGCTTTTTGCAAGTGCGGAAGTGAACAGCTGCAGTGTCGTGTTGGCTTTCGTCAAACTCGTGTTCCTCTTACATCTCGCCAGGGCAACTGTATATTCCGGAACCATCGTCCGAGAACTGATCCTCCGTCTCTTCGTCGGTGGTGTGTCGCGTCGAGTTCATAGCGATACATCGCAAGTTCTGCAGCCATCCGAAGGCATCTGCGAAGGTCTTTCTTGCGGTCAGCTTGATGTGTTGGATGTGTAGCCGGCAATGCAGACGTACACGGATGAACTGACGCCCGATCTCACCCCTGAGGCTTGGACTCTGAATTTGTGGAACTGAGGACGCGATATGTTCGATGTCTTTGAGAGACCAAGTTTCACCGCAGCTCAAGGTGATGCAGCTGGCTGGGTTCGTTCGTTACATCCATCAAATCAGTGTTGTAGAGGTTGTCAGCAAGCTCCAGGGTCTTGAGATTGGGACAAACTTCGATCAAGAAAGCACAGCTGCAGTGTGACTGGATACGTAGGCTCGTGATACCAGAGAGGGTGACTCCAGCTTTCCTGAAGGTCGCGGCGAGTCTCGAAACATCGACAGCTTTGCGATGAACTATAGACAGCTCCCTCAGATTGATCAGCCCAGGTAGTGTGTGCGAGCAAGTTGAATGCGGCAGAGCGTAGTGTTGTGGCGTGATGTTGTAACAATCGAGCAGGTCCTGCTCAGCTTTGAGTATAACGTTACTACGTGGAAAGTTGTTGAACCAGCACTGAGTGCAAAGATGAGATGAAATTGAATTGAATCTATCTATGAGCAGAAGCTGTCTATAGGCAACAGAAACAAAGAGGCTTGCTTGTTGTCTAAGACACAAGCAGGACACAAAGAAGCAATCTAATTAGACATGAGATGGAAACTGCCGGAAACCAACAAAAGTAACCTCGCTGGAGAACACCTTATATCTGTGTCACCATGACTGCAAACCTGCCATGGCATCCAATCCCCTCCGGTAAAGCAACATGCAAAGTCCACCTCATACAAGCCGGCGGGCTCGCCATTCCGGAAGATATGGCATTCCTCCCAAGCCCAGACAAGCCAAACAACTCCATAAACGAGGACAAAGATGACAAACCCAAGAAGTACTACGCCCCAGACTATGTCTTCTTAATCGAGCACACGGCAACCAGAGACAAGTACTTCTCGACCTAGGTATTCGAAAAGACCTTGAGAACCTCCCTCCTACAAATCGTCAAGAATGTACTGCCACAATTTGACTGCGAATCAAAATCACCAGCAGAGATCCTGAAAGAGCACGGGATAGCGGAGCAACAACCCGAGAAAGCCAAAGCAGTTGTCTTTTCGCACATGCACTTCGATCACGTTGGCGATGGCACAAATGCTAGATTCGAGAACGAAGAGTTGTGGGTGGGACCTACATGATGTACCTACGCGAGGCTAGGGTATCCGGTTGAGAGGAAGGTGCCGACGTTGAGCAAGATTTGCCTACAGACGAGAGTAGGAAGATTGTGGAGGCTTTTGTACCAGACGAGGTTCTGGAGAAAGCGGGAGACAAGAGGGCTGGAAAGGTCATGGACGGCCTCTAAAAGGGGCTTTACAACGCCGTTGCCCTGAAGAAGGCTAACTGGACGGGGCTTGGCTCTTTCGACCGTGCATTTGATGTCTGTGGCGATGGCTCAGCGTATCTGATCTATGCACCTGGCTATTTAACAGGCCACCAGATGATGCTAATCAAAACGACGAATGGACCCCCAGATGACACTACTGTTCTGCTGGCTGGTGACTGCTTCCACCATCCTGAGCTGTTGAAGGAGCCGAGAAAGACTGCTCGTCCACCTTACTCGAAGGGTGGGATACATACTGACCCCGAGCCAGCTCTTGATACCATTCACGGTACGAAGGAGTTTGCGGAGAAGGACAATATCTGGGTTGTTGCAGCGCATGATTTCAGTTGGTCAGAACATCGAGCCAGATGGGAAGGAGATCCAAGGTCTTGTCCCGATCAATGACTGGCGGGAGAAGAAGCGGAAGAAGCCGTTACATAAGAAGTTGCAGACAACTAAGATCTCTTATACCGCCTCAACACCTTCAAATCATCGAGTGTCCATTCACCTCACAACGATGCTGGTCATGGGGAATGTGCGACTGCTTGGATGTCTCTTGACTTCGTATTGATTCTGGTATCGTTTTTGTGGGCGCGCACAAATGCTCGAATGTGTCGTCGTTCAGTCATCCCTCCGGGCCCATGCATTTAGCCTTTCGACTTCCCCTTCTTGTCCTCTATCGACTCGCCGGCTTCGCGGTCTTTCCTCCTTTGCGCAACGTCCCAGTTGTACACTCGTGCGAACGCGACCTCCAGTGTCTGCCAGCGTGTCAGTGTTCATCCATCTCTTTGAAAACCAAGGCTACATACTGTGATCTGCTCCCTCAAGAAGTCCAGGTCCTCCTCGCAGGTCGCCAGACTAGCTTTCGCAGTTGACAGCTTCGACGAGAGCAGCTCCACAGCCTCTGGGATAGGGTATGCCAGCATGACATTTGCGCCCAGCCACAAGTACACCTCGTCCGTAGGTGGTACCTCTGCCTTCGCGAATAATGTGTCATTCAGCTCGAATGTTGTCTCAATGGGCTCCGCATCCTCTCCTCTCGTCTTCAAGAAGCGCACTGTCTCTAGTGTCTTCTGGATATCTGGAATCTTATCCTTCAGTCCTGCCGCTCGCCGTTGTGTATTTGCTTGCATAAACTGATACTTCCTAGCGCATTGTGTAAGGCCGTGGTTCGTGAAGATCGAGAATGTGGTATGTAGCGTACGAGATCATCTCTTTGAAGCTGTTGATGGTGCTTTCCACCTCAGAACGGTCGGTGACATAGTCTTCGACGCGGTCGACGAATGGAGCTTTGGGTATGCCCCGTGGATTCGTCTCCGCTTCTCTTGCACATGGTCAGTGGTTGTCTTGAAAGTTGTGAAGCTTCTTACTGCGCCAACTTTACTACGTCCGGCATTCTGATGCGCCGAAGCTGCTGTTTATGGGCTCCTGCTTTGTATAGCGCAAAATTGTAGTAGAAGAAAACAGCCGTGTGACGCAACACTTGGGAATGGGCGTTGCGCAAAAGTCGTGGACCCTCACTACAATATCGATGTTTGTGGTGTTTGCTGCAAAAACGTGCCCCGCGTTTCCACTCTTCTCATCTTGGCACTATTCCGCTCCGCCCTCTTCCATTTTGTCATCACTCCCCCCTCTTCGATGGTGGAAATATAGACCCACCGCAGCTCGAGCTAGTGCTGAGTCTACAACTCGCCATGACTTCATCACTTCGGAGATGATTGTTCCAACCTCTCAATCAAATCAGCCCAGCCTGGCCCCAGCCCTGACTCCAGCCTTACGGTAATGATGCAGTTTCAGCTGATGACTGCTGCAACCCCCGGAAGCCACAAGCCATCCTTTGGACCTTCCTAATCGAACTGTTGCACCAAGCACTAAAAGAGTGTCAACACAAAGCAGACTCTTCTCATTGTCGTCCAAAGGAGCCGGACGCAGATCCGCTGCGTTTGCGGGGTTGCTTATTTATGGGCGTGGCTGACGGTGGAAACTCGTATCCGCCTAGGAGCCTGCGAATAAGCAACCCGCTGCCCCAACGGGCGGGCAGGGCTTCCGCAACGACAACTTCGACCTAAAACTTCCACACTATCGAAGATCGACGTCAGTACAGAGCTGATCTCGAGATGCTGCAGCGTCACCGATCAATCTGCATCCGAGTCAACCGAGCGCGAGCGGTGCTCCTTGCACGACAATGTCGGTCCGTGTCGTGGAGACTTGGTGTGGATGATTAAGCGTACCCGCGTATCAATACATCATTAACTATCTCCCGTCTCTAAGATAGATCGGCGCTACCTGTTCCCTGTCCATTGCGTGAACAGCCGCTGAGCACGGTCTGAGTAGTGCGTCCGGATCTCCGCAGCGTGCCCCGAGCATAGAGGGTCGCCGACTGCATGGCAGTCTGGCTGACAAGGCGTGCTGTACTGGTATGTGCCAATGCTCATCGAAGTTACTGCGGTACGGTCAAGCCACACTCGTGTCCTAGATTGGTCACCGCTTCACTGTCTGCGCCTGCTCAGCTCGAATTGTCTGTTACCAGGTAGTCAGACTCGCATTCGAGATCATGGCACAGCAGATAGCTGAGGATGTGAGAATAAGCCGCAGTACGTGTGCCACTGCTGGCTGTGTTGCTCTACCTCGACTCTCACGAAGTATCGTTGGTGAGCCGAACTTCTTCACGCGCGTTAGATCTGCGTAAGTGAATGGCAGCGATTCTCCGACTCTCCACGCACTACTGTAGCTTCATATACGATTCCAGTCCAGCGGAGGCGAAAATGTAAGTTTGTGCAACCGGTGAGCGAGCAAGTCCTTGCGTGTTCGTTTGGTGTATGCTTTCGTGAACGACTATTGAATACGGTGTACAGTCGCAAACACTGCATGCATGTTGAACAGCAACTGCAGAAGTGCCGAGCTGCAAAGTGACTTCTTAACCCTGCGAAAGAGACGGTGTGAATCCGAATCCTTCTGTGCCCTACTCGGGAGATAACCGAAGGCCGATCTCCCATGGCTGGCTGCACGACACCGATCAAGGTGACAGCAATTTGATTGAGACGTGATCTTCGGTCTGTTTCCATCATTACCAGGGCTTTGAGGTTGTCGCATGTTGTAGCTGAGGCTGACAAGCCTATCTTGGACTCGTTTCGTGGACCATGCAATTAGAATGTCTCCGCACTGTGCCGTGTGGAGACTGGTGATAATGTTTTTGGCTGAAGATGCTGCAATTGACTCGAGCTCTGAGCTAAGTGAGATGAATTGATGTCGGGTACATATCTGGCAAGTGTGCGATCGCATTAGGGATGGTTGGGCTGCATCTGTCAATGCACAAGGCTGACAGCCCTTCCAGAGAAGCGGGGAAAGAGCGATGGAGATGCAAGAGGAAGTCACCATGAGATACGTTGTTTTGAACTAGACCCTTGTCATTACTAGATATCAAAGTGATATACATACAGAACGCAACAAACTCAACGTCGTAACCAGTCGTGATAATATCAAAGTAAGATATATAGCATTGAACCATGACCAGTGGATCAACGCTTATATCTCACTTGAACGCCTCCAACGCCAACAACCAAGTGTATGCCTGTAACCAAACCCTGAACGCCCACAACCCCAGGTTCAACACTTGAACAAAGGAGATGTATGCTGTCTGTACAATCTACATGCTTGGAGACCAAAAGCTTATAGCTTGAGACCCTTCTGAATGAGCTTGCCTAATGTGGCACCCTGTGAATGATGTTAGTGAAATGTTATGAAGTAGAAAGTTGTGAAGCAACTTACGTGATCGCCCTTCATCATTGTGAAGTGGTTGCCGCCCATGACAGCGTACTCAAACTTCTCCTTAGGGAGGAGCTGAGCCCAACCGTTGTCGTCAAAAACAGTACGGTTATTGAGGAGCCACTTCATAGGAGCTGGGTCCTCTCCCTCACCTGGTGGTGGGCGAGGGTCCTCGGGGTTAGGGCACACACCGTCAGTGCACCAGATGGCAAGAACGGGTGGTGCAATCTTCGGGTCCATGGGTACCGGGTCGTAGTTCTTCAGGTTCTGGATGGCTGAAGCAAAGTGAGGCAGGAGCCATGAGGGAGTTCCACCTGGCTTGCCAGTACCAAGGAGACCGATCTGATCGAAGAAGATGTGGAGACGAGCGGGAAGAGGGTCAAGAGCGACTGGGCAGGGAGCATCGATCAAGACGAGGCTCTCAACCTTCTCGCCAGCATCGACGAGCTGCTTAGCGACTTCGTAGGCCATAACGCCACCAGCAGACCATCCACCGATGATGTAGGGGCCCTCAGGCTGACGGCGCTTGATCTCCTTGAGGTAGATCTGAGAGACACCCTCAACACCACACTCCCACTTCTCGGGGCACTTCATGAACGGGCAATTCAATCCATAGACAGCCATGTCGGGGGAGATGTTGGGGATGGAGATGTAGGAAGTAGCACTGCCGGAACCGTCAGGGACCAAAAAGAACTTCTTGGAAGCAATTTTGGGGTTACCCTGGAGTAGTACAGAATTGGAGGGAGGCAGCTGCGAGATGTCGATAGCCTTAGCAAGCTTCTTGTTGACCTCAGCAAGCTGGGGAGCCTTGGTGGTGATTTTGGCAGTGACCTTGACCTCCTTGGGAGCAGGGCGCATGTCAAGGGCGGTCTCGATGTCCTTAATGGTAACGTTCACAGTAAGGAAGTCGGCGGGAAGGTCGCGTCCGGTCTGCTCACGCATAGAGCCGAGGATGGTCAAGCTCATCAAGGAGTCCATGCCAATGTCGGTGAGGTCGAGATCGTCTGTGATCTCGGAGACATCAACACCCATCTCCTCAGCAACAAGCTTGCGAGCAACACTGGCCTCGCCATCGACGATTTCTTCGGAGACCTTGATGTCGACGTCGTTGCCATCAACACTGGGAGCAGAGCTGGGAGGAGTACTGCCAGCCTCACGCTCGTAGGGAGTGGAGGCGTCAGATGGCTCGTCAGTGGTGTCGGAGGCATCGTCCTCAATGACGGTAGCACCGCCGTTATACTGAGCGAAGTGCTCCTTCAGCTCGCCAACGCTGGCACAGTCAGTGAAGAGGGTGGAGGGAATCTCCATGTCGAGCTCCTCACGGAACCTGGCCGAGATGGTCAAAGAGAGCAGGGAGTCAACACCGAGGTTCTCGAATGCAGCGTCGTCAACGAGCTCGGACATGTCGACATCGGTCTCCTCAGCGATGATCTTCATGACCTTGGCTGTAACACCACTGCTAGCCTGCTTGACCTTGACCTTGGCAGGCTTCGCCGTAGGCTTGGAGACCTTGACGGGAGCGGGAGCGATGGCCTTGATAGGAGCAGGCTTAGCTACGGACTTGGCGGCGGGAGCTGTCTTGATGCCGGAGGGTGGCATCATGATGTTGAGAGCGCGTCGAGGAATGTTCTGGAACTTAAGGCCGAGAACCATACCGATGATCTCCTCGCCCTCAAGAATGTAGACATCACCGACAGAGATGTTACCAGGAGCGGGCTGCATGCGGACGTAGGAGCGATACTTCTTCTCGGGCGAGAGCTGCTTCGAGATCTTGATCGATCCCCATCCGTGGGAGATGTAGACCGAGTTGTCAGAGTCGAGGTGGTCAGAAGCGTTGACAATGAAGCCAGAGAGATGAGCCAAGCTGTCGATCCAGTACGGAGAACAGAAGAACTCTCCATCGGTGGGAGTGGTCTGGAACTGGACCTGAGCTGTTGCTTCGGTGGTCTTGCCGTCCAGGATGACTTCCTCCATACCGCGGTAGTTGTCGGCATAGGTTACGAGAGCCTTGAATAGCTTGTAAGCCATACCGCGGAGTACCTTGTGGGCAGCGCCAGTCTCAAGCTTCTGCTTGAGGACATCGATCTGGGTCTGAACCATGTACTGGATGCGGCTCCACTCCTCCTTCCAGATCTTGACGTCTTCGTACTTGACGACACCGAAGGCGTGCTCGGCAAGGACCTTGGAACCATCGGCGGTGACGGTGCGGAATTTGACATCAACCTGATTGGTCTCGAGGTCAGCAGTAGCCTCGACCTGCAAGTGCTGACCACCGGCTGGGGCAGGCCACTGCGGGATCAAAGTCTTAGGCACCTCCATGGCGCAGACATTGAGACCAGGTGTAGGCATGTTGGGGCGCAACTGCTGGTACAGATAGTCGGCAACGGTCATGGCCTGGTCTGCGTAAAGCGAGGATGGGCACAAGGGTGTTCCGTTGACCTGGTGGCCAGTGATGGTGGCCTTGAGCTTGGGGTCAGACAAATCGGACTGGATGACCACAGTACCAGAGTTGGCGTGGAGCTCCTCGCGAACGACTTTGTGGCAGGAAGTGGTGGACAGCTTGGATGGGATCTCGACAGGAGCCTCAATGGCCTTGGGCTGAGCAGGCTGAACGGCCTCGCCCTTGGTCAGAGTCCAGTTGTTGTGGTAGTCCAGCCAGTACCTCTTGTTGTCGAAGCTGTAGGTTGGTAGGGTCAACAGCTCATAAGCATCTTTGAACTGCTTGTGGTACTCGTTGAAGTCGAAAGCGACACCAGCAAGGTGAAGGGTCGCAATCGTGTTGGAAAGAGTCTTCCAGGGGTCCTCGTTGCGGCGGAGGGACCCGGCAGTAGTGGGTGCTCCACCGAGGGTTGACTTGACCATGCCACTACAGACAGGATGGGCGCCAACCTCGAGCCAAGTGGTCTTCTCGTCAAAGAGCTTCTGGTCCTTGCCAGCAGTCAAGGCAGTCCAGAAGTTGACAGTCTCGCGCGCATGGCGAGCCAAGTACGCGGCGTTGATGATGCCGGCCTCGCGAATGACTTCGCCAGTAAGAGGAGACATGACTGGTACTTGGGGCTTGCTGAACACAACTGCAGAGGCAACTTCCTGGAACTTGGCAAGGATTGGCTCGACCTGAGCAGAGTGGAATGCGAAGGGCACATTCAGCTTGGTGGACTTAAAGCCCTGGCCAGAAAGGATCAGGTTGGTGGACTCGACAACCTCAACTGTGCCACAGAGAACAGTTTCTTCAGGACCGTTCATGCAGGCAATCTCGGTCATCTTGTCGCCAAGAGCGGCCTTGATGGAAGCAGCACTGCCCTTGACAGCAAGCATACCATGGGTGCCAGCGGTGCACTCCTGCTCAAGTATCTCAGCGCGGCGGCCTACCAGAAGAACCATGTTGCTGGCAGAGATGACACCAGCAATGTGGAGTGCAGCGTACTCGCCGAGGCTGTGACCAACTACTGCAACGGGCTTGATGCCCCAAGACTCCCACATGCGGGCAAGAGCGACTTGAATACATGCCATACCGAGCTGGACAACGACGGGCGAGAGAGTAGCCACATCGGTGCCCGTAAGCAGGGGCAAGAATGATGGCAGGCTATGCAGGCGTGCGATGTTGTCGAGCTGGTCGATGTCTGCCTTGAAGGACTCAAGGTCCTCGTACAGCTTCTGACCGAGACCAGTGTACTGCGAGCCCTGTCCGGTGAAAGTGAAGGCAGTCTTGGTTGGGACCATAGGAAGGGGATTGTAGGAGTCCTTGATCTGAGCCTGGAGAGCATCCTTGACCTTCAAGATGTCGTCGACGCAGATAGCAACGCGGTAATTGTGCTGGATGCGGCGAGCAGTAGTTGTGTAGGCCAAACTGGGCAGAGTGGTCTCTGGGTTCTCCTCGAGGAACTTGATGACGTTGTTGATGTTCCTCTTCAGCGATGCAATGGACCTGGCGGTAACAGTGACAGTGTGCATGCTGCGGGGGTCGACACCCTTGGGCGCCTGACGCAGAGGACCATCCTCGAGCAAGATAGCGGTGTTACCGCCAGCTGCGGAGAAGTTGTTCAGGAAGATCTTGCGCTTCTCAGCACCCTGGCGTGGGAGTGCGACCTGGGTAGTCGAAATGTGAACGTTGCGCTGAGCAAGATCCTTGGGGAAGGTCTTGTTCATCACTCCCTTGATACCGACGTTGGCGGGGATAGCGTTCTTCTTCATCATCATCAGGACCTTGACGAGAGAGTTGATACCGGAAGCGGCTTCACCGTGACCAATGTTGGCCTTGATGGCACCAAGGTGAAGAGTCTGCTCGGGGCGACGCTGGCGGTGACGGGGCGCAAACACGTTAGTGACCGAAGTCATCTCAATACCGTCACCGGCCTGAGTACCAGTTCCGTGCATCTCGACGTAGCTGATGTCGTGGGCATCAACACCGGCATTGGCGAGAACTTTGCTGTAAAGGTACTCTTGAGCGCCAGCATGGGGGTGAGTGATGGAAACAGCTTCGGCACTGTGGTTCGTGGCGGCACCCAAGATGCAGCCAAGGATGTTGTCCTTGTCAGCAATGGCATCTTCATAGCGCTTCAGCACGACTGAGCCACAGCCATCACCACGGCAGTAACCATCTGCGTCGTTGTCGTACGTCTTGCAGCTACCAGTCTTGGACAAGAACTGACCCTTACTGAGACCCGAGAAAATATCCGGGTTGGTAAGGACATTGAGACCACCAGCGCAGGCGGTGTCGCAGTCTCCTGCCCAGAGCGAGGTACAGGCCAACTGGATGGCAGCGAGAGAAGATGAGCAAGCGGTATCGATGCTGTAGGATGGGCCGGAGAATTTGAAGTAGTAGTTGATGCGGCCCGGAGCGAACGCTCTTACACCGCCGGTGATGAAGTAGGTGTCGATGTTCTCGGCAGCGTTGATCTCACGCCAGTCGTCAGAAGTCTGACCGTAGAAGGTTCCAATGCGGTTCAACTTGGTGGAAGGAGTGCGGTTGGGAACGTAACCAGACATCTCCAAGGCCTCGAAAGCGGTTGTCAACGCAAGGCGGCCCATAGGGTCAGTCTGGGCAGCTTCACGGGGAGACATGTTGAAGAAGCGGGGGTCGAATAGACCAGGCTCGTCAATGAAGCAACCGAAGGGGGTGTGGCTCTTGTTCTTTCCCTTGCCAGAGGGGTCGCAGTGAGCCTTGGCATCAAAACGGTCTGCTGGGACTTCGCGGTGAACATCGAGGCCCTTCTCAAGAAGCTCCCAAAGCGCCTCAGGGCTGGCCGCACCAGGGAAACGACCGGACATACCAACAATGGCAATTTTGTCGCTCTGAGTGCGGCCGCGAGTGGCATGGTTGGTCTGCACCCATGAGGTGTGGTCGCGGACTGCAGTGTGGGGCTGACCACCAGCCTTGAGAGCAGATGCAAGGCTGTTGGCAACGTTGGTCACACCAATAGCAGCAACAGAGCAGTCTGCGCTGCCAGTGGCAGTCACCTGAGAGACGACTTCGCCCAGAAGGCTATCCCAGCGCACGGGCTCGAGGAGCATGCCGGTGAGGGCATTGCGCATCAACTCGAGTGTGTTGATCGCAGTCTGGCATTTGCCGCTGGATGCGGAGTGGATCAGAGCCAGGGGTCGGAACTGCTGGAAGTGCCTGGTGGCCTCGCTGTCCAGAATGCGGTCGATGTCGGCCTGAGCGTGGATGTGCGAGGCATGGTAAGGTGCGTGTACAGGGATGGGCACCCGGGTGTTGTCTCTGAAGGCGTCGATCTCCTGGAATAGTCGTTTCGTTGTTGATGGTGGGCCGCTGATGGTTAGAGCCATGACGCTAACGGCGCTAACATAGGCGCGCGCCGAGGCTGGTATCCGTCGCTCATCGTGAAACGCGGACAAGGCCTTCTTCGCTGCGCTCTCAGAAATACCTGTGACAATAGTCGACCAGCTTTCTTTGGCATCTGCAGGTTGCTCAAGCGCATCTTTGGCCGCGCCAACGCAGGTACCAGCGCGGAAGGCAATACGGACAGCCTCTGTTGCAAGGGGCAGCAACTCGCTGATGGATCGTGCGGACGCTACTACAGAGGCTGCGATGGAACCAGTGCAGAGACCGACAAGTCGTGTGTTGGCAGGGTTTGGCAGGTCTGTTGGGTTCTCGCCGTAGTACCCAATGTAGTGTGCAAGTTGTGCGAGTGTGACCATGCAGCTCTCGAGCTGGGGAATCTTCTTGCCTTCGCTGTAGTAGCTGTTGACAAGATCCCAAGTAGTTAGGAAATCAGGGATCTGATCCCGCTGTGTCTTGGGCAGCTTCTGAACTTCGTCGCGAAGAACAACACTGGCACGGTCGAGGAAGGTTGTAAGAGTGGCGTTGTTTCTCCATGTGGCCACCTTTTTCAGAAGGGGGAACTGATCAGCAGTCTGATCTCCGAAGATGAGGACGTTCATGATGGTGTCTTTGGGTCAAGGGTATAATAGAAATTATAATAAAGAAGAAGGCAGGGTCAATGCCGTTCAAAAGTATTTCACTGGGAGATGGAGTGAGGGCGAGAGTGAACCTTCGGACGGCGGGGTCAGTGCCGTATATCAACGAAGGGTTGGTGGCGAGTTGTGGTGGTAGAGTCCTCTCTTGGAGTGGGCAGTAGTGGTTGTATAACAGAAGGCCCGAGGGACTGGATGGGGAAGGTTGAATGCGAATGATTCTTAGAGGAGTGGCTCAGCCCTTATATGTGAATGATCAACCTGAGTAGATGGGTATGAGAAATCCGTATGGTGGTCTATGCTTGGATCGCACGATGACAAGCACTGTCGGCACCGGGTCTGTGACAGCACAGATACGGGGCCATGTACTGCGGAACGATGTACTGCAGCAACATATTGACGCGAAGACAAGATTGAAGCGCATACTATTCCTCTTTCTGGATGGTGCCGCCATAATCCCGAGGTGTAATGGCGTGCACTGCCCGGGTATACCTCCGAGTAAGCTTCATGCCTATTGATAGCTGGCGCATGCTAGGCGTGTAGACCAGCCGCTGATGTATCGAGCCAATGCGTCACAGGTGATAGCAAGGTGAGACGTAGGGACCTGGATAGCAAGGCGCTGTCTCAAAGTCGGGGCTAACTCTGCCGGATCCCCTCATGTAAGCCGGGGTGGACAGGGTGTCCGTGTGTTTCTGCTGTCATTTACAGCATTGGCCAGGCATCAAAAAGCTTGGGCCTGTGTGAACCGCATAGATGGATAATGGTGAGGTCGTAAAACCATAACTGAGCTGATTGATGTTGGCCCTGTGAATAGTGTACGTCGTACCAGGGCGAGCTTCCAGCGCGTGGCGATTGATGCATCGCAGCAACACAAGATTCTAGATGCTCGAGCAAAAGAATCTTGGACTCATCATTGACGTTCAGATACCCATCTCCCGGCTGTCGTTTCGTTGTGGATGCATAATCCTTCGCTGAGGCCCACATGCCAAGCATCTGAGACTACCACTACGGATCACCACCGTTCATGATCTCAGTAAGCATTTCCTTGTGCAGAATGAGGAACCGAAGCGCCACCTGTTGATGGCGCAGTATTAAGCTTCTTGGAGACCCCACCCGGAATCAGGGTGGTCAGAGTGCTTCACTGCTGATGAGAGCCTGCACGATGCAGGCAGCACAGCCCGCGTCCCGGAAAGCTGAGTGCCGCAGACTATCATTGACAGATTCGAACACAATCAGGCTTAGTACCTGCAGTTTCGTGGATCATCATCAGATAGTCTGGATGCGATGCTGGGCGAATGGTTTCTCGCTTGACCGTTGGGAGCACTACACCACGGGCACCAATGGAGTGCCGTTACGGGATCTTCAAAACCAAAGACTGCGTGCAATCGCTCGATACTACAGTCCAGGTACCTTCGTAGACTGTGGTGGTATTGAAAGGCTGAAGATCTTCGCTCTGTTGCAGTGATCAGCGTTTACGGGTTTCCCCCAACGTCCGAAAACACGAGCTCCATTAGGAATTCGCATATAAGGGCAGTACCCATTGCCATGCTTAAAGCTTCAGTAGGCGTGTACTGCCATTATTGAGACCTTGCTTTTACCCGTTCGCGTGGAGCTTTACATGAGACTTGAATCAGCGCTCAAACAAACGGTTTGCAAGCTCAGATAGAGTCAAATCCAGCTACATCGTGACGGTCTTGTCCGACATAGTCGCAACGGTCGCTTGGATCCAGGTTGCCAGGACGCAGATGATGCTGAGCGACATGGTCGCGATGGCGTTGATTGATAGGCATGTGCTGTAGAGGTCGTTCACGTCAGTGGAAATTGCGGCTCCCCATGCCGAAGTTGCAACTTCAAGATGGAAAAACGGATCTTCCGGGCTCCGCTCCGCTCTACCCCTGCTCTATTCCCAGGCCTAAGCGAAAGGTAATCTCTTACACGACCAACAACTCCTGTCAGGCAGTCTACACTTCCCCTATCTTCGGCAGTGGCGCCGCGAGTCATGTACTGGGTGCACGCTCAGGTACCAAAAAACCCGCCCTGAGGAAACAAAGAGGCCCTGAAATGGTTCTTCCAAATCGTCGCAGTTTCATCTACTTTTGGGTCTTCGTTCTCGTTCATGTTCATACCGGGTCATGTCAGGTCTCAGAACGTCGTCGACGTGACTCGAGCTCTTCCAAATCATGCCGATGATACGGATGTACTCCTCTGGTCAGCAAGGATAGCTCTCCTGCAAATCAGTATCGCTCTGGGCAAGAGGTAGCAACCATGCTGCTTCGCTCATGGCCTCAAGCAATTGGTCGAGTAGTCAAGCTCCACTTCGCAGGTACACTCCGAATACTCCTGTGGCATCTCATTCAACATAGGCACGTGACAATGGCTTTACGGTCTCGCCTAATCACTGCAAACTCGCGTGCGGCTGCTTGAGGAGACGCCATCGCAATTGTAGCTCGAGATCAATGAGATCAGGAAACTATCAACGAAGCCCATAACGACATCCTTGGCGTCGGCCCCGCATGCTCAAGGCAGCTTGTTTGTGGCTCAACGAAGTCAACTCTACACTGCATGCTAGAACTCTCCGAGGACAGTCTTGTCTTGCACAGAATACGCCAGCTACATTCAATAGGTTTAAGACATGGGGATGCAGCAACACCACGCCACAATCGCAGATGCGCCGACTGCTGCATCGGTCTTGTACAATTTACATGCCTGGAAACTCACCACGGCTCGGACAATCTCTCCAGCTCAATAGTCTTGGAATTTCTTCCCTTGTTGGTGGCAGGAGCTGATGCTAGCATCGTGCAGCTAGCCAGAGCCCTGCTGGACATACTGAGCCAGTTTCCAGTGCAAGATCTCCGCGGGAAGCCCGTTATCGTGCAGCTGCGATGGCCTAGCAAGTCAGTCTGGGAGTCCGTCCACTCGCGGTAGCCCAAGATATTCTGTCATTGATGTCAGAGCAATGGTTCTGTATGTGCCCCATCGCTGCACAAACCGTCATGCTCTACGATAGTGCCAGAATCAAGAGGTACAGGGCCTCCCAACGCCGTCAAGCACATTGTTGATCAACTGTTCGTGAAAGACTTCCAGAAGACTGCTATTTCAGCTTCAGCATTGCAGTCCATTACAGTGCCCAATAGCATGCTTCAGCGACCTCACGCAGTCACGTCTCTCCCACGATTCGACGAGAATATGTTCCTGAGTCTAGCTACTCAAGATGTAGTTTGCGATCTGATGTGCGTTGAGTGAGTGCGCAAGTCAAGCCGAGCCGAACACCATGGGAGACCACCATCTTCCCGCTCCCGTTTTCAACGACACCTTCATATGCGCTTAAATGGACCAGGGTCGTTTTCTGCGAAGGTCGCGGAGGTATGTCGCATGGTCAGTCGGCGCTAAGATCGTGATCTGAATCTTGACAATCTCTGCAAAGTCTACAAGATAGGCAGGAGAGAAAAGCTTTGGCGATAGCAATCTCAGCATGCCCCCGGTGCGACTCTCTACCGAACTACAACAGTGGAGACCTCGACATGATCGCCCTGGCACCGTTGATACAGTTAGCGTGTAAGGGCTTTGGCGCCAGCGGCTATCCGTACTACGATCGCCCCGGACCGTCGAACGCAAAAACCCGCATTTTCTGCCCCGTGTGCAAGGCCATTGTTTGGAGCCTCTACGCTTGCGAAATCCCACGCGCGTCTATTGTTTGGTTTCAGAGCTATTTTGAGGATCCGCGCATTCCATCAAGGGCAACTTTACATTCGAAACGGCTTCTTCTCGCCTTCGCGAAAACAGACAGCCGAAGTCAGAGTTTATTTCTAGAGCGATTGAAAGGTTACTGCCGTTCGTTGACTCGAGTCTGACAGAAGGGTCCAAGGGGACTAGTCTACGAGTAATTGGCGCAGAGCTGGTAGCGCCGCGTTTCCCGTGAGGTCCGAGGAAGACAATCCACCCATTGAGGCACCAAATCGAATTCTGGCAGTGACAATACCGCAATTCGAAATTCCGGTGCCTCGAACTTTCGTGGTTGAATGACGAAGCCACGGCAAATACCGTTGCACAGAGCCTCTTGCACCACGGCGGCTAGATTTCGATCGAGATACACGGGTAGAACCAGTTCCACGGTCGCAGGCTCGGTCCCCAAGTACCTACCTTGGTGTACACAACGTGGGATGCTTTTAGTTGACGGCTTCATTATCTGGAGAGCAGGGTTCAATCGGCCCTGACTGCGTCGAAAATTTCGGTCCGCATAGAGATTGTAAACAAACAAGTGTACCGGTCTCTTTGCCGCAGATTATCATGCATCTCACTCCGTAGACACGGCAGATACCATCTTTACTGCTAGAAGTTGACAATAGTCGTGAGATAGTCCCTGAAACTACATTTGGTCACGTTATCCAGCGCACTGTGTACGACCTCAGGCGCCTACGCATTCGTAACGTTGACAAGTACAATCTGAGTCCACGCGCACCTTTCAGGCCGTACTTCGATGCAAACTCGTTCGATTTGGTGTGGTTACAGCTCCACGCCGGTATTGTGAACAAGAGGTCGCAATCGAATCCGAGCAGTTGGTGGTTACAGCGTTCTCGTGGAGTCGTCTTCGATGACGACACGAAGGCACGTTCACCGCATCTTCGTCGGATACGTCAATGTGGCCGAATTCGAAGAAGTCGTATTACCTTGCCTTCCTCATTGAGTCAGAAGACATGTTCTGAGTACCCAAACATTATCGTAGGGTAGCCACCTTGCATCTGCACCTGGTCCACACGATCTTGTACCATGGTCAACGCAACGCATCTGTTTGGTATTGGTAACAAGCCACGCTTCCAACCATTTGCTTGGGAGGTTTGCGCCTCGGAAAGGGAGCCATGTGAGCTTTTGGTGCAACGCGAAGCCACGCGGAGACTCATTGAGCCACGTTGGTTCGACGCATCAGATCTCGCGGTGCATAATCTAGCTCGTTACACTGCTTCAGTACGGTAGTTGCACGAGCGGCAGCAGCAACTTTTGACAGCGGATTCTCGCGTCGTCAGCACGCCGGGGTTCTGATATCCCCAAAGATCAATTGACTCATATGCAGGGTCTTTGCTTCTTGAGCAGTTCATGAACCATGGTTCTGCATACCTGCATGGATTGACAAGGTTGGCCTATCTGACATTTGTTTTTGCTTTGAGATTGACTATCTTGCAAATCTCCACCAAATGTTCATCCATATAAGAAGACAATTATCCGGAATATTGACGGCTCGGGTATCTTCGATCTACCGGAAGCGGCTCAATGACCCAATTATTCCGCCTCACGGGAGTACCTGCTTGGCTTAATTTAGTTGCAGGTTTCTTTCAAGACTGTCTCTTCAGCGGATGGTGCCACGATGACAATTGGATGTCCAGATGATAACATGATCAAGGATATTTGGCAATTGCTGGGGTACGTTCGTCGTTACCAGCCGGCGTTCTGGAGCAGCCGCAGCTTGGAGTCACACTGCATAGTCGACTGGTAACGTTGACACCTGGACTCCGCTCGACCCTTGCTCCCAGCTACTTTCTTAAGCTTGTGCCAGGTCGCTTGGTAGCTTGGAATGAGATTAGCAAGGATGGAATGTTTGTATCGTCAGAAGGGTAAGCTGAATAAGATTAGCGGATGCTGTAAAATACCGTAGGCGGCATACACCAAAACTTTGTAGCCCCAATCGAAGTCAAGCGTACTGAGACACCCATGTATGTACTTCCGAGTACAGGTGTACAAGAAAGATTGTATCAGATGGCAGAATCGCTTCCACCATTGCGGACAGGACCCTGATGCAGCCCCTTGTGGTACTGCACGCAACGCAAGTGAGTCTCATCCGCAGGCTTACTTCACATGAATTTTGGGATAGTATCAGAGCTGTTGTTGGGCTGACTGAGCATGATGCGAGTGGCTCTACGAGATAAGGACTTCCAGTCCAGGCATGCCAATTGTTGAGTACGTGGGGAGAACCATACAGTAAGATCCAAGTTTCAGACTGACTTGTCACCGATAATGCTGTGGCTGTGGGCTGGCCGCCTGGAACTATCTTTGCCGGTGCTGTTGCAAGGCTTAGAGGTGTTGCACCTGTGCCGCCTTCCAAGTTTCTATCGCATTCACACCTTCTCTTGACATGATGCTGCAGCCTGAACGAGCGCCTTTGCTTAACCAACGTGCTTGTCGTGCCTCATGTTCATCTCGAAGACCCCAGCAGTTGCCCAAGACGCCGCATGTTAGATACCTAGGTAAGCATCCATCGTCAAGGGTGTTAGCGGCGGCTAGTAAGGGAGCTTCCATGCTCACAGTGAGATGAACAAGATTGAGTAACACCAGCGACTGCAAATGCACTTTGACAAAGAATGGGCTGATGGGGTCCATTGTTTGGCCTCGCTTGCAGGCGTGCTTGGTGTTCTGCGATGCCACTAGCAAGCATGGTTCGACCTGGGCCGACTGAACGACGTACCGATTACAACTACATGCGCGTAGTCAGAAGAAATCCAACTATTCGGGATGCCGCCGTACCAAGTTGCGACCTGAAACTACATGTTGCGCAAGTGAATACATACTCACCAAATACCTTGTCCATAGTCCTTTCAGCTATTGCTGGGGCAATCACGATGTAGAGCACTACATGCCTGCAGGTAATCGTCGCATGGGAGTCTTGCGAAGAATGTACGAGCATGCTGTACGAGCTCGAGTAGCAATGCACGCTTTCCAAAGGTTCGGGTGCTTGCACTTCCTGTTTGGACGACAGCTGCATGGCGACCCCATGTTTTCCGGCATGCTTGGGCAGTGTTAACATCGTGTTTCGTGCAGTAGGTTGAAATCCTTCTTGGACAGCGCAGCAGAAGATTGATAACTTGGGCAAGATACCAGAATGTACCGCTAATTCAGTATGCACAATGATGTCGATCAGTGAGAGAAAGTAAAGTTGAATGGCGCAACGTTTCGAGCACCATGCCGAATCCGAACCTAGACCCTCACATCAGCCTTGGGTGTACAGCCACCAATATTATCCTACAGTAGCCCTGCATGATCGCCACAATGGATGGCTGCAAAAGTGCTCTTGAACGACGCTGTCAGCTCTCTCGTGTGAGGCTCCATCAGCAAAGAGTTGTTCTTCTTATCGTTCGATGCGGACTTCAATCGGTGAAGGCTTTGAAAGCGCGAGTCAGCCGTACACTTTCCGGAGGGGAACCGGGTGTCGTGAGATTGCGCCTTGAGAATGTTTTCATGTACATCTGACAAGCGCAGCGTTGATTTCTCCGCAGCGGGATCTCTCGGCAGGCTGAGCAGCATCTCCGCCCCCGCCCCCGCCCTATCGCGTCATTGCGGAGGATTTAATCTTCCTGTACGGTGACGATCACAGTCATGTCGGGAGCATATTCATCAGCGGAAATTGTTCAGGCCGATCGCCAGCGCTCTTAGCTTCCCTTGTGAACGGTACGAAGTGACAGGTGCCCAGCAACCACGACCCAACCGAAGCTTTCTCATTCCAGTGACCCCTCCTCGGCGTCAGCCCACCAAAGCCTCCATGCAGCTCTTATCGGACGCCTTTGGACGATTGCGAAGCAGTCTTTTTGCTCCAGCTGTCCTTCAGGATCTTGTGTGCCAAGAGGAGGTCGTGATCTGCGTCAGAGGTTCTCTAAAGAGGCACTTTTCGCGTTTGTGATCATCGTCATTTTCCGGATCGAGCTCTTGGTCATTCAAGCTGGCAGCTGCAAAGCCTCGTCCTTACCGGATAAAAGCAGGGACCTTTGCCAGTGTAGGCGCGCAGCCACGATATATGCGCCAGCCATTGCAAGCGTCATCAAATATGCAAGGCCCTGTCGTGAGAGCTAGAATCAGCCGTTGGCCAGCTTGAGCACTTTGGAAATTCTAATGGCATAGACGCCCGTGAAGTATTAGATATTGAGACAAGAAATCTGGAGAAACGTCGAGTTGATCGATGGAGCACATTGGCTGGCCTAGCGTGTCGCTATTCCTCTGAAGCCATCGATATGGCTTGCATTGGTCGACTACGCAATAACTTTGCTAAGGATTTAAGAGGTCCTTGGTTGGGGTGGCTCAAGCTTGTCGCTACAGCTGGCAGTGTCTGTCATAGATTGTGCGGGAAGAGATAGGTGACAGACAAATAACGACGCACAAGTCGATGCCGTGTCGTTTGGGCAGATGTCTGCGATGAATGTCAACTCAGATGCTAGGAACGTGAAATGATAGATTGACCTTGCTGGGATGTAGAGTTCGCGAGATCCACCCCGCGCAGCACTAGCAGTCGGAAACAGATGGAATTGTTTCAATAGTCATCGTCGGTTTCCAGAATACCCACCATCAGCTTTCCCACGTTCTAGTACCACATTCTTTGTCGCCGATGGGACTGTAGCACAACAACGCTCGCCCATCAGTCTCAAGATCACCCGGATTTCCGCACTGCCAAATACAGCATAGACCGCGAACCCATCGTAAAAGAGTATTAGGACCCTGTTGGGCGGATCGCTCATTCAGAGCAAACCCCTTTCGTTGAAGATCGACATTTAGGGCTGGCTGTAAGCGTGGAGAAGACCAGATCCGTAATCTCACCTCGCCCAGCACAAGTCAGCGACACTTGCACGCTCCCAATTGGAGCCTAAGTGTGCATTTTGCTGGTTAACATGACGATCATGACAGCTTGTCACATTTTTTTTTAGGTAGCCTCAGTTTCGCGCTGTGTCGCTAGGCATCGCAGTACACACCGAGCGTCATTGCATCATAAAGAATCGGGCTAGACGCTACATTCTCGGAGTCTGGGCGTCCCGTGACAGTTTCCTGACGGCCTCAACCACAAGTCAACCACAAGTCAACCACTACGTTCAAGTGGCAGTTTCCGCGGGGAATGTAGACTCCCACACTGCATCAAGAGTCGCCGACTACAATTGATCGACGAAGCTGTGCGCACTGGCCACAAAATGCTTCTGGGAGACGAAAGCCTGTGCTCAAGAGAGCGGGAGTTCGAATGAAGTTCGGTCGATCCAACAACACTCCAATGCGCATATTCATATGTTTTTCTTGCATGTACTGCCAATGAAGCGGTAATAGACGATAACTGAAGGTCGAGCACGTGTTTTTAACCACGTGATCTGGTGTTAGCGCTAGTGAAAGCTTGATTGGAGATGATCCTTCGCTTACGATAATTATAGACGGCTCAGCTTAGCGCCATTGACGCACGATGAAACGCATCTTTGGCAATAGCTTACTTAAGAGTACGAGAGCTGTCGACCGGGTGAACTGCTGCGTGACTGCGAAAAGGAATTGGTATTCGGCGTATTGCTAAACGAAAGCTTGCTAGAGGTCGATCGGAAGGCGTGAACTTTGCTGGGAGTCAATGTACGCTCAAGGTCCCACCAAGGTACTTTCGTGTGTCAGGGCGCACGATCCGGCGGCCACGTCAGGGTCCTCATCATCCTCGAAACAGTCGAGGGCTCTGCGTGAAACAGGCGAATAGAAGGCCAAGCGGATCTGATGTGTTGCTGCTTCGAGAACCAGGACTTGGCTGCTGTCAACCACGACTCAGCCGTGCGTGCTGACAGCCTGTCTGAGCGTGGTACGCTTATCATTGCCCGTGAGAGCATATGTGAGCGAAACATGGTCTCGTATCGATCGCTTCACAAGTCAAAGGCCCAGGTCAGCGCTGCGACCTCAGATTTGAAGAAGTCGTGAATAGAAGTCTAGCATGCCTCGCTGTCTGCTCGTGACTGCCGTCTTTCTGCTCGTGCCTATTCGCCGCGTCGGACAGCAGTAGTCGAATGTGGCAGTAATAATCCTGTCGTATTGCAGAATACATTACACCTGTACAGCTTGCTTGTTCGGGCTGCGGGCGCGCTTGATGGTTCGGTTCACAGGCTAGGTGGCTGACGCGGGCTCGGCGCGCCATCCCCCGTACCACCACAAACCCTCCTCCACCGCCAATCTAGCTCATGGCGACCATCCCAAGGACAATCCCTGCTTGGGCTGAGTCTTATCATCAACACCGTGCAGCGCCCCCTGGTCGCCCAAAGTAGATTTAGCACTAACCGGGTTGAGCCTTGACCCACCCAAACACCTGGCGCCACTGCATGTAACTGCGAGGCACTAGCTCATCGCTCTCGCGCTCAGTTGATGAATTCATCGCTTTGCAAATGCATAACCTACATCCCTCGTTGGGAAAGGCACGGGCGTTGAACCCACTCGCACCTTTCATACGCTTAGTCGTACTCCACTGGCGTTGAGCGGTCCGCAGCCCACAATTTTCTCTGTCAGCCGCTCATACTCTATCATTCCGGACTCCCCATTGTTGTTCCTGCTCTACATTTGTTTGCTGGGCAGCAGTAATTCGGACCTTCTTCTGTCCTTGATTTCTTTCCAGCACAGCCAGTCGAGAAACCCTGCCGTCAGCTCCATAGCCTTAACCACGTTTTCAGTCAGACATCTCAGCATACTAAATCTGGTATTTGACCTGACGTTGGCTATTTCCACCATTAGTCCCGTACCGGTATTGGAAGCCGTCCTAGCCTAGGGACACGCAGGAAGGCGGAAGTCTACGTCGGCCACTTATAACGGATTACACCTCCGCCGTGTTTGGTCAACAAGTATCCGCGGACATCCCAAGCCACAGCGACATACTCCCCGCTGATACAACTGCCATCATCGCTTCTTCCCCACCTTGATGTCGTTCGTATTGACTCCACGCTAAAGGATCGGTGCTGGAACAATCTCTATTGGCCTTACTTGGACGTTATCTGCAACTGTTCTCAAGGCTGCTTCTACGATCCCCAAATCCACCTTTTGGTTAACGGTACATACTGACCTTCGACTATCAAAATGGTGTTCTGTACCTACTGCGGACAGTCTTTTACCAGAGATGAACATCTGGAAAGGCACATCTTGACTCGTAAGTCCATACCCGCTTTCAATGCGTTACAGCTCGACCAAGGCTGCAATCGACCTCCATATTTTCAGCTGACCACTTTTGAACGAACAGACACCAATGTCAAGCCTTTCAAATGCTTTACCTGTCACATGAGCTTTGCTCGACGGTATGTATTACTGTTCCGACTCTTTCAGTCTTCGTTCCTAGAGTTGGATTGGCTGATAGCCTCTAGGGATCTCCTGCAACGACATTACACAGTACACGGGCGTAATCAGAACAATGAAGAGGGCCTTCCGATCCAAGGAATAATACCAAAGTCGGCCGGCCGAACGCCTATCGCCTGTAGCAATTGCGCAAAGACAAAGACGAAGTGTGACAAGAAGTTTCCGTGCAGCCGATGCGCACAGAGGAACCTCAAGTGCACACTACGGCCGACTCGAAGAGCGTCGAAGAACGTGAACAGGGTCGGTGTCCCACCTGAGGGTGCGTCAAGTGGGAGCTCGAGCGAGAATGGAGGCAACCCAGAGCCTCAGAACAACTCAGCAGGCAACTCTCCTGCTCGTGAAGTGCAGCCTCCACAGGCGAACGGACAGCCGTCACCTGTGCTGTTACGGCAACAACCTTCACAGGTGCCCAATGGTCTACCACAACGGCAATCGCAGTCACCGTCAGCACCACAGTCAAGACATTCTTCCATATCTCAGCCCGTTCAGCCGGCTCCGAACCCAACACCAGAAGAGAAACACCTTCAGCTGCCGCTCTCTCACACTACTCCTCCCTTCTTCGACCAGTCACCACCAAACACAATACCACAGCCGCCTACACTTCTTTCGCCGCTGCCAACGCCTGGGAACATGGTCAATGGCTTCATGACCTCGACACCCATGTCTGGATACGACGACTTCGTACGAGCTGGCGGTCAATCGGATCCTGGGACAAGTCCTTTCATGATGGATCCTTGGAGCGGTATGCCTATGGGCGCTGAATTCGATCCCATGCGGATAGATCCTTCACTGATGCTGTCTATGAACATGGACATTAGCATGGGTCCTCCTTCAGAGGGGATCCTTGGTATGATTCCCGAAATGTCACCTACGCAGGCATTCGGACCAGTTCAAACACCTCTTCAAACACCACGAATGGATGAAACGTTCTCAGATCTCCAGATCGGCAGTTCGGCGTCGATGTTCTACCCGTCCAATCGACATTCGTCCATCGCAGATGCAGGCATCCCAGACCTCGGTGCTATCGTTGCTGCACAGGATGGCTGGACTGTGTTTCGCTGCACTCCTCCTATTCCGTCGAGCTCGTGTCCTCGCACTGCACGGCTAAACCTCGAGCGATTGGAGCTCAGTCTGAAAAACCATGAAGGCTGGAGCAACTGGTCGCCCGCCTGGGATGAGTCAGATTTCCAACAAGAAGGTCGGGTAATGATTGCAAAGCTCCAGGAGAACACAAGAGACAAGCTTCTTGCGATAACTCAGAGCTTTTTGCACAAGGCTCTTGACATCCACAAAGATGCAATGAGCACCTCTTCGAGCAGCGGCGAGTCTCCAGGATCCAGCACATCCCTTTCGAACTTCATCATTCTGCCACCTGCTCGAGTTCTTGAGTACTTCCTCAAATCCTACGCTAACTCCTTCGAGCGCTACTTTCCTACTTCGTCTCGTGGGCTTCTGGACACCAATGAGCTGATGCAGAATTACAACGACAAGGCTTCGAGCCTGTTGATTCTGATGATGATTGCTCAAGGTGCAATGGCGATTCCTTCGATGGAAGCGAGGTGGTTGACGGGCGGCATCACCGAGGCTTGTCGCATCTCGTTGTTCGATCTCATCGAGAAGAACATCATCATGGCTGGTGACCCCATTGTTCTTCGCGCGGCCCTCCTCTTCACCGTCCAGGCTGCCTGGAGTGGCGACAAGTGGCAGATGGACATCGCCATGGGACAGCGAGGAATGTACTTCTCGATGCTGCGACATTCGGGTATCTTAGATGCTCGCCCGGTAGCTACACCTCAAATGAATGGAGGTATGTCGACAGAGGTATTGTGGCGGGAGTGGCTGCAGCAGGAAGCCAGAAGTCGGTAAGTGATGAAATCCCTTTGTGCCCTCGGTACGGCCTATCACGTGAGCCCCTTACTAACACACTCCAGCCTCATCTACTCTTGGGTCATGGTTGATCAAGACTTGTCACTCTTCCACGACTCAGCTCCTCTGTTTTCTGTCACAGAGTGCGGTGCTCCAATGCCCGACTCGGACAGTCTCTGGCAAGCTCCAAATGCCGCTGAGTGGTCTCAGATCTTCAACCAAGTCCACGAATTCTCCAACGGCTATCCTTCAGTCGGTTCTGGAGCCAGACCAGCAAGTCTGAAAGAGCTCTTCCGTCAATTCCTAGATGACGAAATCATCGTCCAGGATGTTCAAGAGATCCACCTCACCCCCATGCACTTGCGTCTGCTGCTCCACCCACTGCAGACTCTTGTAAACCAATACTGCCAACTTTTGAGCTGCTTTTCCGATAGCGTAGCTTCGAGGTCTCGCAACAGAGCGCTCACTGCGGCGTCGACTCGGGTTCGTCTCGAGGAGGTGCAAGCCCTTTTGGGACGCTGGTTCGACCTCGCACAGAGATACCTCAAGGCCAACACGATGTGCCCTCTGATGCAAGCAAACCTTGTCATGTTCCATCTCATCAGCATGAATGCCGTGACCAACTTCCCAGAGATTGAGAAGTTAGCACGACGAGAGGGCGTTGATGGTACGTACCAGCAGATGTTGTGGCTTCACAAGAAGTGCATCTCGGATGTACAGGAAGCCATCACGCATGCCGGACAAGTGCTTCGTCTGGTCAGAGAGATGCCGCGAGGCATTCGTCCCCCTTGGTGGCCTGGCGCAATCTACCGAGCCTCTCTTGTCCTGTGGACGGATGCATTGACTCACAACGAGTCCGCTGGTCTTCGGCAGCAAGGTGCAGCCTTCCCGGTTGACCGCCTGCCAGCAGATCATCAGACAGTTCTCAAGTACCTGTCTCGTCGAGATGGCATTCCCACTTTGACAAAATTGGATGGCACGCCGGTCCCACTCGACAACGGCTTCTCGGTACTGTCGCACTGCATCGACGTGATCGATGAAGGTGTAGCGACAAGGTTCTCGGATGGCATCCGCAGTAAACTGGAGAAGCTGGCACGAGGCTAGATGCCTTGCCTTGCAGCTTTGTTTTCTTTCATTGTGCCCTCTCGTGGGCTCTTCTCGTGGCGTAGCAGCAGGCGTTTTGCATCGTCTTTTCATCTTTGTTTGTCCTTTTCCATCTCTTTTTCGATGATATCCATCAGTAACGATAGCAACAGTTGCTCTAGGGTATCGGTGCTGTGTCCCTCAAGGGTTTCCCCAAGTATGGCGTTGGTGGGCAAACACTCGACAGTGGCGTTGGCTATAACGGTCGAGGCTGTCGACTTATTTTTGACTACACTGGTCAACTGCATCGAGATCAGTAATGTATAGTACATAGCGATGACAAGAAGTTGTTGCTATTAGAAGCGACGGAATATGAGTACATACCTTATCAAGACAATGACGATGTGTGATGGGGTTGTGGGTCATGGGATGCGAAGGTAGTCGCAAGCGGGGTTGGTGTCCTCTGGCATGAGTTCTACCAATAAGGAAGGGGCGCTGACGCTCAACCACTCACGGTGGCCTTCGTCCTAGTATGTATGGTATCGTGCTGTTAAGTTTCGTTCTAGAGTCTGATGGTGAGGTCCGGAGGAGTGTCTGACGTGGTATCTCGCAACGACAGAGGTGCAGTGTATATGTCTCTCTGCTCCGTCTTCCATCTCCATGGTCAGTGCCATCGTCGTCGTCGTCTTGCTTTTTCGTTTCCGCACTGGCGTTTCAGGTGCCATGTGTAGGCCCTGCTTGTATCGACTCGGGGTTGATGATTGGTCTCTCCAGCTATGAATGGCTGATGGAGGCGTCGAAGGGAGACCATTTGTTGCGGACGGCACGACCATGGTGGGGTGCTAAACCTATGTGCGGGTAGGTGCAGGCTGCTCCAGTAAGACTGCGTATTGTAAACTCGATAGGTACTCGACCGTTGATCTGATCGATCAGTGAACAAATTTGGAGAGATCTCTGGCAGGCATGAGCAGCAGAAGAGGGGGCCAACGCAACGTTTCAAGGGCTCGAGGGGATAGAACGGTCGCCACAATCAAATAGTGGAGAGTCTGATACATCCAGTAAGCACCTCTGGTAAGGAGGAAAGCACGTACCTCATATTGCACCTTTTACACTTCGCGTCTCCTCTTTCCCCGAGCGGCAGCGTGCGTCACCCGTAGCATGATAGATGCGCAGCGCCGTTTTCAGGCCCTACTATGTTGGTAGATCCCTGGTAGTCTTTGGTAGCCCAAAAACCGTCGTTATATCCCGCACTGGTGGTACCGTACCCACAATCTGGTTTCAATTGGACGTCTACTTACTCTCAGTGATTTGACCAGGGAGACGTTACCAAGAAAGGTTACTCGGGATCGACTAGGTAGTCCTAGATGTTCACCTTGGTGTGGGTATATGCAACATACTTCCGTATCATAATGACGGATACTGGTACCAAGGCGTCTACCTGCAGGTTCGTTGCTTGACAAGCTTACGCGTTCGCAAAAGAGTATCCAGTGAAAATGTCGTTTCTGGTTTACCGTGCACTCAGTGGCTTCTGAGTGGTTGACATCGCTCCGATTTCCCGCATTTGAGAGTGACTTCACACCAAACCACGATCCCCTACAACATATATTGCTATCAACTGAGTTGGACCTAAGCTTAATTACGGTCCTTCTCCACGCTTGTTACCTGACACGAGGCCTGCTAGACTTACGGATGCCCGCACCAAAGCCGTGGGCCACACATGGTGGGCCGTGCGGTCGGACTTGGACATAAACATGGGGTTTCAAAAATTCACTGCACACAAACAAACTACTCAGTCATCATGAGTTGGCCGGTGAGTCGGCGGATGCATTTACCGACGTATGCACCCCGCGGTGAAAGGTATAGTAACATCGTTACTGTGCCGCCTCAGTTCAGCCGGTCGTACTCATGCACACTGCAGATCTTTGGTGTGCTGATCTCCAACCGTCTAAATCAAGCTTAACCTGATCAGGGCGATAGATAGTGACCCGAGAAGTTCTGATTGACCGAGACTTTCTCCATGGCTTATTTGGAAACCAAAGCGGACTGCTTCACAGAGAACCCACTTTTTCCTCCTGGTAGTCAGAGGAATCTAGCCCGGGAAACTACTCAAGGTCCTTAAGCAGCTCCGAACTTAGCTCTGCCGAACTCTGAAACGTAACTATATATGGCACTGACGTACAATCTCAGACATACACATTCACCGTACAAAATCATTACAGCCAACTTCCAAACGGCGGTGAAGCTTCAATTCAAGCCGTACACAGCATTCTTGTGCATGGGCGGTGGTACATTCCACAAAGTAACACAATTTTGCTGAGAATTTTGACTGAATACAGACCGAAGGGAAACCAGGGGCAGTTTGCAAACCCACCGATGATTCTTGGTACGCCTGATCTTCCTAGTAAGTGAACAGTCAGCGTTTGAGAAGTGATGTGCACATATACCGCAAAACAAGATTTCTTGCAGTTCACCGGATCTCCCTCGCATCAACCGATTGGTCAATGTTCACTGATCGCTCGAAATCCGTCGATTTTGGAAGATGCATTAATCTAGTTGGATAACTCCATCATGAAGCGCTCGTCAATTCTTGCTCTTTTTTCAGCGTATCGTGTCATCGAGTCTCGACCCTGATCCGGCGCAGGGCCGTCCAGGCGAGACTGCTTGTTGTTCCCGAAGGGTCTCAGGAGTCTGAAATCCACTGTCCAGTTTCCCTTGTCTCCGTCTACAGGACTTCCTGGCACCAGTCCCTGCTCTGAGCAAACTCAGTCTCATCACTGCGCTCTCAGCAAGCATTCGCATCACAAGAAACATCGTATCCGCCTTCAACAATGCTGCAGTGGCTTTTCCTTGCAGGAAGATGACGGTTCCTGTACTGCAGATGAAGTCCGATATGGCTTAGTAGAGGTGAGTAACTCTGGCTCAAGGATGCACCTCTCTCGATCTTTGTCGTAATGCTGACTTGATGCAGCATATTTGCGCAGCAAGGGCCTCTCTCAACTTGAGATCAGATGGACACACCTAGCCATACCTTTTGCCGGCTGTTCTAACATCCCTTTGAGGCCTGGTTGGCACTTGGCAACAGACGACTTCGAGAAGCGTTCAACATCGTCCAGACTTGAATTTCGAAAGCTTGACGCCACACTGCAACGAAGTAAGTAAAGGACTGTATTCCGTGCTCTCTGGATTGCTCTGAACAGCTCACAGAAACCTTTCCTCATCTCAAAGGCCAGCTTTCATGCCGGTCATGACATGGTGTTGAAGTGAGGTTTGAACGTGGCCCGTGCTTCGGCTCCCCTCCTGTTGTCACTGCTATTGGATTCCGGACGTGAAACACACCTTTGCCGATCCATCTCGGACTTGACGGCACTCTAAATGGAGACTAGAAACGCAAGCCAAGATGTACGTTGGGGATCCCTCTGTTTGTGGGTACGCCGTCACAGCCATGTGCTGAGTGAAGAGATGGATTGTGAACCCGGAGTGCAACCACAACCTGGAGAAATTGACACTAGGCTCGCTCAGGCAAAGTATTCAACGAGCGCAGAACCTCCGGGTCAGCACTCCATCAATCTCGTCATCATCAAGAAGCGTTTTCGAGGTTCACACCATCAATGAGACTGGGAGTATTTTTGGATTTCTGGATAGCACACGGCAAATACTGAAGGTCGCTCTCGCTGTCTCTGCGACACCGGCAATTACGACTCAAGGATGCCGCGCCTTCTCACAGAGCGCGAGGTGTTGCTACAATTCTATTGAAAATAGCACTCTAGCAACTCTCATTCTGTTCGCAGTCGATAAAAAAAGATGTTTCTGTTTATGAAACTGACAGTCGCGTCACGAAGAGTATAGTGTTGTTGTTCGCTTGCTCGCGAGTCATCCAATGGGACCGGCCCCTGAGCGCCTCGGCCCCTCCTTCCGGCTATTTTCGCCGAGCAACAGCGTAGACATCTCGACTATCCTAAGGGGCCTACTCTACGGACTGGTGGGCGGCGCAGGTACGTGCTGTTTCAGCCCTAGGATTCTCAACACTCGGACGTGATGCTTGCTCCGACCCGGAGACAATGGACGAACTGTGTGCTGAGCGCAAAGGCCGACGGGTGCCAGATGTCACGACAAACTAAACTCTGAGTGCCGCTGGAGTTCCGAGTCGCAAAGCAGTATATATGCTCTGCTCTTTACACTCGAAGTAAATCATCCTCAGCTTTCAACTCTCATCTACTACAACATCCACACAACAACCTCTAAGGTTCCCATCATCACAACTTTCCAACCAACAACCCCCAAACTCCACACACAAAATGTCTGCCGCTCCTGCTAGCTGGTCCCTCGAGGGCAAGGTCGCCGTTGTCACTGGCTCTGGTATGGTTCCAACGAAGTAGCTGGCAACTGGAGGATCAAGAACTAACACCACACAGGCCGTGGTATTGGAAAGGCGATGGCCATTGAGCTCGCCAAGCGCGGTGCTAAGGTCGCTGTTAACTACGCCAACACCGTCGAGGGCGCTGAGGCAGTCGTCAAGGAGATCAAGGCTCTCGGTAACGGTGCTGATGCTCATGCCTTCAAGGCCAACGTTGGAAACGTCGAGGAGACCTCCAAGCTGATGGACGATGTTGTTGCACACTTCGGCCGTCTCGACATCTGCTGCTCTAACTCCGGTGTGGTTTCTTTCGGTCACTTCGCTGATGTTGAGCCTGAGGAGTTCGACCGCGTCTTCAACATCAACACCCGTGGTCAGTTCTTCGTCGCCAAGGAGGCGTACAAGAGGATGGAAGTCGGTGGCCGCATCATCCTTATGGGTTCCATCACCGGTCAGGCCAAAGGTGTGCCCAAGCACGCCATCTACTCTGGCTCCAAGGGTGCCATCGAGACATTCACCAGGTGCATGGCTATCGGTAAGCTACTTTGTGCCACAGCTACAGACCATCTACTAACGAGCAACAGATGCCGGTGAGAAGAAGGTCACAGTCAACTGCGTTGCCCCCGGTGGCATTAAGACCGACATGTACCACGCTGTTTGCCGCGAATACATTCCCGGAGGCGACAAGCTCAGCGACGACCAGGTCGACGAGTACGCCTGCACATGGTCTCCCCACAACCGTGTCGGTCAGCCCATCGACATTGCCCGCGTCGTCTGCTTCCTTGCCTCGCAGGATGGTGACTGGGTCAACGGAAAGGTCATCGGTATCGACGGCGCTGCCTGCATGTAAACGGTTGCTGTTGGACTTGAACTTTCTCCTTAGCCTTTTGTTACGAACCATGGCCTGATATTGAAGCATGATTGGCGTTCTTCATAGTAGAGGAAATGGAATAATGGAATGATTGAACACTTAACCTTTGCCATGCTCTTTACGTGACAGCTTCTGCCTCCTGCGAACGTCAAAACAACCAGGCCACAAACGAATGGTCATTGCCAGATGCATAATCACATATAGGTGGGCGACACTGTCCCAGTCTCGACATCGCCCATCTCGTATTCCAGTGCATTGCGCATAGTGTCATCATGAAGTCGTTGGTGATTTCCACTGACCGCTGAAGGTATATCGTTATGATCGAAATGTTGAACTGTTGTGCTGTGCACGTTCAAGATGCCACTCATCGTAACCAAGAGCTTGCTCGCTTCGTGACGTAGCCTCGCGCTAGAGCCAAAATGGTTGGCGCGGCGATCCTTTCTTGCACATCTCGAAACACCACTCCAAACATCACTGTCTGACCATCTCACCACACCTCAACTCAATTGTACAAAAGCGGAAGAGGAAGCAGATGCGATACACTACCAGTGCTTCACCTGAGTGTAAGGAAGGATCAAGAGCTTTGAGCTTTGGCGCTCTACCAGCGAGCACCTGCGTCGCTTCGAGATCGCAGCTTGCGCTGGCTACGAGCGCACCTCTTGGACGATGAACGACATTCTTGCGTCCTGATGGACGCCTTTCGGATGCAGCCGTAGCCGTACACTGAGTGACTCTGCCAAGCATTGTGATATGCTTCACAATGCTTCTGAAGGTAAAGTTACCCCACGAGTGGGCACCACGCACTAAGCATGGCGAACGAACGAACCAAGACATCGAGTCTCACGGCAACAGCGAATTATCTGGGGTATTACTGAGGAATTGTTATCTCGTTTGAGTATAGGGCTAAGCTTTTCGTCGCGAGTCCACCAAACCAAACGCTCCATCTGGAGTCTGAAACAGAACATGCACAGAAAAGTCAATCCGCCACCTCGGGACTTCGCTTGGCCGATACCAAAACTGCAAGATGCGGGTTTCGATGTCTTCGAGAGTCCAGAATCAAGACTCTTACTGCATCTAGCGTGAACCCTCAGGTGTAAAGGGGCGCCGGATGTTCTCGTTGCTAGCACGACTTGATGTCGGAGCTGTTCGCCATACACCTCTGCAGCATTACTCTGAAACTGTACCAACGGGAACGATCTCGCCGGTGCCAGTTCCGAAGTCATGCACGAGCACCAAGACTTCTCTTATAGACCTGGCCGCCACGGGAAGTCTTGTGCTACCTCTCAGTGCAGCAAGACTGGTCAGTGGCTTCGTCGTTCCTTTCTACGTTCCCATTAATCTTCTATTTCTTTCTTTTTTATACTTAATATTTGTTCAAAGCCCAGGTGGCCATTACTACTAACTCAAAATGACGTCTGGTACTGTCTCCTCCCTTATGCTGCTCTTGTTGAGCTCTTCAGCATTCGCACAGCAGCAAGTGCAATACAACCAAGTACTTAATATCAATGGCGATGTAAGTAATTAAGGCTACCCGGACTACACTCGATGAGTGCTAACAAAGGTAGATGGACCTCAACTCCTTCATCTTCCCCGACCGCTCCAAGGTCGAGACATTCTCCCAGAAGCAGCAGCAAATAATCGTTAATCAGCAACAACCCGCTATCCCCGCCAACCAGGTCACTGGCTCGACAGGACAGCCCTTCGTTGCAATCACTACCCAGTCCATGACCATCAGCACCAACGGTGCAACAGACTTGGTCGGTGGACAGGTCGAAATGGCCATGACCATGCAGAACTTGCAGGCTGCCGCTGTTCAGCCCGACAACACATATGTTGCCATGCTCTCGCCTGACAGGCAAAGCTGGATGATCCAGGAAACAATGAGGAGCGTCAACACCACCGACATGACCGTTCGCATGGTCAAGCGCAACCAGCTTGACGGAGAGTACATGGTCGTCGGTCGCCAGACCGTCGAGACTAACACTCTTGTCACACCCTTCGGCAGCGATGGTTCCACCCAGGTCGCTATACAGGGTACCGGTCTTCAGGAGAACGAGTTCCAGGACGGATTCAGGATGTCTACTCGTGCTACTCAGCCCATGCTTATGAACGTCAACGTTAAGGACGGTGTTGACTCTGGTATGCTGGCTGCTCTTCAGGGCCAGGCTCCCGTCAACGACTACCGCTACTCTGTGGTCACCAACCTTGCTGCAGTCACACCTGACCTCAACCAGCAGGTTACCGTCGTCCAGATGCCCAGTGCGTATCCACACAATCAACTCAAGCGCCTCTAACTAACAACATCACAGTCAATGCTGTCCGTATCCAGAAGATGATGCAGGCCATGGGTGTCCCTCCCACCGGCCAAGTCGCCATCGCCGTCGCCCAGCGGGGTGTCCTCCAGAACCCCGGCGGTGCAACTGGCCAGCTCCAGGGCGTCGGTGCTCCCACCCAGAAGCGTGGTCTCTCCCGCGACAACTTCCGCAAGGAGATCGCTGCTCGCCAGATCACTGGACAGACCAACAACCAAGGCAACACCGGTGGCACACCCACCAACGGCAACAACCCCGTCGCTACCCAGCTTCTCCTCTCGCCTACCTTCACCCCCATCCAGGCCAATGCCGTCCTCGACCAGGCCAACATGCGTATTGCTGTTCCCGTCCGCCAGGTCGATGGAGAGTACATCCTTGTCATGCAGATGATGGGCGCCGCTGCTCAGGCTACTGCTCCTCAGGCTGCTCCTGCCGGTGAGGCCGCTCCAGCTGCTGCTCAGCCCGCTGCTGCCCCCGCCGCCGCTGCTCCTGCCGGTGAGGCCGCTCCAGCTACTGCTCAGCCCGCTGCTGCCCCCGCCGCCGCTGCTCCTGCCGAAGCCTCTCTCGCAGCTGCTGGCGAGTCCCCCAAGCCCGCCGCCGAGTCCACCGCCGCCGAGAAAGCCCCGACTGCCTCCGAGTCCGCCAAACCCGCCAGCGAAGCCGCAAAGACCGAATCCAGTGCCAAACCCGAGGCATCTAAGGCCGAAGCCTCCCCCGCCGCAAAGCCCGAGCGCCGCCAGGAGAAGACTGATAAGTACGGCAACCCCGTCGCTCCCCAGGGCGCAGTCATCATGAGCATGAAGCAGATCGACGAGATGGCGTCCATGGTTACGTGGGGCGGCCAGGCGCCGATTACGCAGATGATGAACGACTACGTCAAGGCGCAAACTGGCAAGGGTCTTGATACACCGAAGAACGGTACGAGCACTTCGAGCGCGGCTGGTGGTCTGGCCGGTATTACTGTGTAGATGAGATGAGGGTTGTGAAGAGGGAGCAGAATAATGCGGCAGGAGACTGTGTCTTCGCCACTACGAGAGGCTGTTGAGGAGGAGATAGTACTCAGTAGTCTATGGGGATAGTGACAGATTGTATTGTGAATAATTAAGCTTCTTGCGTTAATGTGTATATCCTCACTTCCCTTGATCCATCATTCTTACTTCTTCATTGTGCTATCCATCGTTTCTGCTTGACAGCCTGAGAGACGACACTCTAGCCTTCGGATCTGCCGAGCCGAGCGAGGAGCCCTAGCATTGTGCGTCTCATCACCAAACCTTCTCCGTTGCCAAGCATTGTAAAGTGACTCGCACATTTGTCACTGAGGAGGTGGCGGAGGGGCTCAAGGCATTGACTGAGGCAAATACTGAGGCCATACCGAGGCCATACGGCGGCATGAGCGTCATGGAACCTGAAGCAGAAGACATCAATGAGGTGCGGATAGTGACACGCCATCGTGAGCATTCGACTTATTGGCAGAACCGAACTAAGACCAAGCAAGGTTTTGAAACCTGAGATCTGATTGAGATTGGGAGAGACGCTGAACGCCTATAGTCCTACAACACTACTGAAAAGAGCCTCTCAAAGTCGCATCAGTAGCTAGAATATACAATAAAGTGAGTGGACGTGCAGTGCAGTGCAGGCCACAGTACGAAGCGGTAATCTATGCTTCATACAAGCTGCTTGTCATCTCAGTCTGTTTAGACAGCAGAGTATACAGCAGTAACACCCCGTCCGCACTCAACCTTCTGCTCAATCTCAACAGTGCGCCCATTGACCTTGACCTTCGCCCTCGGGCTAATCTGGAACCTGTGCATCTCCTTCTCCCTCAGCTTACCCACCATACTCGCACTCGCCGCGCGCTCGTTCTCCGCCTGTTGATCGAGCGGCTGGATATACGTCGGCGTAGCCACATTGCTCCTCTTGCCGCTGCCGATCTGGTAGAACTCGTTGTTACCCCAGAACAGGATGTCGCGGCCCCAGTTCGTGTCGTTCTCTGTCAGCTTTCTTGACTTGGTTGCCGTGACGACAGAAGCAACGTTGTCCATGATGGCTGCGGCGTGTGTCGAGCCGACAGAGATGTTGTGCAGCTTGATGGGTATGACGGTGTTGGCGGTCTCGTCCCACTCGAAGAGGCCCGAGAAGGTGGGGATTCTAGTAGGGTCGGGTTGTGTGTGGATCCAGCGGCCGACACCGAGTTGGCCAGTCAGGCCGTGGCCGAAGGCAAAAGTGTCGGCTGTGATGCGGGACTCGTTGGGCTTGCTAGCCTCCGCGGTCAGGTAAGAGGTGTTGCCGCCGGCGAAGACGTTGGTGACCTTGCCTTGCTGGGCAGTGCCGGCGTAGAGCTTCTGTGTGGGGAGGAGAGAGGGCGCGTCGACGTGAGGCGCTTCAGAGTTGAAAGGGAAACCGAGTTGGCCAGAGGTGTTGTCGCCGAAGGAGAAAGCGCGGCCTGCTGAGTCGCATACCAGGCTGTGGTAGTCGCCGGTTGCGATCTTGGAGATGGGGAAGCCCTTGAGTGTTGTGATCTCGTGCGGTATATCCATCGGACCCTTAGGCCTCGACTCCCAGGTCAGACCAGGGATGCCAAGCTGACCTTTGCTGGGAAAGTTTTGTGTACCCGAAGCAAACGAGAACACTCGTCCAGCGGAGGTGAGCAGAAGGGCGTGCTCGAGACCAGACTTGACGTCGACAACCTTCTCGCTCCAGGCCAGGTTCTCAGGCGTACGTGTGCGGTAGGAGACGTCGTTCGAACCACCCCAGAAGGAGATCCAGGATGTGGACGCTGGCTTTGGGCCTTCCTGCTGTTCCGTCTGCGAGACTGGTATCGAGTACACGGAGCCATTGGAGGAGAGGGCGATGATGCGGTCGCGTGAGATGGCTAGCGAGGTAAGGTTCTTGCCACGTAGTGTTGGTGTGGGCTCCTTTGCCTCTTTCGAGAAGTCTGTTCCCCACTGCAGCAGGTCGCCCTTCTCGTCGATAGCTGCGCCAAAGTTCCTGTCCAGCTTGATAGCCCGTAGCAGCTTGCCGTCAAAGAACTTTATGCGCCGCGGTGTCTTGATGTACTTCTCATCCGAGTCTGGTGCCACTGTCTTTCCTGCGTTTGAGCCCCAAGCGTACACTCCAGGATTCTCCCAGCTCCTCTGCACCTGCAAGTGCTGTGAGCTGATGATGTTTCTGTTGTCGTCTGTTGACTTCGTCTTCCGCCTAGGAGCTTCAAACTTCATGACCTCCTCTTCATCCTTCTGCTCTTCGGCGTGCACCTCGCCAACCACATTGCCATTGACATATTGGTATGCTGAGGCAGTGGCCCAGAGCGCAGTGACGGTGGACACCGAGCGGACGAAATGCTGCTGTCGCCGCTGAGCATACGGATGTGCCGCTGCTCGTACGCGTGGACCTTGCGGTCTTGTCGCAATGTTCCTACATGTTCGCGGCGCATGCGGAGCTCGAATGGTGGCGCGTGAGAGGCATCTGGTGGTGAGCATTGTGTGGTGTGAGAAATGTGGAAGGGGCGTTCGGTGAGGTTTTCGAGGTCTACAGGATATCACGCGTCGACATTGGTACTTCCAACAGTCCCTTGGATCACTCCACGTTAGTAATACCGCGGTTCGATAGCTGTCGCGCCATCGTCTGCAGCGAGATCGGAAATCTAGAACGTCATTACCTTCATCTGATTTGTAGCTTATCAGATCAAAACCGCGTGGTTATGATTGGCTAGAAGTTCTTCCCCCACAAGTTCTCAACCCTCCGACCGCCGACATCTGATAGCAACGCGTGGTGTTGGCCGAGTGAACGCAAGGGGCACTTTGATGTCTGCCAACCCAAGTTGAAGCCACACCCGCTGCCCAACATGGAGGGAGAGTCGTGGTACAATTCCTTCGTGCCTCGCGTGGTAAAGAAGGAGGAGCCACCAAAACAGCACCGACGCCGTGAGAGTCTGCTGCGACAGCCCAACGTAAGCCCACCATCTGCCGCATGGGTACGTCAGAGCGATATTGATGAGTTCACTGCAGGAGAGTAACGCTGACGTCGAGCGCGCAGAAGGAATACCAGAGACCGTAGAAGAAGCTCCAGCGAAACTCATTGGACCCCCACCGGCCACCGTGGCCAGACGCGCCAAGTCATACAGCGACTTCTACTCGGTAGTGCGGGCACACATCAAGAAGGAGAAGGCTTTGGTAAAGAAGAAGTCGCAGGAGGATATCAGCAATGAGCTCGACTTTGCTGCGTGGTATGGTGGAGTCAACGAGGAGCTGCTCGAGGCAAGCCACGACGAGTACAAAGCCTACCAGAGCCAGCTACATCTGACGCGCAACTACCTGGGCAACATTATCGCCGACACGAACTCGACCCTCGATACCCTTTCGTCCCTCTCGGACTCCTTCAAGACCGTCGAAGCCCAGACAACCGCTTTCCGCGAACAATGCGAGGGCTTGATCAGCGATCAAAAGCGCATTACGAAGCTTGCCGAGGATATGCAGCAGAACTTGCGCTACTACACGTACCTCGAGCCTACCATGAAACGTCTCAATGCTCCAGGAGCTTCCAAGATTGTGCGGGGCAAGGAGTTCACGGACATGTTGGCCAACCTTGACAGCTGTCTTGAGTATATGCAAGTCCACACGAAACACCGCGAAGCCGAGACGTACCGTTCGAGGTACCGATTGCAGCTTACGCGCGCCTTAACACTGATTCGAGTCCACTTTACCGAGGCTTTGCGCGAGATCGCTGCCGACGTTGCAAAGAGGATTGCCGACCGCCAACTGAACGACACAACTATGTCTGCGCTATTGTACGCCAAGTTTCGCGTTGGCGCACCAGAGCTTAAGAAGCTTGGGTTGGAGATCCAGAAACGAGCGGTCCTGCCAGCAGGCGCAGCGCCAGGGGCCGAGGCAGAATACCAGAGCTTGATGAATGAGCTATATCAGAGCTACTCGACCACCCGTGGGCGACTGATATTGCCGATTGTAGCGAAAAAGATTAACGAGATTTCGCAAGCACCGAGCACGTCGAAAGACCTCGTGGCATTTGCTCGCAGCAGTATGAGCTACATTCGCGGTATCTGCATCGATGAGCATGACTTGTGGCGCGAGTGGTTCGATGGCGATGGTGGCATGTACGACTTCCTCGAAGCTATGTGCGAGCCGCTCTACGATCACCTACGACCCCGCACCATCCACGAAACACAAATTCTAAAGCTCTGCGAACTGTGTACTCTACTACAGACTCGTTATATGGACGACGATGAAGACGAGCAGTCGCCTATCGAGGCGGACAGGCTCGACTTCTCCATCCTAGTCCACCCCGCTCTACAAGATGCGCAGAATCGACTCGTCTTTTTATCGTTGGCCATCTTGAGAGATGACATCGAGCGCTACAAGCCGAAGCCCGAGGATCTGGACTACCCAGCCAAGAACAAGAAGCTAGCCGGTCAGGGCGCGAAGTCGAGTCAGCCCGTACTGTCAGGCAAGAAGCAGAACAAGTCAGAAATTCCACCTACACCAACAATGCCAAAGACGCCTATGGTGGTAGAGGAGGATGACCCTGACTCACGTTGGAACTTCAACACGGAAGCTGCGTTCAAGGACTGGTATCCTACGCTGAGGAAAGCCATTTGGCTGCTCAGTAAGATCTACCATCTGGTGCATGTAAATTTATAAATGGTCCCTTTCGATGATTAATGCGCTGACAACAATCACAGTCTTCAGTCTTCGATGATCTAGCGCATCATATTGTTCACAGCACTACCATGTCGCTGACACAGGCCAGCGCATTGATCAGCAAAGCTGCGTCACCAACAGATGCAGCGCTCTTCCTGGTCTCACATCTTCTTCTGCTCAAGCAACAGATTGTGGCCTTCGATATTGAGTTTGTAACACCAGAAACGGACATCAAGTACGATATTTGGAGCGTCACAAACACCTTCTGGGAGTTGCGTGAAAGAGGAGGTCTCTTCAATCCACGCAATCTCGTTGGCCTGCTCATTCCTAAGGTCGTCGACAACATGCTTGATGCCAAGGCAGAAGTAGATGCGCGATTACGACAGGCGATCAACGACTTTACCGGTCAGTTTGTTGCACGGATGGTAGCACCGATCGACACAAAGAACAATAAGAAGGTGCCAGTCGCTGAAGCACCAGCGCGCACAGCCAAGATACGGCAGAACATCGAACAGGAAACTCCCTTCCTGCGCGGCAAGCTGGAAGACTACATTACCGACGCACGCACTCGCGAGATGCTTGTTGCCGCAGTCATGGAGTCTGTGACCCAGACTTACGAAGATTGGTTTGATACATCGTACACGCCTTCTTTAAACGGTACGAACGGTACTGGGAGAAGTGGAAAGGGCAAGGGCAGAGAAGACGGTGTTTGGGACCCGGATGTGTTCAATGAGTGGTGTACGAACATATTCAGGGTGGGCACTCTTGGTCTAGGGATTGTCAATGACGACAATGAGGACTATGACATGAACGGTGACGACAGCGATGCAGACAGCATGGGCGCCGTCTCTGGAAGAACGGATAAAATAATGACAGGGACTACAGGGAGAGGGCTGAGTATCAGATAGTTTGATACGGTCAGACTAAGCTTCGACAACCGAGTCTGACATCTCTCGCTGTGTGCATCAACTCGTCTCGTTGTCAACTTCGTTGGTTGTCGTTCTTACCGGAACTCGTTGTCACAAAGTCTTTGTTTAGCACGGTCTGGCTTCTATTAACATCTGACAGGCACTCGCACAAACACCTTCGCTTTTTGTCTCGAAGCTTGAGCTCGACACAATCGTTGAGCACAACGCACGGCACTCTTCGACAGGTTTACTATGCTCCAACACAGCGACATACTTGAGACTATCTTTCGATCGCATATCTAGGTCTCCAGCAACACATCAACATCCACAGCCAGTCCACTCTTCAGCCTGAACACCACTTCCGAAACCTTCTCATTGCACTATTCAGCACAATGTCTTCTAACAACACTACCCCCGAGCGTAACGATCGCAAAGGTTCCCTCACACACCTTCAGGCGAAGCAGCTGGCAGAGGCTGCTAAAGGAGACACTCCTACACCCGAACCCGAGACCAAGCCCGCGAAGGGCACCCGTGGGAAGAAGAAAACAAAGTCCAAGGTCACAGAGCCCAAGAAGAACGACAAGAAGACTCCTCCCAAGAATGCTGGCAAGAAACGCAAGTCTTCGCAAGGAGAGGATGGCGGGGATACCGATAAGACACTAGGCCTCTATGAGGAGGAGGTTGAGGACACGCCTTCGCCGGAGAAGAAGCAGAAGATCACAGATGAAGATGGTAAGAAGAAACAGGCAGCAAAGCCCAAGCCCGCAAAGGGTGGCCAGAAGGGTGGGAAGAAGGTTGAGAAGGTGACCACTTCTCCAGCATCCCCTCCACCCACCGCTGCACTCACACCTGTCGACCTAGACCAGATCACTCGGGCGGTTCAAGACGCTATCCGTCCTCATCTCGGCCTTTTGGACCCAGATGTTCATCCCTCTCTGATTGCGACGCAGGTCAATCAGGGCATGCACGCTGCCATCCAGCCATACCTTGCGATCATCGAGCCTTTCATGAGATTCCAGCGTCTCTACGCTAAGCTCGGAGAGAACGTGGGTGTTGATGCTGATGCAAAGATCACGCAGGTCAAGGACATCATTGTTAGATTGCAGAAGGAGCCTGGGAAGGCTGAGAAGAAGGAGGGTGCTGGTTTGGATGATGATTGGGAGTGTGAGAAGGAGGTTTTCGATCTTGTGAATCCTACACAGCCAAGAACAAGAAGGTAGGAAGCTGAGGTTGCTGATGCACAACCTGGGATTCTCTAGGGCGGGGTGCTAGCTGGAAAGGAGGACGGTGGATGGGAGTCTTTTGAAGACTTCCTAGCTGATGTTTGAATGGTGGTGTGGATCTCTCTCCAAAGCCTTCTACTTGCAGCTCATGTGCAGGCCTCTAAGTCGTTCTTCTGATATTCCCAACCCATATTGTACAATAGTATGACATGCTGTACATGCGCGCCTCCAATGCTCATCGATCCTCTTGGCCCATTTCCTTTGTATGGCTACTTCTTCTTCGGCGCAGGCTTCGCTGCTGGTGGCGGTGCCGCGGCCGCAGCCTTGGGTGGTGCCTTTGGCGCGTCCGTTTGCTTAGCAGCGCCGCCAATGATGTCTAGGAGACTGTCTCCCTTCTTGCCCTGCTTCGTGTCAGCTCCCATGCCTGCCACTCATATGCTGCCCCCCCCCCCCCCCTCCCTCCATGGGTCAGTTCAACGCACCTTCTCGCCCTCGCTATCCCACCCTGTGCCAAACTTCGCTCTGAAAGCCGCCAGTTTACCGGCCTCATCCTCCTCCACGTTCAGCAGCTTCTGACTACTCGGATTCCACAGCGGGTTGTTCTTGATATCTTTCGCGCTCTTGAGAACGGGCTGAGGATTTGTCGTGCGCAGGGTGAATGCGGAGCCGTCTGAGAGTTGGACGAGCTGTGTGAATGTGTAGGGTCGCTTGGGTCGGCGCAGGAGTGTCGCGTGGCGCACTTGCTGGGTCTGGCGGGTGTAAGGTGCGATGGAGGCGCGGAGGGCGCGCAGAGCGCTGGGAGAGGGTATCGGGGTGGCCATTGGTGCGGGGATTGGGATGGAGCAGTGTCGAGAGCTGGAGGTGTGAATGCGGAGTTCGGGAGTGATAAACTATAGCGCGACTTTTTCCCAGTAGCGCGGTGATGCAGTAGCGCGGTGATGTCGCATGGGAGGAAAGACCATCGTCATCTGCTTCCACAACCGTCAGACGTCCCCTCTGCACTCACCCTGTACTGGCAACATACGAGTGATGTCGCGGATGCCTCGCTGAAGCATTGTCAGAATGGCGCTCCCTCAGCGCCCGGCGTCGCGCTTCTTCGCGGCCTTTTACAGATGGAGCCGCCATACACGTGCGTCTTGTTCACCCTATTCTTTACAATACTTGCTGAGCCTTGACAGAACGGCCGAGCCCATGCACGCTCTCTTCACAAAATACTCATCTGCCAAGATGTCCTGCGACCTTCGCCGGCCTACGATGCTACCATGTGACCCGCCGTGTACGTGAGGAGAACCAGTCTACACATGACTTCATGCAAGAGCTCCAGACGAGTGCAGGTGCTGTTCAAGGGGACGTTCAGGCTCCAGTCGAGCCTCTGCTACAGGCAGTCGATTCTGCGCAACTGAAAGACGATGTCCGCCGCCTTATGCGAAAAGTGCCCGCCTCAGTCGCTGTCATCACCGTCGCGCATCTCGACCCAGCGACGGACGAAATGGTCCCTATGGGCATAGCTGTTTCGTCCCTCAACACTGTCACTCTCGATCCGCCCACAATCTCCTTCAACATCAAACAACCCTCGCAAGCCCTCAACGCTATCCGAGCCGCCAATGGCCGCTTCCGTGTACACTTTCTAGACGGTCAAGAGCCCAGTCTTAAGATCATCGAGCGCTTCTGCAACGGAAACAACCCCGACGCTTATGAGCAACGGCGGGAGGGCCTTTCGATCGATGTTCCACAAATCGAAGACAGTACGCCAGCTACAGCTCTCCTGTCGCCACGAATACAGGGCAAGACCGTCCGCGCTGCGGCCGAGTGCACTTTGACCCAGGAGCTTACCGTTGGGGATCATGTCATTCTCGTCGCTCAGGTCAGGAGCCTTGAGAGCACTAATCTGGAAGATCCAACGATCGTTTATGTCGATGGCACATACAGACGCCTTGGTTCTAAAGGGATTCTGGGACACCATGGAAGTCAGCAAGGCCCCAAACAGCCCGCTGTGGACGCCGCACAAAAGAAGGCGTTACAGACAACCACGAGCCGGGCTCAGGAGCGATTGATGGCTTACGGCTGGCCTCTGATTCCTGGAGAACAACATCGACACGAGTACGCAGAAGGCTTGAAGTCATATGTCAAAGGGATTCCAGGGCTCCGATTCATGAACCCAAGAGATGTCATCAAAGTCTTAGAGCCCGAAACGAAACTCATTACGAAATCCTTCGGCATCGATCTGGTAGCACTCGTCTCTTTCTGTCAAAATGGAGCGACCACAAACAATCAGTCAATCCTGCCCGAGTTCTTCGGGCAGCTCTCGTCAGCTAAAATGGCAAAGCTGATTGACCGTGTGAAGCAACTCGTCAAGGCTGATAAACGGTTCCTCGAAGTGGGCTACACCGATCTACTTCGTTACTTGGACGTCCACATTGCTGGCGCCAGCGTTCTGCCCAGCGATCTGCTGAACCCTCTCCGGGCAGAAGGGCTTGTCGGTCCTTTCGAACCATCAGAGTCGCTGCCAGACGCGGCCGGCCCAGATCGAAATGCTCTTGTTCTGGAACAGGCTGAACATTTGATCCGGAAACAGCTCTCTATCCTGACAGACAAACAGATCCTACGTACACCTCTGCCCGCTATTCTGGACCGGGCCCGTGTGCCAACTGTAGATCTCCTGCACTTCCGGGAGAACCACACTCGCCTGAAAGTCGACATGTGTTCAGGATTCTACAAGGACTGGAAAGTCGACATCACAGGCGATGCCGCTCCCGAAGAGGTTCTTGTAATTATACGTCGCCTGGTCGATTACATGGGGGTCGGCCGCAAACAGGTCTACCGGATGCACATGATGGAAGAAACGAGCGACATGTTGCGCAACGTTGGTGTCCATCCGCTCATCTCTGGTGTGAACGCCGACTACATCGTAAGCAAGATCCGATCTTTCTACCAGGTCCCCGATGACTTTTCAAACCTGGGGTACAGAGTCGAGGACACGTTACAGCCATATTTCGCCAGCACGGTTACGTGGGAGGACCTCGAATCACGCGTGAGACAGTTCGTGCAAAAGTTTCCTTTGCGAGCTACCACCTGGAAGAGTAGAGACGCACTGGCCGCCATGGGTATGAGCGGGAACACCACCATCTCTACACCACTCACCGAGACACCGCAGACCATAGATGACAGCAATTTGCTTGACATGCTCATGGCGAAGGCACTCAAAAACCACTACGGCAACGGTACAGACGAGGAGAACCAAGCTATTGCCACCTTCCTCAAAGACCGATACAAGTTCGATGTTGCTCGCAAGACCGCCGTGGTATCGCCAGAAGAAGCTCTTAAGCGCTCGTCAGCCGACGATCTGGAGGCGGCGAGGTTGAAGCACCAGGAAGAGACTATTCCGATACGGAACGTGGGTACCAGACATCGGTAGGAAGAGTATGCTAGCGTTGCTTCTGCCACCCAAAGAGGTGGAATAAGACTCATTGAATGGGCGCTGGAGACTTGCAACGCGTGCAGGAAATGTACTTGATAGATATTGTACGATAAATGCACCGCCGACTGACACGGTGCACCTGCACAACAGGAAAGGCATAAGTAGGTAGATACCATCCAAGGTGAAAGGCTCAATAATAACAACACACGCTGGACTGTACCTAATAGCCAAGGACAACACCACGTGAGCACGCGTTTCTTGCTACCCAGGTACCCGTCGCCCAAAATGCTTGTGCTTGAGATGTAGCCCTAGGATATTCGTCATACAGATACAGTAGCGTTCCGAAACATGTCCAAGTTGCTCCATGTTTCCGAGGATCAAGAGAAACCTGTGTTCCAAGCTGGCTGCCAAAAGCGTTCATGCTTCAGCTCGTGCGCGTCGTCAGCTCACCTTCCCCGCGCTTGCGCGACTTTGCCAACTCCGGGGCTCCCGTTTGTCGTGAGTCTGGTATCACCCGAGTGCACAGTCTTCGTCTTCTTGAACGGAGCCTTTTGTAAAAACCCTTCACGCACGCCTGTTGTTTGCGAACAACATGATGGCGCGGTTATCGCACGTGATTCCGCTGTTGACCTGCGCCACAGCGCTCAGCAGCAGCCATGCAACGCCAGCAACGAAGCGTGTCGCGATCATAGGTACCTCGCGCTCTCAGCACTCAAGCCATCCCCTTGGCCCTAACAACGTCCAGGCGCCGGCGCCGGCGGCTCATCAGCAGCCTACCACCTCGCCCAATACGCCGCCTCCTCCTCGACCCCAACCAACATCACCGTCTTCGAGCGCTCGTCCTACATCGGCGGCCGCACCACCACCGTCGACGCCTGGTCCGACCCCGCCGTCCCCATCGAGCTCGGCGGCTCCATCTTCGTCGACGTGAACCACATCCTCGTCAACGCAACGCGCGACTTCAACCTCTCCATCGCCTCCTCGGAAGACAGCCTTGCTACACGGCTTGAGTTACCCGATCTTGGGATATGGGACGGCAAGCAGTTTGTGCTGGTTACAAGCGAGGAGGATGGCTGGTGGGATAAGGCGAGGTTGCTGTGGCGGTATGGACTCGCGCCGTTGAAGACGAATCGGCTGATGAAGAGTGCGGTGGGCAGGTTCTTGGGCATGTATGAGGAGCCTGTATTTCCGTGGAGCAGTTTGGGGGAGGCGTTGGAGGGTCAGGGGCTGTTGGAGATCACGGGTGTGACGGGCGAGCAGTATCTCACCGCGAATGGTATTGGGAACGCGTTTGCGAGCGAGGTTATTCAGGCGAGGTGAGTGTGATGTCTGAATGGTGCATGCGCGCTGTAAGTGCTAACGAGGGCAGTACGAGAGTCAACTACGCCTCGAACCTCGCCTATATCCATGGTCTCGAGACTATGGTGTGCATGGCTACGAGCGGCGCAATGCAGATTGACGGCGGTAACTGGCGCATCTTCGCAAGCATGCTGAAGTCCTCGCCCGCAATCACAACGCACCTCAACACTCAGGTCTCACAGATCTCAAAACAAGACGATGGTACATACCACCTGTCCATCAACGAGTCCACCTCCACCTTCGATGACGTCATCCTCGCAGCACCTCTCCAATTCACAAACCTCACCATCTCCCCCGCGCCACAGCACGCTCCCGACACAATCCCATACGTAAAGCTACACGTCACATTGTTCGCCTCACCCTACAAGCTCTCCCCCTCAGCATTCAACCTCTCCCCCGGCGAGAACGTCCCGCAATACGTCCTCACCACGCTCCCTGCCTCCGAAGCACCCCTCGATGGCAACCCCGGCACCCCAGGCTTCTACAGTATATCCATGCACTACACCTCCCTGAACCGTCGTGCCTCACCCCCGCGCCAGGAGTTCATCTACAAGATCTTCTCCGTTGAGCCCATCACATCCACGTTCCTGTCGCACGTCCTCGGACATTCTGTTTCGGAGCGTGAAGCAGAGGGTGAAGATGTGGATGGTGCTGTGAGCTGGGTGTATAGGAAGGTGTGGCACTCGTATCCGCGGGAGTACCCGAGGGTTACGTTTGAGGAGATTAGGTTGGATGGGAGTGAGGGTGAGGGTGAGGGCGGGTTGTGGTATACGAGCGGCATGGAGAGCTTTATTAGTACAATGGAGACGAGTGCTTTGAGTGGGAAGAATGTCGCGAGGTTGATTAAGGATAAGTGGGAGCGTGAGAAGAGTGGGAGCGCGTTTGCGAGCGAGGAAGTTGGGCAGGATGAAGTGGAGGGTGCTGTGCACCACTCCCCTCCGGACGCCCAGGCACAAGCTCCTGTGCAGTTCCCCGCTCTCTCTCTCCCAGAGCCGGAGTCGGATGCACCGCAACTCGAGGTCGACGGTGAGGGTGTGACCCTGGATCATCTCGGACCAATGGTCGTTAACAAGGATGGGAGTTTGAGTAGGATTGCGAATTGGGAGACCATGTCGGAAAAGGAGAGGAAGAACACGCTTAGAGTGCTGGGGAAGAGGAATCAGCTAAGGCTGGGCGAGTTGAAGGGCGAGCAGTCTGAGCTGTGAGGCAGATACTCATGTAAACCGATGTTCTTCTTGCACATGTGTCTACCATGCCTTACAATTCCCAGACATCGAAATGGCATTGAACCCGTTGTTGTCGGTGCGCGAGACGGGACCTTCATTTTTGCCGGAAGCCCGGGTATGTATGATGTACTGATCGATTCGAGGTGAATGCCGGCCAAGCGACAATACAGTGACTTCCCATACACGCGCCTAAATGAAGTCAAGCTTCCAAACCTTCCCTGGACACGTCATCCCATCACGTACTCTATCGTAATCTTCTATTGCCCATGAGGACAAGTTCCAGGGTCATAACATCATTCGTTATCGTTATTCGTATCGTCTAGCAGTGATATATATATTCTATGTGGCGAATCAATAAATCACACAAGTGCGAATTCCACGCCGTTCACTGACCTCGAAACACATTGAAAGACTTTGCAGCAATCATGACATGACACGCCATATGCGGACAGTGCTGAATACCTCCAGGGTACAGTCTCAACGAGGAGCATACATGCCCAAAGATTCGATCGTATGCGCCGGCCAAGGATGTTTTTCGGGGTCCGGATGTGGCCGCTTTTGATGAATCGATCGTGCTTGTCGTGCCAGTCGACAGTGACGTGCGGTATCAGACTTGGACTATGAACTCAACGCTCCGGCTGAGCTGAGGGTATGCTCTCGGGGTCGAACTCGACGGTTATGGCCATGTTGACGAGGAACTGGACACTGAACGTGGGAGCGTAGAACAAGTCGATCGAGAGGTCGATCAAAGGCTGATATGCCTGCCGTTGGTACGGAAGGAGGCAGTATGGTCAGTATGTGCCATTTTGTACTCATCGATACCATCCTTCGTTTGCATGGTTGCTGAAACAGGTTCGTGACCACCTGGAGGCCAAGGTGATAGGAGTCCAGTGCTGTTATCACGTATACTGCCTGCCTGCTGGCCAGGTAGGATTTCTCATTTGGTAGAAACGGCAATTTCTGGAATTTGAAAACGTTGCTGAAAGTCTTAGTGAGCGTTGATCGTGGCAACATACGCATGGCATCTTCAATTGACTTTCCTCCCGCTCATATGGAAGACGCCAATTCTGGATCCTCAAATTGTTCCAAAAATTTCTTGTATCAGCTCACAACTTTCAATGGCTGTACATTGTTTCAATAGGTAAGCATTACATGCAGCTGCTGGTTGAATACATTCACGGTGAACAGTGGTTAAGTACATCTCAGGTCACTTCGAGTCTTCGATCAGAAGGCAATGAGGATAAACGACTTTCTGAAAGTTAGGAGCTTGCAACTAATTCTCTGATCGAGAGACAACCGGTTAAAGCTGTCCGACTTTGGCACCGGTACGGTTCCTGACGTTTGAGAGTGTGCATGACTGACTGTTCTCAGAGCGTTCTTCCTCTCCGACGCACCCCTATCTCCAACAACACCCATCGGTCTCCGCAGCCCCGAGCTGATACTCAATCGGCCGTTCGACAGCAGTATTGACGTCTAGTTCTTCGGCTGTCTAGTCTACGAGTTTCTCACAAGCGGGCCGCTATTCACGGTAGCGGTATCTGGCTACGACCAAGCGCACCGAGACAAGGCGGACGATGACCACTTCGTCCAGCTTGACGACAAAATAGGACGGTTGCCTGAGTCTATCATGCGTGACTGGCCGGTGGCAAGTAAGTGGTACGATTCAAATCACAAGCAGTTATGCCCATGTGGTGAGTACGAGCCGTACGAGTCGCTCGAGCAACGCTTGGCGATGCACAAGCATCCTGACATCGGCGATGAGGAAGCAGCCACCATCTGTCAGCTTATCTGAGAGACCCTGGCGTACAATCCGGCGGAGCGACCTTCAGCAGAAGAGCTGTTCAAGCACCCTTGGTTTTCGGAGTGAGCAGAAGTGATTATCGTGGGTCAGGCTGACGCTGGAGGAAACCACAGGTTTGATCATGTACTTGATGGGGAGTTCGGCACGATTTGGAAGATACCCCAGGGATAGACTGAAGTTTGTGGACTTATCAAACGACCTCGGCGCAACCTGTTGAAGACTCTTCTGTAGTTCCTGATCCAACTCTTCTTACCCCACCAACCCCTCGAAAAGTTCATCTCGCCTTCTTCGTACTTCATCGCACTTGACTTCGAACCGTCCCACTTCCTTCCTCGCAGCTGCCAGATCAGCCGGCAACCCGCCGAACTCTTCAACTTCCCCTTCCAACGCCTCGACTCTGTCCCTCAGCTCCTCCAACGCGAGCTGCTGCTCCAGCATCTCCGTTATCGCCTCTGCAGACGCTATGTTCTTCGACCCTGGCGTCATAGCACGCTCATGGCTAGAATGAAGGGAGGAGAGCTGCGACTCTGCTTCCCGGATCTTGGAGCGGAGATGCTTGGTTTGCCGGGCCTGCTCGATTGTCTGGCGTTGGAGCGAGGATGGAGCGGAGAACGAGGGGTTGGTTTGTAGCTCGTGGATCTGGGTCCGGAGGAGAGCGTGTTGTTTTGAGAGGTATTGTTGGAGAGTTTGGATGTGGGTGAATTGGTTGGTGAGGTTCTGCGTTGTGATGGTGTGCGAGATGAGGGCGTGGGCGAGGGTCTGCGGGTCTGCTGTTGGTGTCGAGAGCGCGATTGTGGTGGATGCGAGTGCGGTAAGGGCAGTCGTTCCTTCGGACGTAAGGTGTGCGCGAAGGGTAGAGAGAATGTGAGCGTCGCTTGAGTTGGTGGTGGCCTACCTGGTGAGTGCCTTGCTTCGTGGTGTATGATTGAACAGGCTCATACCTCATCTAGCTCCTTCAACGCTTCTCGCTCTACACGTTCTAGTATTGCACGCTCCTCATCTGCCCTCTCATTCGCCATCGATAATTCGCGTAGCACCTTCAGCGTCTCCTCATTGCGCTCAAACGTAGGCACTGTGCGCCCGGCATACTTGTATGACAGCCATGAGTCAATATGTGCCCAGTCCTGTGCCCGCGCACGCTGTTGCCGAGCTTTCGAGGGCGAGAAGAGATCAGACGGCGTGAGGTTGTCCATCTTCAGAGTTTATGGTGTCACTGGTGTTTGTTGTCGCGCTGAATGCGGATAGGCATCCGCAGCTAGACCCTGGCCCCTTCTCTTATCGATAGGCTTAAATTTCGTCGCAACTGCCGACCTCGGAGCTAGCGGGCGCTGGGGAACACTATTCAACTTGTTTTGGAGCACGAAGTGTCATTGCTGTCGAACCAGTAATTGCCTCCACAATTACACATACGAGGCCCTTTCTTCTGTACTCTGTACCATACTGTAGACCGTACGTATTTGTTTGCCCACATGGCGCCTATGATGATTGAGAACGAGAATGATGTTGAGGTGGGGGAGAGTCTTCCTCCTATGACTGAGCACGTGAGTCAATACTTCACTTCTTTCGCGATTAAGCACTTGCTGAATACGCCAGGCTGTCAGTGTCTCATTACCGACATGGAGAGCCAATGTTGGCTACGAAGAAGGTGAAGAATGGGTTATTAGTAAGATGAAGACTGGCTATCCCAGGTAAGTGGTGGCGAAGACAATGTCGAAGCTCTACTGATAATCGAAGGTTCTTCATACACAAGGAGATCCAGAAGTTCGCAACAGACATAGTGGAGAAGCATGGAAGAGAAGGAGAAGGTGCAATGCTTTTCCCCACACACTGCACTGCATCAAGATGTCGAGATTTCATCCTCAGGATCGCAGCGGACCAGGACACTTCTCAAGTGAGGATCATCGACTTGTTACCAGCAGCTGAGAAGGCACGTGCCGAAGACATGAATGCCATATCACCAAAGATCTCCGCTGTACTTTACCCACTGGACCTGTTCAAGGTTGCCAAGCAGTTCTGGCAGCACTCAGGAGATGGTGTATCGAGCAGAAGAGCAGAGTACTGCCACCACCTTTTCGAGAAGGGTGTTCTGGTTGATGCCACGAAGCTCGACGAACAGCCATCCCGCTTCTGCAAAGGACCTCGACGATACCAGAAGAAGACCTCCATTGACCTCGATGCTCCCGCAACCCAACAAGACGCCGAAACCCTGACGCAATTCGTTGAGCAAAGATTCGGTCGCAACCTCGATCTCTCTATGACCAAGAACGCCAAACTCGCTGTTCGCCGCCGCATCGCTGGTTCCCTTACCGCCGACGTTGCACTAGCAGAAGCGCTCTCTCTGGACGCTGACTCAGAACGTACGCGCCAAGTCGCTGACTTCTCCGAAGATGACGTCTACCTGTACCCGACTGGTATGAGTTCCATCTTCAACACACATAGGAACTTGCTCGCCGCCAAAGGAGAACACAAAGCCATCGTCTACGGCTTCCCGTACATCGACACGCTCAAGATCACTGAGAAGTTCGGACCAGGATCACTGTTCTACGGCTATGGTTCGAGCGAAGAGCTCGACGATCTGGAGAAGCGTCTAGAAAGCGGTGAGAAATATCTCGCACTATTCACAGAGTTTCCTGGCAACCCCCTGCTCAGAAGTCCAGACCTAGAGCGCATACGCAAGCTAGCCGACAAGTACGACTTCTGCGTCGTAGTCGACGAAACAATCGGCAACTTCATCAATGTCAATGTGCTCCCTTACGCAGACGTCGTCGTCAGCAGCTTAACCAAAGTCTTCAGCGGCGACAGCAACGTCATGGGTGGTGGTCTGGTGCTCAACCCGAAAGCGCAGAACTACGCACTCCTCAAGAAGCAATGGACAGACGACTACGAAGACAACCACTGGGCCGAAGACTCCATTTTCCTTGAGCGCAACAGCCGCGACTTCGTGTCGAGGATCGAGCGTATTGGGATGAATGCTGAAGCTATTTGCGACGTGCTGAGCGCGCATCCAAGAGTCAAGCAGGTCAATTACCCCAAGACCTCACCGACACGGCCTTTCTATGAGAAGTGTCGTAACCCCAAGGGTGGCTATGGCGGTCTGCTGTCTGCGACTTTCTATACCAAGGCTGATGCTATCGCGTTCTTCGATAACCTGGATACGGTGAAGGGACCGAGTCTGGGCACGAACTTCACGCTGAGCAGTCCGTATGTGATTTTGGCGCACTATGGCGAGTTGGATTGGGTGAGTCAATATATTTCAAAGTTGATGTGGATACGTGCTAACGATCGTGCAGGCTGCGAAATGGGGTGTCGAAGCCGATCTGATTCGGTTCAGTGTCGGGTTGGAGGAGACGAGTAAGCTGGTTGACACGTTCAAGAGGGCGCTGGACGCTATGGATAAGGCGCCGCAGTGATGCATCTCGTGGAGACAATCAAAGAAAAAGTAAAACGTTCATCATGATCACATTGCCCGCGTTGCACGACAATGCACAGAGAGTGAGACAGACGGCTTGTAGAAATGAAACAGTGCCGATATCCGTTCAAGAACCCGGGGAGATATCATTTCTGCCGTGTGCGGTGAAAAAAGGAGGTTGTGAGCGGATTGATACTTCCGATGAGCTTGATAGCCGCTGAAGGGGCCGTGCACATCAAGTGATGTTGACGTCAACTCACAGCTTGAGTCATGATCAGTGAGGAAGGATGGGCGTTGTTCGTGGAATGATATTGCTGATCTGTTTTTTACTTTGCAATGACTGATCGATAGTTGTATCGGCACAGTCAGCAGACAGTCGATGTCTTTCTCGCCATGGTGCTTTCCCCAAGTTGAACTTAGTACCGGACGATTGTTACTGTTTATTAGTGTTAATTTTCGCTTACCTGTGATATCATTGAGCCTGTCATCGTCTTATAATCTTATAGGCAAGCGTATCTCGAGTGCTAGGTACAGTCGTACGATTGAAGTATAGTCAGGAGTTGAAATTGGTATGTTCATCAGTGCATCCTTCGTGCCTTTGCCAAGACTGCCCCTGGGGTAATGAACGTTTCCAAAACGCCAGCCGATATTTCTATATTGTGGCTTGGGGTGCTTCAAGGAGAGGTGCGTAGTTGGCCCGGTATATGTAGAGTGGCCGCTCGCTTGCACCTGTTGAAGTCGTCGCTGGCTGATTTCGTGGTGTTGTAGGGATAGAGACATCGGTTCAACAATTTGAGTTTGTCTGAGTTCGAAGTATGTACGGCGTACGCTGGACTATGGTACTGGAATATTGGAAAAGAGATTAGATCAGACCATCGTGATGCCTCGAATAAGCAGCAGTTCAGGATGACCTGGCGTTGAGTCGTGAGAATTGCTTCTATGAGGTTGGCGTGGTCCTATCTCTACATGTTAGCACGTGGTGCGGTTTACTGCAATGCACCGCGCCTACGTATGCCCTACGAAGTTGCCTTGAACTTTATTCTGACAGACGTTCATGCTTACCAGGCAGACGGGAGGCCGGTAGCCCGAGCTCCCCCGCCTTTTACGATGGCATGTAGTCGGTGATAGTATCGAACTGGGATATGCTAGGAAATTTGCGAAGTCGTGCCTGGCCAACGATCCCTATCGTCGTAGCAACATAGTGCAATATCGGGGAGGCCGTCACAGTTGTTTAGTCCGTGATGGAACTGACAGAGAACTGCTTGCCGAATACCGAAGACTGAATCGTGGTGTGGATGGTCCAGAGCAGACCTTCGTATGCTGTGGAGAGGCTCATCTCGAGCCAGTGCTCCCGCCTGGTGCTCCCTGCGACAACGGCCCGTTTGCGGCTGTCTGCTTGACATTTCGGTCATGGCAGGCACTACCCTGGTTCACATCAGCTTCCCCTGATCCCTACCTTGCCATTTGCTTTCGTTGCTTGTTAGACGTTTCCCGTCGTAGAAATTTACGAGCTATCAGGCCTTCCAATCAGGCTTCGATGCCCAGGTCAACTGTTCATTGATCATCTCCCTCGAATTAGTTGCTGCTTCCGATGAGTGCTGCGCCTCTCTTCGCGAGGACCTCCCTTCATCGACTCAAGTCAGGATGGCGTGTTCAAGCAGCCAGAAGACACAACATCGTGGGTTCAAGATTGCGACTTCTTTTTCTAAGTGAGGGCGTAGATGCTGGCCTTTGTCGGCGTGGGGTTTGACAGACAGCCTCCACGATGGTGATGTTCTGGCTGATGTGCAGAAACGCCTCTTCAGACCAGATTTTCGCAGCTTCTTTCGAGATTCGGACAGTCTTATGGTCTTATTGTGGATTCTCTGCGATCGTGGTGTCGATGAGTGATGGGCGTTGCCGGTCGGATGGTAAGTTTCGCGAGCTCTTCCGCAGGTCTTCCATCGTCGCCGCGGCTATACAGCCAATCAACGCAGCAAGATGCTCGCTTATGTCATCTGCATGTAGATAAAGTGTGCCCGAGCTGCAGCTTCCTGCGGCGTGGTGATGGCAGTGCACTTCGAAATGAAGACTTTGCTCGGTGACTGCTGTTCCTGTCAAGACCTCCGTCTAAGAGAGAAGTGACGGGTGCAACTGAGTCAGTCGAGGGGGATACAAGTGGCAACAGCAACTCAGCGTAAAACAACACTGTCGCTGGTTGCGCAATAGTAACGTTATCGACGGGTCCTCCCAGTGTCGACCGCCAACCCGGACATCGAAACTCGTCAGTCTCCACAGCGATGCCGAAGAGGTCGAGTATCTTTGGAGGGGCGGCGGAGATTAGCCGTGTTGGCGGCCCCTCTCTGCTCATGCATCCTGGATCACAATCACCTCATACATCTGACTGACGACACCTCTGTTGGCACACCCACAACAGCCACCTCGCAAGTTCGATGCGGTTTCCAGAAGCTGCCGCGCGGCGCTGGCGGCGCTGGTCGCTGAAAGCAATGCTTCCGGCCCGTGTCTGAGCGATAGCACGTGCTTCACGGAGTATGTTGTCGCAAGGTAGTTCGGTGAATGGACCGAGGAGCTGTGCATAGGCAGCATAGCACAACACGCCATTTTTCTGGATCTGTAATGAACTGAGAGTCATTCCACGAACGGCCCTGGGGCTCAGATGCCCACGTTCCCCGACAAGGCTTCAACGGATGGAGATTGGAAAGTGCACGCGCCACGCCTTTCCGAATCATCACCTCCACTCGACTGGCTCCATATCTTCTTTCGTCGTATACTATCCAGGATTAACGCGTCGATGCCTGACAGGTCCGTTCGACATACCAAGCCGAAGCGGGCATAGCTTTTCCTCCATGCGCGGCAGCCCTTTGCCGCCACCAACGCTTGCATGGAGGGCAATGCATCTGCCCAGGACTATCAACGGCCACCTCTGCGGCTTGTCAGCGCCGTAGCCGGGGACGACCTTAGTCGCCGACCGGCACCTCTATAGTTGTCCTTACTAAGGACGCGGTAACATCCGCTTGTGCATTGAGCCTACACTGCTTGCCATTTATCGATACGACCGAGCTCGTCGTCAACGACAAGTGCCCGTTGCTTCCCTGAAGTCAGGGTATCAGTGGTCCAGGTACCCAGGCACCCAGGCATGGGTACATCCAACGACTAGGGAAACGGTCAGGGTGCTTGGCCATACTCACGCTGGGATTTGAATCCTACGAGGCTCCGACCATTCCCCAGCCGCAGAGCCGGGAAAAGCGCAATTCTCTCGAACTGCGACTGTTTAGTGCTCGGATGCTTCGTACCCGTAAATATTGGTATCCCCCATGCAAGGGCTTAAACCACCTCCGGATATCAGATCCAAGATCACAAGTCTGCCTCACAATTCTCACGCTTCAGGTTGTATAAGCAGCTCAAGGCCGCCCACGCCCAGAGAAGAAAACGTACGTTAGCCCCACCAAGCACTTTCATTACATGTTGCTATCATCTCGGTGATCACCCATCCGACCCTCCAGCATCAACTGTCTCAGACCTTCACCATCTCATAAGAATTCAGGAATCGCAGCGAACAAGACTTTCCCTATCATCCATCGGATTTCTCTCGATCAAGGGATGACCGTCCGCACCGTGCCACACTTCTGCCTGTGCCCCACCAAAGTTTTGTAGGTTATCACAACCTAGAAAAACATCAGCCTCCCCCGACAGGGCACAGTCCACAGACCCTCGAGACCCTTAAGCGAAGAAGCAATCCATTGCCGACTGATCGCCAGGAATCTCTATCCTACAATTCTTCATTCTCAAAACCCAACGACTCAACGTCTACGAACCCGCATCAGGAGCTTAGAACAGCTATCTAGCATCAACTTCGAGCTACCGGAGCGTTCCCACATCAGCACTAAAGTTGACCACGCTACTTTGCGACCCGCTATTCTTGGTGGTCACGATCTGTCCTAAGGAAAGTCGATCTATACTAAGCAGCTGTTCGAATCGTTCCCTGCGTTGCAAGGTATGAGGTATGTGAAATGTACTCATAGATTGTATGTACATCTTCTCACAAGCGTAGCACACTAGGATACACAATGCCGCATTCTCAGTACGGTATGAATCACTACGGGTCTCCTCAATCGTCCTATTCACCAGGCTATCCCCCGGTGAGCCAACAAGCTTATTCAGACTCCCGGTCTTCGACATCGGGTGGCTATGCCTCATCGTATGCATCCAGTCCTGGACTCCAGCACGACCAACAACCAAGAAGACACGATGAACACACAGCACTACCGCCATATCAACATCAACACCCATCTTATTCTCGGAGCACTTATCAGCCGCAGCAACCTCTAGATTCTGTGCGCCCAAGCTCTAATGCGGGAGGCTACTCGTACCCTGCGCCTCACAGCAACCTCCCCAGCCAAAGCTTGGAAAGTAATCCTTCTGCCTACCCACCGTGAGCACAATCTGTCTCTTTGATAGTAGATAGTGGCTAACTCATTTTGCAGGCCAGCTTTGTACCCTCCAACCACATATGGAATGAGCGACTATCGTATATCCCTGCCAACAATGTACCCACCATCATCAACAACGCCTGCTTCATATCCTACTTATGAGCCTCCTCATGGCATTCCGCCACCTCCGGCCAGTAGCATGCCTGCGCTCTCTTCGTCTCCGAGTACTCAGAACAACGCCGTAATGCCGCGTGTCTTGAACTCACGGCCAAAGCCACAATGCTTCGACCATGGATGTAATGGGCGACAATTCTCAACATTCAGCAACCTCCTACGACATCAGCGTGAGAAGTCAGGGACCGCAGCCAAGAGCTTCTGTCCAAGATGCCACGCCGAATTCACACGCACTACTGCAATGAAGGGCCACATGCAACACGACAAATGCAAAGCCCGTAGACCGTCAGAGTCCACTAGCATCCCAAGAACATGACCTCAGGGACCGTTATTCCGATGCCAATGATATCGATTACACTCGACTCTTCCGCCGACTGAGATCAGAGACAAAAGCATACGGAACGATCAGCACGATCAGCACGCATTAGAGTCTTGACAAAAGGAAGGCCTTGCAAACACGCGAACATCTCTCAATGTCGCTCTTCGAACTATTTACAAAGATGTTGTCGACGCTTGGAAATGTCTGCTTGTTTCCAAGAGCTGGTTTGTAGAGTTTGTTTCTTCGGAGGCCGCATCTCTTTCCATCATCAGCATAGCATGGCGTTTCAAAGTTGGGCACCGTCGTTCTGTTGTTCGGAGTTTTGTTTTCTCACATTCGAAATGCTTCGATCCAAGGACAACGAGGAATGATCGCACTCGAACCTTGGATTTCAGAATGAATCTGAGTGTTTGTGTACGCTAAAGTGTGTACTCCACAAGGACGTTTCGCCTGATTCGGGCACATTCGGCAGGATGAGGATTGCGGGAGGATCTGGAGAAATAAGTTTGCGGTGGATTAATACCCTGGGACAAATCTCAGCTCCCTTTTTCTTTTTGAACTTCTCTTATTGTCGACATCAGCAACACAAGTAGATCTTTGAACCTCGAGACTTTCAGCAATCCATTTCTGGTACCAGATCCAATGAACTAGTAGCGCGCTCCTCTTTTGCGACAGTTCTTCACCTTGTCAGTCCGAGATCGCTTTCTGAACGTGGACGGAGTCTTGTCAGTCGTCATACGTTGCAATACCTCAAAACACTTACCAACGGCAACCTTTACATCATAGACAAACCCGCTCTTTGTTGCTCTTCACCAGATACGGCGATGTCGTTTACGCACCCAATGAGATTGACATGGTCGGTTCGCGAGGTCATTGCACGAGGCTGCCATGCACACGGTCCGACCTGACTAGCGGGCCGTCCGCCTGGTCTTGGCGCGGGAAGCTTTGTGAGCATATGTTCGACTGTTCTTCATGTCTTATTCGTCTGCGACGAGAGTCGAAGCGTGAATGAACGACTACGATGTTTTGCAAACTACATGCACACACAGTACGCCCTCAGGAGTCAAACACATTGCCGGCCCTACGACTGACAGCTGGGCAAACCATGATACCGGGAATTAGGAGCGCTATCGTTCTCCCTTGTCATCACCGGGCAGCGGAACAATAGGCTAATGCGCGTGCGATGGACGCCTTGCCTGGATGGAACCTTCCGTTCAGGGACAAGGGCTATCAACCTTCAACCCTCGTAGATTGGCGCACGTGTGGGGTCCTACAGAACGTGGTTATCCCAGCCTTTACCACAAGCGATTGATGGATTACTGCTTCTGGAAAGTAGTCTTAAATCAGCGAGAGGGTTCGACCGCACGCCAAGACCGTCATTGCAACTCTTCAATATAAGGCCCACTTCGAGACTGCGCATGCAATGTGGATACACTCTCTAACGGAAGATTGGATCCGGTAACATTTCCGTGATGGCCGGTATCAGGCGACGGAAAATCTCGAGACCAACATTTGGGCCATGATGCAGAAACTGTCGGCACAGCATCTTAATTTCGAGGCCCTGCATTGGAACTATTGTCCGACCCACGGTTCTGGAATCATTACCCACCTACGAGATTGTAAGAACCAGGTCGTACACCTCACCGGAGTCTTGGGAGACGTGCAGATTAGCCACAACCTGCTCGTGCTGACGGATTGAGCCAAATCCAACGGTCGAACGACAATGACGTAAAAGGTCTCTTCCTTCCTGCATGCTGCACCGCACAACGCAAAGACTTGACTGTGTTCATATGGCTGACATGTAGATCGGGGGCTGGCGCTCTTACATGGGTCCTTACCGCGGCGCAGCGGGGAGCGGTAGGCGGGAAGGATGGGTGGTCACTTGATCTGAACCACTCCACTGCGTGCAAGCGGACCAGTGGAGTACCTTTCACGTGACAACCCAAAGAATAGGACAGCTCTGCGAGGAGATCCTCAAGCGCGAACGTTCGCACAACCAAGAGGAACCTGCACCTCGCACGTGGAAGCACATGTTGTGCTACCGGATCGATTCCTGAGAACGTGGAACACGGGAACGAGACAGTATTTGAGTACCTGCCCACAAATACTCTCGCGAAGTTGTCGCCAAATGTACGCATTGCGGCACAAATATTGACTTTGACTTTGTTGGATTGGTGGGCCGGATTGCTTGCCGGACGCAACCTCGCTACGGGCGGCAGCACGTTCTGCAAAACGACCAAAACCCCTGCTCCGAGCAAGCAATATCCAAAACTGTTCTGGACTGTATGTTGCGGACATTGGCGACGTAAGGGACCCCGCGTATTTTCGTACAAGGCACCAACATGATTCAGGACATCAGGAGTCGATGCGAAAGCGAACGTACAATCGCCCAAATAGAAGAGACGTGTCCATCATGGCATATCCGCAGCACTGACAACCTGAACGAATAGTGATAATAGAACGCTTCGGATCCGAAGCCTTCATCCTCCAGATGGGCTTTCCTATGCAGCATGAATGTGGCAGAAGCTCTGCGGACAGTTGCAACCCGAATAGTGGAGTGCATGCAAGTGCGTTGAAGGAGGACCACATGGCGCTTGAGGGAAGCGGAAGGAGCGAGCTGCACATCAGAACGTTCCAAATCCCAATCGATCCTACCGTGTCGGTCCTTCGAATCGAATTGCACCGCGAATTCGTCACCCAAAAGTAGTTACGCTAGCAATTGTTCGAAGCAGCACCTTTCGGCCCCTTCCACCGACAAACGCGCGCAAGATGGACTGCGCAAGAACAACTACGCAAGACGGCTAAAAGACCGACCCTACAACACCTTCTACAACACCTGCAAAAACATATGTGCGGACCCGCAAGGTGCTCTATAGCTGCTCTCACATGCCACCCTCACCCCAGTACAGCACAGCTAGAATAGACCGGCTAATGTACTCTCAGCGCGCCTGATCGCAGGCCCGCTGCTCAGTCACCAGTCGATTGCGTGGCATAGTAAGCGCGGTGGTATATAAATGGCCCTGCATGTGCGTGAACTGATTGGTGCAAGGAGGCGGAAAACGTATGCGCTGCCGACAGACACAAGACGGTCCGTATGCACGTCAACACTGCTCAGCCTTGTCGAGACTTCGTCGGCTAAGGCTATGGAAAGGGTCGGCCTGCCGAGAGCTGCGTGCTTGTGCCGTGACGTGTGCGTGATATTGTTTGTAGAGCAGAAAGGCTGAGTGAGATGGGGTGTTGACTGCATTGCGGTGTGTAGTCAGCAGATCTCCACCCTGTGCTGCTAATAAAGCCCATGCCATCGTTGAAGGTACGGGAATCATTGTTGGAACACTAACCAGATCATATCGAAGTCTGAACATGTGCATTGAGTCTAAACCACTAAGCTTCGTTGCTCAGACCATATCCTTAAATAAGAAGATGAGAAACCAAAAACACAAAATCAGAATGCACAACACACACACCAACATTGAAAAGCTAAACACGGTATTGGAGTTCAGCCAGAGCTCTAGTATTGCTCAAGAGCATGACCCACAAAACCTTCAAGACCTGCGACACCTTTCGCTCCTCTCTCGGTACCACTAGCTAGACCCGGCCCACCGCCAGGCATGACGAGGACTTTGGCGCCCTGCTCAATGAACTCCTTTGATGCGATGAACTGGAAGGTAACCGTGGCTGTGGACGGTTCCGCGGTGGTAGGTGGCTCGTCCGCCTCGTCGTCGAAGCCAAACCCGAATCCATCCTCGTCTTCATCCTGTACTGGTGTTTCGACAGATGGGCCGGGCTCAGAAGCCACTGAGATGACCTTTGATGAGGCTCTTACACTGGCAACGTAGACAACGACCGCGCTTCCAACAGTAAGGCTGGCGGCACCGCTCGCCTGGGCGCCTTGGAAGCGAACCGTCATCACTCTTGACGCCAAAGGCTGTCGATCCGCCAGTACCATCCCTTTCCTGATACGGTTGATGGCCGGGCTAAGTATTGGGGTGTCAATGGGCTCAACTGCTATTGTGCCAAGCTGACCCGCATAGAGCGCTCGCACAGGTAGACGCAAGTTGCGTAGCGATGTAATGCGCACTCGCCGCCACTCAACATGCCGATCACGCGGGGTGGTGTTCCTCTTGTTCAGCGCGCCAGGGTATGATCTTGAGGTCGTTATGGGAGAGCTGCGTGGCGGTCTTCCGGTTCCGCTGTCGCTGTCATCTGAGCTGGTATCGATTGGATACGGGCCCAGAAGCAACTCTTCGCCAACTGTCAATCGTCCATGTCGCAGATACCCGCCGATGATTGCAGAACGGTCTGAAGATGTGTTGCCCCTAACACTGTACACATCTTCGATGTAGAACAAATGCAACGGTGACTTGTCTGGAAGAGGTGCTTCGACGTGGATTGGCAGTAGTCGCAAGAATGCATGCAGCTTCGTGATTCCAGTGCCTTTTACGGCACTTGTCAAGACTATCGGCACAATCGCGAGAGGTGACGAGGCCAACTGCTTTGCTGTAATATCGGCTTCCTGAAGGTCACCTGTGGAAACCTGCTGGATATCGACGTCCAACATGGATGTTGTCTGGTCGGAGATGATGCAAGGTTTGCGACCGGCCTCCTTCAGGGCCGACAGTAACTTGGATAAGGTCTGACGCAGGCCAGCTTTGGTGGCGAGATCGTACTTGGTGATGACAATGACAAGAGGCAATTCAAGATCCAGACAAAGCTCTAGATGAGCCTGTGACAAGTCAAGGTCCGCGGCAGCAGGCCCGAGTATGTCTTGCGAACTGGGTGAAGCCCCAATCTTGCCCGAGGACTCGTCCGTGTTGTCAGCTGGAACGCACACAAGCGTCCAATGTGGCTGCCTGCAATGGATAGTCAGCTACAGTGCGCTATACAAAGTTCTTATCCTCACAATCACGCGGGCTGCAAATTCCAATATTCTTTGGATAGGACGTATGAGAATCGGGATACTTACCAGCCAACGATGCCTCGAACTGTCGTGCGACGGAATCGCGGATGTCCTGCAGAGTCTGATAGAACAACCAGACGGCCCTCTTGAGCGGCCTCAACGGCAGCGTGAATATCAACCCAGGCGTCGACATCTCCAGACCCATAGCTGATGACTTGTGTCGAGACTGCACCATCTGGCTCCATCAAATCACGGTATCCGATAAGCTCCTGTGTTACGGAGCTGGTCATACCGGAGGCAATCTCATGTCTATGCTTCAGAAGGCTTAGACGACTCTTTCCACGCCCGTTGTCGAGCGTTGCCGTCGACAAGGTACCCAGGAGACTGGACTTTCCAGACATGGTCGCACCGATGAGGGAGACTCTCAACTGCTCAACGCTGGACTGGGTGTCACCAAGTACAACTGCTGGTGTTGCAGTACTGGCAGAGGCACCTGCTGAGACATCGTCTGCAGCGTGCTGAGCCTCTTTTAAGTTGTCCACCAGGTGTTGGTCAGGGCTGATCAAAGCTTCGGCAGCTAACAGTTTGGAGGTGCGTACTTCACGCTGTTTTGTGCCGTTGTTCTCAATCCACTCACACTCACCAACAGAGAGCATGCGCTGGACTTCAACCCGACAGCCGAGGCTCGCAGCCATGGCGCGCAAGTTGTTCAAGCTCTCTTCCATCTCGTCCTCTGCCAAGCCAACGATCGATCCATCGTCTGCAACTCCAATCTCGTACAGCGCGCCTTTGCTCTCCTCCAGCCCTGGGAGTAGCCGCTGAGGCATCTCAGTGGTCGTGAGTTTGGCATCGTCCGGAAGATGCGGAAGAAGGGGCGCCGTTGATGAGGAGATGTGGTAGGGGCATGACTGCTGCAGACGCCACAGCAACTGGGTGGTCAGTTGCTCCAGACGATGCTGTCGTGACTGAATGGACGTCAACGGAGGTGGGGTATTACTCAGAGCACCTGATTCGGATACGGCGCGGTTAACAGCGATAGAGCTTGTGCCATCGCCGCGACGCAGCGAGCCAGAAGCGCGCAGTCCAGTACTGAAGCGTGTGAACGATCTCCGTCGTTTCAGAAGGAGATGCAGTTTGTACTCCGTTGGGCCCTCCTGTGGCTCAGCCTCTAGTCGCGTGACAGTGGTGTTGTCAATGGTAGGAATCTGAGTGCTTGCAGTTGACTTGGTATCATCGTTGATACCAAGTTTTGAGGGGATCGGCTTAGCTGCTTGCTGAAGAGCTGGAGAGCTGGTCCCGTTCCCAGCCGGAGGCGTAGCCCATGGTGAAGACACGCGTGGTGGGTCAGGGTCGAAAGTGAAGATGGAGGCCATATCTTGGACCGTTCTTTGTGTTGGCAGGTTGAGCTGATGCGGATTGTTGATTGTGGTGTTGGTTGTACAGGTCATGTATTGTCCCTCTCATATGTCACATCAAGCTCGTAAAGATCTTGAGTTCGTATGGGAGTAGTGCGTCCGGAAAAGTTTTGATAATAATGGAAGCATCTTGATGGATGTATGCGCAAAAGCTGTATGAGACTTCGCAAGTGGAAGTTGTAAACAACTCGTTGGCGAGTTGTGAACGGCTGCCTCTCGGCAATCACTAGCTGTTGAAAGACATCGCTTGCATCTCAGTTCTTTGTTATGAGGTCTGTCTCTGATCGTTTGTTGCGAAAGAATGAGTGTATAGTATAGTGATGTAGAAGTGGAGGTTGAATGAAGTGGCGGGCACGGGCAGATCCGCTTCTTGGCGCCTGGAGTCATCGCGTAGAGTCACTGGCCTCGACCACTTTTCCACAATACGAAGGGACCGCTCTTTTGCGCGCCTGAGATGTTTGGTTGCGAGCCTGTCACTCAGACTGCGCCACCGGAATGGCTATGGATTGTCCTTGGATGCCCGCCTGATCCAGCGACTCGCGTCGTTGATTCTGACAGTACTCGCTTGTGCTTCATGGACAGGACAGCATCACACTCGCAAAGACAAGCAGTATTACCCATTACAAGGGAACTACTGCGCCAGGTTTTGATTAAAGTCTGCTTGTGCGGTGACGGGTTTCCAACCATCGGCATTGAGGTCTTCGCTTTGCATATACTCTCAGAACCATCTCGACTGTACACCATCCCAAAAAGTCAGATACCTCTGAGCAAGCAGCAAGACAGCAACGACTACAGCAGCCCGAGAGTCCAACGGCTGGCTTCATAGACGCGCTCTCGTACCCTCGAACAAATTCCCTAACAAGGCAAAGACCAATATCAGATTCTAGAGGCCTTCAGAGGCGTCAACAAACCACTAGCTATTTTAAAGGTCACTTTCAATGCTGCAATCCCTAAACACGCATGGACGGATAGATGATAGTAGCAGATAGCTCCGGGACGTGCTGCAAGGTGCTTGTTGGTGACTGCACTCCACCAAAAGAAGGGAAGCCACTCTCCAACCCAATACACCAAAACGCCGAGAACAAGTACCCAAGCACAGTCTCGACGAAGCTTCCACCTCACGCCCAACAAGTAATGCAATCATTTACAGGCACAAAAAAAGAAGGTAAAGGAAAGATATGCCCGTCACCCGTCAGCTTCCTAGTGTTGGAGGGCGGACTCTGACGGACTCGAGGCGGTTCAATGCCATGTTTTGATTTTGCTACTTTCCTGGACGAATCGCTGGAAATTGGGGTATGTATAGAGCGTTCTCTCGAGAGCTGTATAGAGAAGCGTAGGTGATCATTGTGGCTGGCAACGAGCAGTGCAGAGGTTCGAGTGATCGTAGCAGGAGCTGCTGTCACTAGCACTAGCACCTGCCCACCAGTGCCTTCCTTGAAACACTGTAGCCCACAAACCGCACGCTGAGAACTTTTACTGCACAAGGAATCCGAAGATTGGTATATACATCTATACAGGACAACCACGCTATATACAGCACATCTCCCACCTATCGTACACTCTCCCTAATCCCCCACTTCCCCACCTCCCTCATCGCACTCTCATCGCCCTCAGCCAACTTCGGATCCTTGAGCACGCCAGCAAGACATTGCCAGCCATCTCTCCCGCCACCCCAGCGCAACAACTCGTTCTTGTACAGCTCGCCGTTGCTGCGGTCCAAGCTGCCCTTCTGCCCATCCTTCTGGAACACATCGCTCCAGATCTTGGCCGCTATCGCCCGGTCGAACAGGTACGAGTAATACGTCGCTCCGTACCCAAATAAATGCCCGAAGAAGCCCTGCCATGCAGTGCCAGCGGGTTCAGGGACCGAGGCGTACTTGTTGTACACATCGTGGTAGACTTTTGTGGAGTTGAAGTCGGACTGCATGGGGAGTGTGGAGTGGTACGCTTGGTCGAGCATGCAGAGCAGGATCTGGCTCTCGAGCTCGGTGTACTGGTTGCGGTTGTCGATTGCGAGGCGGTGCTCGAGCGCTTGCATTGGTAGGGGGGCGTCGGTTTCCCAGTGGCGCGCGTACAGGCTGAGGACTTCGGGGCAGAAGGCGAAATGCTCCATCAGGACGGAGGGGAGCTCGGCGATGTCTGTTGCGCAGCGGGTGCCGGAGACGTTTTGCAGAGCGGTGCGGCCGAGGATGGAGTGCAGGGCATGGCCCATTTCGTGGAAGAGAGTTCGCACGTCGTGGATGTTCAGACATGCTGGTCGACCGGGGTGGATGGGTTTGTGGAAGTCGCAGATCAGTGCTATGGTGGGGAGCTGGAAGTAGCTGTCCGTTTCTGCATTGTAGGCGACAGACATGCCGTCTGTCGCGGCTTCGATGGGAGAGTCAAAGCGATGCGCCATGTGCGACATCTCTGCAATCTCGGACGACAGAATCTCGCGGCTGCAGCGCAGTGTGAAATGTGCCGGGTTCGGTGTCTTGCCAGGCCGTGAGAAAAGATCGCAGTACAAGACGGCGATATGACCTTGTGTGTCTGAGACGACATCCAGCCTCCGTACACCATCGTCCCATACTTCGCCAGGTTGTGTCTCGCGCGGAACGAAGCGTACGCCATAGAGGCGGTCAAAGAGGCGCGATATGCCCTGCAGGACGGTGCCGACGGAAAAGTACGAAGAGAGGGTGTCGGGCGTGCGCTGGCGGTAGGCGCCCTCCATTGTCGCGAGCATCTTCTGAGTGTAGTAGAACTTGTCCCAGGCATTTATGCGATTGGGGAAGTTATCCTGGTGTGCGTCGCTCTTCTTCAGAGCGATCAGTTCGTCGAGATCGGCCATGACCGCTGGCCGATTGTCCTGGTACAGCGCGTTCAGGAACTGATCTACTGCCTCGGGTGTCTTTGCCATCTTGTTCTCCAGTGTCATGTGTGCAAACGTCTCGTAACCCGAGACGTTTGCCAGCTCAGCCCGCAGCTTCAGCATCTTCTCCAGGCGCGCTATGCTGGACCTGCTGGCTGTCCGGACGGCCGAGTATACGTCTCTTCGCACGTCGGCATCTTCGACAAACCGTAGCGCCGACTGCGATTCGTGGTGCATTGTTGATATCGTCGTCTCGCCCCATCTCGTCAACTGCTTTGCCAGGTTCGGGTCGATTCCCTTCATCCTCTTTGAACTGAACTTCAGCTTCAACGTCTCCGGCGCCATTCCTTCGACGAACTGCGCCCCCACCTCAGCGATCTCACCGCTCATATCGACCAGCCGCTGTCTTGTCGCATCGTCCAGGCCGATGCCGAATCGCGCGAAGTCCTCCATCAGGATGCGCGCCACAATGCGTTCCTCCTCAGACCAGCTCTCGTACACCTCGGCTATCTCCGAGGCCTTCCGCAGCTGGTCGTACAGCACAGGGGTCGTGTTCAGCTGGTTCATGTACTGGAAGACGGTGTGGTAGGCCTTGACGGCCATGATCTGGAACTTGCGATCCGGATGGGTGCCTCGAACGAAGTCGGCCAAGTCAATGACACGACACAGCAGGTCGCTCAGCTTGTCCAGCTCCTTGACGAGCATCTTGAAGTCTGCTATCGCCTCGGCGTCGGCGACCTTCTGCACGACAGCATTGCAGCGCTGGATGGTAATGGTGACGAAGTCGACGAAGCCGTCCGGGTGGGTGAGGTACTTGTTGCCGATGATGCCTGCCTGCGTCTTGCTCTTGGACGCGCGGCGGAACGTGTCCCAGAAGGCGGCATTGTCGAAGACGTTGCGCAGGGCGTCGTCGTCTGTCTTCCCGCTGGCAGAGAGGCCGTAGAGGGCAGCGGACGGCGGCAGAGCGGACCTCGCGTCACGTGCGTGGGCGATGGCGCTGTTGAAGCGGCGGGGGCGCTGTCGCTGGGCGTGCTGGAGGCATTGTGCACATACCCATGGCGACGTGCTGGGGCGTGCAAGCCGCTTGAGCATGGTGAGGATAAAGCTGCGACGGGAGCATGCTGCTGCGTCACAAGCCGAGGACAGCACGACGCACGGGCTTCAATGTTCAACGCTCGACAGCTCCTCCGTCCTCCGCCGAGCGAGCGCGAAGATACGCACGACACCAGAAGCCTCACGCCCATCCATTGCGCCTGCTCCCCGCACGACATGGCCTTCAGACCGCTGTTACGGCAGGTGAGTGAATGGACGAGTCACGTGGAGCGCCAATTGACGTGATAGCAGCGCGCCGTCGTCCCTGCCATGGCTGCCGCCCTCACCACCGGCGCAGTCTTCGCACCGCGAGTTGTCTACGCCGAGGAGCAGCCTGGCGATGCGTTCGTATGTTGGCTCGAGTTCTGCGCCGAATCATTGCCCAGACGTGCTCACACAGCGTCCAGAACCGCAAGCCTATCTACGATGACCTGCCCATCGACACCACAGAGCCCACTGCTCCCGCCCTGACGCAGCCCTCCAAGGACCTCACAGCTGAAGCCTCCTACCGCCCAACACCCACCGACCGCCTCGCCCAGCAGATTGGCGTCGCGCGCATGGCCCTGTACAAGCAGGCCGTCCGCAGCGAGCAAGCCGTCGACAGTGCCCTGACCGAGACCCTGCGCCTTGAGCACTCCTTCACAAGCACCATCCGCTCGCTCGCCCCGCCCAAGGAGTCCGGCGAGAAGGTCTTCCCCGGCGCCTTGTACGTCCTCGTCGCCTCCATGGCCGGCTCTATCGTCACACGCAACCGCAACGTTCTGCTGCGCGCCAGTGTACCGGCCGCTGTTGGCATCACAGCTGCCTACACCGTTCTGCCCATCACAATGAACAACGTCGGCAACCTGGTCTGGTCGTACGAGGAGAGGTACCCGGTCGTTGCGGACGCCCACCTGAGGACAAAGGCAAGGATCAGCCACTTCATTGAGACAGGAAAGGCGCACGCGGGCATGACAGTTGGTATGGTGCAGGACAAGGTCCATGATGCTCGCGACAGCATGGAGGGATGGGTCAAGAAGGGAAGGTGAGCGCTTGAAGTTTAGCAGGCATGTAGAAGCTGGAATGGGCAAGCACCTGTATATCAGTAATAGGCTATAGACAGGAGAGGACTCTGCAATGGAAGTTGCATTTCTTTTGTCAATGGGATGATCCACACTGGGTTTCCTTGGACCCGGCAGGCATGCACGTGGTCAGACTAGACTGCACTGTACCTACTAACTCCTGCTACTCTTCCGTATCTACCTCCTTCTTTTCTCCAAAGATACTGAACAGATACAGCCAACATCGCGCCCTTGAGGCATCACAGCCCACGTGCATATACCTCTCGCTCCTGGCCACCGCTGGAGTCATGTCAGTCGACACAAGTGTCTTCCATCAAAACGAGGACTGTCAGGTCTTCTTGTCTGACCACACAGGCTGGGACATCACCCACAAAGGAGCTTGGGAAACATGTGCACATGGCAGCTCTCCGGCGCCTTTGATTAAAGTCGTGCTTGAACAACCTCACAGTACTCAGTGTCCCCTCACTGCTTTCCAGCAGCCTTTCCTCTCGCCTATACGAACTCAGCACTTCAACACCGCAGGACCAGGGATCTTGTACGGCTGCCCATTACCCACGGGCTGGCCTTGGTTATTGTAGATGCTCAGCAGGATACCCGCATCGTTCGCCTGGTAGGCTCCCGGAAAGCTGACCGTCGAGCTTGGCGACGTCGTGCCACTGCCGGATACCGTCAACTGTGCGCAGCCCCTGAGGCATTGTCAGCCATGTGCACGCCGTTATAAGCTTCTTCTCCGGAAATTTGGACTCACATGTAGAACTGCGCCTCGCCTTGCTTACTAGCAGAATGCAACGCGATGATCTCAGCGCGCAGGAGGTAATCACCTGGTGCGATACAGGAGGGAAGTGTGAAGTCGACCCAGCCGTTGTTGTTGATCATGCGGTCCACGCCCCATTGTCCCGAGCCGTCAAGGCCGTCTTCGAAGACTTTGAACCACTTAAGCCCCGATGGAGACGCGGTGGCTGCATTGTCCACCTTCGCCCTGTCCACCGTCAGTACCCAACACCCAGCACCCTCCCTCCTCCAGCATCACGGAGATGTACTTACATGTAAAACATAGTAGGCCCCTTATGACTCTTTGCAATCGGCTGATCTGGATCCCCCGCAAACTGCGCGCCGCCGATGACATGGCCCCACAGCACGCCGACTCTGTCGCCGCCCTTGACGGCAATCACCTTCGAAGAGACGGGCTGCTTGAAGTTGGAGTTGCACGCGATGTTGGCATCGTTGACGTTTTGGATCGGGTAGTTGGAGAGCGCGGTGCGGATTCCGACGGCTTCGCCGTTGTCGGCGCCGTTGATGCTGTATGGTGTTAGTTTGAGAAGGGTGGAAGGAGAGGTGGGTAGGAGGGTATACCGGACGCGTTGGGCGATGGTGTGGGCGGTGGCGAGGAGGGGGAGGAGGAGGGAGGTTAGGGCGAGGGAGAGCTTCATGTTGGTGGTGGAGCTTCTGTGTTTCTACTAGGTCGAACTGTTGGATGAGGAGCTGATACAGGAGTGACAATCACTGCATAGCTCAACCAACGACTTTTATACCATCTTGACTGCCCGCGGATGAGAATTCATCTCAGATGGAGAACAATGATATCTCTTATGCTATATCGTGTCTCCTGGGCGCAATGTAGTCCTGACGAATGGTGGCTGAACCATGGCTTGATCCCGGGTGCTTACATGCACCCCAGATTTCCAGATAGATTGCCGGACGGAACTTGCAGTGTGGTAGATGACATTAGCGTGCATCCAAGCATCGCGATCTGTCAGGCTTCTAATGATAGTGTTTCATGATGGGTGTTCAGCGAATGCCATGTTGTCGCTTGCTGGCGTGGGTAAGTTCTGTCTTTATCCGGATAGTGTGTGGATGAGTGCAGTTTCGTTACCGGAACGTGAATCCGAGATATATGATATATGTCGGTTCATATACAGCGGCTATGCTGCTCACGAGAGTAGGCCTTTAGAGTTTGCCGTTCGTCGATACTTCGTGGTAGTCCTTGCTTTCATAATCGTTATCGAAAGGTGTCTCGCTTTAGTTGGATCTTGGGGAGAACCAGAATAGTTTTCAAGGCCTCCTCTTGCAATGGATCTACGGTCCTCCACGTTCGTCCTTGCGAGCATGTTCATTTTGGTATGCGCTGTGCGATAGTCATCCGACAGCCTGGCCCACGCAAGTGAGGAAGCAGATCGTTGTTGGCATAGACTTTACTTAATTGCAATCAATCCTCTGCGCTTTCATAGACATGTCGATCGCTTGTCGTTTCGTGTGCCACCCTGACATTACTTGTGTTCTCACACCAGAGTGTGCTTTCAAGGCTTGCGTCAATGTTGAGTTGGCTTGTGGTACGCTACGTCGGCTCACCGCATTGTAACCCAAATTTCAGCGCCGTCTGGTACCGTGATGGGGTTGGACCGCCGTCGACAGGTTTTTTTTTATGACAAGCACCTGCAAAAGTTATCTACTAATCGTGCCTACCTGGAGCTGTCGTCAGAACCGCCAGCTGCACCAACCTCACAATACGAACCCCAAATGAGCTGTCAGTCAGGAGGCAGCCCCGAATGGGTACCGTCGATCTCACAATCAGGTCTTGTGGCAGAGTTTCGGCACGAGACGAATGTGACGATCGGCGGAAAGAAGAAGGCCGGTCTTGAGCTTGCTGTATTCGGGAAGACCGGCTGATCATCTCTCCACATCAAGCGACCCCACGTGTGTGACCAGCGAATATCGTGAGATGATCGCTGAGCACAGGAGCTCGAATTGAAGCTGCAGAGCTGTCAAAAAATGTACCGTGTCTTCAGGCTGCCGAGCCGCATGTGACAGACGGCCGAAGAGGGTATTGCAGCCTGAAGCGCAAACGAGAACGAGTGGCCCTGATGTCGCAAGACGCCACAGGCTAAGCGGCAGCAGCCGTCGATAGCTAGCACTGGTGTTTGAAAGCATTTACTGGATGCAACATGACGATCGTCGCTCGGTGCTTTTGTTCTGTGGTTACAATAGTCGCCAAGGTAGTTCAGGGAAAGTGCGACTGGTTTGAATGACGTAGGTACTTGGGTCGAAGGGTCTTCTGAAGTCGCAGAGCCGATAAGAAAACCGCCTTGCGCCGCTGCACATATCGCTTTCGCACTTCATCTTCAGGACATTCAGACCTTCTGAGAAGCCCAAGCGCATCTGCACGAATCGACTGATCTACAGCACCATCTCCATTGGGCGATTCCGCGAACGACTGCGCCTCAACATCATCAAGGTTCATTTCCGAGGTTTCCTTTTAGCGCGAGCCCCACGTCATCAACAGCCACAGGCGCGAGAGTTATCACCACAGGCACCATCTCACATGTACCCAGCCTGTCGTCCAGGATCTTCCTTAATCTACAACTGAGAGTAACGGACGAGGCTGTGCGATTTATTACCAATATCTCCTTCCAAACATCTCCTTAGCATCACCTACCGATCACCTTTGCAGGGATAGCTAGGATCCATCAGGGACCAGGATGGCGGGCGTACCCAGCATAGATGACCCCTCACACCTTTCGAGGGGGTATGGCGACAGCTCGCACTTGAACGTCGGCGCGAACGACTTTGCGACAAGCGGTGGGCAGCAGGAGCGCCTGGGCAGATTCGAGGAGGACTTCGATGCGCGCACCAGGGGCTCGTCGGTCATCGATGGCGGCGACGTGCCACAGCGCTCAGCTTCCAGGGCCTCGTCGACCCTGAGGGACTCGACCCTGAACCAGGGTTCAGCGCCCTCGCGCAGTGGAACACTCAAGAAGAAGGGTTCGGTAAAGAGGAGTGGCAGCCTGAAGCGGAGCGGAAGCAGGAAGAGCATGTACGCTGGCAGCATCCGTGGTGTGACTATTGATGACCAGGAGCACGGCTATGACCGCGAAGAGAGCGTGTTCTACACACCTGTGCCTACTAAAGGCTCGCCAACTGACATCTTAGCCGATCGGTTCCAGAGTATGTAACGAACAGTATGCAGAGCTGACATTGACTGACACTTGACAGCTTGGCGCAAGTTCCTCAAGGACCTGATCACCTACTTCCGAGAAGTCTCATCTTCCTACGAGCACCGTGCCAAGTCGTTGCTCAAAGTGTCCAATGTGATCAACAACACCAATGCACCGGCGTCACTGCTCAGCGATGGTGGCTTGAACGATGCGAACCGTTTCCTCCGCGACTTCCACAAGCAGGCCATTGTCGAAGCGAACAAGGCCAGGGATATCGAAGCAGATGTGATCAACCAGCTCAGCGGGCTTCGCGCAGACCTTGCCCAAAAGATCAAAGAGATCAAGTCTCTGTCTGGCGACTTCAAGAACAACGTGGAGAAGGAGAAAGAGAACACTAGAAAATGTGTGACAGCTCTCGAAGAAGCACTCGCAGTAGTGGACTCCGATCCTTCTGCAATCGCTGGCAAGGGAGACCCATATGTCGTGCGTTTGGGAGTTGAGCGTCAAGTCGAGCGACAGATTGACGAGGAGAACTACCTGCACCGAGTGAGTTGAGTTCAACCGCACGCAAAAGCGCACACTAACCATGGTAGGCCTACCTTAACCTTGAGAACTCTGGGCGCGAGCTTGAGTCCATCGTCGTCGGCGAGATCCAGAAAGCCTACAACGCTCTTGCTAGTATCCTTAAGCGTGATGCAGACGAGATGTACGCGACAGTCGAGAAGCTTCGCAGTGGTCCAATCGCTATGCCTAGAGATCAAGAGTGGGGACGATTCGTCCGGAGTGACTCTCACTTTGTTAACCCTGATTTGCCGCTGCGTAGATTGGAGGACATTGAGTACCCTGGAAAGCACCACCCAGCTACCACAGAAGTTAGAGCTGGTATGCTTGAGAGGAAGAGCAAGTACCTGAAGAGCTATACGCCTGGGTGGTATGTCGTTTTGCGCTCCTACCAACGATCAATGTTAATACTCTTAGGTACGTTCTGTCACCGACTCACATCCACGAGTTCAAGTCCGCCGATCGCATCTATACCCAGCCGCCGGTCATGTCGTTGTACTTGCCGGACCAGAAGCTTGGCTCGCGCTCTCAACCTGGTAGCTCATCCCATAAGTTTGTGATCAAGGGTCGCCAGGCCGGATCAATGCATCGTGGACACACCTGGGTATTCCGCGCCGAGACCTACGAAACCATGAATGCCTGGTATGATGATATCAAGACTTTGACCGAGAAGAGCGGCGAAGAGCGAAATGCTTTTGTGCGCCGACACGCCAGCGTCAGGAGCGCCAGTGCAGGCAGTGCGCGTTCTGCCAGTTCCGACGGCGGCCTAGAGGAAGACGAGGCAGATGCTGTTCCGTACTCTGCGAATCAGTCGATGGTTAGCCAGCCGAGGGAGCAACCACCGACTAGACCTTCTCCAGGTGGGCGATTTCCTTCGGATCTTGCAGTCAACCGTCACTTACAAGAACCTCTCTCACCATCTAGTGGTAGCTCGGACTTCGGACATGATATAACCACCGCTTCTGGAGGGCACCTACAGCATGATGTGCACCCGATGTACCTTGCGAACTCAACTTCCTCACAACCTGCTCAGTCGAACCAACAGGCCCGGGAACCTACGTACGCGAACTCTCAGCCTGCCCAACAACACCAGGAGCCTTCGTACACGAGCGCTCAGTCTACGCATCAGCCGCAATACCAGGACAACGTATACTCCGACCCTTACACATCCAACTACGGAACTCTACCAAACCAGCAGCAGCCGCTACGCGACTTCCCTTATGTCAACCCCTACACAAACCAGACTCAATTTTCCGAGGCTCAGCCAACAGAAGGCTCCCCAGTCGAACGTCACGATAGCAATTACGGTAGATGGATGGCCCCAGCCGCGGGTGGAGTAGCTGCTGGCGCACTCGCTGGCGAAGCTTACCGTCGCCACCAGATTAAGGAGGAGGAGCAAGCACTGCAGGCTCAAGGAACAGGGCAACAGTACCAATCACCTCAAGTTGATCAGCAGGGCGTGCCTATTGATGATCTAACTGGTGGTACACAAGCTCAGCCTCAGCACCCTGTCGATGACTTTACAGGTGGTACTCGAGCACAACCTCAGTATGGTTATGCCACGGACAACACGCCAGCACCCGCGAACGATGGCCTTTCTGGAACTACACCTGCAATTCCACAGCCATACTCTGATCGCGTAGCCTCAGGGCCGACAGCTCACTCTGCCACCATCATCGCCCATCAAGGTGAACGTGGTTTGGATAGCGGTATCGCTACACCTACGCCTACCAACAACAACAACAAAAACAACAACAACAACACCTCGTCTTTTTTAGGCGAGGCTGAGGCAGCCCCCGCCGCTACCTCAGGCCAGACTGTGAACGGCGGAGTCGTACCCGTTGAGCAGGTCGAGACTGCCGAGAAGCAAGCGTTTCCCTTCCCTTCTTCCGGTCAGACTGTGAACGGCGGACCCGTGCCCGTTGAGTTGGTTGAAACTGCTGAAAAGCAGGCGTTCCCTGGTGTGCACAGGACTAATACAGACATTAGTGTGTCTGACTTACACGTGCCTGGCGAATTTCCCAAGGTACCAGGAACGCCAGGAACCTCGACTGGGACATTCTTGAGTTATGCAGACCGTTTCTGAGTTCGTGCTTGCTGATCTCTGTTGGTTTGTGTTTATGTGTTATGTGATCGATGCGGAATGAAACGGAAGGAGCTTGAGGAGACAATATCGGGTCGACTGGGCTGGGAAGGAGGGTATATCTGGGTCACGTCGTGCTTGACCATCCGAGATGCATACATGTTTTGCTTCATTTGATTTGCTAGTTCTTTCCTCTTGATACCCGCGCACTACGCGCGACACAGTCATCCTGTACATAATTGTCGTCTGATCCAAGTGTGTTCTCACACGAGATTGGTCCACAATGCATTTGTTTCTCGCGGTGAATACTCTGGAGTACTCATGTAAAGATTTCGGTAAGCCACTCACTAAAACATCCAGGTCTTACGGTGAAGGTATATCTTGTGCCAACAAATCTCCGGCAGCCACGGGCACCGCGACCCCGTCGTTCGGGTTCCAACCATGCACGACAAGACACTCATCACCACAACCGCCGCGACGGTACAGCTCGCTAACCACCATTGCTCTTCCACGCAGCCGTGTATCACTTCAAGACATACTCGTAACTCGGGCTTCCGAGTGGTCAAGGTCATGCTCCGAGTGGTCAAGGTCATGCTCCAACACTTCGAATTTGTCTTGACGCCTCGCAGTGTCCAGTCTCCACAAATCGTCGCGGCCACGTTCGGCTGGGGTCCAGAAGCTGCTGTCAGAAATAAACAACAGGATCAGCTAGACTGCGGCGCATGCACGACATGGGATAGGCCGTCCCATCACGGCGCCGGACGACGTGTCAAACGGACGGCATCAGGGTCTTCGGCGACGTCGTGTCCAGTTCATCGGGTGCTCAGCAGCCACCGGAGCGGCTTGAAGCCCGTCGAGGATGACGGCGCAGCCTGATTCGACGCGTGCAAGACACGATACTGTTTGGAGTTGAGTTGCTGGCACACACAGGCGGTGACTCGGAAAACACTGCGGGGTGTCTGGCCCACAGTAGCCCGCGCTTAGCGTCGTTTTGTCCCGGTCCCGTCTCTGACGACCCAGACCTAAGGAACGTCTTCCCACTCAGCTGGGTCCCGCCTCCTACTCGATTCCTCCGACGCAAGTCGCTGTGAAGGCTCAGTGCAACAACATGATGGCTCCAATGCAGCGACCGCGCCCGCTGTCGGCAACGACAGACCTCACAGACCTCACGGACCACACCGATCGAACCAGCCAGGCTATCGAAGTCGATGTATGCTGACACCTGATTCGCTTCCCCGCCTGCCCCACGACTCGAGCTCAGCTAACTGAATCCTTTGTATAGCCAGACAGCCGCTCCCTCAGTTCCGCCGATTTCGAGGCGTACGTCATCCTGTTCTCCATCGCTACCAGTCGTGCTCACGTCGACCAGGGAAACACAAAGCCTGACGCCGTCAGTACGAGACGTCTTGCACGAATATGGGAGGACATACCAGAAGTGGAAGGTTGGAGGTAGGGATACACTTAGAAGCGAGAACATTGCCATCATGCTGACCGCTTTTCAGCGTACCCGTTTCCAAATGATGATGTATTACTGTACGTCCCCTTCGAGTAACGCAGTCTGACTCTGTACATCCAGCTCGAAAATGAGCGCTTGAAGTTGCAGCATATCATTATCAGAGCACTTTTCAATGGCCGCAACTGGTTTGCTCCAATCAATCGCCTGCCACAAAGACGCCCCAGAAGATTACTGGATATTGGCTGTGGGACTGGGCATTGGTGCCACGAAATGGGTTTGTCAAAGGCGCATATCTTTGGTACTGAAAGCTGACAGAATCCAGCTAAAGAGTTCCCTCGAACTCGAGTGGGTTCAACAATTCATTCCATAACGCTTCTCTGACATTGTAAAAGGTTGAAGGCATTGATCTAACACCTACAAAGGGGTGGTAAAGGTCCCTCACGACCCTGCTGTATGCACACACTAAGTCTCGCTAGGTCACCTGACAATTGTCATTTAATGATCGACGACATCAGGCACAAGATGTGGTGGGGGCTCGCCAACGGATACACTTACGACTACATTCACACTCGCATGTCGCTAGGCATTTTCCACGACTTCCGGGAGATAATCCAGAAGGGCTTCAACAATCTCGAACCCGGAGGTTGGATGGAATCGCAAGAACTCGACAGCAAGGTCTACTGCGACGACGGCACCATGCCGGAAAATTGGCCACTCTTGGAATGGTCCAAAGACCAGGACGATGCCGCCACCAATCACTTGGAAACGCCGCTTCGCATCGCCAACAAACTCAAGAGGTGGTATGAGCAGGCTGGCTTTGTCGAAGTCAAGGAAGAAGTCTTCCATATACCGATCAATGAATGGGCGAAGGAGGATCGATTGAAGATGTTTGGGAAGTTCATGGCTCAGAACATGCAGGCAGGCCTATACGGATGGTCAGTCAACTACTTTAACCGAGCTTGGGGATGGACAGAATCCGAAATCCGTGTCAAACTAGCACGCGTACATAACTCATTGTTTGACAAAACAGTACATGCGTACTACAAGGTGTAAGTTGTTCGCCCCTCAGACGCTCTTGTTACTAACAACAAAAAGTTACGTTGTTTACGGAAGGAAGCCTCGTATCGGAGAAGCGCCGTCGCAGGTACCGAAGCCAGACCACTGGCCGACCGAACACACTAGCCGCAACGACGACGCAGATAACGCATGTTAAAACCCGGTTGTCACTCTATCGACTCTTCGATCTTCTGAAGACACATTATTGTGGTTTCCTTTGGCCTCCCCATCACCGGCGTTCACGGTCACTTATCGTTTGAGATACCCTATATCATGCGTTTCGGGCTTGAGTTTGATGCCTTGGATGTGTTGAAAAGCGTTTGGCAGACTGAGTTCTTGAAGACTGTTTGCTGGTTGCTTGGCACGACGGCGAACAGAGTGGACTGGAAAAAAGCTTATCAATCACCATATACATTGCATCGACCGTCTCAGAAACATACTTCTGTATTACACGAGTACCTGCTTCTATATTTCTGCGTATAACCGATCAGCTACCTGGCAGCTTACAGCCGTATCGACCGCAGTGTCACGTGATGCAAAACAAGCATCTCCGCGGCTTATTTGACCACGTCTAATTGGCCGCTATCGCCCGCTAAGACTCAGATAAGACTGCTGCCCATCCGGAAGCTACACCACACCGCACCGCGAATAGATACGAACAACATCGCCACTCGATAGAGTACTTGTGGCCTGGCTAAGCAATGAGGCGTTTGCTTCGACTGGCTTGGGCGGGAACTACGTCTGGTATAAACATGTATACTACAAGTAACGCATCGAGTTGAACATCGTTGGCTGAGGACGATATATTTCACAATCGCATTGACTGTCAGTCATAGCAGCATGACACCGCAACTATTGCCTTCATCCATCACGCATCTCAGTCCATATTCCAGCGCACCACGGAAGTACAAACGTATCACTCCTTATGTATTCACTGTACTACTGCCATCCCACACGCACACGTTTCAATCTCAACCGCTGATAAGGCCCACAGAAACTACTGCACCACCGGGACCGCAAGATAAGGACTAACTTGGGATCACCAGCACCCATTTGCGGCTCTGCCCAATGGCTACCCTAGTCAGTCAGACAATGTGCCTATCTGGTCACTGCTCGTTATCTCAAACAGCAGTGAACACTGCGGGAATACGCATCATGAAGCTGTGGCTGTGACACGTCTGGAATAAGCATTCGCTCAACAGCCACCAGTGGCCTTTGAATATTGGCTTTCTTGTTCTTTTGAGAAAGTTTGGTGGTGCTGGGGGTTAGGCTTGCAGCGGGAGATCTGTCAGTGCGTTGAGCGCCCCCATATCTCCTTACCCTAGCCACGGGTGTCTAAAGAACGCGGATGGGAAATATGGGGACGATCTTACCCACGGAGAAACGCCATCTCTATGCTACTTTATCTCGCGGAGATGCTGGAAATGCTGGGTGAGGTCAGAGGCTGCGTTGATGTATACTTATATATCTGGACAGCAGGTGTGATGCAGTTGACAAGCTGTTCCGTTGCGATCACTCCGGTGTATTCGTTCTCCACTGATCTGGTACGGTTCTGGATACTGGACTTGATCATACCTGGATCCTAGGACTTTGCATTTGGACTTACGATTACCAAGATGGGTACCTTCTCGCTCCTCTGGCGTGCGCCAGAAGTGAACCCCATCAACCAAAAAGCCCGTTCTATCCCCTTTTTCAACCCCATCTCCACAACCTATGGCCGCACATTCTTCTTCTCCTGGTTCGGATTCATGATCGCCTTCTGGTCGTGGTATGGTACGTCGAACCTCCTCCGACACCATCTTGCAACCCATATCTCTCCGCAGATCCTCCGTCTCACTGCACCACCCCCAACGCGCACCCATTCCTACAACGACCCCTAACTAACTTCTCCTAGCCTTCCCACCCCTCCTAGCAGACGTCATCGCAGGCGACATCCACATGGCGCCCTACGAAGTTGCCAATTCTAATATCATCGCCCTAACCGCAACGCTCATCGTTCGTCTAATCGCAGGTCCCTGCTGCGACCACTTCGGCCCACGCCTCACCTTCGCCAGTTGTCTTCTCGCCGGCGCGATCCCCACATTCCTCGCCGGCACCGTGACCAACGCCTCCGGACTCTACGCACTCCGGTTCTTTATTGGCATTCTGGGAGGCAGCTTTGTGCCGTGCCAGGTCTGGACGACGGGGTTTTTCGACAAGAATGTGGTGGGTACGGCGAATGCGCTTGCTGGTGGACTGGGGAATCTCGGTGGAGGTATTACTTACTTCGTCATGCCTGCTGTCTACAAGGCGTTGGTAGGCGATGGGCTGCCGAGTCACAAGGCGTGGCGTGTGAGCTTCGTTGTGCCCGGTATCCTTATTGTTTTCGTTGCGATCTGCCTCGTTGTGCTGTGCGAGGATACGCCGACGGGAAAGTGGAACGAGCGCATCGCTGCGGCGGAAGAGAGTCTGAGACGTCATGATGTTATCCACGATGGAAAGGTTGGGACGCATGAGGGAGAGGTTGTTAATATCAAGGGCGATTTGCAGGATGTTCCGCGCCCGAGTCTGACGAGCTCGAGGCTGGGGAGTACGGCGGAGATTGAGAAGAGTCAGGCTCCTTCGCCGGCGAGTGAGGATGAGAAGAAGCGTGGCTGGAAGGATAACGAAACGCAGCAGACGGATGTGCAGATGTGTACGTTATTCAGTCCCATTGTGGGTTATGTGGTTGCTGATGGACTACAGACAACACCGCCACAACCGAGATCGTTCAGAAGCCCTCCTTCACCAGCATCCTGGCTACCATGTTCTCTCTCCAGACATTGGTCCCTGCAGCATGCTATTTCTGCACTTTCGGCGCCGAGCTCAGCATCAACAGCATTTTGGGCAACTACTACATGCACAATTTCCCCACCATGTCGCTCCAAGCCTCCGGGAACTGGGCTGCTATGTTCGGTCTCCTGAACGGTGTGGCACGTCCTCTTGGTGGGTACATATCAGACCTGGCCTATCGAAAGTCGGGACACAGCGTGTGGGCGAAGAAGATCGTGCTGCACGCATATGGTATTCTCACTGGTGTGTTCCTGATAATCATCGGTGTGCTCAACTCCAAGGACGAGAGCACAATGATGGGCCTCGTCGGCGCAATGGCAGTCTTCCTCGAGGGAGCCAACGGTGCGGATTTCGGATTGGTGCCGCATGTGCACCCACATGCCAACGGTGTCGTTTCTGGTTTCACCGGCGCGATGGGTAACCTTGGAGGCATCGTCTTCGCCATCATCTTCCGGTATAACGGCAAGAATTACGGCAAGGTGTTCTATATCATCGGCGCCATCGTCATCGGCATCAATGTGGCGGTCAGCTGGATCAGGCCGGTTGCGAAGCAGCCGATTGGTGGGCGATAAAGTCTGAAGGAGTGATTGCTTTGTACATAAGTAGCGACTTTTGCGTGGCGTTCCGGTTGGGCTTGTTTGAGCGCCAGATATCCTAGAGTCGGTCTTTATAGCACACAATGATGAAATTACGACCAACACCGTCCCGATCGTCTATCAATCTTCGCCTCTTTTTGCACAGCCTCGGTCGCAGAAGGGAGAGAGTCTTACTTATAGAGCGCGGAGCTCATAAAGGTGTCGTGGACATCGTCTAGGCCTCTGAAAAATGCCTTGAAGCCCAGATTTGATTGCTCCCACCCGATGAACATGAGCAGCACGTCGGTATTCTTGAATATATCCAGCTCGAAGCTATGACGATGAAGTGCGCAAGCAAGCGGCAGGACATGTTGAAGAGAAGCTGTATCTGCAGGTTCGTGAATTTCAGACCACCGAATCTGTTTTCGATTTAGTGCCATTACAGCTCTGCCAATCCTCTCCATGGCATGGACTTATGGTCGCCATATATGTGGAGTGACTCGAGATTTGGAGGGATGCTTTCGGTAGGTCGAGTACTGCTGAGAGCTGCCGTTTGATGACTTCCATGACCATGCGTATCCGTTGGGCGAAGGCATTCTCCATCGAAGATCAGGACTTTGAAATTCGTCAGGTGGGAGCGCCGATGGGATCGTAGATGTCGAGGGGTGCTTTCACTTTGAGCACCTCTAGCTGATCGCGTACATTTGGCTCCAGGCGTGCAGATAAACCTCCATTAAGGCACTTGTAGTGTCGTAACAAGAACTCGTAGGCAACAGGCAACTGGTCAGTCGCAGGCTTGACCAGCAATTCGTTCGCGTGCGGCAATGACGCAAAGAACAATGCCGTCCACACTAATGAGCCTCGAGTGCATACTGAAAATCTGCTCTCTTACGACCCTCCTATATCTTCGGGATGAGCTCACTACACACCAACATAGCCAGTGCACTGTGCGTGATTTTGCCGACATCCTTACTGTCATCTCGGAGCTCGATTTGCTTAATTGATCTGGCCCAGACTGGATTTTGAGAAAGCAGGACGATGAAGTGTGGGATGCTGCGAAGTGGGACGACAGCGTTGCGGACAAGCGTTTCGCGCACAACATTGCGGAAGGAACGGTGGGTGCGAGCAAGGTTGACCAGCGAAGTGTTGCGATTGTCGTCGTGGATATTGAGAGTGATCTGTAGCAGAAGCTCGTCTGGAAGAAGCTGCAACATTTCGGCGCTTTGCCGGCGTGGTGAGCTGCATCGAAAGTAAGAGACGACAGAAAGTCTCGCGAGATTACGCCTAAGAATGTCGTGCAAACGGTCCAAGGTAAGATGGAAATTGCCTGTGAGATTCAACTAACCTGATTGCCTATCTCCAGTCTGTGATTAATATGCCGTACGCCTTCGCTATGCAAAACAGATACTCTCCTAGTGGTTGGGAGCAAGAGCTCAGAACACGAACCCATCTTCGTCACGCCTTGGGCCAAGACCCTTCTTGACACCATCCTTGAGCGAGTCCCAGTTCACACCATCTGCTCTGCGACCCCGTGTATTCTGGTCGCCAGCCACGTCTGTCAGCCTGCCCATGGCAATCCTGCGCATCATGACTGTATCCTCTGCGTTTCGAAACGACCTTCCCTTGCCCTCAGTGAGGAACTTTTCAACGAAACCCTCTTCGTCATCACTGAATGGCAAGCTAACGAGCTCCATAGCCTTGTCCTCCCTCGTGTACACCTCTTCGCCAATGCCGTTGTTCCACACGCTCTTCTCTAATGTCTGCTCGATCAAGATCTCAAGAAGAGGCTTCTGCTCATACTCTGGGCGAGTGTGTATCCAGTAGTATGTCTCCGTAACGTTGCGACCTGAGAGGTACTTTGCGAACTCGTTCCTGACCTTCTGGTCCTCGAGGGGTGGCTTGACGCAGTTGTAGTACGCAAGTGGTAGCACCTCGTCCTGTTCGCCCTTTTGTACATTCACCCTGTTCAGCTTCTCCCTGCACCTCAGCAGCGTAAACATGATCTCGTCTGGAAACGTTGGTATTATGCTGGGATGTGTGAGGTTGCCGACAGCGGTCGCGAACTCGAGGCGATCGAGCGCCCACAGCCCCTCGATGAACGTCCAGAAGCGCTTCTCGAGGTGTACGTCGCGGGCGAATGCGGTGGCAAGCTCGTCATCTTCGTGGTGCTGCGGCGACAAGTCTTTGAGAAGGTAGAAGATCAAGCAGTGCTTATTGTGTAGTGTGGTTTCGGAGGAGACGATGCGCTGGTGAAGATCGTGGAGCTGTTGCGGTGTCTTTGGTGGATATGCTTTGCGTCCTTGCTCTTGTCAGTAAACCATAGCTTTTGGCATTGCAGCGGCGCATACCTTTGATCTTCAATAGTTCTAGCAGGCGCTCAAAGAAAGTCTGACCGCCGAGCGCATGCTGGTACTCTTGAATTTGCTGCACCAGGCCATCGGTGTAGTTGAGGCCTTGGAAGACGGCGTCAAAGTCTTCAACGTCGAGCATTGCGATCGATTGGAGTGGGCGGAGTGGTAGGTGTGGGGTAGCTTGATTCACGCAATGCGGTTGCTGTTGACGCTTTTGCTTCTCGCGGCTATGACGATCCACTAGCGCGGAATGCATCTCGAGTGAAGCCTTAGGACACTTGAACGTCGAATCTGGTCGCTCACTGCAGGCATGTCAGAATGGAGTGTGTAAGGGATGAAGACGAGTGCAGGACGTCAATGCGAGTGTGAATGAATCGATTATGTGCGATGCCTTTCGTCGCTATAATACATGCGCCAGTATATACAAAAGCGCTGGTATCAATACATGTTCAGTCGTAGGCCGCTCCTTGCCCCAACTCGCCAATAACGCCGTGACATGCCATGCTATCGCCATGCAAAATGAGTTGGATCAACCTCCATGCTCCGAATGGGGTGAACGCGCCAAGTCTAAGGTATGTGCAAAAGTCTTCTGCCGGATGTACCCTTCTGTGTGGTGTCACGATCGTTCGAGATGCTTGCGCTCGTTCGAATCGTTGAAGACCTTCTTGCCTAACTCGTAGCAGCTGATCATGATTGCACAAGCGGGTGCAATCTTCAGTGACCGAGCAGCCCACCCTTTAAAAAGCCCGGACATCCCTTGCTCTTTGTAGATGTGCATAAGGAAGCGGGGCATTGACTGGTCCTCTGGCCGTATGGTGTCTGCGGCATCTTTAGCAGCCTTACCCGCGTGCCGTACAATCTGTTGCCGTGTCTTGCCGACGTCGAAGGGGGTGGTAACGAACGCTGCAACTCCACCTGAGGCAGCGCCAGCGAGGAAGCTGTCAATGATCGTGTCTTTGGTATTCTCTCGACTCCTTGACCGGCTGCGCCGCTGGATCTTCTCCCCGCCGCGACCCATGCGGAACTCGAAACCCTCATTCCTGGCCTCCACTCGGCCCCGTGCGTCGGTCAGAGCGTTTCGTGTCGCCTCGTATCCCCACCAGTAGATGGCAGAGAATGGTACGTCCCGCCACAGAGTCAAGGTGAGGCCGCGCCAAAGACTTAGGATACCCTGTGAGCCCACCATTTCCCGAAGGCCGTCCATTGTCTCACGGAAGTGTCCTGCAGCAGTAGCTGTGTGGTTTGCTGCCTGCATCCTGGTCCTGAACATCTCGATTGGGCTCACAGTGATGGCAGCCATTGTACGCGCGGTCGCACCTGCTACCAGCGGTACGTATGCATCTGGCACGGTCGAGCGGAAGGGCGACGCTTGGGCTGTACGTAGCCAGTCGTAGCCAGCGAAGTAGATAACGTTGGCTGGAACTGCCATAACCAGAGTTGGCGACAGTCCTCGCCATAGTGTCCGTGGCCCTTCGTTCTGTGCAATCTTTCGCAGTCCATCCCATGTGCTGTTGATGGTCCTGCGTTCGACCTCTTCCACCGCGCAGCTCAGGTCTGCCGGGTTAATTGGCGACATTGTTGGCCCAGCTACGCAGAAGGGTGCCTTGTTGTTCATCCAAAACACTTCTCTGCAGCAAGCCGATATTCCCATGTTCGGTGGGACGTCGCGAAATTGCGTGAGCGTGGTACCATTGAATCCGCGGGATGTATGTGATGATCCCTTTTGGGGCGTTTCCTGCGATTGCAGACGGACGCGGACGACATCGAGGGGCGTGACTGTTCTACGTCAGCAAGGGTCCAGGAAAGCATGGAGGCGAACACCGTGTTGGACACAGCCCGCTGATGCTGCGCAACTAATAGAGAGCATGGTAGACATTGACTTACCGAGTAGCGAGGTCAAGATGCTCCCAGACACGGCTGAAAGCATCTTCTGCGAGAGCGACACCTCGTCCGCGCCTTTGATGACGTCCACATCCTCGGCCCGCTGTGTGGCCGTTGCCATCTCTACAGCTTGGTGCAGTGGATGGCTGTGCTACCTCGAGTCGAAACGAGGCGTGCAGTGAGAGTCGCGAGGGCGCAGAAAGGCGGGCGTGTTCATTCTCCACGGGCGGTGACAAAGTGGTGACGCTGTGCTGAAGGGCGGCGACGGATCGGTGATGCTTGTTCTTAGCTCCACGGCTCAAAAATGTCAATCGCAATCGGACTGTTCGGACTAGCTTAATGTGGGTCTGCAAAGGGCGGCTTATCAGATGCACTCGCATCGAGAACGCGTCTGTGGCGCGCTTTCCTGCCTTCGTCATCGCTGTCACTGTCAACCTCAGTGCATCGCTAAATTCACCGCGCAACGCCCACATAGACAAAGAGTCACACCCCCTGTAGATATGTATTCCTATTAGACCCTTTGAAGGCCTGCATTGTATCATACCCACCTTCCCTGCACGTGGAACCAGCGACATCGGCCTGTGCGCTTAGAACCGGGACGCCACACTTGGACATTGGAACCATGGACCCTAACAACGATTCCACGAGCACGGAGGCTGAGCTCGAGTCTTTCCGCCAGAGATGGAGGGAAGAAGTCTCGGCCCGAGCCAAGGGCAAGGCGCCTGTAGCATCTGCAGCCCCAGCAGACAGCAGGCCGCACGCACCGCCAAGAGGTACTGCGTCGGCCGCAGCATCTCATTCCCATGCGCGCCAGCGAAGTGTAGAAGAGACAGACGAAGTTGCTCCTTACGTTCATCAAGATCTAGGCGAGAAGCAACATGGCCGAAGGCTTGATGAAAGCAGCGCTCAGACCGCTGTTATTGCATCTGCAAGCAAAGAACCAAAGACGGCATTAGACCATTATGAGAAGGCTGTAGAACGCGAAACGCAAGGAAATCTGGGGGACAGTGTGAGGTTGTACCGAAAGGCTTTCAAGGCAAGTCCTTTACGTGGAAGGTGTACGTACGTCCATCCACTGACACTTGTTACAGCTCGACGACAGTGTCCACGAGAAGTACAAGGCGAAACACTTTCCGCCTTCCTTCTTCAAGAACAGATCCAAGCCTCAGCCGCAAGTTTCCAGCGCCTCAGCAGCAGGTGCAGCACCGACGACAACCTCCAAGCCACAGGATCCCAACCCCTCCAACGCGCCGGTAACAGTACCGAATACCGCTCACCACTCCCTACATGGTCTCCCGGCTTCATTGCAAACACTGCTCGCTGAGTTCTCCACCCTATCCATCTCAGGAGAGCCGCCGCCAACGGACCTCTCTCCAGCCCCACCATGTCCCATAGCGGCAGTCCCAGAAGAGATTATCGTACAGATACTGGAGCATCTTGCCGTGCAAGACCTTGCGGCATTCGTCCGTCTGGCACAAGTCTGCAAGCGCCTCGCGTACCTTGTCAGCACTGAAGATCAAGTTTGGAAGCGACTGGCCCTGGGATATGAGTACGGGTTCGCAGCTATGCACTACTCTTACACCTGCCAGATCGACGGCCGACCGCTTGGCGACGACGATGAAGGCGGCTTCATTCTAGGTGACGATTCTGACATCGAGGACAACGCTCCTACAACTCCTCCATCTCCTGTGGCCGTCACCCAGCTGCTCGTCCCATCACCCTATCCAACATACCGCACCCTTTTCAATCGGCGCCCACGGATCCGCTTCAATGGCTGCTACATCAGCACAGTCAACTACCAGCGCGCCGGTGCAGCCAGCACAATGAGCTTGACTTGGGGCTCGCCGATTCACATCGTCACATACTATCGCTACCTCCGCTTCCTGCGCGACGGAACATGTGTCTCGCTTCTCACAACATCTGAACCAGCTGATGTAGTGCCCTATCTCTACGTCGAACACATGCATAAGAACCATGGCAACCTCCCATCCGCACCGATGAAGGACGCACTACTGGGCCGTTGGCGCCTCACCGGCCCTGACATGCCCGGGGTTGTGGACGGAGAGAAGGAAGGCACGCTGATCATCGAGACCGCAGGCGCGACGCCTAAGTATTTCAACAAGATGATCTTAAATTTGAGCAGCGCGGGACGCCAGGCCAAGAACAATAAGTTGACATGGCAAGGCTACTGGAGCTACAACCGCCTGACAGACGATTGGGGTGAGTTCGGTTTGAAGAACGATAGAGCATTCTATTGGAGCAGAGTTAGGAGCTATGGCATGAGCTGGGAGGAAGGCGGCCGTAAGGACGTATAATTAAATGATCGGTGAACATGCTGAAGCCACGAGACAGCCACTGCATCACGCACCATATACTGTAGTCCTGAACCAGCAAGCTGAATTGAATCCGTACAGAAATAGGCTTGATTGGGTTGCATGGGACTTTTAGTAAAGCGCATGGCTGACGGTCCCTGCCAAGATACGCTACTTTACACTTCATCCAACCAAGCACTGTCTTCCAAATCTTAGCCTTGCACTTAGTCTTTAAACAATGATCACGACATCAAGGCACCCCACGATAGCTTCAGGCGTGAATGCCACAATGAAGCAATGACGGCAGCCAAGGATGGGGTCGACGAACAGCACAGCAATTGCACAGGTAGTCCGGACACTCATTGTCGATAAATATCCCGAGGACTACGAAACTCTGAAGGTCAGGTTAGCGCAGCCAAATTTCAATGCCCATCATATATCTGTCAATCCTTCCACTCTTCGCGGCATTCGCTCTCTTTACGCCACCAATCGCTCAAACCATATATGGGACGTCAATTTGCAATCCTCAAACCAACTACCAAATAGTCGCTGAGTTGAACAACGGGAGTTATCACAATTCCTCCGGTACCCGTTCGTTTACCTGGAACAATACAGCAGCCCGAAACTTGAACGTCACAGAGCCATGGCAGATCGACCTGTTAGTCAACGACACCATTCGCGATGTACAGCTCAAGAGCATAGATAACGCTGCCGTTCTCGGCACAAACAAAGGCTATCTTAGCGTACCGGATGGTGTACGCAGCACAAGCTTTAGTATCTACCAGTTGGCGCCTGTCAACGCAACGTCCGATGGAGATCGGAGCAATGGCTGCAGCGGTGTACTGAGCTCGGGGTGTATAGACTACCTACGGAGTGCCGTGCTGACTACAAGTCCCAGCACCTCGTGTGCAGATTCACGGCTTGGGGAAAATCCTCGCGATGAGGCTGTGGCAGCGTGCGGTACAGCCTTCAGTACATTGGCCAAATCAGGGCATGTCTCCTTCTATACGTCCTTCCTCGAAAATACTTAGACTGACCTTGATCAGGCGCAGCCTTCGTCGAAGACGAAGGAAACGACACTTGCACATACTCTTCTGTTGACGGAATCAGCCTCCCAGAGAACTACCACACATTTCAACGCCTGTTCCCCACGTTTACGATCTCCACGTCACCCAGTCAGTGCCGTTCATTGTTGCTGCGAGGTTTGACGACGGCGTACAAGAGGTGCCGCAGAGCGATGTACAGTTTGTATGTATAACGGCGAACAATAAAACGAAGGGCAGTCGGGTCCCTGAGAGCAGGAAGCGCGGATAGCTGGCAGTGCAATATCGAAAAACCGAGTATAGAAGAATCCACACCGCCATCTCTTTGCGCTTGTACACCTTCACACAAGATGCAGACACCAACTACCCACATACTGCTCGCGGCAACACTTCCCCTCAGAACTACCCTGGCTCAAAACACAACGACAGATTTCACCTCCACCCGCAATGGTATCTCTCAACTAGACGTCTGCTGTCTCAGCTTCCTCGACATACCCTACATCTCTTCGCCAAACGCCTCGGTTGAGTCAGTAGGCAGTGTTCCATTCCTTGAACTGCCGAATCAAGACCCCTGGCACCTTTTCATCCTGGTGAACGACACAGGCCCCAACCTCAATGGTGACTGTTTTCGCTATACGCGCGAAAGCTTCCTCAGCGTCCCCAACAAAGCGTCGAATACGAGCGTGTGTTTGTATCAGTTCACGCCACTGAACACGACCAACTTGACCAACGGGTCTAGCTGCGCAGGTGTGTTTAGCGACGAGTGCATGTTGTTCATGCAGGAAATGTTATCGAACGCTACAATTTCTGAGTGGAGGCCCGACAATTCATGTCCAGATCCATTCCTTTCCGGGGCACGATTGGACCGGCTGCTTGAGCTTTGTGGGAGATCAACGCCTAATGCGCAGTTGTATAGCCGTGAGTCTGCTTGCAAGTACCTTGCTTACGCCCTGTGTGTCTGCTGCCGAATTGACAGGGTCACGATTCGTTGTTCCGAATGACAACTGCTCGTATCCTTCGCTTCCGGGTGTTGAACTCCCCGGATAACTGCCAGGCTTCAGCGCGGGGCAGTTCACATTCTTTCTACGATGACCAGAGTTATCGTCGGGGTTCTCAGATATATATCCGGCGTTGACGTATGATCAGTTTGTCAGCCAGGTGGTGCTTTTCGCTGTTGTTGCTTCGTTTGGAGGCAATCAGAATAACGCAGTACAGTTCGTTTGCGTAACACCGAACAAAACGCAGTCGGGTAGTCAGGTTTCTGAGGATAGGGCGCTGTGGGAAAGTGCTGCGACAGGTTGGCAGGTTGCTGGCAAGTTGGTGATGGGAATGGCCGGAGTTGTGGGTTTGGTACTTGCATTGTAGGGCTGGTATCGAATGAAGAGGGTGAGACAAGATCTGTTCTTCATTTCAAGATGTTCCCATATATTGGTGTAGATGAGATGACCGTATGTTCGGTGAACAACTGCCCAGATGGTGATGGCCCTGTAGGATTTAAGCTTAACCCGAATAAGCTTTAAGGTTTGCTCGCTTCTTGCAGCACCTTCGCAGTCACAAAGTCGGACTGCTCGTAAGCACATTCAACGCGCAAACAATTAGTGAGCGCATGTCCCCTTGCCTGACGTGAGTCGAGCAATTTTTGAATTCTGGGTGCAGCTGCCGGGACTGTGCGGGCGAACCAGTGACGCCGAATTACGTACCAAGCTTCAAGCTTCGCGCTGAAAGGTTACATCATCAGGGTCCGAGGCGCCAGTGCCATTGATCACCATGATGACTCTCGACCCCGAATAAAACCAAGTAACGTCGAGCATCGTGATTAAACTCGTTGTCCGAAATCGAAAAAAATTGCTTTGCAAATTTACAAACACCTGTTTTGGTCGTCCAGACGTATCAGTGCATCGAGATTATCATCGAACAACTTTCAACATGCGCGAGACAATGCGCAACGGTCCGCCGGTGCGCCGCAGCATGCATCCAGCGGCAGAAGATCTGCAGTCAGTATTCGACGACTTTAGTGAAAAGCCAGAGAGCGAGGGTGACCTCACAAGCAATCGCACTACAAGCCGAGATACAGAGACCAGACCCCAGATTGCAGAAAAGAGGCGCTCGAGTGCGCATGATGACGATCCATTTGGAGACGAAGGAGAAAACGAAGTTAAGTACCGGACTTTGAGGTGGTGGTGAGTTTGCATCGTAGGCGAGATTGCAATAGGGAGGTTGGCTGACCTGTGAAATAGGCAAGCTGGACTCATCATGATTGCGGAGACTATATCTCTTGGTGTTCTCTCTTTGCCGTCTGTTCTTGCGACTATTGGGTTCGTACCTGGTATCATTCTCATCATTGCCATGGGATCGCTAGCTACGTACACTGGCTACGTACTCGGCCAGTACAAGGCGGCGTATCCGCGAGTCCATAACCTTGCAGATGCGCTGGAGGTCATGTGGGGACCTTTTGGACGAGAGTTCGGCGGCGCTGCGCAAACCATCTTCCTGGTATTCGGTATGTTAAAAGATTGTGTAATGAGTCTGATGGACTGACGCGTGCAGTGATGGGCTCGCACATCTTGACGTTCACCATTGCGATGAACGCCATCACCGAAAACGCGACCTGCAGCATCGTCTGGGGCGTCGTTGGTTTTGTGGTCCTTTGGATCTTCACTCTTCCGCGAACACTGAAGAAAGTTTCGTACCTCAGCATCGCCTCGTTTATCTCCATCTGCGGCGCGGTCTTCCTAGCTATGATCGCGCTAGGAGTTGATCCAAAGCCAAACCTCAGGCTCGCCGCTACGTACTCACCGAGCTTTGCACCAGCTTTCTTGGCGGTAACCAACATCATCTTTGCATATGCTGGTCACGTAGCTTTCTTCTCTTTCATCTCCGAGTTCCGGGACCCGAGTGAGTTTCCGAAAGCACTTTTCATGCTGCAAGCAATCGATATCACGATGTATCTGGTTGTCGCCATTGTAGTATACCGTTACGCTGGTGTGGACGTTGCCAGTCCTGCGCTAGGAAGCGCAAGTAAAGTTGTCGTAAAGGTCGCGTACGGCATCGCGCTGCCTACGGTATGTTGTCATTTGAAGCGAAGTGTATGAATTCGACTGACCGATATCAGATCCTTCTGGCTGGCGTGATCTACGGCCATGTAGCAGCCAAGTACATCTATGTACGCATCTTCCGTGGAACACGCCACATGGGCTCTCGTACCTGGCTGGCCATTGGGTCGTGGGCTGGTATCACCCTGACGCTCTGGGTGATCGCGTGGATCATTGCTGAGAGTATTCCCAATTTCAACTCCCTGCTTGGACTGATATCTGCGCTGTTCGCTTCCTGGTTCACCTACGGAATGAGTGGTATCTTTTGGCTGTACCTCAACCGGGGCAACTACACTGCGAATTGGAAGAAGATCAGTCTGACGGCGTTAAACTTTGCTACTTTCTGCATTGCCGCTGCCATATGTGGTATCGGACTGTATGCGAGTGGAAAGTCAATTCATGACTCTCAGACAGGCGCATCCTGGTCTTGTAGTCGATCCTGAAGTAAAGAAGAGGAGACGTCTTTTACCGAATACGAGCTTCGGCGAACAACGTTGACATTGCTGGAAACGGATTACAATTGAAACATCTGCGACGCCCACATATCCTCTTGAAATTGTACCGAAAACGCCCGCTCGTCAAAATGCTCATGGTCTATGTGTAAAAGAAGTATACAAACGTAAAAATTTGGTAATGACCAAAACTAGAAGAAGACAACTGGATCGGCCTGAAGTTCGCTGAGTCCAGGTAACGAGTCGTGAATAACCGTACAAAAGATATCGTGGCTTGCTGGTGGATCGTTTTGCTTGTCCGTAAGAGGTGTAAGTCGGACTTTCCGGACCAAGCTCTTAGCTTCAGGGCTAAGATGTCGTATGAAATCTAGAACGGGTAGATAATTGAAGGCGTAGAAGTGAAATAGATTTTCGGAGTACATGACGGAAAGACATTCGTGGTAGATCAGGCGACTGGTTCTGAAAACATCGAGTCTCAGATGCTTGTCAGCGTGCGGCCGGCACTTGCGGTTCCACTTCTTGCTGATCACGGTCGAGTCGCAGTCGGTGTAGAGGACGAACCTATTGTTCGAAGACGGGAGTACATATCTTAAAATTTCGCGCCGAATTTCAGATGGAATCCTTAGTAATGGCGGATACGTGTCCAGAGCGGTAATTGTTTCTGGTATGGATATTTGCTTTTCGACTGATTCCTTGGAATACCGGTCCAGCCGGCGCATGCAAATGTCGTCCGAAACAGCTTTCGAAATGGATGTCACCTGTCCAGCCATCAGATCGTGTTTCAGGTTTGTGGGTGCCAAATGTCACAGACTGACCTTTTTAGCGCGCGATTTGACTGCCATGACAAGTACGGTGTGTAGAAGAGAATAGAGAGGATGTTTAGAGAAGAATGGAAGGAGAGACGAAGGAGAGACGAAGGAGAGACGAAGGATATGTGCTGCAGCACGTGCAAGGTTCTGGAGACGGGTGCTTGGCGCGATCACGAGGTACGATATCCACAGTAATACCACCGAAAGGACCAAAATATCGACAAGAAGCGAAACTGCTGAGAGAGTGACCGGCAGAGATGACTGTAGCTTGGTAGCTGGAGTCAGAGTGCGTTTGGAAGTCGTTGGTGTCATGAAGTGTACATTGGGAAGGCGCCTGAACTGGCCCGTGCGCCCCGGGAGAAGTCCGGCCGGGCGCTCCAGGGCTTTCTCGAAATTTACGCGTTTGGCGGGGGAGACAACACAGCTACGCAGTGCTCGCCCGATACCCTTTAGACTTGTCGTTCAGTTTTCGCAAGTCCCTGAGCTTTTCGTGTTACCACTCGAATCTCAGCACCTTTTAGTAACTTCACAAAATGTCGTTCGGCGGCCAAACACCGACAATCGTCGTGCTGCGCGAGGGTTAGTAGCCTGGAGCTTTCACAGCTGCAGTACATACTAATCGTATTAGGCACCGACCAGTCTCAAGGACGAGGCCAAGTCATCTCTAACATCAATGCCTGTCTCGCGGTACAGTCGACTATCAAGGGCACATTAGGTCCCTACGGCGGTGACCTGCTCATGGTCGACGCGAACGGTAGACAGACAATCACAAACGATGGAGCCACAGTCATGAAGGTAGCTACACTAGGGCCTTTCTGGAGAGACATTAGACATCTGACAATGTATAGCTCCTCGATATCGTCCACCCCGCCGCCCGCGTTCTCACCGACATCGCACGATCGCAAGATGCCGAAGTTGGCGATGGCACAACATCCGTTGTTGTGATCGCCGGAGAGATACTGAAGGAGATCAAAGACTTCGTCGAGCAGGGTGTCAGCAGTCAGACCATCATGAAGGGCCTGAGGAGAGCGTCGAATCTTGCCGTCAACAAGATTGTGGAGATCGCGGTTGACACAGCCGAGGGCAACCAGCGCGATACCCTGCAGAAGCTTGCGGCGACTGCCATGAGTAGCAAGCTGATTCACAGGAACGCTGACTTCTTCACAAAGATGGTCGTGGATGCTGTGCTTACACTGGATCAGGATGAGCTGAACGAGAGGCTCATTGGTGTCAAGAAGATCACCGGTGGTGCTCTCCAGGATTCGCTTTTCGTCAACGGCGTCGCATTCAAGAAGACTTTCTCGTACGCCGGATTCGAGCAGCAACCGAAGTCCTTTAAGCAGCCCAAGATCGTTTGTCTGAACGTCGAGCTTGAGCTCAAGAGCGAGAAGGACAACGCAGAAGTGCGGGTGGAGCAGGTCTCGGAATACCAGGCCATCGTGGACGCTGAATGGCAGATCATCTACAACAAGATGGAGGCATTGTACAAGACAGGAGCCAAGGTCGTTCTTAGCAAACTGCCCATTGGCGATCTTGCGACACAGTACTTCGCCGACCGAGACATCTTCTGCGCTGGACGAGTAGCAGCAGATGACCTTGACCGCGTATGCCGCGCAACCGGCGCAAGCGTTCAATCGACCTGCTCAGACATCAACGAGAAGCACCTCGGAACATGCGAGAAGTTCGAGGAACGACAGATCGGAGGAGAGCGTTTCAACTTCTTCGAGGGCTGCCCCGAGGCAAAGACCTGCACACTTGTCCTCCGTGGAGGTGCCGAGCAGTTCATTGCTGAGGTAGAGCGAAGTCTGCACGACGCCATCATGATCGTCAAGCGCGCAATCAAGAACAGGAACATCGTAGCTGGTGGTGGTGCTGTTGAGATGGAGATCTCATCATACCTGCACAACTATGCCGACACAAAGATTCCTCACAAGCAACAACCGATCATCAAGGCGTTCGCGAAGGCATTGGAAGTTATCCCCAGGCAGCTCTGCGACAATGCCGGTGTTGATGCCACAGATATCCTCAACAGGCTGCGCGTAGAGCACAGGAAGGGTAACACCTGGGCCGGTGTCGACTTCCAGACCGAGAGCGTTGCAAACAACCTGGAGAAGTTTGTCTGGGAGCCCAGTCTGGTCAAGATCAACGCTCTGCAAGCCGCTACAGAAGCCGCTTGCCTGATCTTGAGCGTTGACGAGACAATCAGTATGTATTCATCTTTTCACAAAAACAGCTGCATTCTGCTAACATCGCCGCAGAAAACCAGGAGTCACAGCAAGCACAAGCCCCGCAACAGCAGCTGCCGCCCGGCGCTGCCCAAAGAGCGCTTGGGATGGGCGGTCGCGGTCGCGGCCGTGGCATGCCCAGGCGGTAGAGCAGCCGCGGTGGGTAGGAAGTTGGAGTGTACATCACAATCACCACAAAGACACATCGACGTCCCAACGGCGCCGAGATAAGCTGTCTATGATAATGCGAAAGAGCTCTCATGACACGATACACTATGCGAAGGCTTGGCGTGATGCGATTCCCAAAGATGTCCTGTGATGTGAACCTCACCTCCTACACGGCTATCACCCGGAACAGTCTAGCAGTGGCAGTTCTCATCCACGTTCCCGGCTCTTTCACTAGCGCGATGCTTGTTGCAAGGTTCGTTGCACCCCTGAACCTTCCCAAATCGGCAACTCGTACCACAAACCATCGATCACAGTGCTAAAGTATGCTTAAGCTGAGTTACAAACCATAACCTTATCTTGCCGTCGCCGCTCTTTCCATCAAGTCTGTCAGCGCCTTTACACACCATGTCCACGATTGTAAGATACAGTGACTGTTGCTGTTTCTCAATCGATAGCTAACAGCATCGGCGAGTACTCTCCTCCAGAGAGCGTTCGTTTGATTGTCGCTGGATGCGACGCGGGTTTGCTTAACATGCTTATAAACCTTCCTGATACGGAAGGTCGAATGCGAAAGTGTAGGTTGCGGTGCTAACATTGCTTATAGTGAGGTCGCGACACCACCAACACCTCCTCACGCAACAGACACCCTTACTCCAAAAGCAATCGTCAAGAAGTTCCAGGTCAATTAGATAGTATACCCATGATCAACACGCTATCTTCTCCCTCAACCCCGCCATTAACTTCGTCATCCTCGACACAACAGTCTTCGCGCTACTAGTCGTCTCCTCGCTCCCAGCACTCCGCTCAGAATCCACACTTTCTCTCCTACGCTCCTGCCTCTCCCTGACAAACTTCGGCTACACATTCGTCAATACAAGACTCTCAATGTGGTTCTTCGCGTCGTCGAGAACACCCTCATGGAACTCCTCGGGAACACCCCCTTGATACTGCAACCACCCCGGCGCTTCAGTCGGACTCGACGACGCTGTCTTGGGGGGTTCAAAGAACGGCAGCGCAGGTTCAAAGGATGCTTCGCCACAGACAGCGCGGCCCTGCGTTTCGAAGATGTCTTCCAGGCTCTTGAGTTGCTGGCTCGACAGGTTGAGCGGGAAATCCGCGTCGGGGGGGGGGGGGGAGTATGATATCGATATACCACCGTAACACGGCGTCGTAGGCCTGTTCGCTTTTGGCCACAGGGTATAAATCCTTTGGCTTCGCGAGCCTCGTCAGGAACGCAATATGCTCGCCCGAGAAATCGTGGCGCGGAGAGAAGTCCTGCAGCGGCGCGGGGTTCTCGTTCAGCACTCGCGTGAGGGCTGTCATGGTCATGAGGCGGTCGCCGGACTGCAGGTACTCGACGCTGGCGTTGCGGTCGATGAGTTCGATGGTCGAGCCTCTGGACTGTGGACGCACGGAGATGGTCGTTGCGAGGGAAGATGTATCCCATTTTCGCTTCTCAGCGAGGCGTTGGGCGCGCCAGTGCTTGATGACTTGATAGGCGGGGTGGAAGATGGTGAAGATCTCGACGACATGGTGTTGAGAGTGGATCCTGTGTGCTGTAAGTCAAAGGACTTGAGGATAGATTTCCGGTACTACTTACCATTGGCTAGGCGGAAAGTAGGAGTTGATGCTATTTGTATGGAACACAGGGCTGTAAAAAGCAATCAGGAACATCGGCGTTGCGTGAAGTCTAGGTCACAGTGTTAACATGTGTGCTTTACATCTGGTAGAGGCAGAAAATCATGGCAGCAGCAACGATGGTAGCTTATACCGCCGCGTAGGTAACGAAGAATATCCCTACGCGGTCCCAGTTGGGTGGTTGCGCAGAGAAATTGTAGACTGTGATGCCGTCCATGGTGTACCGAGATGGTGGGACATGTAGAGGTCTTTATGAAGGAGAAGCTTGAGCAGTCGAAAGCATCGATCAGAGGAAGGACTTAAGAAATGAGTGGAAATAGCAGAATTGGAATTACCTCTGTGCGAGTGCACCGGTGCAGGTCAAGGGAGGTGATAGCTGATGGATCGTCACGGCTGGCATCCGAATTGCAAAATCGACACCAAGAGTCAAGAAGGCAGGATTCCAGGGTTTACTTTTGCACCACTAGTGTCAAAGAATCCAAAGTTTGAATTGCTACAATGGTGATCAACGACTCGGCATTTGCTTGGGTGTGAATAAGAGTGACAAAGCCGACTCCTGCCTTGATGTTGTTATGTGCTGTTTTCAAATATCGCACCGCCTCATTCTGGTGCATGGCCACTGATCAAGGACGATAGGAGGCGGCCAAGTGCTCGAACTGTTCATTGTGCTGTGGTGATGTTCGTCGAACCGAGTCATATGCAGACGCAAGATGTCGACGCCTTCCCTGTCCCGCGTCTAAAAGCCAAACTTACTCTTCACGAGACCTGTGACAAGGCCCCTCTTTTGCTTGTTCACAAACTTGTTTACGTCATCTGCCCACCCGGCGCTGTTTGCACTCAAATTGTCCATACTGTCACCAACCGCGTTGAGCTTTTCGGTGCGTTCGTTGAATTGTCTAGAAGCCCATGCGCCCCATCCCTCCTGTGCAGGGGCTTGTGTGGGGTACGATGGGTATGCAGACGACGAGGAAGCTGGAGCGGCAGCTCGGTTCGCACGACGATGTTGTTCTTCTTCGGCACGAGCTTGGGCGAGCATGCGTTTAGACGGCGGTCGATCAGGGCCACCAACTATGACAAGGTTAGCATGATTGAGGTAGCATGAACGAAGACTTACTGAGAAGATCCATGTCTGCTGGCGTGACATATTGAGTGCCAGAGATCCATTGCATGTTACTTATCGTAGGCCTTGGAGGCACGAGAAGCTCCGGATTCAGCAGTACATCTTTGCTCGTATCCAGGCGTACTCCTGTGCCAAAAATGTTGATCAAGACCATCTCAGCAGGACCCTTCCAGCCAAAGATGTCGCCGGTACTTGTGATAACAGCGTCGGAGAATCTTCGCACATCTAAAACATCGCTAATTTTGACAGCGCCAATCTCTTTCAATGCAGGAATCGAGTATGCCCTCACACAGCCGTCTCCGTAGAGTCCGAGCAATGCGTAGCCAAGATCTTCGTACCGCACAACGGCTGCAGAGTCGCACAAGAACTGATCCCATGTCTTATGTGCACCCTTGTTAGCGGCAGGGCGGAACAATCTCGCACCTGAGACTGTGACTGCAAGCAGAACACCGTTGATCCTTGACCCGGTTCTCAAGCCAGCGACGGCCGACTGTGATGCATATGCTGGGCGTCCTGACTCAGCATGCATGGGACTGATCTTGATGACCTTATCGTCAAGCGATGACACTCCAGCGAAGCTTGCAGTGTATCGACCGCTAGACTCAGGTACCAGTTTGAATGTGGCCAGGTGGCCTAAGTTAGTGCCAACGTGAAGCAGAATGCTGGAGAACTCTTCGTTCTCCAGGGTCATGACGCTGAACTCAAGAGATGTCGGCCACTCGGGCTTTGGCGCAGCCTCTTTCGAGGAACGGCGGAAACTGCCACGCTTCTCCGCCTTAAAGTCTTGGGTAGAGCCGCTGTAGATGACAGCGGGCCCTCTCAGGTCGATGATTACCAAGCCACCTCCTTCAAATCCGGCAGCGACAAAGCCAACATCTGAATGCTTCAGAGCTGTGACTGGGCCATTACCCTCGTCGAGTAGAGTGAACGGCAGCAAGCCTTCCTTGAGCGCAGCCTCACTTCTGTCGAGGATATTGGTGAGCGCTTGAGGCTTGTTCTCGCCAGGTGGAAACTCTTGTCCAGAGTGCTTGTTGACGTTCCACCTGAAGATGACAACTTCACCAGACTTCAGACCCACCGACAGCTCAGAAGCAGCACCGGCAAAGGAGGTCTGGGTAACCTCGACATTGGCTTGCCGCCCTACTGCCCGTGCAACATCAACTTGTAACAACGCATCGTTCTCGATCTCATCTGCATGCCCAGCATCCCATAGTCTGATCGTGCCGTCTGCGTGAGCAGTCTGGACGATGTTGCGATGCTCGAACCTCTTCAGGGGCAAGTTTGCTTCAGCTCCACCGGTGAGGAGCTTTGGTCCATGTTGTCGCTTCTCTATCATCCCAAGCCACCTCGTACGGTCCACCGGCGCGAGATTTGCGTGATTGATGTACGGATGTACAAGCGTCATCGACAAGTGCAATTGGTTGGTCGGCGTTATAGGCATGCCGCTTGGGAATGAAAGCGTCACGAGCTCTCCAGATGCCAGTATTGCAATGATAGCGATTGGATCTTGGCAGCCACCGAAGTGTGGGGATGAACGAGGGATCAGACACAGATCGATGACTTCTGCACCTGGCGGACACGGCAGTATGCGCTGCCTCTTGGGGTTCTCGAAGTGATCAGAGAGTACCTGCCACGATGAGGTAGCGTAAATGGGCGTGCGTGCCAGTTCGAAGAACGTTAGGCTCTTCGCTGAGATATTTGAAGGCTGACCACCTGCGATCAGTATACCAGTTTCATCCGGATCTTGGTTCGCACACCAAGCGATCTTGAAGATGGGTGACTTCAAAGCGAATGTGCCCTCGCCAGCACCTGGACTGAAGGTTCCGGGTCCGGGCTTGTCCACGTTGACATCTTGCAAAGTCCTAGCCTGTATGATTCGGCCGTCTTTTGAGTCCCAGATGACGATACTGCTGTCCTCATGACCTGTCAGGATGAAAGTTCCAATAGGGTGCCAGACAGCCTGCGTGAGGGGTGGCTCGCGCTCTTTGTAGACAGAGCTGGGATCCGAGTCGCCTCCCGGGGCGCCCTTTGGCAGTACATAGTGGAAGAACTTGAGCGCCTTGTTCTGCTTGAACGAGTATATGACCGCCCCAGAGTTGTACCCAATCAATAGCGAACCGATGTCGCGCGGGTGAAGCGACAGCGTAACGACAGCTGTCAAGCGTGACCGTGGGAACTGCTCTCGCCATAGATTCGGTATCCTGAAGGGCGTCAGGGACTGTCGGTCTAGGTCGTAGGCGAAGACCTCTCCATGCTGGGTGCCCAGCAACGCGTAGTCGATAGTGGGGTCGCAGTGCAGAGCGGTGATCTTCGCAGGCGGGGAGTGCGCGTTCACTAGTGTCTTCGTTTCGAGCGAGAATACAGAGAGGTCATTCTTCGAGTCGACGCAGAGCAGTTTCTCGGCGCAGAACTGCAGGATCTTGACCGATGCTCGGTGAGGCAGCGGCAGCACTACTTCGACCCTCTTCTGCCCAAACACGTAGATCTGTCCGTTGCCAAACTGGCTCTCAGCGGTGCCGACAGCGATGAGGGACTGGACAGGGTCGTATGCGACTTGGGTGATCTTGGAGTTTATGCCATAGTTGCGGATCTGCATGTGTGAGTGCGGGCAACTGGGTGTTGAGCTTGTGAGCGTACATGGTCGAGAGTGAAGAGGTCAGGTCCAAGGCCGTGAGAGAGGTCGTTGTTTACACCTGCCTGCTTGGCCCGCAAAAGATGTGCCATATTGTGGTGTTGCGGGTCTCATGGCTTCGTGTGCGAAAGTTGCGCAAGAGCTGCTTCTCTTGGGATGCTGGGGTTCGGGGAAAGAACGCGCTGACGTAGCGCCGCCTTACCCGTACGCAGGGACTGGGCGGATCACACGGAATCCGTCCACACCACAGGTCAAGTACACGACGCTTGGCGGGAATGTTGCAAGTTGACATGACACGGTACCGATGTTGCTGTACTATCACATCTAAATCTCGTGGAAGAGCTGTGAGCCACGCTCGATAACAGCTGACATTGACATACATCAATGCTAAGAACATGTAAACACTCGGCAACCCTTGCCGACTACCTCCAACGCCGTGGCGCCGTCTATGTATCCAAATCATCCCTACCCGAACACCTCAGTAGACTCCTGCAAGCCCTCATGTCGACATCGAAGTGCCGTTTGGTGCGCCATACGAGCCGTTTGGCGGCTGTGGTGTACCAGAGCCCTGCCTGCTGCTGAAGCTATTTTGTGCTGCTAAACGTGCCTGCGACTGGGCTGCTACCTGCGCCTGTTGCCTGTCAACCATCATCTGCTGAGGATTGCTGGAGGGCAGGCCAGTGTAGCCTGTCCGGGTGACAGGGGCCTGCGGAGTGCCGTACTGGGACGGACCGTAGTACGTACTGGCCATTTGGCCTCCTGACGCCGCGTAGCCAGGTCGCGTCCCGTATCCTGAAGGTGTTGGTACAGCACCTGGCTTCATTGGCGACCCTGTGCGGGCCTGTGGCGTGCCGTACATGGGTGCAACGTTCGCTGATCTTTGGTAGTACCCGTTTTGGGTCTGCTGAGGTGCATAGCGGTTCTGGCCCTGAGTTTGCGGTGTCCCTTGGTAGAACTGTGAGCTTGCAGCCCCACCATAGCTACTTGACTGCGAGGGGCGTTGTTGGTAGTACTGGCCACCTGGTCTGGGTGTTTGTAGATTGTGGCTCGGAGTTGCAGCGTAGCCTGGCCGCGAAGAAGGAGCGTATGATCCTGCCCCTGCTTGATAGCTTTGGGTCGGCCCAGATGGCGAGCGTTGGTATTGTATGGACGACGATCGCTGTGAGTGATACGCTGGTGCTGCTTGCACTGGACGAGCAGACGATGGTGGTCGCCCATACTGCGTGCTGCTGGCTGGGTAAAGGGACTGTGAGCTGGAGCCAGCTCGAGTGAGCGGAGGAGGAGGAGGGACCGCAGCGACTGCGGGTGCCTTTGCGAGCCTAGATAATTGGTCTTCCTCCATGACACCCTTGTACTCCTTGGTGTCGAAAAGTATGGTCCGACTGATGTTGAGCTCCTCGAGCTGATCCCCATTCAGTTTTGCGACAACGTATGGTGGCAGTTGCGAGATCATCAAGGTTAGTTGAGACTTTAGGATCTGATAGACGTCGATTTCGTCCGACGACGGCGTAGAGGGGCTGCCAACCAACTGGGCAAGTGACGAGTTTTGCACAACTGGTGTACGAGGGTTTGTCGTCAATGATGAGTTGCGTATCCTTTGATGAGAGGCAAGAGTCTCAATGAGCTCTGATACCTCCCTGAGTATCTCGTCTGTATCCTTGTCGTGCTCGCTCTTTTCTTCCGGATCAAGGAAGATGTTGTTTTCGATTGGAACGTAGTTCTCCACAGCGTCCTTGAAATCGTCTTCTTCGCCAACAGTACCGTTAGCCTTGGTCTCAGCAAGCTCCTCTGCGTCCAGTAGTTGCGGGTCGATAGGGAAGACTTCGTTGAAGCGCTTCTCGCCGACTTTCTGCCACCAAACCCTGTTCTTGGTCTCCTCTGGAATGATGGCAGTTGCGTCGTCATGAGTTGGTGCAAAGCTAGAGTATGCGCTGCGGAACAACGCGTCCTCCTTGGCTTGTTGGACTGCAACAAGGATCGCCTCAGACGGTGGTTGCTGAGCTTCGCCAGTACTCAACGCACGTTGTCTGCTCTTTTGTCTTGCCGTCGGTGATGTCTGGTCTTTTGGCGCGTCAACCCCTCCATATCCTAGCCAGAACCCAGCAGACAGACTCTGATGCGCATACGACTGAGATCCCTTGCGCTTGGGTTTGGTCGGTTCTGGATGCGTAAACGTGATAGTATTCCCCTTACTTGTGGTCGGTCTTGCAATCTTTGGAGGGCTAATCTGGGGGAGGTGGGCAGGCGCACGGAAGACTTCGCCAATCGTCGTGATTTTCTTCTTCTTCTCATCTGTCTGATCAAGGAGCGGAAACACTTCGGTGGTCTGGATGTTCTGTGGAAGGGTAGCCTCTCGCAAGGGCAAGGTGACCTTGACCGAAGTGTCGAAAGAAGGTATCCCATCTGCCGGCGCAATCTTATGTGGCTGCTGTAAGCTCGAGAAAAGCTGCTTCGGGCCCTGTGCACTTCCAAAAAGTGTCAAAACAGTTCGGCTGGTTGGCTCCTTCTCATCCTCCTCTTCTTCCTCCTTGACTTGCACAGAAGCAATCTCATGTGTGACTGCCTCGGCCGTAGCGGCGATGTCTGCCTTCTCCTGCTGGGCCTGCACTCTTCGAGCATCCTCGCGCTCTACAAGGCTTTTGAGGATCTTCTGAAAAGCGAGCACCTTTGCCTGCAGCTTTGTTTCTTCGACGGTTGCTGGTGCGTCAGAGCCACCGATTGAAGCCAGGATCTCGGTGGTCGCGCTCTCGACATCTTTCTCCAGCGCCTGCAAGGAGTCGTATGAGCCATTGTGGACTCGATCGGTGATGGTCGCAGGATCGATCGACTGAGCCAGCTTGGCGCGTTTGGAGTCGGCTTCGCCAGAGGAGCTGCGCGTAGGCGAGGCAGTGATGGAATGCGTCAGGATCGAGGGTTGTGCATCATAGCTCTTCAAGATCGACAACACGTCCTGGAGTACCGCCTGCAGAGTACGCGTAGTCCCATTTGGAGCCTCCTTTTGCGCAGCTGTTGATGCGCCATTGGAAAGTACTACTGCGGTGTCGGCATGTTTCCGCTTGGCAAAGGACGGCGATTCTGGTGCAGTTGGTAGCGAGGGCGGGGTGAGGGTGCCGTTGGCGGCGGCCATGGTGATGAAGCGTGCTCTTTCACGATGCGCGCGCGATGCTGCAACGCGCTCAGGACTGCCGGAGTGGTGTTGGCTTCAGCAACATGCCCTCAATAAAGGAAGGCGGGGTTGATCGAATTATCGATTTGCGCGTATCCCGTGCTCAATTTTATCTTGCAGCGCGCAAAAGTCCGGTGCCGGGAGTGGGTTGCGACAGTGACGGCTGTTGGGGTTGGCTTGTTCGCTGGTCAAAGTTCCGCGATTGCCATGAATGGCACCTAAGGAACGCACGCCAAGGAAATGCCTACAGGCTGCACAGGGAAGGAACACAACGCGCCCGCGAACAACAGTCCAAGAGCGCGACTGACCTCAAAGTATCATTACTATAATCCAGGGAAATGGTGGCAATATTTGTGAATGGTACTCAAGGTTCGATTCACTGCACTTGCTGAATAAACTGCTCTGTGAACTTGGTCTACGTTCGGCGCTACCTCGGCAAGTCAAACATGGGTTGGAGCTTCCGGTCAATTTTCCCAATTCATCTCCCTCTCGCTGCAATCGACATCTACGCGCGTTTGTCACGGTTAATTCTGTCGATGAATGCCCTTAATCCTCTCCCTGGCAGCTCCAGGTAGCCCATGTCGCTTCCTCCGGCCCTTGGCACGCCTCGCAGGGCAATGGGTTGGTCTCACTCGCCAGTCCAAGAGACCATGTAGCTGACTTGATATGCCAGCAACCTGCACCGCAGACTGCCAGATTCGTTCATCCGCGCCATGCAGCACGTATGATCCTACCAGCATGTATCCCAGCAGTACACTATCGAGAGCGCCAGCCTGTAGCTCTGCGAACGCGCAACCCACCTTTTTCTCCCCATGACGGCATATCGAGGTTTTCGACAAAACACTCTGCAAAGGTCGATCAGGAGGAGCGCGCTGCGGATGAAGAAGAAGAAGAAGAAGAAGAGGAGGAGGAGGAGGAGGAGGAGGAGGAAGACACATTTGGGTTCCTTGAAGGAGAGGAAGGGACGCAAAGGACAGAGGAGGAGATACTGTCAAGTCCTGAAGATCGATTCAGCAAGGTCAGGGCTGGTCTATCTGCACAGGATCAAAGTGCAGCACATGAGCCAGACATGTTCGGGTTCCTTTCTGAGGAAGAAGGAGGAAGATCAAGCGTGGTTGAGGGGCTGATGCAACCCAAAGCAAGCCCCAAAAGAAACCCCCCTCGTCTGTCCACATATACCCCGTTCACCGCGCAGAGGAGTCGTGGCTCGAGGAAAGCACATCGGCGCAGTCAGCCTACAATTGTGCTGGACTCCATACAAACTTCGGCACGAGATCTCTACTCCTCAGCTCCACTCTGCAAGATGGATCTGTCGCACGCCAGCCCAAGACGCATCATGCCCGGCGGCTACAGGCGGCCAGCCCGAGGCTCTTTGCCTTCACCTAAAGTGTTGCACGATCACACGGCTCCGACTTCTTTGTACACACTATTGGCGAGATACTTGGCTCATCTGACTGCAGCAGCCTCCAAGGACGCACCGTTCATATGCACCCGGCAAGAACACGAACTACTACAGCAGGAAGGCTTGACACAGGAGGTTGTGCAGACATGGGCATTTTCTCTCCTAGAGATGAACTCCAACACCGGTGCTAGAATCTTTCAGCGTGGTGCTGAAGCACCGCCCTTCTTCCTAGTCTTGCTTTTTCTTCGTCGTGAGCATATCAGGGTGTATGCTCTAGGCGTAGTTCTCAACCACATCAGCTCCAGACTTGAACAAGGGTCAATAAGCTGGAAAACTCTGAAGATGCTGGTCATACGAATTTTGCGGCATGCGCGTAAAGTATGGCCCGAATCGATCCCCTGGATATCCACCATCTTTCTAGACAAAGCAGCAAAGATACACGACAACGGCAGCGACACCAACACTCTTCCGCCTCGTACGCTTAGCGAAATCACTCACTTTTGCAACAACCTGTTGTCGTTGCTATCACTGCCTTCATCCCTCCGGCCGATGATAGCGTCTCGTCACCAAGAGAATGCGCAGTTTCGTGTCTTGCAATTCATGGCAGGAAACGATCCATCGATTGCGGTAACACGGACTGGCTTCCGGGCAATCGCGCGGATTCAGCTCACGCACGCAAAAACCGAACAAGAGAGAGACTGGGCAGAGCTGAAAGGACCTTCGTGGCCTCCGTGGAAAGAGAGTCGGACGGCGATGGACGATGACAAGGGCTACGAGTATGGTGCTTCACGAGCCTCGAAGATCTTGCATCGTATGTATGAAGCCGGGTATGCTGCGCGCAGCTGGGAGGAAGTGGCCGAGGTGTATGCCGGATGGGACACCGACTTGAGTCCCACCATACAGACACGAACGCTGCTTCCGTTCGGATTCCGAGGTGATTACACTCACCAACTATGGGCGGCGCGCATACGAACTACCAGGACTAGACGAGAGGCTTGGGCATGTTTTCTCGCACACGAAACGTCGGGTGCAGCTGCACATGAGGAGATCTATCTTGCTATGTTCGAGAAGCTGTATCACATGGAGGTACACCGACGATCGGACGGCGAACCACATCAGGATATGTATTCCGACGAAACACCAGAGCATCCGGCAGCAACTCTGCTTCCTGGTGACATGAAGGAGGTCTTGTCTGAGCCATCCTCCCCTTTGCACAACGTCTATCTCAGCGAACCAGTGCCTGCATACGAACAACTATACCGCCGTATGATGAGCAAGAACATGCGACCCACGGGGAGGCTCTTGGCCTTCTTACTGGAGACCTACCCTGATTTTGCTACCACCTTCAAACTCCTGGAGAGCGCCAAGGGTGACTTCGGTGGTGGCGTCGGTTGTTTACTGACTGGTAACCATGGCGAAGCCAACACCGTCCACAATATCCCCGACTACTTCCTGGCCGCGTTTGTTCGATTCCTTTGCCGCTTCGGCCATCCTACAAGGGGGCTCTCGGCCAAAACAACCTTCTTGGCACAGGATCAGCATATTCGTCAGTTCATGTTCAATGAGAACTATCTTCTGGAGTACGCCTACGCCCTTCTCTTACACTACAAACCACGCTATCAGCCTGCATGGACCGCGTTCATGGAGAGAATTGTGTTTAGCAGGTTCGGAAACAGGTCACTGTACCACGAGAAAGACAGTGCAACGGGCATAACGGACGCTCAGTACAACATCGTCGTCAAGCTTCTCGACACGCTAGCATCAGTGGATGTCGACGTTGAAGGGGACTTATTCAACCTTGCATGCACGGCTACCAGGTACGCTGCACAGGCTGTGCATCGAGGAAACTTTTCGATCGAGCAAGGACGCGACTTCTTGAGCACCCGGTCCTATCGTCTCCGTACACTCTTCCATCATCTTGTGGGCGCCCACGCAGATCCGGGTGTGCCAGTCCACACGACTAGCATTCCGCCGCACATGCCAGGTCCTGCAGAACTTCACGCCTATGTTCGTGCACTCGGTGTCCTCCGCGATTACGAGGGGCTGTACTCCTTCTCCACATGGCTCACAAAGCACAATGTTGAAGTTATAGCGCGTGCGCGTGCACAGCACGGCGGTAACGATATGTTGTTCCGCACGCTTGTAGCACTAAGGGCTGCTACCGGTGGATGGTTGGAAGAAGGACTGGACAGCCGACCTACAGCACCTGAGGAGATTAGGCAACTCATCAAGACGCAAATTGACAGCGTGGAAGAATGGGGTGGGTGGCCGAGCAAGAAGTACGTCACATTGTATATTGAAGGCCACGTAAGGAGTGCGACGCCAGAGGTCGGGGGCCGGTAAGATACTTGTATGATGATGTCCTTGATTTATATACCCAGATGCACAATATAAAGCACATGTCACAACGACATACATATCTGCCAAATTTACCGAAGAGCTGGCGGACTTTAGTTGTTTCTTATTCTCTGCCAAATTGGACTCAGACGTGTCTGGCAAAGTCCTCTGCGACAAGGAGCTGGAGGTGAAGTTGTTCCGGCGGCAACATGAAACGACAGTCGTTGGGCACGTGACGCCTTTCTCCACTTCCATCCGAATCAGCCTCATGGAACGCGGCTTCTGCCCCTAGCTTCGAAACCCAGATGGCGCTTCACGCTGACTCGAATGCGTTCCACATCATGGTCGATGCATGCGAATAGCCTCCTATTTCGCGAAACGGGATCCTTTCCGCAATTGACCCCTGCACCAATGACCCTTCCTTAGTTCTTCAGCCCTGCTTGTTGCTCTTTCCTTGCGTCTTTTCTGTCGGGGAATATTAATATACCTAATATCAGTGTTGAAGCATTTTCTTCCAAAGCACATTAAGCATTTACTGTCGCTAGGCCTCTACATCTCGACTAAGCCATGACATCAACCACCGTCGTCAATAAAAAGCTGTCCCTCCTCTCCATCGGATCCCCAACCGATCTCTACAGACATCGGCAATCGCAACTCTACCGCGACTTGGAACTTCTTCTCGACCTGACCCCCAGTACATTCAGTTCGCACCTCCTCTCCCTCCCAAAAGAACTTCGACAACACATCTTTACCTACCTCGTACCTTCAACAACCAATGTCCGACCAAAACTCCACACCTGCCTCTGGGGCGCGGACATGATCGCCGGCGAACCCTGGCGGCACTCCACCTTCGGCTACGGCACCAACGTCCCTAAGAAACTGCGCCTGCGCCCGGAACTGCTGCTCATCAATAAAAGACTACGCGACGAAGTCCTCAAACTGTACTGGGACCGCAGCAAACTTACCCTGCATGCCGAACTCCGCAATACGAAATTCCAAAACGAGCTCTTCGACTACTCGCCGCACATCCTTAGACTCCCACTCCTGGCCTCTGTAACGCACGTCAGGTTTTATGTAGAGTGGAACTACACGCTCACTAAGGCTGCGAGCAAGGCTACGAGACTTGAGGATTATGTGAGGATGACGGATGATTTTTGTAAAGCCATGGATGAGATTCTCAGGGGGATAGGAAGGGTTGAGGGCGTGGAGTTGAGTGTGCTGTTTTTCTGGAAGTATAGGAGTGGGAAGCTGTATCAGCTTACGATGGCGGATCTTTTTGATGTCGAGGATGTGCTGAAGAAATATGCGGAGCCGAGATGGTTATCCCTCCTGCAAAAGTCGCAGGCCCGCAACAAACAAAAAACATCCACGGATCCAGCGATCTCGAGTCCGGGGCTCGACGCAAGTGCAGGCGTGGGGTACAAGTTGAGCAGCGAGAAGAAGGGTTTGGAGCAGAGCGGCGGGATGGAAATTTTTGTGTCAAGGGATTTGGAGGAGTGCATGGGGCGGAAGAGGAGGGAGGTGGATTTCTATGGGAATTTTGCGGTGAACGAGACGCTGCCGCAGCCGGGGTATGAGGCTGGTAATATGATATAGCAAACGAAGGATAGCGTGAAGGATGAATATTATGAGAGTGGATATAGAGCACTTGGGTAGACTTGTGGATGTGACTTCTAAAGATTGATGTAAGATGGGAAGCCTCGTCTAGAGATCGTCTAGAAGTTGAAATGCGACAGGAAAGTGAGCCAAGTGTAAACGCAGTCGCGACTGATACCGTAAGGAGGCGTTGTCATGATTCAAAAGCGTACTTGATGAAAGCAAGACCAAACCCTGCATCGGGCTTGTCTTCTACCTGCGACGTATAGAGAACAACAATGGCAGTTTTGAAGTTATCGTCCTCAAGATCAAAGGCAACGTTCAATGCTTTGAGAACCTGGATGTTGAACTCGTCGGACTCAGGCGCATCTTTGCAGTCGATTCGAGCGTCACTGGTGTAGAGCCAATGCACATATGTTTGCAGAGCTTCGGTGTCTACCACATGATCTTGTGGAAAATCAAAGATCGGCTCTGGGTCAGCAGTTCAGGCTTAACAGTACATTGTACATGTATTTGTACCGTCATGCCACTATCTCCAGGTCTGCAGGCAGTGTGTATGCATGATTCGACCACACTGAGATCCCAAACGGTGACATCGGCGGTGATTGCATCAAGGTTCTCGGTGCATGGGAAACACTCGCCATCGATGATCTTGCGACGCTGCTGGAGAAAATCCTTGAATACTTTGGAGCTGGCGCATCTTAGGTCTTCATGGACTACGATGTGGCGTTGATCTTGCTGTGCCTTATCTGAGCAGCCCTGCGGCCAAGACTACATTTTGTCAGTAAGAAGGGATGGGCTTGTGATGTTCAACCTACCCAACGGGACCCAGCTTCTTCGTTGCTCCTCGACTCTTGACGACTACCGTTGTTGCTGGCGTGTATATCTGTGTGAAGAATGCAGAGATTGTGCAATCGTCGTTGGCGGCAAGAGTAAAGGTAGGAAGTTAATATACGGAATTAGGACTAGAGACCAAGAACATTACGTAAGTGGCATCGTGGAGAGAGCAAGTGAGAGAATATGCTCCGCTGAAATATGCTCGGAGAGAGAAGGAGGTGTCCGCATGTTAAACAGGCTGCACTTTCGTTCTTCGACAAAGTCGCCAGGTCGACTCATTAATGCACCACTCGTTCGCTGCGGTCCACGCAGTACGGTCTCTGATGTACCTGTGTTCAGACCGCAGACCAGAAATAACACGACCAACGATCTTCCACCTACCGTGCTGCTACCGTCAAGATGCCCTAGCGACTCAAGGTGCCTAGGCATACTAAGCACTAGGCAGAATCCTTGCTTTCCTCAATTCGTCGAACACACCCTCAAGGCTCTCCCAAGTATCGGCGTACCCAGTCCAACCCGCCTTCCTCGCCTTGCTCATGCTGATGACCAGATCATACTTCCTGCCCAGCACAAAGCCCAGGAACCCCCACGTCGCCTTCTCAAAAGCATCCTCCTGCAAATCCTCTCTTTCGGCGATGCGACTCCATGCGTCTTTGACATCCCGACGTTGACTCCACTTCTCGAGGTCGATGTGCTGCTCGACTACGGATTGTTCAAGTGCTGGTGTACCTTCTAGACCAATGGCGGATGCCTGTGTAGTGATTGGCGGCTCTGGAGCGAGCTTTGATGTTGAAGAAGCATCGCCTGAAACGTACTTCAGGATTGAAGAGCCGGCTCCGCTCTTGAACTGATTTGGCTTGACTTTGGTACCGAAGTAGTTGGCGACCTTCGGCCAGAGATTCTGCCACGACTCGGTGTCGCCGTTCACGACGTTGAACGCTTCGTTTGCGGTGCGCGGCTCGAGTGCCGCCCAGGCGCAGAACTGTCCATGGAGCCTTGAGTTGGTGAAGCAATCGAATTTTGTGTAGAATGTGGGAGACCCAGGAAACACGACGCCCTCATTCTTGGAATCGAGCTCATTTGAGACCAGAGCGTACAGGGCAATCGCCGTGGCAAGGTTCATGTAGTTACCAACAGCGTAGCCAATGACATCGTTGGGGTAGGTGACGGTCCACTCTTTATTGTACTCCTTGCAGAACGAATGCAGAATGTTCTGCTGGTTGTAGTAGAAGTTTGGCGGCCATTTGCTGTCGGTAAGCCAAGGGTCGGACTCGAGCATGGGGTTCTTTGGTGCGCCAAGATGCACACCGTATTGCTTTGCGCCAGTGACTAGAATGATGCGCTCTATACCGCTGATTGCACCTGTTTTGACGAGTGCCTGCAAGAAATTTGACAAGATGGCGCCGTTGACGTCCCAATTCTCTTGCTCGGTATCTTTCTGCACGTAGGCAGCGAAGAAAACATAGCTTCCTTGCACATTCCGCATGTCGTTGGCCATTTCGTCAGGGGCTGACATCAGGTCGATGTGATGATGGATGACTGTTTCAGCGAATTCCTCCTTCTTGCTGCGCGAGAGAGCATGAACGGTGGGCCATTGCTGGCGGTGTTTGGAGAGCTCAAGGACAATCTCGCGGCCAAGAATGCCAGTTGCGCCGACCACAATTGCTGTTGGCATGATGGATCGTTGTTGATGTGAGAAAGAATGTGGCGTGAAATATCAGATGCAGGTGTGCAGTGTTTATGGCGTGCTGATATGGAAGGAGCCATGCACTGTTGTGACGTAAAGATGCATCATTACAAAATCACAACAGCTCGGTCTGCTGCTTCCGACTCAAACATGGTCAGCAATTACGATATGCGAGGTGGGCCATGTGATAGCGATAGTGGAGTAAGTATTGTTAGCCATTACCAGAGAAGCCCGCAGAAACAGTTCTGGGTTTGTGCTGCCGATAGTCGATATTTTACAAAAGCATCAGATTGTTGTCAAGTCGATCCCATTGACCCTGGAACTCGCTTATCATACACCAACTGTGTATCTGTCAAAGAACTTGATAGCTTTTCGGAACGATCACACCGAAGACGTCCTCTGCTCAATCTCTTGCTTACACTCGGCGCAAAGCTTTGCATGTTGATGTATCAACGCAGTCTGCGATTTGAGTTGATGCATCTCGTGCGACCTCAGGCTTTGCTGCCTCTGGAAGGGCGGTTCCGTCTCGGCATCTACGAGATTGACTCTCCGCGGCACGGTGCCCTGCTCTATCGCCATTGCTATGCGGTTGTTTGTGAAGGTCTAATAGGGAGCTATCGTAGCTAACACATATTGCGCCTGTTGGTTTCGAGCCGTCAAAAGCCGAAGTAGAACTGGAGTGGAGGGTGTCTGAATTCGATGGCAGGCTTCATTTCCGTGGGTCTCGTTTCTGCCAAGTGAGCTCCTTGAACTGGGTCTTCACTTCGTCTTTGAAATGGTCGAATGCCGAAGGACCGGTACCTGCTGTCGTTAGCCGTTGTGCGCTTCACATGGGCTGTGTAGACATACGGCCCAATCCATTCTTCGGCTCATGATCTGGGATCTTGTTGATCTTGCGGTACGCTTTCTGGACCGCGCGGTTGAACGTTGGGCTTCGGATCAGCTGTGACGGTCCGTGTTAGCAAGGGATATGGTGCAGGTTTTACACGATGCTTGGCATACTGCTGCGACTGCCCACGCCTGTAACGCCTGTCAGTTTGATGTTTCGACCGATTTCAAGCGATTGACATACCTCGAACAATGCAAACCAAGGCGTCATGATAGTTTACCGGAACTGTGTTCACATCCAACAATCAATCCCCAATATAGGTCAAATGCTGGGAATACAGGGTCGAGATAACCTCCAGTGGCGGTTGAGTAAGGAGTGAGGAGTGAGGAGTGGTGGACTTCGGCGGCGAGCAACAGCGAGAAGGCACCTGCTCGTCCGAGTGGACCAGGGTCTGCCTGCAGCTGCCCGAACGCGCTTGACAGCTGCTCCTCCCTGCTGCGTCATCTTGATAGCAGACTGCTTCTCTTGTGTTGACTTGATTGCCGCACTCCAACAACATTATATTCTTCACTGCTCGCTCTCTGCTGCCATCACCACTCGTCTACTCGTTAGTCTGACGCGCTCAACGCTTCGACCAGCCTGCGACCTGAGAGCTGGACCCCACCCTCGAGTCCCACCCTCGAGTCCATCACCGAACCTGGTTCCTGGAGATCTTTGAGGAAAAAGTTGATTGGCAACTTGAAGCAAAAGTTGGACTGCTTCTACTTCTGAATCTCTCACATCTTCACTACCATTCAGTCATTGATAGCATCTTGAAATTCGAAATATTCACCGCTCGTGCTACACCGACTGAACCCACTCGCCATCGCTAGCAACCCGCCGAGCGCCTCGACCGTCACGAGTCACGCAACTAGAGTCTCAAGCCGGACAGCCTCACAGTCGAGCCTATCAACGAATCGTGTTGCGCGCCAGTGTCTGCGAGCTGCCAGCCGTCCGTCACTATTACTTCTCCGAACCTTCTTGTTCCTCGAGTACCGGGACTAGAAGTGCGCCTGGAAACCGACAGGAACTCATTCACGCTGCATAAACTCCGCGCGCTCAGGCGCAAGGCGAAGCTCAAGGGCGGTTCCCTTAGGACCGACCCGGCAGTCACAGGCATCATGTCGGCGCCCAATTCAGTGCCCGTCTCTCCTGCATCGTCGAAGCGCTCGCGCAGCAAGGACAGCACGCGATCAGCCACATATGCCTCGCTCAACACGTCCGCCGCGAGCACCACCTTCAACACACCGGCGGTAAGCACGCACAGTCTTCTGCCTCCACTAAACGTGGGCCCGTCCTCCAATGGAGACCAATCGCCGGACTCTACCCCATATCCCGCCTTCCTGAGGCCGAGAAGAGCAGGCAGGTATACTCGACCCTTGTTACCTCAGTGGCAGAGCAGCTAACTCCTTCGCAGCACAACTTGACGGCAAGTGGAATGACTTGGAGTGGGCACAGATGAACCGTCTTCGAGACGGCATGGCACCGACCGACATCGAAGAACCGGCCCAGTGGGCACGTTGCAGCGGCGACGCCTATGCTCCTCGAAATCGCTACATGAATGTCGACCCCTACCAGGCGAATAGAGTACACTTGGAGGTCCCCGAGGGTGTATTCGACTACATCAATGCCTCTCCGATTACCCTGAAGTCGACCAAGTCAGGGACAGTCATGAAGTACATCGCAACACAAGGACCCAAGGCTGATAGTTGGTCCCATTTCTGGCGCATGGTATGGAAGGAAAACGAGTCGCCCGCAGTGGTCGTTATGGTCACCAAAACCCACGAACAAGCTCGTGAAAAATGCTATCCTTACTACCCCCGATCGATATCCGAACCGGATCTGCGCATCAATGAGCACGACGAATTCGGCGACGGCTTCATACACGATCTGCATCTGAAGGAACTATCGCATGACCAGGAAGCTAGGACAGAGGTCAGGGAGATCGACATGACAACAGAGGACCGAAGCGAATCGCGCAAGGTCTGGCACCTGCTATTCGAAGGCTGGCCAGACTTCTCGGTCCCTGAAGGCGCAGACAAGGCGGCTTTGTTGAAGATGGTGGAGCTGTCGCGCGAGAAGAACAGCAACAATTCGACAAACCCGCGCATCGTCCATTGTAGCGCAGGTATCGGTAGAAGCGGCACATTTATTGCTCTGGACTGGCTGATTCAAGAGTTGGAAGAAGGCTCATTGGACAATCCAGCCGACGACGAGGACCCCATAATCAGAGTAATCGAGATGCTTAGGGATCAACGACCCATGATGGTTCAGTCGAAGCAACAATTCTTTTTCATATACGACACCCTCCGCGAACGGTGGCGCGAGCGCTGGATCACCCAACACCCCGAAGAAGCGAGTCGACTCGGCATCACACCCGCTGCGCAAGACGAAGAACCGGCGCTTAAGAGACAGAAGAGCAACGTGGACAGTGATGCGGATGCTTCTTTTGTGAGTGATGCAGAGCGGGCAAAGCTCGAAGCTGAGCTCATGGGCGCCGACTACGAGTGATCTCCAGACTCTGGTTAACCATCTTCATTTCTAGGCTCGGAGCAATATTATGGAGTACCTTCACGGTGTGGTAGAGGGTGCTCCTGCGTCGAGCTCGAGTAGCTTTGTCACGGCGGATAGTCGACAGGACAACTTTGTTAGTGTCAGTGGCAGTGATAGCTTTAGTGGGGGTGACAGTGAGAGTGAGAGCGGCAGCGGTAGTGGGCGCGACCGTGGAAGTAGCAGCGGCTCAGGAAGCGACTCGACCCTTGGCCAAAACGACTCGCAGTCTGTTCGTTCAGCTGTCTCGGAAGAAACACTCCGTCCCGACCTCGAACGCCAGCCACTCTTAGGACCGCGCCGACCAGTCCGCCATCCTCTTCTTCTGGGAGGTCGTCGCCCACGTCGTCCTCGTCTTCCTGTAGAGACACGCCGGCCGGCGTCTGGAGAGTTCGAAGGCTTGTTCTCTGAGCCTTGCTTCACTTGGTTTTGCTGTTTCATGGCTGTCTTCTTCCTGTTATTGTGTCTAACCTCTGTGGTTGGACGGTACGTTTGATCACACCGATGGCTGAGCCTTCCTTACTGCTGTTGAGTAGATTGTTTGTTTTCAAGATATTGATGCATAGCGCCGCGGGTTTATTCTCATACACTTGGGTTTCAGAACACTATACAGAAACAGATAGACATTTGTTCAGCTTCAATGCGACCCTTGTAGACATCCAATTCAAACTCTTCTTTCACCACTGTGAACCCATCTAGGGGGTACCCGGAGCTGTGAGTGGTCTTATGAGTTGCGCAACAGTTCATCCTGGTCGTCCAGATCTTGTCGGCATGGGACTCTCATGATATAGAGCCTCAATGCAGCTTCAGGGCTCCGAAGTGCGCTGGTTATGATCTCGCGTGAGTTCAAATCATGCCGGAGGCATACGCGCTAGCGTACAGTCCTCTCGAAGGACTGCTCGCTGTCTCGGCATCGTCGAAACCATGATCAAACCCGAAAGAGGGACCAAGAAAAGGGCGAGCAAGTATGGAAGAGCCTCGTACCTACATTTGCAAGATCACGCGAAGGGGAAGACGGATCACTGGATAGAGGGCACCACGGATCATTGTAATGACTGTTACGTTTACACCACTGCAGTGGTATACAGATCCTTGCGGAACGCACAATGCATGGTGGGCTACTGGCAAGGACATGGGGATGAAGGGCTGTAGACTTTGCTTCGTATGTTCCTCATTGCTTGGGTATCTCTCTCTATCTTACTGTGATCTTCTGATACGCTCAAAAGACGGCGCCGCCTATAATGAATACGCGCTCTTCTTCGCGTCGCACCCATTGCACAATCTTCATCGCCCCTTGTGCCAGCGCAGCCCTCGATGTATTAGGCGGAGCAACAGCATACAGTTCAAACAATGGTGTGCTCCAAGCCACAGCTATGCAACTCGATCCCGTCTCATGGTGGATCTTGAGACTCGTTGGCTTCGCATGCAGCGTCGAGTGTAAATGCGCATACAGCGTTAGCAGTCGCCTACGATCGAGTGGGCTGGAGAAGTAAGGTGTGTAGCTCGGCATGCAGAATTGTACGTTCCCTCTAGATTTGTAGAGAAAATGCCGTAACGGACTGCCTGGCACGATGTCAATGCATGACGGGCGGCCCGCCTGCACAGCGGCAGAGATGTGAGAGATGGAGTTGTTGGATGTGAGAGCCTGGTGGTGTGATGTTAGCAGTGTGTTCTCACGTGTACAAGTTGCGCTGCGGATATAAAGAAGGCATTTCCGGCGTGCGGAGCATCATGCCCGCCGCCTCGTCACATGCAGTGAGGGGAGGCGGGAAGGATCCGGGTGGGCTTCCTGTCATCTTCGATAGTCTGTTTCAGTGGAGCTCAGCCCGTCCACTTGCGCGGTCTTCATGTCGCTGTTTGTTTGTGGACATCGGAGGCAGTTTGGTGGTCGGAAACCGACAAGTCCGAGCCCGAGGGCTCGCCATGTACGACTAGTGATTCGCCCGAGTCAAAGCCGTGCTGGGACGCCTGCGGTATTTTCCAGCAACAGAACTGGACAAGGTTTGAACAGGACCGATCCCGATCCCGCATCCAAGTCGTCCAGGGGTGCTTTCGTTTGGGGTGAGTAGGGAGGCTTTGGTAACGAAACGCGAGGGTTTCGCCGTCTGTCATTGGGCTGAACGATAAACAGGTAGATCCTAGTTGCTACCAAAAGGCGGTGCCTGGTTCGTACGAGAGAGAGACCGTTGTTGACGAGGGCAGATGACTCTTGGTCATGAGGTTGATGCGGCGGACACATTTGCACGGCGTGTTCGGGGTCGACGTTCTGCTCGAAGTACAGCTCCATTGCCGTTTTCAATGCGCTTCGAACGCAGTTGAACACTCAAGAATCGTCCAGGACCAGGTTTCGAAAGGTCCAAGGTATTGCCAAGCGGGAAAGCTGCAATGGATAACGCAACCAAAGAAAGACAATGTACGTACCTCGACAAGATCGTACCTCATTTTCCTCATCTCGAAGAAGCTCTCCTTATCCGCACTGATCAACAGCACTGCTACCTCATCGTCGCCGCCGTCTCTCGTTCTTGGTCTTTCCTCCATCTGCTCGCCAGGGTTCTCCAGGTTCAGGAAGCTCACGTACATGTACAGATAACCCGTGTTGTTGAACCCTGGCAAACAGAGTGGTATCCAGTTCTCGCCCCCTCCAGCTTTGACGCTGCCCGCTTCGAAGAGCATGTTGAAGATCAAATGCAGATCACCAGGGTGTAGGGAGTGTTTCTTCGGCCGTACAACGGACACTAGCTTCCCAGATGCAACGATAAGACCGTAGAGAAGATTCTCGGAGCGTGTTTTCAATAGTGTGTTGTTGATGGTATTTCGGTGGGACTTTCGTAGCTTCAGGCACTCGAGTGCTGAGAGCAGTGTTGAGGGCGACCCCCTTGTGAAACCGTCTGCGAGTGCGGACAGGAGCGTTTCGGTGCCTTGCAGGGGTCGTCGTAGATCGTAGTTGGCGCGCGCCGCGAACATGCGTTCCATGCTAGGGAGTGTGAGGGTGGAGAGGATCTGCATATATAGCGCCTCGAGCTGGGTGCGGAGCTGAGAGTCGCTCTCAGGTAGACGTGTGATTGCAACGAGGTTCAACGGACCTTTTGACATGACTACGAAGCGAACATTGTCTGCTGTGAAGCCGCGTAGGGTGTCTTTGGTGGACTGGTAGAAAGAAATGATAGTCTGTACAACACCGATGTAGTTCGTGATCAGCTGGTCGTCGCCGTGTCGACTGTAGATGGGCTTTCCTGCGCTTGAGAGGATGAGAAAGTGCTTTAGCTTTGCTCGCCATTGTCGCATAACTTGTTCTATTGCCTGTATCAGTACACGCTACATGTCGATACAGCATGTAATTCTGACCTTCGTTTGACCCATCTGCTGCCATGTCGTCTACGTCCTCAAACTCGTGATCGAAAGACGACTCAAAATCAGGGTCTGGTGGGAACAAGCTCTGCGCTTCTGCATCGTCGAATCTGTGCCCGAGAGAGCGCAGCAGTGTCTCCTGCGCCGATTTCTCAGTTGCACCCATGACCTCGCTCAGTATGCTCTCTCCTCCAGCTTCAGCAATTGTGGGCGCATAGCTTCTAGCACTCGCGCTATCATCCGCATCGCTCGTTGCATTCGATGAGAGGTTGGGAAGGACATGTCGTGGTTTCGAGGGAGCTGGCGGGGTAGAGTCGTCACGCGAATCGCTGCCAAACGCCTGAGTGTTGGTGACGGAGAGCTGCGTGGTAGCTCTCGAAACTAGCTGTGGTTGTGAGGGCGCCCGTATTATCGAATGTGAGGATGCTGGCCGCGATGAGAAGGTGGGCACGCCCAGTTGTGGCCGTGGGGGCAGCGGCGGTGGTGTGCCTTCCCTCGAGGGCGAGGTAGACCCGCTATATGAAGGACTGCGTGAGGCATTGCCCATTATGCTCAGCGTGGGGTTGGCGAACTCGTGCTGCTCTACGCGGTCTGCCTGCTTCGGCGCATCGTCGATTGCAGGCGTGGTGGGGCCGTTCGGCGCATCACTTGGTGACGGCTGGCTCTGAGGCTCAGCCTTTCCAGGCTCGGACATCGAGGAGGCAGTATGGCACTCTCATGAGGTGTGAGTGGAGCTTTGACGTCGCTATGGGAGAAACATGGTGATGCCGCGCAGTGGAACAGGCTTGTGATCGAATTGTTGCAGCGCATCGAAAGTGCCCCCTGCACTTTCCCCACAAAACACCACAAGCCCATCTCGATTGCACCATCACCGGCTATCAAATCCGATGTTGACTTTACCGTACAATGCATAAATAAACATGCTGGCACAGAGGTAAATGCATGCCAACGACAAGCACACTCAATTGCAATGCAGCACACATAATTCGCTTGCTGTGAGACTGGGTATGGTCACGTGCTCAACATCAGTTGCTGGAGCAAGCAGATCGCAACGAATTTAACGCCCGCCTAAGCTTGAGACCGGGCTTTTAGATCTGCGATTTCCATTTTCATTCTCTTCGCTTTGCAACGCTCATTCACCACGATGAACGAAAGGGCAGCACCGAGTGACACTTGTCAGGCGGGAGTAACCGTCCCTTATTCAGATTTATTTATGCCACCTCGCACTCTCAGTACAAACCCAACAGCTTGCGAAGGCGTATACATCGTGTACCGCGAAGCATGGCCTACTCTGGCCCCTCAAGCGTCCCAGCTCATCCTGACGACGTTTCATAATTACCTTTCTCCTTCACGAGTGCCCGAGTATCATTTCACGTATCCCGAGATGTTGCAGCAACGGCTGCACACCGCTTGGGTAGGAACTAACATGGACATTGCACGGCAAAAGTTACTACACACTGTTGGAGAGTGGGTGAGTATGCCAGGTACCGTGCTGTACACGAACTGGGTTAGTGTGGACCTGTGTTACTTTTACACCGGAGAGAGCATGGGAATCAGCGAGCTGGCTGGGAAAGCGTGGATTGAGGGGCCGTACTTTGTTGATTGCAGTGGATCAGGAGCGCAGTAAATGACCTTACGGCTGTGTCGAAGTCGAAGACGAAGACGACGAAGACGACGACGAAGAAGAAGAAGAAGAAGAAGAAGAAGAAGAAACAGCAGCTTATTAGCAGGTACGACATCCAGTGACTAGCTCAGGGGCACATATTAGTCTTCAATTTGATGTTTATTGACGGGGGGCATACAAGCATTTCGGAAAATCGTTCTTTTACATTACGGCACTTGCAAGGTATGACTTTCCCTACTTTTAGAAGGCTCAGTGACCTGGACCTCCAGGCTTCACTGGATTCGCATCCGTCCCTCTCTACAACACAAGCATCCCTCATACTTCAGCAAATGTCTCGTCCTCCTCACAATCATCTGCTTATCAACACTCATAACATGTTTTGTGCATATTGCGTGCTCGATTCATGCACCCATCACGGACAAGAAGCGGCGGACTCGGCGCTGCTGCTTTGAAACCACACCTTGCTTACAAAATGAATGCGTTTCCGCCGTCTTGGCGAGTTACAAATAGCGGAAGTTTTTTGGTGGGGTAGAGATGGTTTGTGATTGCGTTGTGAAGGGGATTGGTTAGGAGATAGAGGGGTTTCTAAGGTGCGGTGAGGTTGGTCGATAATCAGTGACTTCCCTAAGAGAAAGTCTTTCTTGGTAAGTTTCTGGCTCATTCCGTGAGTTATCTTGTGTGTGGATGTGATGGGATGCCGTGCACGGGCTGGAGATTCATACAGAGCGACAAGACCACGGGATACTGTCGTCTTCCCGTGCAGCCGCGGTGGGCAGTGTAGTTCGATTTGGTGGATAACAAATACTGGAAGGGGATTGTGAGTGGCTTGCGAGGACGAGTAGTTGTTGAAACGGGAACTTCATGTTTGATAGACTCTTCATTTGTTGGTCTGGTTGGGCTATTGTGAGGAGAAGGGGACGACCAAGAGGAACGAAGTACAGGTGGGACTGAGAAGTGGTTTTTCCTTCATTTTCGAAGGGACTTTCGTGAGACATCCTATACTGTGTCTAGTGAACTTGGATTAACGGGTGTGTCCGCGAGGATAAGCGTAGTGAAGTCGAGAGTCTGATCTAGCAGTGTAGTTGAAGCTAGAGGGAGGGTACGGTTTTAGGTTACGACTGCCGGGCTCGTATAGCGCGGATGTTCTCGCAGATGGTGTAGAGGTGATGTCTCATGTCTAGAGTGTGAAGAAGTTTTTGTAAGCTGTACCTGCACATACAGTTGGCTGCGCTTGGAGTAGAACCTTAAATCTCAGGCATGATAAACTGCTACGTTGAACAAAATGTAATTGCATTCGCATGCCCTTCGAAGTGGGGATTCAGAGGTCTCGGAGCCCTTTCCACCACCTCAACCTTACCCAAATCCATGACGTAGTCACCCGTCAAAACACCAAATTTTCTTCTAGCACCCCGCCACAACCACACTTCCGCCAGCCTCGCGCCAGCCAGCGCCAGCAAAGACCGTCTCGGATACCGGCTCTTAAGTGCATCCGTACCCCTGCGTGCATCATCGCTAAAACTTGCACGACTGTCCCCCGAAGAAGTTCGGGAGATCGATAGATCGTGTGTGGAGAACACTCGTGAGCAAGTTTGGGCTTCGATAGTTACTTTTGCGCGAGCGATATCCTGCTTAAGGGCAAGCCACTGCCCCGAAACAGCAGTATCGCTTTTCAGATCGGCTGTGTTGTGGATAGTGGTGAGCTGTTGATGAGTAGTGGGTATGGGTCTTTGGGAATGCGGTGCGTAATCGGTAGGTGCCGATGGTATCGTGAACGCACTGCATGCTGCGAATGTCCGACATACGATAAGGCACAAGTGTAGCGTCATTCGCGCATGCTTTTGCCAATTTCTTGCTAATGGAAAAAGATTTCATGGGTTAAATGTTTCTCGTATAGATGTTTCGTCACAGACTGGCAGCGTTGTAGTGTCTTTGCACCGGCAAAGCATCGGCGGATCGCAGCATCGCTGCTTTGTGAGCTGCGCAGTCAGCGAGCTGCATTCGGTACGCGATTTGGCACATTCGTCTCGCCGTTAGACAAGGTTTAAGGGTTCCACTATGTTTGGGATGCCAAGATGTCGATTCTGCGGAGAGGAGAAGGTCCACATCGTGGGATGTTGCGCTGTTCTGGACCTTTAGGTATCTAAAAGGTTGAGTGGGTAAGGGTACTAGAGCAGGACGTAATGACGTAGGTTGTGAGGTGTTGGGAATATGCGAGGTGATAAGTGATGAGTCCGATAGTACGGTAGTCGTGAACGGGAATGGTTATAGACGCGTCTTCTTGAGAGCTGCAATAGTGGTGAGCAGGACAGTGTCCTCAAACCTCTAGGAAGATCGTGGGGTAGAGGCTAGTCATTCAGCAACAGCATGTCGATGCAGCGGGTCCTCTGACAAGGTAAGATGGTACGGATACCATTGCGAGTGCTAGAACATAGGACTTGGAGCGCTGAAGAATGGAGTGCTGAAGAGAGCAAGGACCTTCAGCATGCCTGGTAACCTCCCGTCAGAGTATGCGGTGTGACTCGTAGGATGAGCCTTGCATGGCTCAGATGCCAGCGATGACCGGTCAAGACATACAGGAAGCTGTATGAACACAGTTTCTGTCAGCACCCCAACATTTCTAACAAAGGTGGCATTCAGGCAAAATTGAATCGCGATAAGTGCACAGTAACTCATGATACTCAAGATTGGGTCCTATTCTTTCGACTTTCGCTCTCGCTCTCGCTCTCGTTCTCGAATTCGAACTCGTGAAGTATGCCTGTCGCGTATCAGCCCAAGCAACGTCCGTACAGTCGTCTCATGCTGGGTTTCGAGCGAGCGGCGTGATTTGAGGGTGGCTTAGGTGGTCGAATAGATAGACTTGAGGTCTGGCGTTGTCATTTTCTAAACAGGTATAACAATTTGAGCCTCGCTTCCACTGAGGAAGCGACAGGAGAGCAAATCGAGAATCGGTGCGCAGTGTTTATTGTTTTCATTTATAATTGTTGGCTCTTGGCGATTCGGGCGGATGTCTTCGTCTACGCTGACCAGGCCCTGTACACAATCTTGGCTCCATACTTCTGCCCCTTCTTAAGGATCATCATGGATTTGTACTCAGGGACGTTGATGGCATTGACGTAACGGCTGGGCTCAACGCAGAATCCTGAGCGAGCAGCTCGTGCTGGTAAGCCATCAACAGCTGGTACATCGATGTACTTTCCGGTGTAGAATTGGAAAGCTGGCTCGGTGGAGTGAACCTCAAGATGAATCTTGCTCTCTGGGTGGTACGCAGATACGAGCTTCTGGAGAGGTGACGAACGGGTGTCGACCGGGACGCTACTAGCATCCGTGTTTGCAACGAAGCAATCGTCGACATCCGGCTCTTTTTCACCCAGTGTGAAGGTCTTGCCTGAGCTGATGCCCGGATATTCTTGGATAGGGCCGGTGGGTATGCCACCATCGTCAACGACTTGGTACTTGTTGGTGATCAACGTGATTTCAGTGCCAGCAATAGATGACTTTCCGGTCAAATTGAAGTAGCTCATTAAGTGTCAGCAGGTTTCGGGATTAAAATACTCGTGTAATACATACCTGTGGTTTGTCATGTTGATAGCTGTTTCTTCGACCTCATCGCCGACTAGTTCCGCCTCATACTCGATGTAGAGGACTTCTTGCTGGGTGCCGTTGATTTGTTCCTTCTTCTGCACATACCAGACGCTGACTTGTACAGTACCAGGATAACCCTCTTCACCATCCTTGCTCAAGTACTTGAAGAGGACAGCGTCCTGACCATTGCGCTCCACGTTCACCGGACCATCGAACTCATGCTTTCCCCACCCTTGCTCACCGCCGTGGAGGGAGTTAGGGCCGTTATTCACAGGGAGTTGATATGACTTTCCATTCAGTTCATTAATCTTCCCTTTTGCGACTCGATTGGCAATACGCCCAATGGTCTCGCCGAAATACGGACCATTGTACTGCTTGTACTGCTCAGCAGTCTTGAAGCCTTGTAGAATGTTGATGCCGTTGACATGGAACTCCTGGATGATCGCCCCCAAGGGAAGGAAGGTAAAGGCTTTTGCCGACGACATGATGGATGGGTCGAATTTGGTTAAGCTTGGTGATGAGCGTGTTGCTGTGAGGCGTTAGCTCCCACAGTTCTTGTGGCTAGCAGCTCAGCTATTGTGAAATCTTGGAACCCGCATCGTTGGCATTTGTGACATTTGGTGAGGGGTAGTTGCCAATGTCTTGTAAGGTTTGCAAAGTGCGGGGCTTGCAGGACTTACCTGGGCGTTATTTCTGGCTGCGCTTGGTCCTGTGTATAAAATTTGTAGACGTTGCACAAATTTGACGTTATTAGTGAGATCAGGGTAGTCACTTCAGGCAAGACTCGACGAAGGTGGTGCACACTGCTGTCCTAAATGTATGTTGTTCATTAGGCTAATGAGGGGTGGAGCCCGCTCCTTCTGCCGTCTTGTCGGTGCCGTGAGCGACAATATGGGGAACATCTTGACATAGAGTATGAAGCCCGACAAAGTCGCGCGGTATGCCTAATTGAGACAATCCTGTAACTTGTGGAGAGGAGGGTTTAACAGGCGGATGGTCGGTTCCTGCTGATTGAACAGTCTGTCAAAATTACTAAGCGCGTCTGTGCGCGCCTTCTGAACGCGGAATGTTGCCATGGATTCTGCATCACAAGGCATCACAGCCAGCGAATGCTAAATTCGTCCTCGAACTTGTGTATCGTACAATCAATATCTACCGCGTAAGGTTCTCGACCAATCGTGACAATCCCATCGTCGCCCACTATCGAATTCCTTCGAGGTGGGGCTTTCGGAGTCGGTCCGCAGCGCGACTTTTTCGGTCTTCACGTCATAGTGAAGTCCATTTTTCCGCTATCGTGATATCAGAGAGAATTATGCCATGTTGATCATGTGATGCCAGCACTTGTCCGTTAACGCCGAATGCCAGTACTTAATCCAGTTCGCCGTGTGGATCTATCCCAAAACGCTAGAACGCTAGACAAAGAACGCTGAAGAGGAGACAAATTCGCGCTACTCATGCGCCGACCGGATTCTGTATGAAGTTGCTGAAGTCCAGGTCGCTTGTATTGTTCCAGTCAGGCATCATGGGGTCGTTGGGGTCCATCGATATTGGGTCAACCATTATGACCTGATCGTAGTTGTTGAAGTTCTCGAACCCATACATGGGTTTGCTGAAGTCCATTGGCTCTTCCATCATCATCGAATCATTCATCCAAGCTCTTGAAAGTGCTGAAGGATCCAAAGCACCAGTGTGCATAAAGGTTGAGGAGACCATGGGCGATTCCTGTTTTATCGGAGTAGTCATCTGTGATTGTCTTGGGAAAGGACTGTTCATAGGCGGCGTTGGCGGTGCGTTGTTGCGTGCGAATGAGTCGGTGAAGGGGAATTGTCTTGTGGTCGGAGTTCCGCTGTATGACGAAGGAGATGATGTATGGCCATGCTCTGAATCCGAGCTCACGGATCCACGCCTATGAGACAACGGTGCCCCTCTCTCAAGCAGCTTGTGTTGCATACGACTGCAGTCTTCTTCGAAACCTTCGTAGTTGCTACCGTTTTCGCTCGGTCCGTGCAAAAGGTCAAGTCGTTCGAGAATGTCGTGTGTCAAAGGATGACCGCTTTGTGCTTCACGCAATGGTTGACCTGGCCAACCCTGCCCTGTCTGTAGGCGAGTGTATAGTTCTCGAAGTCCGGCGACGAGTTGCGCTTGTTGTTGTTCGAGCATCTCAACATAGCTAGCTCAGTTAGCATGCAAATCTGAGATACAGCAGGTGGGCAACGTACCCTTTAGGGTAGACTTTATCTTGCGACTTCTTCCTCTCACCAAACACACAGATGGCATTATCAGCTTTACACCGGCTGCAGGGACTCGCTCCATCACACTGTTGCGGTTAGATTGAGGAGTCTGAAGGTTAAGCCAAGGTTCTACACACCTTTGACTTCTTCAATCGACAGCGATCGCAAGCTTTGCATACTCGCTTCCTGATGTTGTCTTGTGCCTCCATCGAACTCGACCTCTGTGATGACATTGAATTGGAGGATAAGCTATGTCGGTGCAGGGTAGATCACTCGAAGCTCCAATTGGTCGAAAGGTAGTGTATCTTCAACGAAGTTCCAACGAGACTTTTTTTGAGGTATGCTGAGGTGGGAATTTGGCTCCTAAATACGGACATAGCTTATGTGGGTAGCATGGCATTATATCTCTTCACGTCAGAGGGCATCTCCAAGCGGACGTTCGGCGTTAACCATCCATCGAAGATTCCGGCGCAGAAGCTCCGTAATCGACCTGTAATTTTTCATCCCCACTCACCCTGGGCAGCTAAACCACCCATCTCCCTGTCCATCAGTTTATCGGGGCACGTTGGATTACTCTTCGCGCTTGCAAGGGTGCAGGGATTTTTGCACTGCGCCAACCTTACGAAGACACTGGGCTGAATGGTGGAACAAGTGACAAAGCGTTTCGCGGAGTCGGCCATCGAGCGGACCGTGGCCATGGAAGCTGCCAAAACCCGCCGTGACGCCTGGTCGACCACCAGTATGAAACAGGTGACGAGAAATTAGATCGAGCTTCACGGGCGGACAGAAGGGTGATGGTGAATGATTCGGTAATCGGCAAGGCGTACATCCACGCCCAAAAATGCGCGGACTAAACATCACACACCACCGAGAGCAGATCTTCGTACAGCGCGCAGGTACGCCAGCATCAAACCCTGAGCCTGCCTCACCGGGCACACGAATTTGTGTTATCGCTCGGTCCACGTAGCGGCCGACATCATAGTGATGGCTCATCGACTAACAAACATTATTCCCATCCCATCGCGGACCCTTTAGCTTTCGAACAAAATCACTCCTCGGCCGAGCGAAATGACCACATGCTGACTGAAACCATTGGACCGAGCAATCTCCTATTTCAAAAGATTTACCCTCCTGACAGCTAGAGATCACGGCTGGTCATCACGGTAGTACTGGCCGTGCGAACGCGGAAAGAACGAGGTGCTGGAAGCAAGCTCGAGACCGTGAGTGCTGCACGCAAACGGCGACCCAAAATTTGCGCAACGACGCTTTCAAGACTGCCTACAGCACAATCTTTTTGGTCCAGACATTGACGATCACCGCATGCGCAACATAACGACATGCGCCGCTCTCGAGATTGTCGCTGCCTTGGCTGGCGCTCAAATCATTCAGCAAAGTGCAGCATCTATGGCTGCTTACATCACTTTCATGACTCTGCCGCACGCCACAAGCCTTGAACGGACAGACTGCGAAGCCAGTCACCTTCTCTGAAGGCCATATCGTGCTGGCGCAGATACTTACTCCATATTCTGCGCATCTGTCTGCTTACCAATGGCCCACAGCAGAGTACTAGAATGATCTGTCACCTCTCAACATCGGTATGTCCCTGCCTCTGCTATGCCCTTTTCTCATCCTTCTTCTCCAGACCGTGCTGCAGTGTTTGCAATCATTATTGGTTCGGCTACTGTGTTGTGGCAGTTCCATCCAACGCGCTGCTTTCTTACTCATGCACGTCGATTTTCTGACAGCTGCCCTGCATATCGTCTAATGGACTCTACCGTTTCGTGTCAGTATTGATTGATCGCAAGGGGCATTCAACTTCCTTTTGCGAACGATGAAGGGGAGCGGTCCACTATAGGAGTCGTCGTCAACTGTGTGGCTGTGAATACCGATTCGTGCAATGATGCGAAGCGACCCGCATCCCTCGTTTGGCGTATACGCCTGTACGGTGCCCATGGCAACACACTTCCCATCCTATCGTTGAGCGTATATTGCACGACTCAGTGCTGTAAATCCAATAGCAATGCGTGAGTTTCGCTAGTTCTGTCAGCTTCACTAAACCGTGTGTCAGCACTTTCGCAACATGCAACGCTGCTTTGCACAGTATTCTCCTTATTGGGTAATCTAGTTGCAGCGGGAAGACATCTGGGGGCCTGAGGATCACTCGCATAGCTCACCACCAGCCACCTCACCCAAGTCTGGGTATTCGCAAGAAATGCTCTTGGTGGATCGCTAAGCACTGTTGCTGCTTACAGCGCTGCTAACGTGGATGCACGACGTGTTCAGGCTAGACAACTGCTCGGCATTCGACAAGAACCGCACCACTCCTCATTTCGTGGTGGATCATATGTTCGGTCGCTATCTGGAAGATCACATATTTCTGATCAGCAACGATCGCCTTAATCGCAATACAGTTCTAACACGCCTTGAGCGATTCACCACAGCTTGGTACTTGGAAACGCTCAGGGGGCGGTCTTGGTCTTGGTAGAAATGAGGAGCAACGCACCGCGCGGAAACAAAAGTCAGCCTCAGTCAAGATCCAATGTTGGTCATTGAAGCCTAAGTCTTTGCCTCCAGGGGCTGTAGGAAGATCTTCGAGTTTGTCGTCCCTTTTGGGGCCTTGAGCTATACCACACCGTACAATGAGGCAGACAAAAAGACAAGGAGGCTCCTGGCGGACGGGCCTTCTGATTACTTCTATCACTATGCCTTGCAAGCTTCCCCGCACTTGTGAAGGTGCTGTGTATGACCAACACGCTGCTTTAGCATTTTGGAATGGATAAGTCCAGGCCAGTATTGCATTCACAGATCAGAATTCTATGAGCTATGTCGGCCCTTCAATTAACATTGGGTCCAGGGGAATCAGCTATGAAAGTTCGCAGTATGGTACTTGCCGATCATGTTTACTCAGCCGCAAAGACTCTCCGTCCCGATTCACATCCTCAGTCTCGCACATCGATACGGCCCGTTCCACTGTATCACAACAGGCATCAATCAATGTGCTCAATACATTCATCATGGTCGATCCTAGGCTTTGGGCACCGGGCTGTCCCTGTCGGATTGGACTACGTCACTTACAACTGGTCACCAACGTGTCGCATGTTTTGAGGCATCGACAAGGTGTTGTATACAGACTGTCAAGTGCCATTTCGGGCTAACATCAGTTTTCTTAATTTTCCAAGAACTCACTCGCGGCGCACAAGAGCGCCGAGTGCCGAGCAAACGAGACAGCGATCGTAAGTTGTGCTCAAGCCAATATCAATACGATGTACGTAAACCCCCCTTATTCACAATTCTCGTGACACATGTAAGATGACTTTGGCGGGGTTGTCAGCAGAAAGACTGAGCCTCCTGACTTTTCGTTCTCGTTTGGCGACACAGCCTCACGATCTTGACCGTTGACCAAGCATGCAGCACAACCGAGCCAATAGGAAAGCGTCCGTTACGATCCCTTATAGAATCTATAACGGCGGACTCGTACCCCAAACACAATTTACTAGCCAAGGATGAATGCCTAGTAAGAGGCAACCTGATCGCTGGGCTGTCTCCAAAAGATTCAAGGCCTCCTGACATCCTCAGCTTCAGGACAACGTGTACACCAGAAGCGAAAGATTACACGGATGCTAAGCGCTAAGACTTTCCCGCCATTCTGGGCCCAGGGACGAAAACACTCGGGATCCGCTCCCTCGTACGCTCGGCGGCCGGACCACCCACTTCTGCTCCGGGCTAAACAGCCCTGACCCGCTTCGTGAACGATTCCGGCTGCCGTAACGCATGTGCTCAAGCAGCCTCACAACTTCAACACCTTACTCTGGGTTTATTGAATCAAGAAATGATCACCAGCCGCGTTCTGGACTCTCTAGATGAATTGATATGTGTCGTGGCACTTGGCTCCAGCCTCTTCGAACTTCAACATGATGTCAATCGCCAGGTGCCAAGATTGACAACTTCAGCAACGACAGACACTCCAGAAATCTGATGCGTGACTGTGCAACCGGTATCGCACAAAAGCCTCATTTCGATCTCGCCGTCCTACGAACTGGAGGGAAAAACCACTCTCTCACTGCGAAGGTCGATGCTCGGAGATATCTAAGGGAATGTCATACAAATACAGAGGATCCACACTGGATCCACTTGACTATTATAAGGCTGAAAAAAAGCTTCATCGAAACAGCAGCGCAGGCTTCTAGAAATATTCCACTCACGTCACAGCGCGCCGGCAGCGCGACGGCGACATCCCCGCATAAAACGTTCGAAGACAACGAAAATTACCTGGACTCGACTATGTGCTTCTGTATGCATGTTTAAAGCACGTTGTTACGGCAGCTATCCGTCGGTCTCGCGTTTGTGAACTTGCGAACACCACGGTGGTACTCAACAACTTGTCTGCTGCTGCTAAGTCCTTACCCGCCCACCAGTGTCGGCCGAACATACTGTTCAGGCAATTTATGACTCCAATGCTCGAATCTTGCGATCGCATTCATGCAAGAAGTATCTTGGTTGCAGGTCCCAAACCCAGTCAAATACCGCTCAGGATGACAAATATGTCGGCGCAATCTTCCACAGGATCTTTTCCGAAATGCAATGTTTTTCGCAACCCACTCTCGTGCGAGACGATGTTGAAGATCGTGGATCGTCCCGTTTCAAGAACTCCACACCCGGATGCGGAACCCCTGCTTTGTGACCGCCTCTCTGGGTTGGACACTTCTTGGGCTACAGTCGCAGCGCTTGACCTCACGCTATACAACTCCAGGATGTTCGAGACCGCTGGCGATGAGCAGGACTACGCGGTCTCCACGATAGACGTTGAGCCTCAGCTTGAACCATGACGTGCGTTGCTTCGAAGTAGCTGGACACTACACTCCGATGAATGCCATACTACCACTCTGGGCAAGTATTTCGCACACCAAGTTACAGACTATGGATAGGGATCGAACCAGATGTCACGAAAATACTCCGTTTCGACAATCACATGCATGTACCTGTGCTGCCGAGTATCCGAAACCACTGCCGATTTTGCCCGGTCGTTCGATGACTTTGCCAATGATTGCGATCCTTCATGCAGCGCACAATGCAAGTGTTCATCGTACTTTACTGTAAAAGGTAGACCATCACTGAACAAGCGAGCACTCTGCTGACTATGGATTTTCCGAGAACACTCGTTCGCCCACCCTTTTTGCTGGACACATACAATGCCTCACTTTTTCTATATATATGTGGGTGAAGATCCTGGACGGTTTCAGGACGCAAATGGCTCACAGGGAGCTTGATCGATGGTAGTGCATGATTGTGCAGCCTTACAATCCTCTTCATCATGCTCAAGATGAGATACGAAGCACTGTCACCACTAAGGGTGTCTAGTCAAGCTTTATCATCCCAGATCGGATCGTGCACATTCTCGCATCCTATGGAACAGCGCCTCTAGCCTCCTGGTTCAGCTGATTAACCCAAGTCGAACAACGCATGGCTGGTAATGCCCACCATCTCATCAATGACCGGTTATGATTCGGACTTTCGATACCACTGAGGTACCTAGGTGCATCAAGATGTCCAACACCCTCGCTCAAACCTGCATATATCAGGTGAGACAATTCTACAAATGCCTCAAACAGGCCACAGCGGAGGTACCAACCTATGGAACGCCTCAACGCAATCTCATATTTCGGTCACAAGTATCAACAGGCTTAGTTTCCTCAGTGCCATCGACAATTGAGTGCGGTATCGTAGATACGCAGCCTTGGGACCCGTTCTGAGATTTGCGCATGTCCCCACTGTAGGATTTGATTGTTGGTCTGGTGGTTTAATTCGAATGTTGCCGAACGTGACTTCCAATATTCTCCACTACTGAAAAACCCCTTCGACATATATTAGACGCAGATCGAGCGATTGGAATCCGGTCGCTATCGAGAACTCAGCTGGGAAGGTTTGTGGCCAGGACAAAGTCGTATCAAAATAGAGCGAAGCTTAGAACGTTGGAAGCTGTGCCTCTGATTTCACAGAATACGATACACTTTCTGACGCTTTGTCTGACGGCCTTGATACCTGGTGCGAGCAAAGCGACTTTGACCTTAACTTGCCCCACTACTACCCGTAGTAGCTGGGCACACGTCGGAGTGCACAGGCTGCCTTGCATAATCATACAACAGCTACTGCACGCCTTCTGAACCCGTTTCAACATCAGCCCCACACCTCGTCGCAAGGCGGCATTCTCAGCAGATGCTCTCGAAGTCAACGCACACACGACTATAGTACCGCCTCGACCAGAACGACATTGGCTATAGAACAACACGTACTTGTGGCAAGAACTTGAAGACACATTACTGCGATATTCAACCTCGATATGCAACAAGACTACAGCTGATCACTTCAGAGTTTGCCAGGCGCACGTTGAGAGTATGAAAGTACATAAAAGAGCGAGTATTGAGACTCAATATTTATCGCAAACATATGCAGCACACACAGAATAATCCGCCGCACGGCGAACCAGATAGCTGCATCTTCCCCCACTCAATCGATCCATTAATGACCTAGGATTTGTAGACGCAACTTACACGCCAAGATTCTCATCCCAACAGTCGATCCACCTTCACTCGACTACACAGCTTTCTATGCAGCAGGAAGATATCTTACACGCTGTTCCCGCCTACCTCTACCGCGCCGTATCATCTTCCTCATCTGTACATCTTACATCAAATGAGTAGCTGTGAGTAAGGATGGCGTCACATCTCCATCCTTAAACGGCGAAAAACGGTGAGGCTGCAAGCAGCCGAATCCTCACTTCCCCAAACTGACAGCTCAACAAATTGCAAGGGGAAAGAGTTGGTCGGAAGTATAGACCGTCTCCGCAGCTTCGCGTAAATTTGGCTTGCCCCTGCCGTTTTGGTGGCGAGCTTCACCGGACGAATCATAAGGGAAGCGCACAACGTGGCCGATGAGTGTCAAAAGGATTGTCGTAAGCGCAACGTCCATACGCGAAGTGCCGAGGGCAAAATTGTTGTGGGATGGACATGTGCAAGGCTGAAATTGCGTATCCGAAGTTCCTCGGTCGCTGAACAACGCTTCGGGCAGCTTTATGCAGCAACAACGATCAGACATAGCAGGTATCGACATATCTGCGCCGCGGATCGACGTATCTTCCCAGATGTAGAGATGTACTGGTAAGCAACCGCCAATCTCATCCTCGAGGCTTGCGCGCATTAACGGCCAACTTATCCCTACATTGCACGGGATCGCTCCTTCCTGCGAATCAACAAACACGTGCTTTCTTTGTAGCAACTGCCGTGCAGCTTCGTCAAGAATCGCATATGCAGCATTGCATTTCATGATGACCGTTAGATGCGATTCAGGCTAATGACGTATCGCAGGGGTTCGCATTTTCTTTCGTCTAGGCCTTGCTTCCCTTACACCGCTGCGAAACCACCGGAAATCGTCACCATCGCTTTCAATTCCAGACGTCTAACGGGAGAGTCCCCGTCCAATCAGCTAGGATGAAGTACGAACACATGCCATCCTCTTCGTTCACGCCGAGGAGCGCTCTTGCAAGGGTGCGGTGGATCTGCACGTGGTTGCAAAGCTTGTTTCTTGGTCACAAAATTGTCGAGATATCAGCAAACAATGGCGAGCGAGCCGGTATCGAGATCAGGCACTATAGCCCGACGCGGGGCGATTGCTTATGACAAATGCCATCGGAATCATCTTAGGTGTCAACCAGTATCTACGCCCCACGACAATGGGGGAGTAAGCTTACCTCAGACACGCTGTCCGTCTCCAAGCCTTGGGCGCTTCTCAGTTGCATGTAAAGTGAAACAACTGTATTTTGAAGATACCGGGTACCAGGTCAATGGACATACATAAGTGAGAAGGTGATGATGGCCGCTGAGAAGAACATCCCAGGCATACACCAAGGCAGTCTCTCATGTAGATCAACAATCTTCTGTGTGATCTAAAACACCCTCGAACATACGGCCGCAAGGCTTACAATGCTCCACGAGAGTAGAGGATCTCAAAGCTTCAGGGCACGGAAAGTTGGGCAATTCTTTTTCCAGCGTGACAGGAGTATCGAGAAGATGCAGGTTCAAGTCCTCGGTCGCCTTCAGAAACGATTGATCAGTACAGCGTGCCCGAGCACCTCGAAAGCCTGCCCAATCCGCATACATTGTATTTTCCCGTGGCGCTGCGGTTGCACCGGTGCCGCCTTGATCGCTTTGCATCATCGTGGTGCACAATCGATGTCCTAGCACAACAGGGTTTCTCAATCGTGTTGCTTCTACAGCCCCATGCTTCAACCTCACGAGGCGCAAACGCGGTTGCGAAGCGGGGCTCATCCGATTGGCATTCTCTATGTCAGCTCGGCTTCATTGCACCTATGTCAACATCTTAAACGTATCAGTTACGACAAACTCGTTCCCCATCTCTTCACACCTCACGTATATCGCTGCAGCCAAGATGGATCCGTTCAGCATTGCTGCAAGCATCATTACAGTCGTACAGCTAAGCGGTAAAGTCAGCAGTCTTTGCTTTGAATTATACACCAGCCTAGGCGCGCGCAGAGAGATTGGATCAGATCGTAGATGAGGTCGATGCTTTGCGTTATGTTCTCCAAACGCTTGCACGCCTCACCGCCAGTGATTCTGATTACGACCAAGCTTGCGCAAGTTCGACACTGCCAAAGCCGCTGGCAGAATGTCAACCTGAGCTCGAATCCCTTGAGGTCGAACTGGAAAAGCTTCGGACTTCAAAGTTTCCTGGAATGGCAATTCCGTGGTGACTCAGGGAGAAGGAACTGGCCTGTAGGCTTGAGCGCATATGTCGTGTCAAGCAGACGCTTCAATTGTCTTTGACAGCCGACCAAACGTAAGATAACTCGAAAAGACCTTAGGAGCTTTCACATATGAGACATGCCAGGGCGTTACTACTGGGCTCACGTGGGGTCGTGCTGTCCCTGCAATCTTCGATGGACAACGTGGCAGCAGGTATCTGTCCCCATTGCGAGCTTGTATGCTGCTGGTTGCTCACGGTCACGAGAGCAGAAACGCCGCTCTTTGGTTGACTGGCTTGGACCGCCTTTCCCATCATCGGTTTTCCATAATGCCCAGAATGTCAGGAGCGCCGACACATGTACCTGGTTCCTGGAGTATGCATGCTTCGCTTCTTACAAGGCAGAGGCGCACTCAACTCTATGGGTCCACGGCATTCCTGGTTGTGGAAAACCATTCTCTGCTCCTCCGCTATTGAAGCGCTGACTCTGCAGTGTAACGGGAACAGTGTTTTCCTACTAGCCTATCACTTCGTCGAATTCATAACATGAGAGGGCAACGCCATCACAGAGTTCATGAAGGTTCCAGAAACCTAGCAACAAGGATTTAGTGGAAGCCTTGCGTAGGGCTCTGGAAGACATTGGAGAAATTTACAGCATTGTCGATGCGCTCGACGAATGCAGTAGTCGCGCTGAGCTTTTACAGGTTCTGCAACGAACTTTGGACTGGAAAATGCCAAATGTACATGTCACGGTGACAAGTCGTAAGGAGAAGGACATGGAAAATGTACTGCGCAACGTGTCTCAGATCGCTATCCAAGGGCAAGCACATCATCGACATATACGCCTATATGTTGAGCAACGAATATTGGATGAGCGCTCGTTAGGGAAATGGCCCGTCAAAGACCATGAGGAGATCGTGTCTGTTCTCGTGGAACAAGCTGGGGATATGTTCCGCATTGCAACTTTACACCTCGACGAGCTGTGAACGTGCAAAAATCTAAAGTCGCTCCAGCGGACATTGCATACATTGCCAACCACTCTGGACGACACGTATGCACGCATCTTGGACAAAATCCCGTCAGAAAATATCCAGGACGTTTTGCGAGTCACTTACCTGGCTTTGCTTTGCGTGACAACCTCCAACCTTGGAAGAACTTGTTGCTGTTTTGGCCCTAGATCTCGACAAGGTTTAGTACGATGAAGCGAAGGAGTAGCAGGACCCAGAGTACACAATTGGCATATGTGGTGGTCTTCTAATGTGCTCTGACAATACCGGTCGCCGCCGGACGATAAGACTCTCACACGCCTCCATGGACTACGTCATGTCCGGCCGACTTGTTCAGCGTAAAGTTCCAGGTTTTACCTTCAATCATCACAGCGCTGAGGTACTCACCTGTCCGATCTGTCTGATATACCTCCACGCACACAGTTGTGACAGCCAGAGAGAGAGGTCCACAATAAGCCGCCGGAGCATCCACTCGTAATGCATGCAACCAATTTCTGGTCTGAGCATCTCCGTGGTACCGGTGACAATCCCAAGCTCCTGGATCTGGCCACAAGGTTACTTACTGATCCTTCTTCGGATCTCATGGAATGGACCTGGGTCTGTTTCGTCCTGCCTTCCAGCGTGCGTACCGAGCAGCTATCTGGAAGTCTTTCGAACTCAGAAGTGGGACAAAGAAAGCTGTTGTATATAGCGACTTTGATCGGCAGTTCTTCACTCATCCACAGGATGGTAGAACGAGGCGCAGACATCAGTGAAACCGGTGGAGATTGCGGTACACCTTTGGCGGCGGCGATCATGAACGCGGACCCAAAGACTGTCAAGCATCTCTTCGAACGAGGTGCGGATGTCAATGTTCAGGGTGGCATGTTTAGTAACGCCCTTCAGATTGCTTGTGCTTTTGGTAACGTGAAAAGCGTCGAGCTGCTACTCGAACATCGAGCAGATCCAAATACATATGGCGGCGAGTTTAGACGGCTCTACTCTGCGGCAAACTATGAGGGACTAAGACCCGAAAAGACCGTCAAACTCCTTTTGGAATCTGGTGCTGACCCTATACTTGCAAAGCACCCTTCGGCTACTCCACTATGTGCAGCAGTAATTACGAGAGATGAGGCAACACGGAAGATCCTGCTTGATGCTGCCGCTAGCGTCGATGATAACTCCCTCATTGTTGCTTTGCTATGGGGACATCTGCATATGGCTAACATACTGACACAAGAGGGTACCTGTCTTGAGCAAGCTAATCACCATATTGGACATCCACTCAATGCCGCTGTGATTGGTGGTGTGGGGGCATTGAAGTTCCTTATGGAGGTCTGGCATGTTGACCCCCATATGGCAGATAATGAAGGTCGAACAGCCCTCCACGTGGAGGTCTACTCGAGAAAGTCAGTTTCTTCTGGATCTCGGACTCCAGACCAATAGGGAGACTGAAAAGGTTGGTCCGCCGTGCACTATGCTGCAATGGCGGACACGCCAGCCAACCTCAAAGTACTTTCTTCCACTATGAACGTCAAGCAGGAAGAATGGACTCCGTTGCATCTCGTTCTTCGGAGAAATTAGCCTGAGGCTCTCGGCTTGCTACTGGAAGCGGGTTTGTACCCATCAACCATCACAACCCAAAATCCTCCTTGGTGCTGGACTTTATTCGATATTGCCGCATCACACCGAAACAGAAATCTTGTATCACCGGAGGGTATTACATTACATGAGTTGCTAGCGCAGAACAAACCAGAAACTGGGCAGGACCAGACCTCTATGCGGAAAACTCTTACTAAACCCACACCGGCTAGTTGCGACGGATGTCAACCTGGCGAGGTAAGTGCTGACGACCCTCCTGTAATATTAAACGCAAGCATATTTACGAGCCTCTGTTCAAATGTAGGGTGTGCGAGGATTTTGACTACTGTTTCATGTGTCTCTCCACTGCAGACAAGACACATGCGCATTCATCGTGGGAGATGAGGGTATTTCCTGATGAACCTCATAAACAAGGACAGTCCGGTGCGTCAGATAAAGCGGAAGTTGCTTTGTCTGTACGGCTAGCTATTATTACGCAAGGTCGTGTATGTTCTGACCATACTGATCAGGTCTTGGACTAGGTGCGTAGAGGGTTGATCGCTAGTTCTATCCTTGATACGAATCATCTCATCTAGACATGCTATCAAACTTTTTCATAGCTTGACCGTACTCCTAGCTCTTATCCTCTCCCCATACTTGATGAACAAGAACGGTATTGGCACCAATGCCAATGACACGAATGCAAGCAGACTATTTCCCCACCCCAGTCCCAACGCAGCGTACATCTTCTGACTACTCAGCGGCACCAATGCAGCCATCAGACTACGAAGGACCGTATTTGCAGCCATTGCGCTCGCGGCGTGTGTCGTAAATACGTCTACCAGATACGTGTTTGCCGGCATGAATGTCATGAGCAGTCCGAAGCCGATGATACCAGTGCCTAGAAGCGGCACCATGTAGTGGGTTTGGAAGTTCGCAGACCAACCATAGATCAGCAGGCCTATGGGCAGGAAGAAGCCACCAATGCACATGATGTGCAGACGCTGCTCGGGCTTGAAGTCTCCACGCTCTATGTGTTTTGAGACAGTTCTGTTGCCGTAGTGTATGTATGCGAATTGGCCAACGAGAGAACCGACACCCAGACCAAGGAACGAGAGACCGGTGATGCCGCCGTGCCAGTGGTATTGGTTTGTGAATACTGCAGTGAAAGTGGTAAAGAGGATGTAGAGGTATGTGTACGTGATAGCGACGTAGAGAGAAATGGCGAAACAGATGGTCGAGCGTGTGAGCATCTTGGCCGGTCGAACGATGGAGAACCTGAATAGCTCCTTTGTGGGTAAGCCGCTGTCCAGCTTGGATTTCAACTTCTCGTTGCCTGTCTCAGCCCGCAACTTCTTCGTCTTACGTTCCAAGATGACGGGAGCAGACGTCTCCCTCATCAGGATGAAAGATATGACAAAGAATGCGCCAGCCTAAGAGAGTTAGCCCAGCAGTCTTGTACGGAAGAAAATAGACATACCACAATAGCGACGAACCAGAAGTTCCATCTCCAGCCTTTCGCGACTGTAAGGAATCCGCCGATGATAGGCCCAACGCAAGGTCCAATAGCTGCGATCGTAAGTATGATAATTGTCATGAACGTGCGATGTTGACTCACTTGGTCCCATCATCCAAACAGCCATAGCTGTGCCTCGGTGTTCGCGAGGGATCAGGTCAGCTATAGTTCCTCCACCCAGGACCATTGGTGCTCCTCCGACAGCTGTATTCACGTCAACGAGTGCCTGCAATGAGTGGGTGAGTATACTTACTGCCCATCAAGAACCTGAATACTATAAACATGCTCATGTTGGTGGAGACAGCAGCCGCAATGGTGAAGATGATGAAGAGCAGATTACAGGAATGATACAAGGGTAGCCGGCCAAACATCTCCGACAAGGGTGCGATGACTGTCACGTTAGCTTTGACTTGGCTTTGAAGATTAACGTCAACGTACTCAGAGGCCCGAAACTGAACCCGAGAACATAGACAGACACCATAAATCCTTCGAGCATATCGTTCGTCGATCCAAAGTCTCGCATGACTTCCGGCACACCAGGTGCAAACATGGAACTTGCGAGCGGTGTAAGGAAGGTGATCGCAGAGATCAACAAGACCATTCCCCACTTCTTCGTGAACCCCCAATTCATAGGGTTCTGAGGATCATCTGGACCGTCGAAGTCCACAATGTTTGGATCTCGCTCTGCTTCCTCATCCGGTTCACCCGCTATCGAGGACGAGACAGGGTTTGCCCCTTTCTCGATGTCTTTCTCTAAAGCCGAAGACTTAACATCCTTCTCATTTGACGGAGAGTGTGGCCGTGTCGACGGGTTGCTGGGTACATGATGGATAGAGCCTAGGTTGCTGGGCATGTCTGCATCGTGGCCCTCCAGAGCAGCAAAGTCGATGATCTCAGCTTTTGTTGGCCGGTGAGGCTGTAGCGAATGTGCCATCGTAGCAGATAATGATAAGTGTTAATGCAGTACTCGTGTAGTCGTTCATGAAAAAGCACGTGTCAAGTAACGATAGTCGAGTGGGTTTGCTGTGGCGTCACAAGGTCTGGCGCAGCCGTCACGACGGCGTACAGTTTCGACCGAATACTCTGCGAAAAGATGTAGTAAGGAAAGAGGAAGGAACGCAGCTGCCAGATGCCATACTAGCATGCAGGAGCAGCGCAACGTTAGTCATAACGAGAGGTGTTTAACCAGCAGCGAAATCATGGGGCAGCTGCCGTATTCCCGCGTTTCGCAGCGAATGGCATCCTTAACTCCGCGCGCACCGTGGTAGGATGCACCAAACGAGCCTGGGGTTGCATGAGCGTGGAGACGGTCTGGAGAAGTTCGTACGAGGTGCAGCGTGGAGTTGAGAGCCGCCTAGCTACGAGCGGTAAGAGTTGTGAAGGTGTTGCGAGCAGAACCTCGGAAAAGCTTGTTGCCCCGCAGCGGCACCACTTCTCTTGCCGCTACTCTTTTCCACAACACCACAATTCACAATTTACAACTGAACGTGTAGACGTTCACAGAAGAGATTTCGAAAGTACTATGCAAGTTTTCGGAGGGTGGGCACGGTAAGCAGCCATGATCATCGTATCCACCGTTCGGCGTTAGCCCCGCGGAATGTACAGTCATCCGTGGTTGCGTAATACAGAGCGTGCTTTAACCCGTTATGATCATCCAGATACAGATACACAACATGTAATACCGAACAAGCAGTCGTAGTATTGAGCCAAACGATACAGTACCCGTGTAGAGATTCTGGTTCTCTCCTTCGAAAAGATGGAAGAAGCGGAATTCTTAGGTGCATCTGTGGCAGGATACAATCATCATGAGCTTTCTTACTATTTCAGCCTGTATACAGATTGGGCAGCGAACAGCACACAAGTTCACACCAGCGCTTCCTAACTGGGGTCTTTAGACGCGTACCTCTAGCTAAGATAACATCACCACCTCCCATCTCTGGGACCGCATGACCGAAGATGAGGTTATCATATCCCACCATTACTTGATAGCCCTGCGTCATATCCACAAACCGCTTGCCACAACCAACAAGATGCTCACTCGCCCATATATCCCTCATAAACGCCGTAAATCCCTTCGCACTCTTCGCATAAAACTCCGCACACCCGTCATACGGCAAGCTCTGCATCGACCCTCCACTCGCCTCGAACAGATCCTTCATTTCATCAACATGCTTCGGTTCTTGGTGGAACTGGACGTACCGCCTGAGATCTACACCTGCGCCAGGCGTTTGCAATGTCAGGTCAGCGTGCACGCTTTTCCAGTGCGGGTGGAAGAAGGCGTCGGTGACGCCGGGTTTTTTGTTGAAGAAAATGAGTGCGCGGAAGTAGGGTTGTTCGTTTAAGCCGGTGCCGAGGGTGAGCTCGTTGAAGTGGTCTGAGAGGAGATAAGTTAGTTGTAATCGCTTGTAGAGTAGCAATGTATTGAACGTATACGAGTGGGTGTAGTGGTTGGGGTAGGGTGCCACTTTAGATGTGTCTGACATTATCGCTTCTTGTGGTCTGTAAGTCTGGAATCTGAATTAAAGGTTGAAGTAATGCAGAAGTCGACAGTGATGAAGCGATCATGAATTTATAGGACAAGTGCTTCTTCACCCCAAGATACGACGAGGCGTGAAGTGGCTTTGCCAGCACTCATCAACACTCGTGTCACTGCGCCGTTTCAATGGCGATTGTCATACTGTGGGTATTTATTATGGCCTGGATATGAATTGTAGATGTCTACAGAAGCTGAACAGGTATAGATATTCCAGGTCTAAGACGGATCAGGACATCCCAGGAGAGTGATATGTATGCGCCTCCTCTGAGCATGCCGGATGTTCTTCCTCGCCAATGTAACTGGCTGCTCTGAGAAGTCTTGCACGGCATGGAAGCATCTACCGAGTAATGATTACTGTAAATGTTTCCTTTGGTGTGGTATCTGACAACAAAGTACGACCGAGGTAGGACCACTCATGAGTTGACGGCTTGAAGGTTGTTTGATCAAACTCATTGCGTGGCTTACTCGAGCCTGTCCTCTGAGGGCGTGGAAGTATGTTTTCGGGCGCATCAACTGCCTATCTGCGGACTGCGTTGCTCGCATTCAACGGTCTACATCTAATTGCGAGTTCTGAGCTTGCGGGACGTACTCTGAGACGGCTTCATGTATGGGCTTTACCTTCTTTACTCTTGATCTTATCCCTCGAGAAACTTCGAAATTGCAAATCAAGTCTCTGCGTAGAACAACAGTTGTGAGGTGCAAGGGAAGCATAAGAAAACATCGCAGCCAGACGGGAGCAGATTCGCGTTCAGGTAGTAAATTATGATACTGCGAAAGATAGATTCGAGATGAGCGGCAATAGCGCTCAAGATGAAAGCAAAAAATTGTTCTGTATCAGTGATTGTGTGAGCGCGGCCTCGCACTTCAGGAGTGGTCGAGAAAGGTGGGCCATTGTACGTCACATACTTCCTGCCAAACCTCTTTCGTACTAGCCAACCCTGACTCCTGCACGTGCAGCGCGACGGCGATCAAACCAACGCTTGAAGTCACACAGCAAAAGCGCGCAATCATCGAACTTATAATCCGACATTCGTTCCATCGACACGACGATAGGCATCACGTCATCGATACACCCTTTTCCTAAGGCGCAAAGAGATAAATACAGAGATCCAACCTGCGCAAACGCACCAGAACGCCCAGCCGACATGATGTAACAAACAGACAGACAGATCAACACCCCTTAGTAGTACCATGGCCTATACCGTCCCGCCGGAGATCCAGACATAGAGAGAGAAAAGGGGATATCACGTTACAGGCTCACATGCTTAGACGCTTTGAAATGCTCCGGAAGAAGAATCATCCAGGTCTGTGCGTGAGAGCCAGTTAGAGAAGAATCAACAGCGAAGAAAAGATGCGAATGGAACCGCTCATGCCTTCTTCGGTGTGGCCTTCTTGGGAGTGGCCTTCTTGGGCGCGCCCCTCTTCTTTGGGGCGGCCTTGGATGTAGCGGTCTCAGGCGCCTTAGTCTTGGTGACACGTCCGGACTTTGTCTTTCCGAGGACACGTGTGACTTCCTTCTCAACAGCAGGGGCAGGGCCGGTGGCGGCGGCGGTTGCGGACTTGCGAGGCTTGCTGGCGTTGGCCTTGGGCTTAGCGGCGGCGGCAGTCTTCTTGGTGGTAGTAGCCTTCGCGGGTGTGGCCTTCTTGGTGATGGGAGCCTTCTTTGTGGTGATGGTCTTTGCCTTCTGGTCACTGTGTTAGCAATTGAAGCATCGTGGGAAACAGGAACGACCAACAGTGGCGGTAGCCTTAGCCTTGGGGGCAGCCTTGGCCTTGGTAGCAGTCTTAGCCTTGGTGGCAGCAGGCTTCTTCTCCTTCTTCTCCTCCTTAGGCTCGGTCTTCTTAGCGGCGGCGGGCTTAGCCTCCTTCTTTGCGAGCTTCACGGTACCAGAAGCACCTGTGTGACGCGTCAGTACAAGCTCTGGATACTAATGGTTATGTGTGCCAGCGTATCGAATCGGACGCGTCGACTCGAACATCGAGTCTTGGAGGCAGGCGGCGCAGCACTTACCCTTAGGACGCGAGAACTCGCCCTTCTCCTCACCAGAGGTGATGGCACGGTTGACGTGACTCTTGAAGGCAGCATCGGTAAGGTTGTCGACCTTGTTGTTGGCCTTGATGTACTTTTGAATAGCTTGACGGCTGTTGAGGTTTGGTCAGCGCGAGCTCTCAAGCGTAGAAAGATGAAAGCATGACGTGACGCGTGGAGAGCATCAACAGCTTTCAATGGAGCGACTAACCTGGATCCATTGCGTTCCTTCAACTAAGAGGTGCGAAGAGCATGTTAGCAAAACTGTTCTCGAGTCCATGAGGTGTTTAGAAGCTTTGTTGTTTGCGCCCGAGTCGGCGCGTTGGCGTCGCACGCCCAGGTGCGGGGGTCATGATGCGCCGGAGAGTGTAGACTTACGTTGATGATAGCATCCTTGACCATATCTGTTGGAAACGGTCAGTAAAGGTCTGCGAACACGATGGAACCAACGCGCTTGCGCTGCGACAGCGTGGCGTGGAGGGATCAGGCAACATACCGATGTAGGAGCCATGGTTCGCGCTGGCAGCGGCGGCCTTCTTGGGGGCAGTGGTGGTGGACTTCTTAAGAGGCATTTTGGTAGTAATTGTAAGTCGTGATAGGCGCGTATCTGATGCTTCTAACGAGTGGGCAAACGTCAAAATCGAATGGGTGGATATTGTTGTGGAAGCGTCGAAAGTCACTGGGGTGGGAGCACCGCGCGCCCCGAAGCGGGGGGGAGCTACTTATCTGACGGCTGCAACCGAGCAGGTGCATCCAGATCAACTTTTGCGCGACACAATCGTCCATTCCTATTTAGGAAGGATTTTGGTATTCGATGTCCTTTTCTGATCTGGAGAAGACAAAGGGCGCGCTCTCACTGGGTGATACGCGTTGGTACCAGACGAGTTCTATCAGGGTGTTCTGAGTCTGCCGCTCGCTTTCCGTCCCATTGACCTCGTGCTTCATCCCAATTCATGATTCCCTCCTCATCCTTGACGCTTCGAGTGTTGTCCCTGATCTCCCTCGCCTATCGAGAATTAGGCAGACGCTACACGGTCGCTTAGATGTCTTCAAGTGTATCTAGTCCATGTAGTGACTCGACATCGCTGCCTGTTCATGAAGCTTCACAAGATTTTGATCTTACGCGTCTGCATGGGAGCAGACGTTGCGCTCTGTACATCTTTGACACCTGAATACGATCAATTGATGCTTTGCCTTTACTATCGAGTTCTTTGATGTCTACCTCAGTGTTCTCGGCTTAGAGTCAATCGTGACTCGAGATCATTGCTGTTGTTTTGATTCCTCACGCGTCGCTACTCGCGTTGTTTCGCTTCAACCTCGACACACGCGCCTTGGGTTTCGATCGTGATCCCCATAGCAGAGACAGTGAGCGGCTTTGGCATATGCTGGCGGCATCATCGCCGTCGTTCGCTCTTTGTTGACAGCCATCGTCCTCTCGAGCAATGCGCTTTCGTTCATGACGTGCTGCGCGTCAGCTGAGCTGTTGATCACGCGCGCACAGCTGAAGTTCGAGTCCACGCTCGTGCCTGCCTTTTGGATTTCACCAAGCAGCAACTTCATTTTGTTGTTCGTTGCTGGTGCAGAGCTCTCTCTCAAGCTCATCCGTCTTCGTTTGCTCCTCTCCTTATGTAACAAGGTACGGCACGCCTTTCGCGGACTAGCTACGCTACTTAGCACGTCTGGTACCTGTCACGTATCGAAGAAGGTCAACCGCCACACGTTTCTACCTTCGCGCCCCTGGAAGAGCTCTGAAAGGGACGGCAAATACTATTTTGGCACTGACTAGTTTCAACCACAGACTCGGTACAATCGCCTACCCACAAACACCTTTTGGGGCCGCGTCACGCAAACCTCCGGCGCTGATACAGGAACCCTCAAGACTTATCATCTTGCAGGCCTTATAAGAGACGCTTGCTGACTGGCTGTCTATCATGCGGCTGGAGATACGACCTTTTTCCTTCCACGGGACGGCACGGGACGGTGCATGCATAGTTGCATCATCATCTCCTGCAGTATCGTGATGTATGAACATGCTGAGCTGATTTATGATTACGAATTCACCATTCAAAAGCCTGGCCTTTGCTCAGATAAGTTGGCACAGTATTATCGTTCGATCAACGGAAGGACCTACGCCAGCCAGCTGCCATATATGTAACACAATCGCGGAGTAAGATAGTCTGCAGAGGAACCGCAAAACTGGATCCGAATACTCAGCGATCCCGGACGGTGTACCACGAATGTGGCTTGGAGTGGTCCTGGCAATGTGAGAAGAAGGCATTGTCGTCATAAAAGCCTCGGCCTTCGATGTGGGGTGTCATAATGCAAACAGGACACTTGTGAGTAGAATGAGAACGCTCATGATGCTTTGCTTTCTGCAGTTCCCAATGACTGGAGTTTCTCCTACCGGCCACCAAGATGCCACTAATCATGGAAGATGAGCGTGAGTCTACTGGATTGGTAAGCGTGTGCACAAGGCTAACATCACAGTCACAACAAACGAGACTCTGACGTCCATGCTTGAACCAAAGCCACGCCAAGGGTTGGAAAGATACTTCGTAAGTTGGGGCACTCCTTTGAATAAGTCCATGCTTATAGCCTGCAGTTCGGTCCTCGGGATACTGCCAGACATTCAAAATGGCCACATGCTCTGCGTATGCACGGTAGCGTCACTCCAAAGATCCTCTTACGAGTGACTGCCGTAGGTGCTTGGGCTGCCTTAATCAGTGTGTCATCCGGGGAGGTCTACCTAAGTATGTTAAGGTTATGTAGAATAAGGAGTTACAAGCTTATCCTCGCCAGTCAACGTACATCCCATCGTTACAACACGGCTTGGTATACTTGTCGGGTTGGCACTCAAAGTTCGCAGTTCATCCGCATACAATCGCTACACGGAGGGAAGAAAATGCTGGAGCAAGCTCATCGGTATTTCAACAAGCCTCGCACGCAACATATGGATCCATGTCGAAGAGCAGGAAGGCGACATGGAGAAGCAAGACCTCCTTGCCAAAGTCACATCCTTGAACATGATAATCGCTTTCGCCGTAGCCTTCAAGCACAGAATCCGATTCGAGCCCTACATCCAGCATTCAGACCTATACAACCTGGTCATCCACATGGACACGCTCGCTAAATCCGCAGGGACACCGACCGTACAAGAGAAGAAGCCAGGGTTCTAGAGAAGCATCTTCAACGTGCTGCACGTCACAGAAGAAAACCCTCGTGCAGAACTGAAACGCGCAACACGTCCCTTCGGCAACCCTCCCCTTGGAAATCCTATAACACATGTACGCCTTCATCACAACGCCGCAAACGGCGGTATACTCAGAACAGGAAGCATGGAATCCAAGATTCTCGACAGTCTGCGCGCCCTCGACTACATCCTCATCACATCAGACCACATCTTGAACACGCCCTTGCCCATCGCCACATCTCAGATCACGTGACTCTTTTTGTCGTCTGTCTGCCATTCCAACTTGTCCACTTGATGGGCTCCACAAGCATCCCCCGTGATCGTGCTCTCTGTATACATAATACTGGAGTTCTCCGCGATCGGAAACGGGATTGAAAATCCCTTTGGTCTCGAAGTCAACGATCTGCCTCTGGAAATCTACTGCGCGCAAATTGCTTCCGAGATAGCCATCATCTCCGCATAACTATCGCCCAAGTTGAACGACTGTACGCCTTTTCTCCTTCCTTCTCAACTCACAAAACGATCTACGTGCTAACAAAACCAGGCGTAACACACACCGGCAACAACCCCCACTACCGAGTCAGCACCTTACCCGCGCACTTCTGGCCCAGCGCTTCTATGGACGATATTCGCCGTGCGCTGAAGGATAGGACATTTGGGACCAAAACGGCGATGGTGAGGAAGCAGAGCGTTGTTGAGAAAGATCGGCGGAGTTCTATTGGTACGGTGACGACGCTTAATGAGGACGAGAACCCGGAGAGGGGGTTGAGTGCTTATGAGTTTTGGTGAGAGGAGAGGGGGGGGGGGGATGAGGATGCTGAGTGAGTTTGATGACTGTAGTGGGAAAGGACAAATGTGGAGCAAGTCGATTGATTTGAAGAGTTGCTGTCAAGATGTCACATGCGCCCGAGTTCGATCTCTTCCGATCCAGCGACTGCCCTTGTCTTCTTCCAACATCTACAATTTGGATAGTGCTGCGCCACCGGTACAGCTGCTATGAGCGTGCCAACAGCAACGAACCACTGCCTGCAGTGAACGCATCGCCCATTGCTTGAGCATGGATGGTCCAATACACAGCGAAAACAGCACTGCTCATGATGATAAGAAACATGAAGGCTATGATTGGGTACAGTAGCATGGCCTTGCGCCGAGATTACTGCGTCTAGCGGATGATCTCGCCGGGTCTGTGAATGGTTGAGCTGCCAGTGCTGATTAGGTAACAGGTGAAGGCGGTGCTGTCAACAGCTTTGGTGATGCCGTGATTGTGCTTCAGCGCGTTCCTGTACCTATTAGCGTTTGAATGCAAGGAAATTTGATTACGTACTAGATTGATGACACTCGTCAATATTGCGGAAGCCAAGTCTATCTGGTATCAGTTGAGGTATGGCTGGTGGCTTGGGTTGTATCACGCCTACCGTAATTGAGTCGTAAGTCAGGAGTACGCTGCGTTACTCCAGTACTACTTAGTATCAGCCAAATTTCTGGGGCTCGAAAGTGAGAACCCACAAGTCCACGGTTGCTTGGTGAATCAGGGACACGGTAAGAGAAAGTACGGCTTCTTGAAAGGTCTATACTCGTTCCAGGTAGCTCGATGTGATAGCTCTTGCAAGAGAATGTGTGCGGACCACTGCACTCGAACATGAACGGCGGCGGGGCTGTGATGAAATTACAGCGTTGACTTCCCTCAGCGGGGATGGAATCTAGAGAACCGCCTATTCCAAAGGTCTGATGTTCGGGTGTTGGCGATACATTGCTGTGACGATGGAAAGCTGAAGAACGCTGCATGTAACGGGGCTGTGTCAGTCGGTCAGCATCCATGGTGGCACAAGAAGCCGTACAATTCGCAAGCGGCAGACGCACGAAAACCAACTCATGGGCGCGTTTTGAATTGTCTTCGGCTGAACGTGAACTATATGAATTGTAGTCAACGCAAATCACGCGTTGATCTGGTATCATGAAGAATGTGTCCATGCCAAAAACATGACCCTAAGTACCAACTTGAAAGCAACCGTCTTTACACCGAACACCACCCAATGACTAACATTACTCATACCCATTCGTCAACAGCAGACTACACCGATCATGCGCGTGCAGTGATGTAGTCCTTGTTCTCGATCGTTACACTCTTCGTCTGCGGCGCTGTTAGTGTTTACTTCATCGCTCCACCGAAAGATCTGACTTACCATATGATTGACCTTATACACACCCACCAACCGACTCGCCAACTCGAACATGTTGTTCCGCAGCGAGATAACAATGAACTGCGCATTCTTTGTCCTTTCCTTGATATAGCTTGCCACAATACTCACGTTCCTGAAATCCAACGCTGCATCAATCTCATCCATGACATACAGCGGCGTAGGCTTGTAGTGATGCAGCGCAAACACCAGGGCGAGGGACGACAGCGTCTTCTCACCACCAGACAGATTGCTAATGTTCTTCCAGCTCTTCTTGGGCGGCATGACAGAGAAGAGAATGCCTTCGGAGAAAGGGTCGAGAGAGTCGACGAGTTCGAGCTCGGCGTTACCGCCCATGGTGATCATCTGGTACATCTCTTTGAGGCGCGCGGTGATGATGCTGAAGCCGTCCATGAAACCTTCGAGACGCAGGCGGCGCAATTCGTCGCAGCGCTTCTTTGCATCGTCGCGGGAGTTGACTGCTTCGGCGAGGTCGGACGAGCGGGCGGCGTGTTCTTCGACGCGCTTGCGGTACTCAGTGAGGACGGCGAGGTCGACGTTTGTGCTCTCGTTCTTCTTTTCGAGCGTCGCAATCTCGTCCTTGAGTTCGTGCTTGTCCAAGTCTTGCAGCTCGTCTTTGCTGAAGGTGGGCAGACCTTCGCCAGTCTCTTGCTCCTCCCCGAGATCTGTAACATTCTGGTAGGTGAGCTTGCTTAGCTTGTCCTGGAAGTAGGTCTGCTTCTTCTGGAAGTCGTGCAGCTGTTTCTGGCTCTCCTCGAGCTTATTGCGCATTTCAATTTCGATGGCACGAGTTTCATTAAGTTCGGCGGTCTTCTCGTCAAGCTCCTTCTTGACAGCTTGAAGATCTTCCTTGGTAGACTCGAGGGACTTTGAACTGGTTAGTATAGCTATGGACAGGTTTGTGATGACTGTGCTTACCTCCTGAGCTTCCTCAGCTTGTTGACGGACACCCGACGCATCGCGCTGATGAGACTCCATATCCTCTTCCACTTTCTCTAAATCGACAGCAAGTTTCTCAAGGTCGCGAACTGCATCATTGTGTGACTTCTCATGCTTGGTGCATTGCTTCTCCTCTTTCGACTTCGAAACTTCGGCGTTTGAAGCTTGCTCAGTGAGTGTGTCGATCTGCTGCTTTAGGTCATCAACCTTGGCCTTCTGAAGGCGGAGCTTGACACCACCAATCTCCATGATCTTCTCTTGCAGCGCCTTGATCTCGGCCTCGACATCCTCCGTCTCAGCATGCAGTTTTGAGATCTCCTTTTCCATGGACGCAATGCTCTTCTCTAGAGAGGACACACGCCCCTTGTCAGTTTTGGTTGCAGCCTTCTCAGCACCCAGCTCCTGAATACGACGCTGACCATCGGCAATGTTGCGGTCGAAGCTCTCCAGCTCGAGCGCAATCTTCTGGGCCTTCGTGTCAAGTTCAGGCAATTGCTGGTTCAGGCTTCGCAACGTGCTCTCAAGCTCCTGCTGCTCTTGCTGGAACTCGGCGAAAGTTTGCTCGAGTGTATCCCTATCTTGTTCGAGTTTCGACACCTGATCTCTCGAGACATCGGACGCAAGCTTGGACGACATTTTGCCCTTGACGACGCGGCTTCCACCACCACTCATCGTACCAGCGGTATCGATCAGCTTGCCATCTAAAGTGACAACACGCCATCGCTTCGCGCCGTAGGCAATCCGCTCTGCTTGGTCGAGATCCTCGGCAACGAGAGTGTTCTGGAGGACGTGGAAGAAAGCGGGCCTCAGCAGGTCGTGCTTGGGCTTGACGAGATCGAAGAGCCGAGGGACGTTCTCTGGCGTATCGACAGTCGACATGTCCCGCTTGGCGAGGCGATCGAGCAGGATGAAATTGGCGCGGCCAAGGTTGTTCTTGCGGAGATGTTCAATGCACTGTTGACCAGACTCGACTGTGTCCACGACCATGTTGTCCAACTGTGGGCAAGCGGTAGAGATCGCGACGTCGTACTTCTGGTTGATCGTGCCTAAGTTGCCCAGGCGGCCGTGAAACCCATCAATACGTCCGGACTCCTTCAAGCGCATCAGACCTGTTAAGACGTTGCCTTGCGTCTGGTTGGCAGAGAAGTTCGAGCGGGCTTCATCAGCCTTTGCGCGTGCGCCTGACAGCTTCGAGCGCAGAGGAGCTTCCTTCTGCGACAACTCTTCGATCTGGGCTTGAATACTCTGCAACTTCTTCGCAATCTGCTTCTTCTCGACCTTACACTCTTGAAGTTCAGCTGCCTTGCTTTCTTTCGCTTCTTGCAAAGCTTCAATCTTCGCCTCGACTTCAGCGATGCCCTTGGCTCCAGCGTTCTCCCTCTCGCGAAGAATGTCGAGCTCGCTCTGTGCAACAGCCATGGCAGACTGCTTCTCGTTGATTTTGGCGCTCCATGGCTCCAGGGACTTCTGCTTCGCTGCGATCTCATCAGATAGGCCTTGCGTCTTCCCGGCAAGACTTAGACGGACGCGTTCGAGCTCCTTCTCCTCGACCTTCATGCTTTGCTCCAACTCCTCAATCTCTTCGGCATATCGCTCCAGATCCGCAGCATACTGCTTCGCCAGAGTCTCTGCCTCGGAGCGGCTGTAGCTGCTCATCTCTTTCGTCTTCTCCAGCTTCTTCTGCTTTCCAGCCAAGAATTTCCTCTTCTCTTCGAACTTGACGGCTTCCTTGTCGATGCGCCCGACCTCTTTCTGAGATTCTTGGTGTCGCTTTTCAAGCTGCTCGTATGCCTTAACTCCTTTTTTGTACTGTCGTTCGAGCTCTTTGATCCCTTTTTCGTTACCCTGGTGCTTCTGCAACTCCTCATCAAGCTGAGCCTGCATCTGACCGACCGACTCCTGTGTGACCTCAATGTGGTCATCGAATTCGGAGATGTAGAGCTGAAAGAGCGTGGACTGCTTGGTAGCAAGCTCGTTTTCGTCCCTGATGTAAGCGAGAGCCTTGTTCTTCTTCTCTTCGAGCGCGCCCTTCTCCTTTTCAACGTGCTGTACACGATTGTTCTTCTCCATGCAGGTCTCGTTGAGCGTCTCAACTTCAGCAGCAGACTCTTCGATGGGGGTCTTGTACTTTGAAGTGCCGATGATGTCCTCCAAATACTCGAGAAGGCCGTCGTCGTGCTCGGTCAGGGCTTTCGGCTTCATCTGCGCGATTGATTCGACTTCACCTTGCAAAATCAAGAAACGCTTGTGGTCCAGGTCCACACCCTTTCCCTTCAGATACTTCGTGACATCGGTGAAACTGGACTCTTTCTTGTTCATGTAGTACTTGCTGGAGTTGTTCTTGAACGCTCGTCGCGAGATGACCAATTGCGAATCAGGAATAACTTCGGCTACGCCACTGGGGGTGTCCATGACTTCCTGGAAGTGGACCTCAACTTCGCAGTAGTCGAGGTCTGGATGTTGGGCCGAGTTGTGGATAAGTGCTGAAATCTTGCCTTGTCGCATTTTGCTGGCACGGAAACCGAAGACAAACAGCAATGAGTCGATGACATTGGACTTTCCCGAACCGTTCGGTCCAACCACAGACGAGAATGAAGAGTGGAAAGGGCCAACTTCTTGTCGCCCAGCGTAACTCTTGAAATTTGTCAACACCAGCCATGTGATAACTGTGCGCTGCTTCGGTGGAGCTGGTTCTTGTGACAGCGGCGCTGCTGCTGCTCGCCTCTTGGCAACAATGTCCATTGGCCTATCCAGCACTGTATGATTTGCGTTGACCTTCTCGACCATCCGTGGCGTTGGCGGCGGTTGTGATGGGGCTGTCGCATCGGGAATCTCTGATGGCTTTAGTGTTGCCTCTGGTGTTTTGGCCTTAGCTGCTGGCTCAGCCACGACTGTTTCCTCCTCTACAGTGCTTTGTATGGTGGTGTCTTCTGTGGGCTCTGACTTGACCACAACTTCGATTCTCTGTCGCTTCACAGCAGTACCGATTCTGGGCGTCGCCTCCTCAGCTTCTGATGTTTGTGCGGCTCTGGGCGTTCGATCTCCCGCTTCGCTAGGTTCGACATCGGGAGCAGGGGTAGCAGACGTTTCCTTGACCTCATACTCAGATTCTACTGCTGGTAAAGGCTTAGATTCTGGTTCGGTATTCGAGAGGTCTGTTGTAAGGGATTGCCCACCTTCTTCTATATTGTCTTTCTCGACTGACACTTGCGGCTTCCGCCCGCGCTTCTTAGGCACAGTCTTTGCGGGCGCAGCTGGTCGAGGGCTGCTTTCGGGAGGCGTCTCTGTCTGCGACGGTTCAACGGCCTCAGTCGCGCGTTTGGGCCGCCCTCTGGGTTTTGGTGCTGTTGTCTTGGTCGTCTTGGGCGCTACGCTCTCGGCTACCGGCGCTGCGCTCTTCCTTGGGCGCCCGCGCCCTCTGCCGGTTTTCAGTGGTGTCGGTGCTGGTGTGACTTCCTCTTCCTCCTCGTCTTCCTCCTCTTCCCTAGTCTCTGAGGTAGGTGTTCTGTTCTCATCGTTGTCGGACTCGTCGACAACGGGCGCTTTGCGGCGCGTCGCGCGCGTGGACTGCCGGGGAGCCGCCGGAGCCATTTTCGCGTCTTCTGTGAGTTAGTGAGTGTCGAGATGACCGTCTGGTGGGTGAGTTTGCTCCACACTTGCCCGAGCCTGTGTTTACGGCGCACAGACCAACACAACACGCTAGCACGTGTCGCGCCTTCCCTGCCCCACCTCGCATTCGACTTCATCAAGGAAAGTAGTTCTTGCTGAGGGATGGCGAACGTTTCTTGCACCGCTGTGATCTGCACTGTCTCATTTGTACGGGTCTCGCAGCTGTTCACGTCGTGGGTGCTACGAAATTGTCAAGGTGTCTTTGTAGCATCCCTCGAGATACACTAACAATAGACGTCGTAGCAAAACCGTCGCTTCTCATCATCCATCCAATCTTCTGCATCCCGGTTTCTTCAGTTTACAAGGAGAAAAGTCCTTTGTATTTCTTCTCTCAATTGAACACCAAGGCCCTGCGAGTTGAGCCTTATGCAGGTCGATATTTCTCGAAAGAGCAGGTGCAGCCGCTTTCCCACTTCAACCCCACACGTCCCAAGAATCTCATCACTCCATCTCTCCAACAGTCCTCCGAACAAGCTCACCGTCTTCATAACTTTCCAACATGTGCACTCTCCAGAAATTCAAGTTAGTCTTTTTCGTCCCACCCAGCGCCCTCCAAGCCTGCAAGACCGCCGTCTTCGCCGCAGGCGCTGGCCGCTTCCCAGGTTCTGGCGGCTATACTGAATGCTGTTTCACATCCAAGGGCACAGGGCAGTTCAGACCGGGTGATGCTGCCAACCCGCATGTACGTTACCGCTTGGGCATACTCGCGTCGTAGTATTGGAGTAGTGCTGATGCTATGTAGATAGGCAAGGTTGGTACACTGGAGGAAGTCGAAGAATATCGAGTGGAGGCCATCTGTCTTGGCAGAGATACTGCAGTCGAAGCAGTGGCTGCATTGAGGAAGTAAGTCGCGATGATTCGACTTGGCAGACATTATTGCTGATGAGCGGGATAGGGCACACCCGTATGAAGAGCCGGCATATGAAGTATACAAGATGGAGGACATGTGAGTTCGTCGTCCTCTGTATTACTCTGGAGACTACGCCAAGACCTACTGTGACGACCGGGCCCTCAGAAGCCCCGCTGAGGGCGCGGAACAAAGAAGAGAAGACACGTTGTACAAGTCCATGCCGACAGCATCCAAGGCCGTAACACTGATTCCCAAACATCCATATCTGACCCTGGAGGTATTCCATCCATCTTTCCTATATTGCACTGTCCCAAAACCTCTTCCAAGCCTTCAAAATGCCCTTCACTATGTCCTCACCACTTCTTCTTCCTTGGTGTAATGAAGCGTCCATTGACATCGAAGATCACCTTCTTCTGCGCATCGCTCCTATGCTCAGGAGACGGTGGAGGAGGCGGTGCATCCTTGAGAGCGTCGTCATCACCCATGACATACTCGGCCTCATCGGATGTAGTCGTGCAAGCGTGGCACATGCTTCTGCTGGCGAAGTTCCAGAGCTCGCGCTCTCCACAGTACCAGTCTCCCTTATACTTACCCATCATGTTGTGGTAGCGCTTGCCATCGTCTTCTTGCACGCAGAGAACGTCGTCTTTCCAGCTGCGCCTGCCTTTGCAGTCTCTGTCGGTGTCTTTGTCTCGCGTGCGGCACTTCTCGTGGTACAGCTTGTTCCAGTGCTCGCAGTGCTTGTATTTCCAGTCGTCTACACAAGGTTTGCACTCGGGCTTCTTGGCAGCAGCGGAGCCACTTGGAGCTGATAACGTCTTTGGGGTGCTTCGGTCCTGAAGTAGGCGGTGGAGCCTGGAGGGAGTCGGCCGACTTCTGACTTGAGGTCTTCTTCTCCTGTGGTACTTTGGCGGCGACATTCGTGTTCGCGCGACCCTTCTGCTTGGCTTCGGGCACCTGAGCAGGTGGACGCGGAGGGAGAGGATGCTTCGTGTGGGCTGTTGTCGGTGCCGGCACTACATCTCGATGAGCAACTACGATCTCCGTGCCATCTACAACCACCTTGTTACTGAATCATCGTCCGAGCTGGCAGCATTGACAACCTCCACGCTGCCCTCAACGACACTTTGCTCGGTCGTGCCTGCAGTCATAGCTTTGCCAGTATCGATGCGGTATTCGCGCTCTTCCAGGACTTCAAGCACATGCGTCTTCTTCACATGAAAGGAGATCAGCTACCCAGACAATGACATCGCGCTTGCGCGGATCTTCCTGGATCACCGGCTGGAACTGCTCGTACAGCTCGCGGCAATACGGTATGAGCTCGTCAGACAGGGAGATACCGTGACCCTCCATGACTTTGGGATCATTGGGTGGCGACATGTGTTGACCGTGAAAAAAAAAAGAAGGAAAGCGAAAGAAGGACGGGGAAGAAAGTCACAACGTGGCTGAATCAGGGGGTAAGAGGTTGAACTGGAGGCAGTCAGCAGACTTCCAACCACTAGAACTACACTCATGGAGGTATTGATAGGCGTAATGGAGGACACTATATGTGCACAGGTCATGTACGGCCCTACCTTATCGGCGATTTAAATATCATTCGACATACTGCACCAAAAACTTTGCTTGTCGGCTACTACGCAGCCGTAGCTCTTCTGCAGTCAGCCCCTGACAGTCTGGGGAAGGAGGCTTTTTGCTCAACGCAGGACTACTGGATGCAGCTGACGAAGAGGACTTCGCACTCGAGAATCGGGGTACAAAGGAGGCAACCACAACATGCCTTACCTACCAGATAAAGAAGTTTCCGCTGAAAAGCTCAAGCATCCTGAAGGGAGCAGTATAGATCTATCCTACATGAATCTAATCTAGTATCTGTACACCCGAGATTGGTTATACAATGCAAACCCTGTCCCAATGCCACTCATACCCACACAAAGCATGTACAAGCAGTATCGCTCAACCAAGATATCATACACATATCTTATCCTACAAAGTCCTCTTCTGCTGCGTCTCCTCGTAGCACTGAATCTTATCCCCGATCTTGAAATCCTCCCACCCAGCAAACGAGATACCGCACTCTGTATCCTTGCGCATGGATTCAACATCCTTCTTCTGGTTCTTGATATTGTCAATGGTACCTGCATCACATTAGCAGACACTCACAACCCAAAACCAGAGTGAGAAACTTACCATCGTGAATAATGGTATCATTACGGAGAACACGGGCTTTGCTGCCACGTTCGACGACGCCGTTGCGCACCTTCGAGCCCGCGACCTTCATCTTCTTCTTCCCGCCCAGCCCGATCTCGAAAACCGCTGCGATCTCGACTTCGCCAGTGACCTTCTGGATAATGCTCGGCGCGAGTTTCTCGCTCAGCAGATCCTTGACCATCTCCACGGTGCGGTAGATGATATTGCTATCGAAGATTCTGACGACCTTCTCTTCCGCGAGCTTGGACACATGCGCGGGAATCGTAGTATTGAAGTTCACGATGTGGCCTTGTGCGTCGGCGGCATGCTGGATGTCGAATTCTGAGGGCGGACCGACGCCGTGCCGTAAGATGCGGGTGCTGACTTCGGCGTTGCCGAGCGCGGAGATGGAGTCAATAATTGCTTCGACGGAGCCCGAGACGTCGCCTTTGATGATGAAGGATACGACTTCGGGACTCTTGTCTTTGATTTCCTCAGTTGGAGCTTCACCACCTTCAATTGCTTGTTTTGCTGCCTCGGCTTCCCGACGCTCGGCTTCTTCACGGCGCGCGACGTTGATGGCTTCCATGTCCTTGGCCATTTGCTCACGCTCGAGCTTCTCGGTGCGGAGCTGCGAGACAGAGGTTGCTTGTTGCTCGTCGCCGGCTTGCAGGACTTCGTCGCCGGCAATGGGCTGGTCGCGCCAGCCGTCGACTTCGACGGCAATACCGGGGCCGGCTTCTTTGACCATCACGCCAGCTCCGTTGCGGAGACTGCGGACGCGTGTCCATGTTGTGCCTGCGACGAGGGCTGTGCCTTGACGAAGAGTGCCGCTGCGGACGAGCACGGTGGCTACTCGACCGGATTTTTTGGTTGTGCCTTCGAGGACGGTGCCTTCGACGTTGGCTTGGGGATCTGCGCGGTGGTCGAGCAGTTCGGATAGTGTCGAAATCGCTTCTTCCAAATCGGGAATACCCTGTCCAGTCTTGCCACTGACGGGTATGGCCTGAACGTCTCCACCGAAGTCTTCAACTTCGATACCGTGACGGCCGAGATCCAGCTTGACGGCGTCGGGGTCGGCTTGCTGCTTGTCCATCTTGTTGATCGCAACAATGATGGGCACCTTCGCCGCTTGAGCATGCTTGATGGCTTCAACTGTCTGTGGCATGACTGAGTCATCGGCTGCAACCACCAAGACTACAATATCCGTAACGTTGGCACCACGGGCGCGCATCGTCTCGAAAGCTGAGTGGCCAGGTGTATCAAGGAATGTGATCTGCTTGCCGTTGGCCAGAGGTACGCTGAAGGCACCGATGTGCTGGGTGATACCACCAAATTCGCCAGCTGCCACGCTTGTCGAGCGCATGTAGTCAAGAATCGTAGTTTTCCCGTGATCAACGTGGCCCATGATAGTGACAACGGGCGGTCTTACAGGTAGCTCAGCATACTCCTCTGGTGTGATCTCAGGAGCAGCGTAGAGATCACCATCCTCATGCTCGCCCAGGAAGGTAGGCTCGAAGTTGTACTCTTGGGCAATGAGGCCTGCATGCTCGGCGTTGAGAACCTGGGTAGCCTGCACATCCTCGAAACCAAGCTCTTCCAACTTCGTGACGAAATCCTCCACTCTCAGCCTCAGCATTCCAGCCAAGTTTGCCACGCTGATGTACTCAGGCAAAGTGATAGGTGTTGGTTCAGCCTTCTCCAATCGCGCTGCCTTCTTCGCCTCCTTGCGCAGACGCTTCTGCTCTTTCTTGTTGATGAAACGATCCTCAATGTCATCCTCCTCTGCGTCTCGCATCACGCGTCTGCTGTTTCGGCCGCCAGCTCTACGGCGCTCGGGCTCTTCGTAGCGATTGCGCACCTCCGTAGGCTCGTCGTCTATCTCAAATCGTCTTCGTCGTCGCTCTTTTTCAACATCACGGCGTTTGTTGTCCCACTCTTCTTCAGCCTGATAGCTCTGGGGTTCCACTTCCAGCTTAGACGCTCTCTTGCTCACCCACTCGTTTGCAGCATCTGCCAAAGATTCAGGTGTGGCCTGCGCTGGCTGGTACGTCGTTGTTCGATTGGATTGTGGTGGTTGATATGTCGTTGTCCCACCTGTTGTGGATCGCTGGGCGTTCGGTCGTTCACGGAACGTAGGCTTGTTCGGGCAAGCAGCGCTCATGTGATCTGGTGAACCGCAGTTGAAGCATTTCCGTTGTGCGTTGGAGTTCCTTGCGAGCGGTTGGTATGGCCTTGAGGATCGGGTTTGACTGGTGTTATTGCCCAACAACTTGTCCAGTTCGGACTGATCCAACTTGCCCCTGCTCGGTGTCGCACGTACGGGCGGCCTCCTGTGTTGATCTTGAAATGCTTGCGCAAGCTCAAATTGAGGTTCGTTTCTCCTCCTCAGATGCCCCGAACCAAAGGACGGCGTGTCGAACTGTGGCTTTGAGTCCATGTTCACCCTAAAGCGATCCCGTTGCGCTGGTCTTGAGTCGAAACGGCCATCGTTGCCTACTCTCCGAGCCATAGGTGCAGACCTGTTCTGATCTCGGCCCATCCCATCGAATAAGCCACCCCGGTTGGGTGCACGTCTGTCCTGCTGCGGTTGCCGTTGCGCTGGGCTTTGTGACCTTGGAGACTCTTGGGCACCCAGTGTGGCTCTCGCCCTCTGCGCAGGCGACATGTAGCCGCCCTGAGGAGATTGTAAGGCTGCAGGTGCTGCTGTCGACGATGCCAGTAGGGCTTTTCGCATCCTCTCTGCCTGGGTGAGTGGCCGTGCAGGTGCATCGTCGCTTTTGAAGAGTTGTGCTTCGGCTTGAGACACTCTACTTGATGAGTTCAGGTATCTTCGTTGTGTCGATGTCGTAGGAAGGGGCGCATTCGCAGTTGCCAATTGTCGAGTGGCGCAGAAGATGCAGATGTCGCGGGTCGAAGAGACCTATCAAATCAGTAAACTAGTCATGATCGTTTGATGGGGATGCAGCATACCCGGAGTCCCTGTGCGCGGCGCATGATGGCGATAGTACAGTTCAATGGACGATGCTGTCGTGAGCTTTCGTCCAGAAGTTTTGACATCAACCATGTCTCCGTAGCTAGCGGTCAGCACCCCTGTCGACCTCCGTCTCCGCCCGCAATTAGCGCGACAAAGACCACCACTCACGCGCAAGATGATGCGCGACTGCAATACATCAATCAGGGCGACCTTGGGGTTCAGATCTCGGGTTCATGTTCAATGGTGGGTTATCGAGCGTCGCCTGTTATTTTCTCATGCCAGCTCGCGAGCAATTGCTACAGTCTGTCTGAGCATGGAAGACGCTGCTGTTACCAGTCTGTGCCTTGTGGTTCAATGATGCACTCCACCATGTTCAAAAACCTGAGACACGACGACGGCATCATTCCTCTTATCGAGCTATCGTCAGCGGGCAGCTCAGGTATATATACATCGGTCTATGGCATCTGACCGCCCCAGATGATGTGTAGATACAGTGGTTGCTGTTGCCATAGTCGGTCACTTGGTTGGATGCTGATGTGCGAAGATACTCGAAAGCGCTTCCATTGTTCATAAGGTTACTGGTGATCGTGTAAAAAAGTCTGAACAGATTGGAAGTATATCCTTTAGTGTTTGAAGAGGCCATGATAGGCGAAATCACTATGCAGTTGGCAAAGGAAATGTCAGCAGGTAGCTGTGGGAGGATACAAGTTCACATGTTTGAACAACTCCAGAAGATGTCAATTCACTGCTTTGCAAACATTGGCGCCAAACCTGATTCCATCGCAGGATGTCTGTCTCTTCTACCTCAACGTATGCCTACAGGATTGGATGCATTTTTAAATAGCTAGATTTCGACAATGTTGGAGCTGGACCTATGATGCTTGGGCGTTGGCACACGCTGTACTTGAGCCGCCGGTAGATGCTACAAGTCGTCGAACAGGAGTTCGGTCTGACCGACAACCGCTGCTGACGTATGATACGCAGATCAAGTTGTTCGACATCTGTTCCAGTACGCGGTCAAAACTTTATCTTGCGAACTAAAGGACTGCAATCTCAAGTGACATTCCAGTTGCGTAGGAATGCAAAGGAAGTCTCTAGCGCCAACAGACGAGAAGTCGTCTTGCAGCAGCCCGAGATTCGGTACGACGCGGATATTGGACGCCTCGCTGGCGGACGTCTCGTATTAGTCCAACGCTTTCTCTGCAATCGACGAGGAGAACTTATGGGAGGCTTAAAGACCGGCTAGTGCGCCGCCACAGATGATCATCGAATGAACATCGGTTCATGCCAGAGCCGGTGCTGTTCTCCGCGTCGACGTATCACAAGCTGCTGCGTCGAGTATTGATCTCTTGGAGCTGGCCGTTCCTCGCCAGGAACGCTGCAGGTGGAGCCAATATACCGGCGCATTAACATGGCAAGTCTACGGCGTGGTTCCGAATTGGTCAAGGTGCGTCCGCTGAATGACAGGAGCAGGGATGGTGACGGTCCCCTGAAAGGCGCAAGCGAAGAAACGAGAGGGGCTGATTCGCCGCATTTGATGCAAGTTACCATCGTCGCGTTTCATGAGGGTGTGCGGCAGATGGTCGAGCAGAAGGGTGGAATCTATGCGAGAACCGGATGCAGGAGCAGACCGGCAGCTGCAACTCAGGCTTGACTTGGCCGCAATGCCTTCCAAGATGGATTGACTCGCAGCGTACGGTCCTTAAGTCAGGGTAGGCAGGGATGTCCACAGAATTAGTGTGAGCAACTGCACGTCGTCCTGAAAAGTTGATAGTCCGACCGGGACCATTGCCAGTCAGCATCTCAGCATCTCCCAAATACTCGACCGTTGGACGCGCTGTCACCGCGCTGTATCTCACTCTTCTTCTTGCTCTCCCATTTTAATCTGCAGGTTGCGGCGCCTAAACTGGCTCTGCTGCGAGAAAGCATAAGTGCAGCGTTAGCCTCCACGCGCGGCTTTTTTTTTGGCCTTACCGGGCTGCAGCTTGGAGTTACAACGCCGACTGTTAGAGAACCCCCTGAGCGCCTCCTCGTCCCTGACCCGCGTCCCCGCATCGACCAGCGCGCGGACCACTCAGGCCGCTGTTTCTGCTTTATATCATGCGAGCAGACTATTCTGCATTGTGGTATTGAAGGCCGGCTGCCGCTGCTGGCGACGAGTAACGGCCCACGAGTGACGGCGCGAGCTTCTTGCGCGACCACCCGCAATTGAAGCTACACCACCCGCTGCACCTGCGCGTGCCATCGTCTACCACGAGGACCGACGACAGTTGCTTGCATTCTGCCGTCTTGGTGCTGCGCGACTGCCCCGGAGGATGCTCCAGCGCCCCAGCCAGGGAGACTACTCGACGCAGACATTCCATCTGTGAACCACCAGCCTCCATGCCAGGCTTCGCGCACGACGACGACCGGCCGACCACTCCCACGGGTCCGTCCAGGACACACAGGGCAAACGGGACCATGCGCGCACTCAACACGAACCCGCCGAGACAGGAAACCTTCTTCGACGATGCGACGCCCGTGGACAATGCAAGAGACTCGAGGGCCGAATCAGAGCCAGACCAGCTGCGCGACTCCCACGACCTCTCTTTCGCCGAGGGAGCTACTGCACGGGACTCGGTGGTCGACAACATGCTGCTTTCACTAGACCAATTCTCGACAGGGAACATGTTTGGCGGCGCATCATCGAGCGGCAGGCGTGAAGACGATTCCTTCTTCATCACAGACAACTCATACAGACCACCAGGGAATCGCAATCGAGGGCACACGTACACGACGTCTGGCTCCTCTGACTACGACCTACACGTCGACGAATCGACGCCTCGATTCCCATCCCACTCGCGCGCACGAAGAAGCAACAGCAGCAACAACGTTGCCTCGCCCACGAACAGGAATGGAAGCGCACGAGACCCTTATGCACGGCGACAAGCAAACGGTGCATACGGGCAGTATCAGCAGACAGCACATATGAGAGGCGGCGCCAACAAGGGCAGTAAGAGCAGCGGCTCGTCGAGCATGGATTTTGGGCAGACTGGCATATTGGGCACACATCGTTTGGGTTTTGGAAAGCGTTCTGCCAGCTTCGATCACAGCAACAGATCTGGTATGCCCTCTGTGAACAACGATTCCGTCTTAGATAGGGGGAGAACTGCCTATATGAACTACGACCAGGACTACGACGCTGCTCCTGAACCTACCATCCCCGCAGGGCCCAGGAGACAGCAGCCACCATCGCAGTCGACTGTTGCACAATCTCCTCTGCAGCCAGCATATGCACCTCCTATGGCTCCTGTACCTCGTCGCAGGGGTAGTGTCCATTCGAACACGAGTTACAGAACCTTGAGGAAAGGTAAGAGTCAGCTCGAGCCAAGCATGAGAGCTCAGGCGCAGGAATTTGTCAATGCTAGCACGTTGCGTGACCTACCATCCGTACCAGTATTCCAGGAATCAACGGCGCCAGCTCCAACCGTGGGAACGCGAAAGTCACTTTTTGGATCCCAAGACCCTGCTCCTGCACCTAAAGAAAGGCCGGGCTTCTTCAGGCGAGTGTTCGGCGGAAGCTCTTCAAAAGTTCAAGCACAGCCAACGGTTTCTTCTCATGCCTCAAATACGGCACCTATGGAGCCTTTGGCCTCCTCTCAACTGCGACCTGCTGAGATCGATTCGATATACTCTAATAACCGACCGCGAACAACACCTAGTAATAATGCGCACATCGCTAATCAGCGAAAATCCTTACCCAAGATGCCACAGACTGCTGTAGCGCATTCAAACGAGATGCAGCCACCCGCACCACCTGTTTTGGCCAAAAAACCCTCGTCCTTCTTCAGGAGGCGCAAGAAGTCCATTTCGGAAACCACGAAGCCTCCAATAATGTCTCTTGAATTTGCACCTCCCTCGAAGCCGTTCATTGCTGCACAGCCGAGCCCAAGTGTCAGCAGTTTACGCCAGGTTATGAACCCGTATCTGGTTGAGTCTCCAGTTACAGGTGAGAAATTTTACGATACTCGCGAGCATCAACGAATTGGAGGCGAGAAGAATGGTGAGCGTCCCCAAGGATTCTCGCCTGGCTACAAACCTCATAAAGATGCAACAGTGCGCACCGTGAAACAAAGTCCTCGAGATGGCTCACCTCCTCCGTCGTCTCGCAGCGAACAAGTGAAGAGCTCAGAGTTACAAAGCACAAGCAGCCCCAAACTGAAGCTTAAGGTAAAGCATGGAAAACCAGCACCAGCTGTGGTGATACCGCAGGAAGATACCTTCCTTGCAGACAGTAGCAGCTGCAACGAAGACCGAAGTGGACGCGCGACCCCCGTACACGAACCCAGTGACGCGGTTGGAATGCGGAAGTTCAGTCCTGGCCCCACCTCTTCGTCACTCAACCAAACTGCGACGGAAGGAACGAGCGAACCCAAAGCACGCGGAGAACCCCAGACTGGACTACTGACACCTAGCGCGAGGGTGACGTCTGGCAGCGGGTCTGCTTCGCAACCAGCATCAGCAGCTGAAGAAGAAGGCTGGGTCGTTACACAGGACGAAAAGAAAGCAAGAGGCCGGAGCCCGAGTGCAAGACGCGTTTGGCTCGATACCACAGTGGCCGAAGAGTCGCCTGTTGACGGTGCTGACAGCCTGCAGCTGCCTTTGGAAGGCGCACGCTCATCCCCGCAACCTCAGGAGCAGTCAGTACCTGTCACACCAGACGTGACCTCACCTTCATCACCAAACGATGTGTTCCATTCTGCGACAAGCCTGCCTATAGTTCATATCGAGACCCGCGATTCAGACACGACCATGCCTTCCATCGTCGAGGACCGCTCAACGCATCCTGAACCCACCGATGCCGACAGAGAGCGTGCATTGAGGATCTTCAATGGAAACGAGTCAGCTCTGCAAAAGTCGCAAGCTGCTGCTCTCCTTGGTGATGTCACCCTCAGCAGTGCGCGCACCCGCAAAGCGTTCATGGACCTCTTCGACTGGACTGGTTTCACTATCCTTGCTGCGATGCGTGACATGTGTGGCAAGCTCGTACTGAAGGCTGAGACTCAGCAGGTCGATCGCATTCTGATGAGTCTTTCAGAGCGATGGTGCGAGTGCAACCCCAATCATGGGTTCAAGGAAGTCGGTGTGTAGTCAAATCACCTGTGCAGAGAAGATACACTAACACTAGATTAGACGTTGTTCACACTATCTGCTACTCGATTCTGCTGCTTAACACGGATCTGCACGTAGCTGATATCGAGACCAGGATGACCCGCAGCCAGTTCGTAAGGAACACTCTGCCAACCGTAACTCGAGTCTGCCAAGATGCGATCAAGGCAGACGAGACATTGCGGCCTAAATCAACTCATTTCCGCAGGGGCTCCCTCCCATGGAACGAGAAGTCAGAACCAACAACTCCCAGTGGCGAGCAGACAACCTTCCCTGCAGATGTGACCGAGGAGACAGCAGAAGGCAAGCGAGCACGAAGCCGACTGTCAGTCAAACCACCTATCAGAAGCGGCTCGGAGGGCATATTGTCTTTTGACTCTGTCGCATCTGAGTCGAACACCCTTATCAACACACCGTATAAAGGCCCAATGAAGGGGTGGGAATTCCAGATCGAGACAGTGCTCAAGGAGTTCTACGAGTCGATTCGCAAACAACGCCTACCTCTCCATGGAGCCTCCGACTTGACTGTTCACCACCAGTCTTCATCCAATAACCTCTCGGTGGCCGGCATGCTGCGTCGCACGCCCAGTGTTTTGAGTAAAGCGCCTTCAGATACGACTAGCTACCGTGGGCGTCCGCAAGCCGACTTCCGCAGCGTAGGAGCTCGTTGGGCCTCGAAGAACCGTTCCAAGCAGAGGCTGTATCCTGCATCAACAGTGGCATCCAGCCGCACCAGCCTGGACGACACGTCGGTTTGGACCCCTGCAGGGTCAAGTACCTGGAGCCGCTACTCGTATGGCAAGACGGGCACATCCATGTCAGTGGACTCGCTTGGCTCGCACTTTGCTGCTGGCGACTACCAGCAGGCTATCGGTTTCGCCAATGCCCTCAGCCAAGCCATCATCCGCGAAGAAGGCATGACGATTGCTAGTGACGAAGACTTTGCTCGCGCAGCACCACTCCTCGAAGACGAGTCCCTTGAGCTTGTCGGTGCGCCTTGGGCCAAGGAAGGTATCTTGAAACATAAGCATCACCTAGAAACAGTCGACAGGAAGGCTAAAGACCGAAACTGGAGCGAGAACTTTGCTGTCATTGAGAAGGGCTACATGCGTCTGTTCTCTTTCAGCATGAACTCAAAGTCTGCGCGGATGAAGAGCAAGGCCAAGCCAGCTGCTGGTGGCATCGTTGGTGGCGGCAACTGGATGGACAACGCCGAAGTTCTGGAAGCTTTCCCGTTGCGACAGACTATCGCCAGTGCTCTACCACCCCCAGGCTATTCTAAGACAAGGCCTCATGTATGGGCACTGTCGCTTCCAACGGGCGCTGTTCACCTCTTCCAAGTCGGCACACCTGACATCGTCCGCGAGTTCGTATCTACCGCCAACTACTGGTCTGCCAGGCTATCAAAAGAACCTCTCACTGGCGGTGTAAGTAGCATGGAATATGGTTGGGGTGAGAACGTGATCAACCCAGCCTTGATTCGACAGGACAGCACCCCTTCGATTCAGGGCCACATGCCTCGTCCTAGCGTGGCAAGTTCTCTTCGTAGTTCGATGGACCACGCGACAGGCGCACCAAGGGCTAGGCTCCCTGGCGATAAGGTTGTTCTTTTTGATTGGAGTCCACCGACTGCGAGCATGATGGCTAGCAATCTGATGGAAGTTGATCAACTGAGAGCTCTTACCGACTACATCAAAAATATTGAAGGAGAGCTGGCGCATCACAACGAATTGAGGGCGCCTCTGCTCATCACTGTAAATACCGTCCGCTCATATCTTACGATCTTTGACTGACTCGACCACCAGTTCTCTCCACGGCACCCCAATGCCGCGAAAGCAATGGCCAACTGGGAGCGCAAGTCGCAGTATCTTCTCAAGGAGATTGTCAAGTTTCGCACATACATCGACACATTGACTCTTGCACAGAATCAGAAAGAGAGGATTTACGCCGAGCGGGAGGCCAACGGAGAAGCGCGTCTGGCAACGAACGATGGTGCAGCCGGGTGCTCACCGTCAGACGAAGTTGATGGTGCGAAAGAAGCCCCGAAAGCTTCCGAGCCCATCAACGCCTAATCTTTCCTACATTTATCTACGCTTGTTGTTTTGCATATACTGACGAATCTCTTCATGTACTGTTCAGGCCTTACACCTCTTCGACGAACGATGCGGCGTTTACGATTGCTTCATTCATCTAAAGTTACGCTGAGAGAGCGTCCTCACTCGATAGCTTGATGCTCTATATCCTTGTAATATCCCCTTCTTACTTCCATTCTGCATCTTGCATGGTCACGACATTACTATCTTTCTGGTGTCGAAAGAAAAGTTACGAAGCATCATGTATACGTATTGTTCACCTGGAGCGGTTTGGGACTACAATCCGGAGGATCCATTTTACCTTGATATGGGTGGAAGACGCCGTATTTGGTGGAAGCATTTGGTAGATTCTTGAGATGGTAAAGACTCAGACATCATATACCCCCCCCCCCCCGCTTTACTCAATTCACCGCTTTACTCAATTCACCGCTTTCCTCAATTCACCGCTTTACCCCAGATCGTCCTTGCATTGCATCTTCAGCTCGACGTGCCTTGACGTCAGTTCAGCCTCTAATTCGAGCCGCATGAACTTGGCTTCAGCTTCTGTCACCCTACACGCTGCTGCTCGTCATACGTGCCCACTGATGAGGCGGAGCAAAGTCCATGTGCGAGATAAGCTACAACGTTGGATTAACGGTCCATCCACTCGTGTGGGTGAACTACTGATCACTGCTCATGCTCAGCTCAAGTGCAACCAAGCGGGCACCTTCCCAGCCTCACCGTAGCTTAGGTACCGATGTGACACGCCTTACAACGCTCGCAACGCTCTAAACGCTCTAACGCTCTGAAGAGGCTATGCAAGCATGCAATTGTCACAAGTCCATGACGCCTGGCAGCAGCCAACCGACCCCTCTGCCGTCGCCAAGCTACAGTAGCTCCCAATTGATCTCAGCTCGCGCTTTCATAAGCACGCTTTGGTGCCGTATACTGGCGCCTTGCAGTCGCAGCAGCACCGTAAATGGTCGGATCTCGTCCAATGACAACGAAAGGCTCGGTGAGGCCGTTGGCAAGCATACAGCCTACACGAGTCATAATCTTCCATGCTGGCGCTACAGCTCTCTGCGCAAGCCACAGTCTCGCGTGCGTGCTGGTCGCTCCCAAGAGTCCGGTCTGGACTGCTCTAGCGCCAACGCGCCAGACCTCAGCTCGTCCGCATTCCTTACCCCTGCCTAGTCCTTTCTGCACCGAGATGTCAGCAAGAGAGGCTGTCTAGATGAATGTGGCAGCAGCAGCGATTGGAATGGATCAATTGGGCAGCTTGAGCTGCAGGCTGACGGAAGTGATGCTCTGCAGCGACAATCCCGTGGTGTTGCTGGCCTTGTGATCTTCAGTAGCCGCAGAAAATACTCAATGAAGATGGCATGCTGGGGCGGATCAGCTCGATGCGGATGCGAGGTTCCTGGCCTCCGGGCCGTGGGGGAGACGGGGGTGAAGGCAAGGACGAGGGCCCTGGACACAGAAAAGAGGTTTCCAGCGCGTGGTATTGATTGTCTATAGGGCACAAACAGAGATCGAGAGACTAGATTTGCTGCTGCTTAGTCCGTACGGATGCTTACCGCAATTTTGTCTGATGGTTTGCGTGGGAGGCGACCCTTGGACCCTGTGGTGCCAGATCCGGATGCGGTGATCATAAGGAGACCCTTGGGCTCGGGCTGCCCGTTCGCGTAGCCCTGTGTGCATGTAACGATGGCATGCTGCTCCCGCCCTTCCACAGCCACGCGAGGCTTGACGAGAGACAAACTTGGCACGGTAATACTCTGTGCAGCTTCACGCAGGCAGGGCTGACGAATGAGCATGAGAATTGGGTGAGCGTTAGGGCACGGTGATACAGTCTTGCAGAAGCAGTGCTGTGAAAGACACGTAGGTTTAGTGGACATGATGGATGCAGACCTTCAAGTCTGGAGAAGACACGAAGGTCAAGAGACGGGATATCGATGTTTAGAGACAAGAGCGTTTGAGAAACAACAGCGGCAGTGTCCTGTGCCCGCCGTGGACGTGGCTCGACTCGACATGGGTAGAAGATTTCGGTGCATCTGGATGGGCAGAAGAAATGGTCGGTTATCTCCACGAGGACTTTCGGTATAGGACGCGTCTTTTTGCGCTAGTCAGTCGCAGAGCTGCACAGCAGTGGGTTCATGGCGTCTTTAAGCAGTTGCTTATTATCCGCGAACCCGCACCTCATGCCCCTGATTCCTCAGTCTCTGCAGCTCACCATCTTATTTTATACCAGTCCCCAGGCACGTCGTGAGTGATCGACACTCACCCTTCCTACCGCGTGCAAAGTGATCCACAGGCCCAAAGCGGGGACTCGCTAGCCGGACAGCCGTTCGTGTGTTGTCATCCATCTCTCAGCCCTAGCATCCGTCTCACCCAACAACCCCGCCGACGCTGCACGAATCTTTCGACCACATCGTCACACTCAGCCGCACGCCAGTCCACTTCACGACCTGACGTCTGTTATCATCTGAATCTTCCCCGGATCTGCACGCGCAATTCCTCCTTGGGAACGTCTGAAAGAGCTACACCTTAGGCATCGCTGGCTAAGAGCTACCTCGGTCCTTCACTCCGGCCCACGCGCCCAACCACCTACCTAGTTTCGACATACACGCACATCCACCGCCATGTCAGGATTCCCAGGACAGCAGTACCACAACAGCTACGGCCCGCCGCCCCAGCAGCAGTACTATGGCGGGCCACCACAGCAAGGATATGGAACGCCACAGCAGGGCTACGGAGCGCCGTGAGTGATGAAGGATGGGCGGAAGTCGTGGATGGGAAGCTGACGGGATGTAGGCCACCACAGCAGGGTTACGGACAGCCACAGTACAACGGCGGCTATCAATCAACACCTCCTCCACAGCAGTATGGGTACCAGCAGGTCAGTCTTTGAGCTGTGGTCGAGTAAGCAACGAGCTGACCTGGAATAGCCACCTCAACAGGGATACGGCCAATACGGCCAACAGGTCCCCCAACAAGGACCTCCCTCACACCAGCAGCGTCCCGGCATGATGCCCACAGCGACGAGCAACCAGTGGACACACGGCAACCACCAAGCGCCACCGCCACCACCCACCGGTGCACAGAACTTCGGCCACGGTGCGCCCAACGGCTACTCCTTCAAGTACTCGGCGTGCAACGGGCGACGGAAAGCGCTGCTGATCGGTATCAACTATTTTGGCCAGCGAGGGCAGCTTCGCGGTTGCATCAACGATGTCAAGAACATGAGCACGTACCTGAACGAGTTCTTTGGGTACAAGAGGGAGGATATGGTGACGCTCACAGACGATCAGCAGAACCCCATGAGCCAGCCTACAAAAGCGAATATTCTCAGGGCGATGCATTGGCTGGTCAAGGACGCGAGGCCGAACGATTCGCTGTTCTTCCACTACTCAGGTAGGTCATCCTTCTCCCTAGACGGAATAGTTGGAGTGCAGGTGACTAACGCCCACCAGGCCACGGCGGCCAAACCAAAGACCTCGACGGCGACGAAGACGACGGCTACGACGAAGTAATCTACCCCGTCGACTTCCGCACTGCCGGCCACATCGTCGACGACGAGATGCACCGCATCATGGTGTCCACCCTCCAGCCCGGCGTCCGCCTAACCGCCATCTTCGACTCGTGCCACTCCGGCTCCGCTCTCGACCTACCATACATCTACAGCACCCAAGGTGTGCTCAAGGAGCCCAACCTGGCGAAGGAGGCTGGCCAGGGCCTGCTCGGTATCGTTTCGTCTTACGCGAGGAACGACATCGGCGGCATGCTATCCACCGCGTCCTCGCTCTTCAAAAAAGTAACACAAGGCGACGACGTGTACAAGAAGAACCTGCGCACCAAGACATCCCCGGCAGACGTGATCATGTGGTCCGGCTCCAAAGACCAACAAACCTCCGCCGACGCAAGTATCGGGGGCGAGGCCACGGGCGCCATGAGCTGGGCGTTCATCACCGCGTTGAGGAAGAATCCGAATCAGAGCTATGTCCAGCTGCTGAATAGTATACGCGATGAGCTCGAGGGCAAGTATCAGCAGAAACCCCAGCTGAGCTGTAGTCATCCGTTGAGTAAGTTTCCCACCGCTCCGCCCCAGATATTACCCTCCCAGACTTGTACGTCCAGTTTGCTGATTTGAGGCAGACACGGATCTTTTGTATGTGATGTAGAGTCTGGAGAGGGAAAAGTAACGCTTGATGGTTGAGAGGTTGCGTTTGGCGTATGTGGTTGGGTTTTGTAGATATCTTTGGGTACTATGTGGCAACGCAACTGGCGTTCTGAGGCAGTTTCATCTGGGTCACATTGGTGGCGAGATTGGTGCATTGGTCACCAGAGCAAGGACAAAATGCATCTACTATTATCAAAATGCATCTACTATTATCATCATCCAGTCAGGTCCAACAATATACTGCTGTGATCATCATGTTCAAATTCTATGTTTCATGTGCCTATGTAGGTCTTATGCCCGCCCAGTCGCTATAACGCCATGATAAACAAAGTCCTCAAACCAATCTCGAGTCACATTCAGTCTCGATGATGCTCAAATACAATCTCGCAACCATGATACGCATACCATTTGTTTAGGCGCCCCTTCCCCTCGCTCCTAGGCCTTGTATGCTCGCAGTCCTGTCCCTTTCGCTGACACTATTCCTTCTCCCGGAAGTGCCTGCGATACCAGATACGCTCTCACTCCGTGAGCTATCCATGCTAGTCCGCATGCTACTCGAACTCGACCGCCTCCGTGCGCGGCGCGCCTCATCAGGATCATGAGGATGCAGCCCACTCGCTCGCGCGAACACATTCAGGATGTCTGTCAGGCTGATCACGCCACTGAGCCTGCCAGACAGGCTTGCACCGGGAATCGCGCTCGCAGAGATAGCGGGCGCCACTGTGCCTGTTCCTGCTAGGTGTGTTGGCGCAGCCGTGTTGACAGGTGCAGGGCCGGACAGGGACACTGGGAGAGGCGTGATTGGCGACGGAGGGACGAGGACAGTGGGCTGGATCGCGGGAGTCGAAGCTCCTGAAGAGGCAGGCGAGGGTGTGTCGACGACCCACATGCGATGGGAGCGGGTTGCGACGAGTTTTGCAACGGTGTGGGCGAGTGTGCTGAAGGGGTTTACGTGGAAGACGGGGAAGGAGTCTTTGCCGTCGTTTACGCCACGCTCGGAAAGGATGACGGATATGAAATGAATGCAAGACGAGCGGAGAAGAGGAAGGGAGGTAGACTTCGTGAGGAGCTATGACGATTGATTAGTGACGAAGAGACACGGTGTGGAGAGAAGTGTACGTACTCGGACATCGACCTGTGAGATATTGCCGATGACGTTGTTCTGTACGTCGAGGACTGGTATGGATGATACCCCTTCGTTGTGCATGAGCTCGAGAGCTGTTGCCAGGGGCTTGTCGCCGCTACTTTTCGTCAGTTGTGTCCTGTCCATCCAGTAACTCGGTGCTCACTTGATAGCTAAAACCTGCTTCTGCCCTATGCTCAAATCCTTGAGTAGCTGCGGATACAGCTGGTCTACCACAGGGATACTTGCCCTGTTCTCCCAGAAGAATGAAACCAACCTCAGTTGTGTCAGCACACCAACGATATCTGAGGTGCCCTCTTTCGCAACGAGCACCCTATGCACGCCGCTACCGAACACCTCCATTGCCTTAGTCAGATCTGCTGTGTGAGACAGTGTGATCAGCGGCTCCTTCTTTCCCAGGTCCTTTACATCTTTGAGTGGGATAGGCTTGCCCTCTCGTCCCTTCTTTGCCAGCCCGTCGAACGAAGCCACATCTTGCTCTTCAGGGTGTGCGAGGCCGACTACGAGGAGGAGATATGCGTTCAGATCGCTGTAGTCGAAGGTGCCGATTGCGTGGCGTGTGCTTGCGTTTTCGCGGAGCAGGACCACGTTGGGTGCGCCAGACCTGACGAGTAGCTGTGCTTGTCAGCGGTGCTCTGGTTGGTCTTAGACTGTGGCTCATACGCTTGTAGCATCCTCTACGCTGGTGTCATATTCGACAAACCGTACCAGCGATGGGTCTACGATCTCTCCCAGTCGAATAGTCTTCCAGTCGCGTCCATGGAATTTTGGGTCTCCTGACTTGGTGGGCGGGTTGTTGATCAGGTCTTGGAAAGCCTGCTGCGAAAGAGAGGGCTGTCGTGAGGCGCGTGGCGAGCCAGGACCTCCGCGCATCTGCTCTGCGAAGCTCCCACGGTGCGTGTGCGGGCTTGGGCTGGATCCCATTGCGAGACCTGGGGGCGGCGAGCGGCCGAGCGAGGCTATGGAGCTGCTGAGAGACTGGAGTGGAGAGGGGACGTGACCGTCCCTCTTCTTGTTGGGCGTTTCCAAAGATTCCGCCATTGCGGTGGGAAGGTGCGCTGCTGAGTGCGGGGTGTGACGGGATGGAATGCGCGCTGCGTGCAACGGGTGCGGCTCGTTCGATGCTGCCTACTGCAGTCTGATATAAAGATACGTGTATGTCAAGTTAAGCAAGGAGCAATCAATAGAGCAAAATGCCTCCTTGATCGCGTCGAGAGGTATGCAGTGCTGTGGTGTGGGGGAGCTTAGCTCATGCGGCTGCCCAGAGAGTCACCTCCACCTTGGGCGCAAGCTGCAGCCTTGCCTTCATCTGATTCGCCGTATCCTGTGACCGAATCTTGACGATCTACGGCACGGGAACTCAGTTGCTGCTTCTCGCAGGGCCTCAAAAGCACAGCCTTGCGGGGAGTTTGGGGAAGTGGCGATCGTGACGCGTTGGGCCCTTATCCAATGCGCTCATGGCGCATTTGATGTCATCGTCGTTGGCTTGTTCGAAACATCTCAAGCGGCACCAGCCAATCGCTTATCGAGCCCTATGCCGTTAGTCCAGCGGTCGCTGTCAGGTGAAGGTTCCCCGGGTTCGACTCTCTGATCAAATTCAAGGCAGAGTATGGGGTTCGACGAAAACTTGTCCTGCTCAAAGTGTTCGAATCAATTCTCGACAAACATCCCAGCTAGCCGTTTTGACTGATAAGTGAAGCTGCTTGAAGGGCTTCCTGGAGAGAGGCTTTCTCTCTCAAGATAAGTCTCTAGGTCATGAGGGATACAATGTCAGTCATTGGAAGAGGTCGAACGGTCAAGGCAAAGTCTGGAGGTTGTCAAAAGTGATTGGAGTCGCTCATAGGCCGCGAACAGTGTGTATTGTTTCTACGATTTGACTCTAAGTAGTCATGAGTATTAGTCTGTGGTAGCAACCCGACTGCATTCTTCCGCACTCAGCCTGCATGCGTTGGTACTATCGTGGATACAGGCTCCGTTACGATTGTCTATGATCCAAACGGCGCGCTACGAGAGGCTGGTTGCCTTCCTCGAGTGCGATTGTTGTCCTTCACAAGCTGCCTCCAGCCCAGTCCCCGCGCTGGACCTGGAGTAAGTTATTCTTCAGTTTTTCATCCCCTCCACATCTGAGTTACGAGCACCGGCGAGCTTCAGAAACAGTGGGTACTGCTCGTGGTCCTCGACGGTCTCGTCTGCCTTGCCCTTCTGGCCCTTCGATTGCTGTAGCTTTATGAGACCGGCCGCGTTCTCGAAGATGGTCCTGAATGTTCTAACGTCGAAGGGACATGAAGTCAAGTTGCCGAACTCGTAGGCATTGTAACAGTAGTGGTGGTCCGGTTCGATACCCTCCACGACTTCCCCCTGACCGTCGACGCATTGAGTCTGACCGAAGCTGAACTTTTGGACTGAAGAAGCCTGTACAAGGGTGAATATCATGCTCCAACGGAGATCGACTTCGTAGTGAATAAAATCGGGAGTGGTATGGCGCATGTAAGGGTGGGTACCCAGAGTACCTGGACCTGACTTGATGCGAAGGATGATGCTACAGTCGACGAATGCTAATTTTCGCAGCTGCTGCTTGAGGACTGACTCGAGGTTGTTGTCCTGGCAGAATACCAGTCCGAATAGCTTAAACTCGGTAAGGACGTGAAGACGCGGGAGATCGAACCGACTCGAAAGCGTGCTCTGGCCGGTACCTTGAAGGACAAGACTTTTCATTGGTGTGAATCTGAGGGATACAGCTGCTGGGCTTGGACTGCGTGAAGAATAAGTCTCATAACGCTGTTGCTGACGTGGAGCGGTGTATACTAGCACTCCACAGATATCCTCATGTGGGAGCACGACTCGAACAGTGTTGAGCTCTGGCAACCTGTTGAGATGTTCATAGATCGTGGTGGCGGACTGAGAGATAGAATCGCTGTCACTTGCTCGTCACTGCGGCGGTGTGTCTGCACTAAAAGGTAGAAAGCTCAATGATGCAAGACTCACGCGTGCTTGATACCAATCCAACGAGATAAGATCTGATCGAAGAGTGGCTGCTTTCACAAGCTGAAAAACGTTGCTTTGACAAGCGTGTTCAGATAGAAGTTGAATAGCAGACGGAGTACCGAGCGCTAGTATGAGGAAGGCTATCTTATAGGGTCCTCCATGAGAGAAGTTGTTCGCCAAGCACCGTTTGTTGCTTTCACTTCCAGCCACGCATGACTCTCGACCGTGAGCACATGAACCTTCAAGCGCACGAGCAGCAAGCTCCGTAGGGGTCCGATCGATGTGATGGGTGTCAAGAAGCGCTCTACGTCTCTGAACCTGAAGCTGCTGCAGTTGGCTATGCACACGTTGATATATAATGGTTGCTGAAATGTACAGACCCTCCTGGACGTGGTTCACTACTGCGGCAGACTTACGTTATGTAAGAATGAAGGCTTCTAAGTGGCTGTTGCTATCTTGGTTGACAGAATTAATAGTCTGATACATGTCCTGCAGGGCAACAACGTGGTGAATGGCCACTCACAAGGCTACCCGCCCTCATGAACCACGGTACTTACCTACTGTATGCATCACTGTACCAAGGTCAGGGGGGTCTGCACGTTTTTTCAAGCACCGATACTTGTCTACATCGAAGAACAGCAAGGTACCATCATGTGAACGTTCCCCAGACATGCTGTCAAATACACTCGTGTCTGCGGTTTTTGCCTTGGATTCTCATGGTCGTCATGGTGTGAGCGCACAGGTTTGGATAATACAATGGCATTCTCAATTGTAAGTTGGTCTCGTCTATACAAGCTGACAGCCGTCATGAATACTCCAACTTAATTTTGGCGGCCGATACAGCGTTCCACATCCTACCGTGCAACATGCTCTTTTGAAGGTCATGCTTTAGCTAGCTCGATCAATGAGCTTGACCAGTCCTCGTTCTTGCAGCGGTGCACCATTCTTTGCAGCAGCCTCCAACGTAGACTTAAGTTAACTGTTCAACAGCTGCTGCGTTACCAAGGTACTTCTCCCGGACCTGACGACTCTTAGTCCACGCTCCTTTGCTTTCGAACAAGACAGCCAGAGCCAATGCATCTTCGTTGGTAGTCTTGCCGAGTCCATCACCCGAATAGAGTTACACGTTGCCATATTTTTACACAAGGTAACGGCTGAGGTGAAGGCCTTCCACGGTTTTGGAACTTCATCCTCCGAACCTGTCTCCCCAAATGTGAAGCGCGTAACAGACGAGAGTTGCGCTCGCTCGAAGAAATCGCTCCGGCGACGATCATACTCCTGAACCCGTACGTGCTTGGCTAGACGTGGTGTAGGTTGGTTACCATCTAGCATCATATTACTCCACAATTCCACCACAATGCTACAATCCACCAGGGTGAGATCTTGAAGCCTTGCGCTTCCTTGCTGCAGCATCTACTTGAGATCACTGTCCTGGCAGAAAGCCACACCTCTCATTGTATTACAACTTAATACACAATAATCGGAAAGTGGATGATGTGATAAGAGGATCTCAGGGCGCGGCGGCAAGACTGTTTTGTAGTTTTCGAGGTAAAGTTTGTTCGCCAAGCCCAGTTCGCGCCCTCACTTTCAAGCTGCGTATGACCCCAAGTTTCGCTCAATCCGACAAGCGATTCCGGTCAGGTATCTGGAACGATTCGACCAGATGGCCTGCAACATCCCATATGTGCTAGTGATGCTTGCGTTCAGGCATAAATCGAAGGTCTGAAACCACGACCTGGACGCAGGTGAAGGCACATATTGCTACGTATGCAGCAAACCGTAGCTTCAATACATTCAGGCTGCTGGATCCGTCTGTGTTATCTGTACCCTAGTTGCGCAATATGGATGCTTTATGAAAAGCCATAGTATACCGTGATATTGACACTTTCGACGATGCATTGCCAACCAGGCCACTCTTTGAATGTTAGCACCTGATGCAAGGCAAACGCATGGAGATGCAAGAGGAAAGAAACGAACCTTTGCTCTGGCCCATACGAGCAGTCGATCTCCCTCTTTTAGCTCGCTCAAGAAGTCGTCACCTCTTCCAGATCCTTCGTTACCCTCATAATCATCATGGGTCCAGAGGATATGATACTCTTCCGTATGACCCTGCGTAGCAACACGGTTGCCTTGAAGATACCAGGCCAGGTCCCCTTCGCCTCCTTGAGGTCCTTGCTCAGCACACTTAGGGCGCCTGGTAAGCTGCCAGCCACGCGGCGTGACGTGCTGTTGGAACGACTGTGGCGATTCAAAGACACTGTCTAGCCAGCACGAGGGCGGAAGCTTGGTGTTGTAGTCGTCAACGCCACGCAAAATGGAGGTCTCGAGCCAAGAAGATGTGCTGAACGTCCCCCGTGTCGGTTCCGAAGTCCATCCTTGATCGCGACTCCGTATGTGAAACTCGATAGCTTTGACTTTAACTTTCTCACCACCCTCACGAAGGCTGTCAACGTTTGGATCGTTGAAGATGTCGGCGTCGAGGCAGAGACCTGCCGCGCTTGATCGAAACATAGTCGCAGCAACTTTGACCGTGCGCTCTTCCTCAATGGAAAATTGGCGTGTCGGCCAGTACTCTGCGTAGTCAAGTATCTCGAGAGCCAGCTCCATAGGTAGACCTAGCGCCTTCAGTAGCGCTCTTGCTTCGAGAACATCTTTGTAGTCCAGAACCCATGGTTCAGGCAGCCAGCTGTTGAACAGGGGTAGCAATCTTTGAACTCCCGCCGATATGAGACTGCTGAGCATTTCTTCGACATAAAGTGGTACTAATCATGGAGTTTGTGGGAAGCTTGGAGATATGTAGCCTCAGCGTGGGGATGGAAGTGACGTTAGGGCGTGGGGCTAGCAGGGGCGGCCCCGCCCTGGTGACGCTTGATCTCCAGGGGTGCATTCCAGCCTCGCCTCACTGATTTACTAACCTTTGACATCGTAAAATCAACCAATCCTTCACGTCTGCAGTGCTTGAATTACTGCCATGATGTTGAACATTAGATCTTTATGGTATGTGTGAATCAGCTTTAAGGGGTGTTCCGTGGTCAATCAAGGCAATTGCCAGCGCCCTCTCATGTTTCCCATGATCAACGCCAGGACACAAACTGGTTCCCAGAGACGTATATAATGTAGGATAATTCACAATGCTGCACTCGCTCAAGTCCTCAAACGGCCTGGCTTGCGGTCACTTAACCCTCAGTTGGCCACATGGAAATACCCTGATGCGGAACAGTACTGTAGCCTATCATTCTCAAACAGGGCCCTCGAACCAACATGGACGAACCGTAAGATGATGGAAGCTTTCGTACATCGCAGATACTGACCGATTACAGGTACAAAGAGTCTGCGACCACCTACGTCGTGACTGGCGAGGGGCCAAATCAGAAAGTCTTTTTCGTCCACCAGAACTTGATATGTCCCCCACAGCACCTTCTTCAGGAAAGCCACGGGCGGAGGTTCTTGAGAAACAGGTTTGCTACGATGACTGTAACTCACGTTACTTATTGTAGAGAAACGACATCTGCGCAAAGGAGATGTCTACGACAGCACATGGCGACAATGCAACAAGACTGGAAGAAGCACGGTTTGCCTGCGGCAAAACATAGTACATAAAACATGCAGAAAAGACAGTAATTGAACGTTTCGATCCGGAACTCCATTGAGCTATATAGCTACCCATGATATCCTAACCTGACCCAAGAAGAATAGGTACTTGCACATGACCCATGTAAATCGTTACAAGCTTTTATCCATCCCCGTCTTGTAAAAGAAAGACGTCGTAGAGGATATCAAACCAACTAAACAATCGCTAAAAGACAGGAGGCGGAAGGGAAGATCTACAACTCGTCGTGAATCTCCTCGTCACCAACGACACCGGCGGCAGCGCTCTTGACAGCCTCAGCGACGCCAGAAGCAGCCGACTTGACTGAGGAAGCGGCACCGGAGGCAGCGCTGGAAGCGGACTCGGTAGCCTCAGATGCGCCAGACGAAGCAGACTTGGAGGCCTCGGATGCACCGGATGTGGCAGACTTGGAAGCCTCGGACGCGCCAGACTTGGCGGACTTTGTGGCCTCCTCAGCACCAGACTTGCCGGACTCGCTGGCGGCCTTAGCCTGCTCAGCAAGCTCCTCAGCACCCTCCTCGACGGCATCAGCGGCCTCAGCGAAGACACCGGCAGCCTTGTGGGAACCGTTCTCCTTGATGAACTGGGCGAGGTCCTCAACAGTGCGGGAGCCGGAGTAGTCGATGGGGGCGTCCTTCTTGCCAGCGGGGAAGAGCTTGATGGTAGGGAAGCCCTGGATCTCGTCGGGAACGTCGTTGGCGGTGGCGTCAACCTTAGCGATGGTCACGAGCTTAGAGAGCTCAGAAGAGGCGTAAGCCTGGCCAAGCTCCTCGTACTTGGGAGCAAGAGCCTTGCAGTGGCCGCACCAAGGAGCGTAGAACTCAACGAGAACGTCCTTATCGTTATCGATGACAACGTCCTTGTAGTTCTTGGCGACAATGACGGTGACGGGGCCGTCGTTAGACTCTGGGATGGGCTCGGACTTGATGGAAGGCTCGGCCTTGCCAGCGAGGAAATCCTCGACGAAAGTACCGATCTCCTTCTCGTTGATCTTAAGGTCCTGGTCGTAGGGGAACTTCTCGTTCTTGTCGGTGCGCTGGATGGCGAAGGCGGGCCATGTGCCGGGCTTGAGGTTGAGGTTACCAGCGTGCTGGCCGAAGGCAGTGGCGTCGATGGTAGCGAAGTTGATGGCGCCCTTGTGCTTGACAGCGAGGGGCTTCAGGTCCTTGGCAAGCTGCTCGCGCTCCTCAGGAGTCTCAGCGAAGATGTATGCGAGGGGAATGCCAGCAGCCATGTAACCAGCGTATGTCTCAGGGCCAACCTCGCCGATGAGAGGAGTGGCAGCGACGGAAGCGAAGGACTTGATGGCCTCAGCCTCGAACTTCTCAGTGAAGACGTCCTTGCCGTCGTCGAACGACTTGTAGAGGACGAGACCGGGCTGCTCGACACCCTCAGCCTTGGCGAGGGCGGCATCGTTGGTGGCACCGAAGAGGTAGTTGTCGCGGAGACCGTTGGCGACCGAGTTGAAGGTCTCGTTGGAGGCCTTGTCGTCGGCGGCGAAGTAGGCGACAAGGACGACCTTGTCGGCGGTCTTGAACTCCTCGAGGGTGTCCTTGGTGACCTCAGAGACAGCGGGCAGAGCCTGCTTGGTCATGTATGAGATCAGAGAGTCAGCCTTGCGCTGACCGCCGTAGGGCGAGATGTTGTCGAGGCCACGGAAGACCTTCAAGGTGGGGTAGCCCTCTACACCGTACTCTTGGCAGAGATCCTGCTCTTCTGTGCAGTCGACCTTGACGAGCTTGATGTCCTTCTCCTTAAGTGTGGTGGCAGCAGTCTCGTACTCAGGGGCGAGGGCCTTGCAGTGGCCGCACCATGGTGCGAAGACTTTGGTGGTGTTAGCTGAGTGATTCCTTCAAACAACGCTAGATATGGTAAAGATGACTTACACTCTGCGAGGACAAGGTCGTTCTCCTGGACGAACTCCTTGAATGTGTCCGTCTTCAGCTGAACGACATCTGAAGAGGCCGCGACGACGGCGGCGAAGAACGCAGCGCAGATGGTGGAGCACTTCATTGTGGCGGATTTGAAGTTGCAATTGGGTATATGGGGGTGTAAGAGGTGGGGGTTGAAGAACCTCTGCGGCAGTGGAGTGAGAGGGAAGAGCTGAGGCGGTGGGCAGCGAGTTTATAACTGCAGTGGAGCTTGTGGCGAGCAGCTGTAGGAAAGACAACACCTGTCTACTTTACTAGCTTAGCGGCTGAGCTACCCGCGGGAATGCCAGGGTTCACCGCAATGCGCGCCCCCCTGCTCGCTTTCACCACCTCTGTATTGGACACGTTGGAATTCCTGCGCCCTCTCGCTGCCAATCATATACTTGCGACAAGCCTTTTCTGGGGTGCGGCGCCTGTTTGCATGCCCCTTCACCAGCGCCCGCCTTGTGGTACCTCTATCCCCTCGCCTAATCAGGCTAGAGCTACCGCCCATGCAGCTTCCCGAGAGCGCATTATTAATATACAGAGAGTGCTTTATCATCATTTGCGGCGGACGCGGAACTGTATTCTCCAAGGCCAGGTGTTCTTTCGCCGCACTGCGAGCGCTGGTCAGGTACAGGTCCTGCGGTTCACAGTGGATCCAGACTCGGGGGGCGACTTCGATTCGAGTACCGCAGTGAGGCCCCTGTTTCGGTAATCACAATGTCGAGCATTCGATGTCCGTGCACGATGCGCTGCTCTATCGATGCATAGCAAAGCTCAGCCAGAGTAAAGGCCGAGCTCTTATACCAGAGCGGCTGGATGCTCACAGTAGAAGTTGGTGATTGCTAGCAAACTACGTTGGCTTTCACAAGTCTCCTCACAGCAACGATTGATGGTTCTCTTGGCAGATCTACCAACATCCATGGAAATAAGATATCACTAACGCACATGCGTAGAGATCGATGGTATGAGGTTGTGAGTGCACTCTCGGACGGCTAACACCACCATGGTAAAGTACCACATCCAATTTTCTCAGTCTATCTCGAGCGCACGTAGGTTATCATTACTCCATCAGTGCTACGTTCTTGATCCCCAGTTACGACTACACAACCATCGGTATGCTTCCAAAGACAGCAACAGGCAGACAGGACGACACCCATGCCGATTCTCTCTACTGCATCCAAGCAAACTTCTTCATGCCCAACGCCTTGTCCAGCGCGTGCGGCACAGACTTCATCGCCTCCAACCCCATCAGCCTTCTATACACTGGCCCGTTTTCCTTGGTCAATATCCTCCTCCTCTCCCTGACATCACACTTGTACTTCCCCTCAAACCTCACGCACTCCACAATCTCATCATCACTCATACCCTCCATCCACGCCTTGAGGATAACCTCATCCTCCTTTCCACTCCAAACTACCTCCCCCTTCCTCCTCCAAATCGCTAACACATCCTCGGGAACCTTCCTCTGCTGCTGCAGTTCATACCACCTTCCCTGCACTGCCTCACCTGGAATGTCCATCTCAGCACCTATCTCTTTGGAAGTGAGCCCTCGGTGGCGGCCGTCGATGATAAAGTGGTCCATGGCAGTGTCCCAGTCTTCGAAGGAGGAGGACCGCGCGACCTTGAGCTTCTGGTAGTGTCCTTGCACGGCTGGCGTGGTGCGACCTAGGTCCTGGGCGATTTCAGGCCAGGTCTTGTGTTCGATGAAGCGGAGGCGGTGGAGGAGGTGGTCTTCGGCCGGTGTCCAGCGCCGTGGGGTGGTGTATGAGAGCGTTGGCTGGTACATCGTGATGTGTAGTGCAAGACGATGGTAGGGTTGATACCGTGGTCGACGTGTCTGGTATGTTCTGTGACTGCGTGGTCTCCATTTTGTAGTATGGTGTGCCGATGCGGTGTGGGTACCGTGAGTGTGAAAGCCATGTGTGCAGTAGTGAACAGTACAGAGTGACTGAGCAATAGAGTTTCTTTCATGAGGCCAAGCTATTGCAGAGACTGTATAGCTGCACTTGATGAGGACACATCTTGTGCAGTACTTCACTTTCACTCTCTATCGCCAGGGTCCCAGGTAACAACGGTCGTCGCCGCTCTCGCCCAGGGCCGCCTGTGATCAACAGGATATACGCTGGCACAGGCGCCCGGGGCCCGATGGGAAGGTTCTTGCGCAACTGTGCTGTGTGCTTTGGACATACAGGATGGCTTGAAGATGTCGAAGCGTGTTGTCCTGAGTACTTATCGGATGTCATGGCCGGAATGTGGAAAGTCCGGCCTCGTCCGTCTCTCCCCAAGGGGTCTCCAAAGTGATATAGGCTGCTTTTGGCAGACAGCCCGTCACTCTTCGTTCATGTGAGCTCCTCGTCGTAGACGAGATATTTCACATGCAGACCCGTCGGACATGGGAAAACACGGGCTGTGCGTGTGAGCGAGCAGATGGAATGTCCCTTTCTGCTACATCTGTTGATGCCTGTGTTGCCTCTTCCGCCCTTCTTTTGTGGCTGCACGCTGCTCCTTCACTGTAGCCAGCTCACCAGTCATCCACCACTGCCTGGAGGTTACCACGTCGTCACTTGTACTGCTCCTCCTAGAGCTTTTCTGGCAGAGACAGACAGAGAAGCTCTCGCTTCTGACGAGTAACAAGAGCAACGAGCACGAAGGGATGTGATCATAGTGGTGTCGTGTTGACGAGTTGAATTGAAGACCCAAAGAAATGCTACCATAACTCCGAAACCTATACAATGCCAGTGTATACCACCCTGAACGCCTTTGCTATGCTCCAAAAAGAGATCTCAGTCACTAGTCGTCACTTCCCCTCCATCCGGTCACCACCACGCCCGCCTCACTCAGAAGCCTTCCAAACACTCCTGCACAACACTTTCTACCATCTTCAACCCATAAAACCCGGCCACCCTCCCATAAACTCCCATCCTCCTCCTCACCTCCCCCCTATCCTTAGTCGCCACCCACTCGCCCGCACACGCACAGTGCTCCATGAACTCATTACTCCTCAGCCTTTTACACTTCCCGCACTTCAAATCCTGCGCACACCACTCCAGCACCATCTTCTGCACCTCACCCACCAACTGCTCCTCGATCCTCAATTTGTCGTACGAAGCGAGGCAGACGGGGTTCTCGCACTTCCACTTGGGCAGCACGACAGGCGCGTCTCCGTCGACGATGGGCGGGAGGAGGGACGCGTCGCGGCACAGGTCCAGATCGCGGGAGGTTGTGCATTCATCGCAGACTACGCCGCGCACGACAAGGGTGGCGGAGGGGTTGGTGAATGTGGCTTCGGCGCTGAATTCGCGGATCTCGAAGAGATTCAGAAGTTCCTTCCTCAGCAGGCGCGCTTCGAGAGTGATTGCGCGGTCGAGGGACAGGACTTGGCATATGCTCTTTACGAGCTGCAGAACGGGGTTTGAGAGATTGAGGTGTGAGCCCGGCAGCGAGGGGAAGGCGTAGTCAGCTGCGAGTTCGGGGTGCAGGATCTCTGTGTGCTGGCGCCGGAGGAGAGTGGAGATGTGCTTGTACAGACCCTTTGTGAAAGTCTTGGGGAGGATCTGCGTCTTCTCGTCTGGATCGATGGTGAGTGGTCTCAACGGTATTTGTGTGACGCGCGGCGTGCTCCCGTCCGGACCCGGGGGAGGACGCTTGCGCGCGTGCATGAGCTCTATGAATTCCAGCACCCACTGCTCGAACACGGGTCGCAGAGTCGGCGGCAGGAAGGAGGCGAGCTGCCAGCACATGATATCGTCGAGGGTCTGGTTGTCTTCTTCGACGATGGTCGCGGTGCCGCGGCCGCCGTAGTTAAACGCGTCGTACCACACGAGATAGTCCCAGTACTCTTTGATCTCGAGGTCCATGAACTGGAACAGCGGTTTGGCCCTGATGGTTTTGATGATGTATTGACTATACGCGTACGCATTGCCGACCTCAGCTTTTGTCGTCTGCAGGAGCAGGCGGTTGGGAGACGCGAATACGATGTGGCTTCCCACGCGCTTGAAGTCGCTCATGAGTTGTTGCAGCGTCTTCTTGCTCATCATCTGCACGTAGTAGTGCAGACTGCGGTCGTAAAGGAAGGAGCCGGGCGAACTGACCCAGCGTACGAGGTGCTGGACCATGACGTCGGCCATTGAGTAGCCGTTGCCTGCGCTGACGGCTTCGACCCACCATGCTTTCACCATCTCGCGCAGCACTGTGATGCCGGCGGATGCGAAGGCATTGTCGGAGTAGATGGTGTTTGTGCCGTCGTTTGCTGAGTCGTAAGATGGCGCCGCAGGGTTGAGAGATACGCTATCTGCGCCCTCAAGGTCGTTGATTAGGGAGGAGGAGAGGATCGTGTTGATGGCGAGGTTGCGCAGGCTCAAGTCGATGCATACCGAAGAGTAGGTGCCGGGGTTGTTGATGGATGGCATCTCCACCGTCTCCAGGGGACCAAGAATATCGTCTTTTTCGTAACCTGCGTGATCTGGCTTCGCCTGACCGGACCACCAGAGGATGACTCGTTCCTTCTGAAGACGTCTGGCGTAGGCGATGTCGATGAGGAAGCGCGGATCGTTGCTCTCCAAGTTGCACAACGGGATGTCGCCGTAGCGCGCCAGTTCCATGAGATGAGATGCCCATGATCCGAGATCGAGATAATGGCTCACAAGGCGCTTGGCAATGAAGGACTGCCAGCCGAGTGGAGGAAGCTGTTTGTCCGACTCATCTGGATGCAGTGACAGGATGGGAAGATCCTTCAGCATCGGGATGTCATGGGATAGCAGCGCCTGGTTTGGAGACTGCATCACAACGATGACCGGCTTGCCTTCATCAGTCTTCATCTTCTTGATCACATCGCCGAGTTCGAGCAACGCCTTCCGTCTTGTCGTGACCATCGTGGTCTTGAAGTGAATGTCCTCTTGATACTCGATAGCCGTCTGCCATGGCTCGCCCTGGCTGTCTTCCATCCGGCGTTGCAGTGCATCAGCATATATCCTGTCGACATTAGGCATACCCTGGGAGTCCTTTGATCTGTTCTGAATGATGATATGCGCATCGTTTTTCGAGGTTGAGAAGACCGCGTAGATGTTGCGATCTCCGCTGCTAACGTGGTACACGTAGAGGTAGCTGAACGAGGCATCAGAAAGATACAATTTCTTCGAAGGGATCTTGCGCAAGGACGATAAGTCGAAACCCTGCTCCATGCCTCTGCCGAGAACACCTTTCTGCGACTCGTCGAATGTGCAGGTGCTGCCTAGCTCGAGGATGGCGCGGATGTTGAGGGGCACTTGCTTCTCGTAGACGCCTTCCACACTGGGGTGGTTGAAAAGCGCCGAGATACTGTTGGCCTCCTGGACATAAGTCTGCTCCGACATCTGGAGCTTGAACAGATGGATGGATGGGTGTCCGTTCGGTAGAGTATGATTAACGACCTTCTCCACAGAGCACCCACTGATCGACACATCAGGCAGATCCTCGCTCCGAAGGTTGAGATACAGTTGTCGCGGCACCACGATCTTCAGCGTGTGGATCTTCTTGTCGATCAGCACGAACGCCTTAACCTCCCCCGGAGTTTCGGTCGGTCGTAGTTGAATGAGCTGCCAGGTGCTGATGAACAGCATCTCCGCCTTGCTCCTGAACAGCGTCCCGATAGCATCTGAAGCATCCACGGGTTTCTCTCCAAACAACTGTCGTCTACGCTTCCGCGCTTGTCGCTGAATCTTCCACTTCTGTTTCTGGTACATGAGCCAGCCAGAGTAGTCTTCGGTGATAGAGGGCATGACTTTCGGCAACGCAGCGTACGGATCTGTCTGCACAGGCACCGCAGGCTCAGGCTCCTTCCGCTTAGACACCATCTTCGTTGCGACGCCTCTCTTCATCTGCGACAGCTTGGGCGCACCAAAGTCCTCAAAGTCGCCAGAAAGCTTGTTGTTGGCGATATTCGCATCGCCATTAGTCAGAGCTTTCTTGCTCTTGGTGAACATATCCGTCATCTTGGTCTGCTGGAATTTGTCTTCCTTCTGACGAATCCTTTTGGCGAGCCAGTCGGGATGCGGTACCCTTGGCACCGGGTTCTTGACTTTCTGGAGCGCCGCAGGGATGGTGATGAGCTTCTGGATGACGGACGCTAGACGCTCGCGGTAGTACTCCCAATCCAGGATACTTCTGATGTCCATCTCACCAGGGTCTTCGCGCATCCACTTCCTCAAAAAGTAGCGCTTGACCGACTCCTCTGCCGAGAAGATGGACATTGGGATGGCACGCTCGGTGACAGGAGCATTTCGAGGTCGTGATGAGATGATGTACTTGCAGTTGAGACCCTTGTCCTTCACCATCTGCTCGCCCAAGAACTCGGCAAGGCGTTTGGCGGTGGTGATAGCGGTGGACTTCTGCGCTCCGTATTCCTCCAGTGTCTTGGTCATGTTCTTGTTCTCGACGATGAGATCAACGAGTTCTTCGTCGGCAAGGGTGGCACCGCGGGTGTCCAGGATGTCGAGCCAGCGGTTGGCGACGTTCGCAACGGCACCGTAGGTCTCTTCGAGCGTCGTACCTTCCAAGAAGAACTTGAAGATCTGCGACTGGAAGTTCTTGATGAGCTTCAACTCGCCACGTCGCTTAACCTCGAATCCCTTCAGTTCTGCAAGACTGCCATCATGATTGAACACAGCATAACGCTTCTTCAAGTTCTTGTCCTCCTCTTTCGACGTCGGCAGAATCATAGCCTTGTACGGCCCGTCCACTTCGAAGAAAATGGTGTTGTCGCTATGCTTCTCGTACTTGAACGTCTTCGGATCCACAAGCGTCTCGTATTGGTGATTCGTGTACTGTTCGTGAACTAAATGATTCAACATCGTGCAAGGATACGAAATGGTCAGTTTCTTGCCGTTATTCATATGGAACGCAAAGTTCTCCGGAAACGTCGCAGGCAGGATAGCCCAGATACCATCAGTATCCAGCTCCAGCGGTCGCCCAATGCGCTCCACTAGCGAACGGGCAAGCTGAATGATGCGCGCACCCGTCAGACAGGTAACACCGGCCATCTCGAGCGAGTACCATCGCGAACCCTTGCGCATGACGTAGCCGTAGAAGGAGTTGAGAATGACCTTGTGCGCCAACTGCATGGAGTCGAATAAGACGACCATCTTCTTCGCATCCTCGATCTGCGCAGCTGGTGCTCCAGCCTTCTTCAACTCTTCAGTCTTGCCCTTCCACACCTTCTGCTTGCCCTTGAAGTCGTAGCGGCGATCACGAAAGCCCACGACTGTATCGACGTAGAAGGGGTTTTCGCGCTGGCAGATGATAGCCTCGCGTTCTATTGTTGTTTGGTCGTGGATCTTGTGGTAGATCTTCTTCGAGTAGTCTGTTAAGCGCTTCTTGACTAGTGTGGCTTGCTCGTCTACTGAAAGCTCTTGGAAAGTCTTTGTCGGAGAGTTTGCGTATTTTCCGGGGAATCGTTCGTTCTCGAGTGCGTTCCGAACCATGTTGTACTCGTCGCGTTTGGCCGGGAGATACTCGCCTCTCCAGGCCCACGGCATTCGGCGATCACACGTTTTCCCCGGTCGGTTGAAGTCGCAGGCTGCACAGTTCGACTCCTGGATCATAGAATCCGGCTGCAGTCGATTTGTCGTCATGATGTTGGGGTACATGGACGCGACGTCCAGATGGTAGATTAACGGTCGTTCATTCCGGTTCGGTGTGTTCTTGAGCTGCATCAGCTTCTCGACAATCTGACCCTTGACCTCCTCGTAGTTTGTGATATCCTCCAGCTTCTTCTTCTCTTCGACCTCAATGCTGAATTTCAGGGCAGCATCAAGGTCTCTGATCAGCTCGTCGATCGCCGTAGGATCTACCGCAAAGTCGTACGGAATATCACTACGGAAGACACCAGCTTCAATACTCTCGACGTGGCCTCCGACGTAGGTCTCCGACTCCAGAAGATGACCTTCCCAGAAGGCTTCCTTTGGCGCCTGATGTTTGTTCGGAAGAACGATGCCTTTCTGATACGCTTGCACCATCAACAGCATCTCGCACAGGGTACCAGTACCCTTTCGCAGTGTATCATCCGGACCCAGCGGGATGATCTTGCACAGAGCGAAGATGAAGGGATGCACATATTTCATGTACAGGTAGTACGTAGCAACAGCGTCGGAAACCGAGTACTCCGCCAGCGTCTGCGGTCGTTCAGAGGCGTACGGTGTCATCAACTCCGGATCCAGCTCATCGGGGTCGTAGCCCAGCTTAGCCATCGTGACAGCCTTGAGGCCACGACTTCCTTGCGGCAGGTAACTGTCTCGACTGACCCAGGCGAAAGCGTCCATGTGCGCGCAGTAGTCAGACTGGTAGATGTCTTCGCTGTTCTTCCGGAAGCCGATTTCCTGGTACATGTCGATACCTAGCACACTAGCTCTTGCCTCGACGAACGGCCAATCGAAGAAGTCTCCGTTGTATGTGACCATGACTGTCGGCCTAGCCTCCTTGATGTGCTCGAAGAACCGCTCGATCAGCGCCTTCTCATCTGGCTCGTTGAAGATCATGAATGGGCCTTGGTACTCGGGTTTCGGGGTGTACTCAAAGTCCTGGATATCCTCGGATACGATCTCGCGGTTGGTGATCAGAAACCCCTGTCCGTCGATCATGTACGACACCATCATGATCTGATCGATGACAGCGTCCGGGAACTTCAGCGGCAGCTTCGTTGTTTCGATATCGTAGGCCATAACGACGGGGTCCGCGGGTGTGAGACGGTCTTCTATACATGTCATGCTGACCACACCGTGCTTCGCCTCCACAGTGTACCAATTTCCAATCCTAACGTCCTTGTCGATGGCCACCCGGACGTGGTATGGGACGTCGTATTCACGCATGTCTAGAATGAAATCGCTGGAATCAACAACAGCCGTAAATCGTTTCTCGTGTTCGTAATCGTCGTAGTCGTAAAAGTCGATATCCGCGTCCCGCGTCGCGACCTCGGCGTATGTGTCCATGGCGTTGACGTTCTTCTTGTTCCTCTCGACTACCGGGCTCACTGCCCTCCGGACGGCGAGGAGGTCGTTCACGTTTGCGAAGCTGAGCTGCAGGAACGTTCTCCGGTACCCTGTGAGATGGTTGGGCATGGACAGATCTTCCTTTTCCACTCTCCTGAGTGTCTTGACTAGCCCTTCGAACGCCCGCCGACACCATTCCTCCACCTCTTGTTCTTTCCCCTTCTTCACTGCGAGCAAGAAGTACGGATCATACTCCAGCGTCGCCTTGAATGTGTCCCCGTCGTCGCCAATGAAGTAGAAATCCACGCCCGCTCTCCCGCCGGGCACCTGCTCGTCTTCTATCGCGGTCGAACGCATATTGACCAGCCAGCCGACCTTCTTCTTGCCGGAGTCGAAACGCGGGAAGCCCATGGACTCATCGATGCGGTCCGCCAAGCGTGTGGCCTCGAGCTTCTCGTTCTGTGATGTTTGTTCGGTGCTTCGTAGCGACGCGGCGTCGACGGTCTTTCGTTTGTTGTGCCCGTAGTTCGACTGTCCGCCTTTGCCCACCCGGCGAAAGGGTTGGCCTGCTCGTCGCGGCGCGCCCATGTTGCGTGGGGTGTGGAAGGAGAATTAAGAGGTGTAAATGCTGATGTAAGCAACTCAGGGTATCATTGGGGCAACTGAAGGTAGGAAAGACGCGGGGGATCGAGGACTGGCAGCGCGGATGCGTAATGCGGGAGAAGGCAGAGGAGGCAGAGCGACACAATGCCCCATAGAAAACACGCTCCACGCGAGGCGCGTTCTCGCGTTTCCGACTAGTCCGCTTTGGCTAAAGTGGTTGCTCGAGCCGTCTTGCTTCAGCCACATCTGGCGCCACCCATCAGGGAGCGGTGCATCATTATTTCTCTCGGGTCTTGCCGCACCACCACCGAGCTCAGCTCACCACCATCGCTCCAAGCTAGCCCGCCAGTCCAGCCCGCCAGTCCAGGGCCTCACTTCGCACCCACGCGGCTACCTCCACGAGCGAAACAACGCAGATCGCCTCCCACAAACCTGTCCTCCATCCCATCCCACATCAGCCCACCATGGCAGACGACACACGGCCGGAGTCCGGCGTACAGACAACGCAAATCGAGAACCTGCCCCCACGGCCCCGCGCGCCCGCGAACAGCATGCCCGGCGGCACAGCGCACACCGCAGGCGGAGAGAAGATGGACAGCGACGGGCCCTCATACATCGATGCAGTCCGTACCCTGGGACCAGAGTACTATCTGAACTTCCACAAGCGGCCCTGCGTACGAGACTCGCAATTGCAAGGCCTAGCCGCCGGTTTTGCAGGCGGCAGTATCGCAGCAATCGTCGGAAGTACGTGGACCCGGCCGCCCAACCAATCCAGAAGCTCACAACACCTTCTTCGCGAACAAGTGGCTAACATTGCATCGCAGAGCCCATCCTAACAGCCTCCAACTGGGCCGTCGCAACCTGGTGCGGCGTCAGCGTCGTCTCCTACCAGGTGTGCCAGTACTACCGGTCGAAGGAAAAGGCGGGCATCAAGCAGGCGCAGGACCTGATGGAGAAGAAGCGCGCGAACATCGAGGCCAAGAAGGAAGCACGGAGACGTCAGAGAGAGGAGTTTGAGAGGCAGGAGGAGCTTCGGCGGAAGGAGGAGGAGAGGAGAAAGAGCTGGGGGCATTGGTACGAGAAGAACGTTAAGTTTTGGTGAAGACGCAAGTGGGGTCACGATCTGTTTGGCAATCTGCGAGGAGAAGACGTGCGCATGGAGCCCTGGGGATGTGGGTGTAAGATGATGGATTAAGTGGAGCTGCGCTCTGTACAGAACCTGTATAAGTCTGTAATATCTGTATGATATGGGTGTCCGACTGCAATGGACTGGACCGAAATGAAACAAAAGCAATGCGATACGCCGTAGTTCCGTGATCCCCTTTGTAATCCAGAAGCCAAAGCTGTTCTGTTCGTTCGTGATGTTGTGTGTCGTGAAGTCGTCGTCGTACAATGTCTTGTTCCTCCATGTCCTCCTTAGATCCACTCATTACAATACTTCAATGCCCCCTTTCCTGCCTCAGCCGGTGCTTTGTTGCACAGTTGGGCTGATTCTAGCCTCTCAACATACTGTGTGGTTTCTGTTCGTCTGATGTATGCCTTCAGCGCGATATTGGCTCATACGGCGAACTGAACCTTCCTCCTGGGTACCTCCACAGCTTGCGCCGGCATCTCCCTTTCTACTGTCGACTCTCTAGAAGCGTGGGGTCTTGCACTGGCACCTCGATGTCTTCTTTGGCTGCGTTTCGCCCTTGCCTCGCGCGTCTCCCTAGTTTTCCATTCTGACAATTGCTGTTTCCTCCTCTGCGCTCTGTGATATGCGATCGCAGGTGTTGGCTTGAACCCAATACCGTTCAGACCAGTCCCGTCGTCGTCTGGATCGTTCGCGGGACCAGTAAGGTGACCCGTGATTTCGTCGTCCTGCCACGTGAGGGCTGAAAGTGGGGGCGATGCAGGCATCTTTCGTGGGCGTGACTTGGACGAGGATCGGTCTGTCAGTATTGATGCCTGACTGTTCTGGCTGCTGAACGATGTTTGGGGCGATGATGTGCTACCAGATGACGATACGAAAGTGGTGGGTTGCGCAAAAGCGGCAATGTCCGTCACAATGCGGGGTCGTGGCGCTTGAGGTGTCTCCGGTATCTCTCTCGAAACATCCAACGTGGGTTCGAAAGCAGCAGTATCCAGAATGTTGACCTTTTTGCGGGGCTTTGCGTTCGTTTCTGCTGTATGTGTGCCTGGTGCCGCCTCGTCTACGTCCATGGCGCCCAGCTTTGGCTTCTTGCGTATTACATCGTCGGTTGGCGTCAGTGGTGACATGGGGATGGCCGCTGTGGCGACGAGGGTCATCCCTCTGAGCTGGTCTGCGACTGCATTTCTGGGGCTGTCTGCGCCAGACGAGGGTGCAGGACTGTCGTCTCGTCGTGGTGGGGTTTGTGCGGGTCGAATGGCGAGGGCCGTGTTGAGCAGTGGGGTTTGCTGGGGCTGGTCGCGCTTTCGCTTCGGCGAGGGGTGAGCAAGCTGCATTGGTGGCATTTCGCCGGCTGTGGCCTTTACATGAGGGCGATATACAGGGCAGGCGCCGTCATAGAGTGTACAGAGTGTGTTGTTGACTGGTAAGCATGCTGCCATTTGCCCATGATCGCTGTTAGCGAATGTGGGGCAGCTGCACGGACCAGACCCTTGGTAGGGCTGTGCATCCCTGCATCTTCCAGCGCCTCACTCCAGGGCTTTGCGGAGAACATCCGCTCTTTACTGGTGGGCTGTCATCTATCGCTTCGTTGTCATCGTCTGTTGGTAGCCCTGCATCTCACAGCGGACCGAATATGGACTATCATAGCTAGGTCTGCCATCTTCATCGTGCTCTCACCCCCTGCTTGTTGCCTGATCGTAGCGTCGAACGACTCGTCTAAACATCTTCCGGACCATGTTCGTGACTTCACTTCACCGCACCGAAAAGCGTTCGAAGAGCAATTACACACTCACTCCATTGAACCATTTGCACCTTCCTCCACCTGACTCTCGCCAGTGGCAATCAGCGTGCGCTGTTCGCACCTGCCTTTCACTATGCAGCAAAGTTCCATCACGGGCTTCTTCAAGAAGACTCCTCGGCCAAATGCCTCTCGAGAAGACGGAAACCGATCAAACAACAACCGACAAGAACGAAGACCGGGACCCTATCGCTCTCGCAGTGGCAGCTCAACACAAAGCACACGTGGCCAACATCGAGGTGGCAAGTCTCCACGCAACATGGAGCTTAAGAAGATTGCAGAAGAAACCAAAGCCGTTCTGCCAGCCGTCCTCAAACCATTGCCTGGGTTCGGCGCTGATGTCTCTTCGATCCACGATGTGAACGGACTTGTACCGCTTGACGCAAAGGATTGCCCAAGACGTACCCTTCCTAATGGTGACAAGGATGCTGGCAGAGCAGGCACCAGGATACGTGTCTTGGATAAGGACTCTTTCGATGCTGCTATTGAGCTTCAGCCGAACTACAAGGCTCATGTGCACCTCAGCAATTCCTCGGCCTCAGCGACTGCAAGTTCAATCAACAGCAAACCGGATGTCAGTTCAGCCGCAGACGACGAGGAGATGGATCTGGATGGTCTTCCACTGAATCAACCGCAGCCTCCAGTCCCATCCTGGGACCTCTCTGCCAAACCATCGAAGCAGGCTAACCCACAACTCAGTCCAGCTACCTCTCGCCACACCTCAAAACCCGTCGCAGTCCTCAACCTCGCATCCGAGCGCCACGCCGGCGGCGGCTGGCAAAACGGTGCCATGGCCCAAGAAGAAGCCATGTGCTACCGGTCCTCCCTCTACCTCTCTCTCCACAAATCCTACTACCCCCTCCCCTCCCTCAGCGTGATCTACACTCCCTCCGTCCTCATCATCCGCTCCGCCACATCCGCCGGCCACATCCTCTACACCGCCCCAGCTCCCGACCTACCCGTCACATCCGTAATCAGCGTCGCCGCCCTCCGGCACCCAGCGCTCACTGACGACAGCAAGAACTTCAAAAACAAGGACCAGCGCGCGGAAACGAAGAGGAAAATTAGAATTAGCTTGAGGGTTGCGGCGAGTATGGGGCACACAAAGTTGGTGCTGGGGGCGCTGGGGTGTGGTGTATTCAGTAATCCGCCGACGGAGGTGGCCGAGTGCTTTCTCGAGGTATTTAGGGAGAAGGAGTTCCAGGGGGGCTGGTGGGAGGACGTGGTGTTTGCGGTTATGGATAATGCTAGGGGTGGCGAGGGAGGGAAGGGTGGGAGCGGGAATTATGGACAGTTCTATCGTGTGCTGGATGACCAGGTCGTATAGGAGAGCTTGAACAGCAGAGACGAAGCCAGGGGCAAGCAATGCGCTTTTGCAGCACCGACACAGCTCTTCGTGTACAGGGCATACCTCACTTTATCAACCGTGGATTGCTGCTGTCGGTCAGGCGATCAGGTCCTTTATTCAAAGTATATCAAGCAGACAGCAACGCGGTTATTTCGACATGGTGACATATCTATACAGGTATCTCCTCCCACTATAGCTTTTGCAAGCTACCCAGTACCATTACGTTCATGAATTCAGACTCAAAACGCCAACCTGATGCAAGCCCTTCGTACAAGCTAAACCATCTTCTCAGCACTCACACTCCTCTTCATCCCCCACGCATCCTCTACACTCGAACTCCTCAAACCCCTTCCATACCCACTCTCACTCCCCTCACTGCTCTCAGTATCAACACACACTACCCTCTGCACATGGATCTTATGCAACTCCACCTCGTCTCCGCACTCACTCCCATCGTCCCTGCTCTTATGCAGTACGCGGCCGTTGCGGCTCTTACTCCTCGTTGTTGAGTGGGGAACGCTGCTGCGTATCTCCGTCGTCACGCTCCCAGGCAGTTTCGCTGCGACGGGAGAGGTTGGGGAGTTGGATTGTTCGTATGGCCAGATGGGCAGGTCTGTTTGTTGGCGCTCGAGTATGCACTCGACGATTTCGTCCTTGTCGTTCCTCGACCCAACCTTCTCAGGTGCGACAACCACACTCTGACGCATGGGCGTTTTTACGCGCTTAGCCTCATCCAAGGTGTTATTCCGACTCGCATGCGTGCTCATGTACGAGCTCGGCTTATCCTTGGACGTCACCCAGTGCAGAACGAGCACGCAGAAGAGAATGTCGGCGTTGCAGCACATTAGGCATATCCAGCCGGGCTCGCCACGCAGGATCATGAGCACGGTTAGGTTGGCGACGGATGTTGTGAGGGTGGCGAGAGAGCCGATGAGGGAGCGGAAGGCCATCCGGTTTAGCTTTGGGTTGGTGGAGTGGCGGTAGGAGTAGAGTTCTAGATAGGCTTAGTATTTGTGTGTTTTGTTTTGAAGGTATGGAGGGTTGGGATAGGGTAAGGGTGAGGGTGAGGGTGGGAGGAGACTTACTGCGTAAAGGCAGAATGAAGAGGAGTGTGAGGTAGATGTTGACAATAACCTCGAACGTGATCAGCGGCAGCATGGCAATCTTCTGCATACCGATGATACACACGCCCTTCTCGTTGATGTACGTAATCCGCCAGACAAAGTTCATGATGACGAAGATTGTGTACGGGAGCATCATGAACACGCAGTTGAACAGCCACAGCTTCGTCTTCAGACGCGGTTTACGCGATCCGCGCACGATGTACGCTCGCTCCACAAGGAAGTAGTAAATCAGGATCTTGGTAGTCATGTAGCACACCAGACACAAGAGGATGCCGCCTTCGCAGACGCCGCGCGAGGAGTTGATTCCCAGGCCGTGGACGATGATGGAGGTTGCGAGGACAAAAAGCGTGGAGTCGATGTATATCAACAGGATGACTGTTGGTGGACTTAGAAAAAGGCCTAGGAGTGGGATAGGTTGGACTTACGCCAGATGGCCAGAGGGATGGATCGCCAGTTCTTGAGCCATGATGTGCGTCTTGCTACTCTTCGTCAGTTCTGATCCTCCATAACAGTCTTGGGATTATTGAGGTTCTTACTGAAGCATATACACAGCACACCAAAAGTACTCATCTGCAGCACAACACTGACAACCTGACCTGGTGTCGGCACCATAGCCGGAGTGTAGTCCTGCGCCATACCGTCTCGCTTGTATTTCACAAGATCCCAGCTCTTAGCTCTTCAGCCTTATCGTACTGCCACCCTTGTTCTCCAACTCTTTCGATAGTAATGCCGACAGCTGAGTAGCACACGGGTACGAAGCAAAGATCGAAATCGTACGACAATCCAGGAACGAGCCCCCGGCCAGGTCTTCAATCAGCCTGGCATGCACATCATTTCTCACTTCCCACACGGTTTCTCTTCCAAAACACGCCTCTTGGATCCTCAAAGTTTGGCTTGCCAGCCCATCCAATGATTGGCACAGGACTTCGATCATCCCGCCTGGCGAGATCCGCGGATGCACGGTCGTGCATGAGAACTCTAATTTCACGGAGGGCCGCCGCGTGGTTGTGACTTGCGGACACAGGCGACGGAGAAAGTCTATCGTGGGACTATTTGGGGTGAAATGGACACAGAGAAAGCCACGCGGAAGCCAAACATCTGGTCGATCGCTGGGTTTGAGCGGCTCCGGGGCGGTGCAGTGTTAAGGATTGTTTGCGGAATACCAACTGGACCCCGTGACCTAACATATTGAGCTAATCCTACCCGTACATTGTGTACTGCCTGCGTACATGTGCTAAGACGCTATATTTTAGCTGCCTCATCAAGGGAAGGTCTACTACACCCTCTGCCGCCGGCCTCTACGTGCGATGGCGTCTTCAAACGTCCAGGGACGGGTGGTGAGCCGAACACGAGATGCGCCACTCTCTGCAGGTCAAATCACAACGGAGCATTTATCACTCGCGTTAAATCTCAAGCGATTAGACAAGATACGAACGCAGCCGGCACAACATCGCGAACTACGGACCGAAGCCAACTCAATTATTGCAAATTCTTAGAATTGAGTTGCAGCCTTGCCTTTCCTGGATGTTTCACTCTTCCCTTCAGGTAAGGATCGGCGGAATTGCTGGATTGATTAGACCGATGCGGGTCTTCCAGAGTTCGGTGCAGCGTTCGACGAAGCGAGTGATGGTTGCACGGCGCATGTATACCAGAATTCGAGCGTGCTAACCTATCTGTTATCTGTGCATACGGCCACTCCAGGTCAAAGTCTGCTTTCACGTACAGCCTCATCAGGAGTGTTTGCCCTAGAGGAGGTACCTAGGTATCTCATTTGTCGCCCAGTGTGAATGATGCCATAGTTAACGCGTCGTTGCAGCAATAAGATTTGTATCGTCGCCGACCTGTTGCTGTCAGATGGTTGTGGTAGCGTTTGAGGCGCATTGGTTGACGGCACAAACCGAGGTTGCTGGCCTCCTCGAGTCAAGCACAGCCCGAGAGTCCGTGAACTGTTCGACGCGAACTGGTGCAGGGTCTTCGAGCAAGGTCAAAGCTAGACTCTCTGGAGTAGGCGATAATGGGTAGGAGTATTGATTGAACGCGGACAATATATCCGCGTTTCATGCTTAAATTTTCCGTTGAGCTTTCCACGGTGTGTATTCAACGTTCTCAGTAACCCTGCCGGCTGGGAGCATTGACTTTGCCACTGGAGAAGGTAGCCGTCTGCTTATCCAGTACCTTCTGCCTCTGTTTGCCCGTGATACCAGTCCTATCTGTTGTGGGTTGCGCGTTCATGAAGGAGTCGAACTCGTCATCATCCGCACCATCAGGGTTCGATACATCGCTGTTGTCAACGTCTTCCTCTTTTGTAGGCGCAGGCTCAGTGCGTGGTATACGCTCGGGGGCTTTCTTGGTATCTTCCTCGTCTTCATCGGTGTGCTTCGAAGATGGGTTGGCGAAGGGCTTCGATGCTAGGACACGCCGGCGCAACTCTGCCATCTCTTCTTCGTCGTCCTCAGATTCAGGGAGGCCGTATGGGTTTTGCGGGTCAACTTCATCTTCGTCTTCGTCTTCATCGTCGTCGTCGTCGTCGTCATCATCATCATCCGACTCATCGATGATTCTCCTGTTCTGGTTTCCGCCAGCCCAGACATCATCCTCAGCACCATCCTCCTTCTCGGCTCGGCTTTGCTCATACTCCTGCTCGATCTTTGCAAGCCAAACCTCTTCCGCCTTCTTGATCTGCTCCTCGTTTTCGCACGCTTCGTAGCGCTTGAGCAGCGCAGCGTTGATGTCTAAAAACGCCCGGCCATACGAGAATGTCGAGAGAATCTCCTCGGCCCATTCTGGGTGACCACAGATGTAGAAGCACGCCGCAAGAGCCTCAACACAGTTCAGTCTCCAAGGCTTTCCGTAGTTGGTGGGGTTTGCCGCAACAAGGTATGGCAGCAATCGTTCGCACTTGCCACCAATCCTGCCAAATGGCACCTCGTCGATCCTGTTCCAGCTTGCTTCTACGACAGCAGCGCCGTACTGATCCAGCAGCTCCTTGTCCTCGCGCGACACAATCTTTTTGCCCTTAGGACTGACTACCACACCCGCGAACTTCTGACCAACGTGTAACTCCCGCATCATGCCCAGGCGCATGAGCCTCTTTCCAGAGCATCGTTTCGCGTCGCAATGTCCTAGATCCCAACATGCGGCCTTGAAGTTGGGCTTCTTGGGACGAGGAGCCTCGGCATCATTCTCGCCTTCGGACTCAGAGTTACGGCGGGGACGTGGTGGACCAGCACCTACGGGCCTTTTTCCTCGGTTCGCATACTTGTTGTTGGGCTTGAAGTCTTTCTTGTGGCGCATGGTGGACGGTTGGGGCGTTGCTCTGCAGAAATAACGTGTAGTGGTGGGGTTGTTGAAGTTTGGAGGGGCAAACGATGATTGACTTCACGATAATTATCGATGGCGCTAGTGAACAAGGGTCCAATGACGTCCTGGTGGGATGCTCTTTCCACATCAAACTTCACACTTCATCATGAACTGGGCCAGAAATTGCGAACAAGTCCTCTATCGGCGGTCGTGTTCGTGACTGCAGGTATCAATGCGCTAATCTAGCAGAATCCCAACTTTTGTGCCGAGCGTGCTACAAGACACCTAAGCTGGCAATTTCACCTTGTTCGCTCTGATGCTGATCACCAAGAGAGTAAGAGGCCTTCCACCGCATCTTGACACTGTTTCCGTTCCCTCTTTGGACGTTGTTCACCCGAATGTTTTGTGTGATTCCGTGCTTCTGGTTGGGCGCAAGCGTAACGCCAGACTGAGGTTCGAGTTGCAATTGCGCACCCTATGTTGTGTTAGCTATGTATGATATATTGTGACTAGTTTTAGCCTACCTTAGATGCTGCAACCTGCAGAGTGAGACCGGATATCGGCAGTGGTGTGTTATTCGATATCCGAGAGTTGATCAGCAGAGTTGTGTCGGCTTCACGCGAGATGTTAAATAGCACGTTAATACTCGAGTTGACGACTGTGATCTCCTTGGAGCTGTCCGGTACGGAGGATGCAAAGGTCCACTCATCATCGTCGTTGGCTGCACTTATGCTACTTTGAGCCAAGTTAGAAGTTGGTCCAGAGATATCACCGCCTAAGAGGTCGACTGCAGCAGACGAAGGTGCCGGCGGTTTAACTGACTGTTGGTACTGGAAAGGTGAGCCTTGGCGAGGCGTTGCTGTGAGAGCAGCGAAAGGGTCTGGCGTGCGAGAAGGCTGAGCAGGACCAGGTGAGAATGTGGCAGATGGCGGTGGGGACGATATCTGTTGTGGAGGTGGTGCTGAGCGTGGCCCTGATGCGAAGAGGTCGGTGATTGCCTGGTTGGAGGCCTTCTGCTGCTGGGGAACTGGCACTCCTGACAGACCAAGCACTGATCCGTTCGAACCACCAAGCGCTATGCTGCCCGATTGACCATAGCTGTCACCACCCAGAGACAACCCTAGCAGGTCGTCTTCCAATGCGTTGCCCTTGCCAGCTGGCTGCCCTGAAGCCGCCCCGGACGACTCTGCTACTGCAGGAGCAGGCGCAGGTTCTGGGTCGCCGAAATCGATCAGGTTCAATTGGTTGTTTGCACCCTTCGAGACTCCAGCACCACTGCGTCCCAATGTGCCCTGTGGTATCTTGTTCGCGCCCTCGATATCGCCGTCCCTGATCAGCTTGTATCGTTGTATTGTGCGATGTATGCTGTCGTTGATTTCGAATAGTTTGGCCACGGCCTCTGTGTCTTCTGAATCCTCTTCACACATCTTGTGGATCTTGGGTTGCGCATTCTGCAGAGCACTGGCGAGTTCCTCGAAAACGTCACCCTCCTTGAGCTGGTCTCCAGGCTTGTAACCCTGCAGCATCTCCTCCAGTATCCTAGCCTTCTGTTGGATCTTACCAACTTCTTCAGCCGCCTTTGCGCGCCAATCCGTCTTGTTCCTTTGGTCGTAACCAGCCATCACTTTCATAAGCTTGTTGGCCTCCTGCAAATCTTGAGGTCCGCCGCGACGAATGAGCTCTTGGAGCTTCGCAGATTGCGCTTCTCGTTCTTCTGCTTCCATTTCCTCGGCGGATCGAAGGTTCTACCTGCGGTCAGTATAATGCCCTCACTATACTCCTACTAACAGACGTACATCACTTGGATTCAAGACGGCTGCATCTTCCTTGCGTACTTCTGGGAATATGTACCCCTTGTAGCTCAGCAGTCTGTGCATGTCCCTGATGAACCCTAAATCGTCCTTGTACCGCGATGTCTGGCATATTGTCTGCCGCCATTCTTCGATCAATTCGAGGATTCGGTTCTGGACGCGCGACGAGTGCACCGGTGGGCGCTCGGGGAAACGGCGGACGAGCTCGTTGAGGAACTCCTTGGTGCTGATTTGAAGGTGGAACGGGTAGCCGCAGTTTTTGACGCAGATATCGAGGAGCTGTATGAGGTGAGCTTTGAGTCGATTATGGGAGGGGGGGGGGGTAGCTCTTTCGTACACTGAGCGCAAGTAGGGCGACATTCTGGTTGCGGTGGTTGACATAGTGTACTATGGACACGGCTGCTTCTCGAGGCCTGCATGTTGGTGAGCCGCCTGTTCTGTCCAAGCTTCGGCGGTGTGTCCATACGCAGAGCCCTTCTTCTGGTTGATTAGGTCGGTGATCTCGAGGTTCAGCGCGAGGTTTGGCTCGAAGTTCTGCGGGTCGCACGCCTGCACTGTTACACAGTCAGTCTACTACGATCGCCCACACCTCAATTGCCGTGTACGTACATATGAAGCGCTGCAGCGGAGAGGTGGGTGCCTCGCCAAACGCGCCATAGCGGTCGCGGGCGGCCATGCGCGCAGATGCTGCCTCCATTGCCGCCGCTGATGGAGATCTGCTGGTATAGTTGGGAAACACGGTTGCGCACGGTTCGGGAAACTGGGGGGTAAAGACAGATAGACGTATGACGAAGCACCCTATGCCCGAAAGAGGTGCAGATTGAGGCGTGGGAGTTGGGGTGAATGGCGGGTATCTAGCCAATGGTTCGACGACAGCCACAGCAGCAGTCCGCCGCAGCAGCTTGGCGCTGAGACTCCACTATACCACAACTTCACCTACACACACCTGCATATTGCACTTTACTTTAAGGATCGTGACAGCCATACCAGCTCATAGCAGTGTCTGGTTCTCTTGCGTCTCAATCCCCACTGGGAGCGAGAGTGTGTGCTTAGTACACTGATTTCAAGGCCTCGAGTATCTTGAGGGCAGCAGTACCACCACGACACGTACGACCTACAATACTCACCAACATGTTAATCGATACACCGGAGAGACCTGCCTTTCGAAGAAGAAGTATCGGACGCCCCTCCGGTCATTTACACCGGGTTCGCATTCACAGTTCTGTCACGCCCTCCACCCTGCGTCGATCAAACAATCCTGTCTTGTTTACCGCTCCAGCCTTGCGCATGGTTCCATGCATGACCGAAGGAAACAACCTGATCGCATGTTTAGAGGACGGAGACTTGGCGTTTATGTGCTTCCCTCCGGTGGGCAACTTTCGAAGTGGTCGCACGCACCTTTTGCTGCTCATCTGTCACCCCAAAAAGGGAATGTCATCTCCATGAAACATCTAGCCTCATCGTTTGACAGACATTGCTCCACAACGCAGCGGCAGAGCGCCCCCTCAATTCTATCGTGAATTTCCCTTGGCCACGCGCGGACGGAGAATTCCTGCGTGGCTTCGGCGGTGGTGCATGGTAGCCTGTATATGCTCGTATTCAACGTCGTGGGGCGTAAGTATATACATAGGCATTTCCACCTCCAAGCATTTCCCATTCATACCTTCACTTGTCTTTTCTTAAGCATTACATTCGTTTCAGTCACTCGTTCTTCACTTCGTCATGGTCAAGTTTGAGCTTATGGCCGCTTCGGCCCTTGCTATGGGTGCGCTGGCACACCCTACCATCAAGCACATTGGCAGCGAGAAGCGCTTTTGCGCCAACGAGGCTCCTGAAGCCATCTTCGCTCGCGGCCTGACCTCGCGCGCCACGATCGCCAAGGCCACAACCTGGAACCCCCCTTCATCCATGGTCACTGCCCTCGATCAGGTCTGGAAGCAGACTCTCAAGGAGAACCCCGACGGTCTCCAGGACAAGAACTGGATCACCGACCAGCTCATCGCCAATAACGGTAGCATCAACTACTGCGTCCGCTGGAACACAGACGCTCACAATAGCACCGCCGCCGACCGCACCAAGATTACCACCGCACTCCAGCGCTCCCTGCAGAAGTGGTTCGATGTCCTCGTTGGCTTCGAGGGCTTCCCGCTCACCAATCTGACCGTCAAGACCGTCGGCTACGCTGTCAAGGACAAGAGCCTGATCCAAGGCTCCACTTCGGGCCTCGACATCTACACCACCACCGACGCCGACGGCGTCCCAGAGTGCGACTCCCGCTGCTACCGCGGTGCGCACCTCGACGACCCCAACGGCATCAGCTCGTGCCCTGGAGGCGAGGACAGCCGCTACGACATCTCGCTCTGGTTGGACAAGAGCCTTGAGGGCCAGATGGGTGGTTGGGGTTACAACTGGTAAGATCACCCTGCGCTATGAATCTCTACACTTACTAACAACATTCACAGGGGCGAGGAGCTCGGTCCCGACTACGTCCTCAACAACCTCGACTCGGACAACATCCACATCCTCCTGCACGAGATGGGTCACGGCTTCGGCCTGCTCGACTTCTACGACTGGGTTCCTTCCGGCCAGACCAGCTTTATCATGATGGCTGGTTCCGCGATGGAAATCACCGAGTTCGACGCCTGGATGTTGAGGGATTGGTACCGCAAGCTCAAGGCCGTTCGCGGCTGGTAGACTCGTCGTCTAGAGTCTGCAAGACCTAATTATCGGTGTCCTTGATGCTGGTTTTAGCACGCATCGTCGTGGTGCTCTTCAGAGGAGACAAACCCGCTGTCGGTGTGCACGGTCGTCGACAGGGATGACGTTTCTATTGGTGTTTGTATTACTGACAGCGAGTTTTTGTCCTCTGAAGAGTACCTTGGCCGATGTGTGCTGATCCTGAGTTGAGAGGGCCCGGTTGTTGGTGTCTTCTTGCGTACCAATCCTCTCGGTTCACAGCGGATGGACAAGCGTGCCGGCGATAGAGGTGAAGTGCGATCTCTTGTACATATATTTTTCTTACACAATACATATTCTTCAATTGACCATGGCGCTTTATGTTTGGTCCAACATCTTCTCAACTCATCGCCCCACCCGATCTTCTCTACCAGACCGCTCATATTGAGTGCTTATGCTGCGATCTGCAAGAAATCCTTAACCAAATATGCAGAGTACCCAGCTAACGCAACAAGCACCGTCTGTGTCCCATAGTATCCTACAATCCTTCCTGGGCCCGTTGAGTCCTTAATCATTAGGCCGGCTTCGACATGGCTAACCCTGAACGCAAAGAGCGCCCCAAGTGCCCAGTTGAGATAGGTCCTGTTCGCGCCGTTGAGCTCGGCAAGCAGAGCGATAGCGAGAGCGAGAGGCACGTTCTCAGCGAAGTTGAGCTGCGCGCGTGTCGCGACGTAGAGCGGGTCGTTGGTGCCTTGCGTGCTGTCGGTGGAGTCGCCCATGTATCTTCATGTCGTGAGTAAGCTGGACTACCAAGTGTGTGTAAAAGAGTGGGAGCGTACGTCTTCGAGCTCAGGCGGTGGTACACAATACGATTCTGCAGGAATACGTAGTATGCAGCGAAGGGCGCGGCCCAGGTTGCGGTCGCGGGGGCAAGGAGTGGCATTGGGACGCCAAGGCCGATTTTGGTCGCCATTGTGAATGATGAGAGGTTCGTCGAGTAGATTGGGGGAGTGCAGGACTGGCGATGAAGCTGTTCGGATGGCTGGAAGCTTTTCGAAGTGAGGAGTTCAGATGTTTTGGTCAGAGCTACTTCGGTGTGGTGACGTCGTTCAGGGATCTAGCTTTCTATTTAGCGCGGTGTTAGGGATGTGGATCACCCGAAGAACCTCTTGAGGTCTGGATCATCGTGGATATTAGGAAGTTAGAAAGGAAAGTTTGTGGTCGTTGCATATATCAAAGTTGATGGTGGCAGTCTTCTGCAAAACGACTCGACAACGCAGAAAGCCCAGTGAAGGGTGGCCAATCTTGAAACTTGAACGTGAACCTATGGACTTGACAATACGAACATACGGAAGTCAAGAAATATTATGCAAGGATATAGTACAGACGTGACAGGCTTCGGCATTCGCTTTGGAGTGTCAAAATGCGTAATATACAGTCGTAGCTCCTCAGTGAATGTTCGGAAGGAGGTTACCGACTCTATAGCGATAGTTTAGCTTTGACCCATGTGGACTGAAGAGATCGACTGACCGGTTTCATGTGCTCTGCATCGTTCTCTTTGTTGTCTTGTCGGACCTCGTTCAGCATCTTGTCGATGCCTCGTTCTGACAGGGCTTTCTGTCGCAAAGGTGAGTTCAGAATCGTTGCTACTTGCTTGGATAACTTACTGATAGACACTTCTCATACTGGTCAAACATGGGCTTGCATTCATCTGAAGTTGAAGTGCCTCTCAAAAACTCTGGATTCGATCAGCGAAGTCGGCGTGAGCACCAGAGTATATCATACTCTCGCTATACCACTTCAGGAAGCAGTTGTCATATTTTCTTTCTTCATCAGTGACTACGTATCCAATGGACATCAATATATACATACTCCTTGACCTCGTTACACTCTGGTGCCAACGATGCAGACATGATGTTGGATGTGTAGAACGGAGAAAGACCCACCGGCGGCGAGTGAAGGTCGCGCCTGCCTACAGCTCTTATCGATAGTCGCGCCAAGACCTTGAATTTCTGCGGCGCCTTCTAAGAAAGTTGCGACACTGCGCATTCTCGCCCAGACATAGCCTGCGTCAACAAAGACGTTGTGCTGTATATAGCCACTCCAACCACCGCCGAAGCATGCGCAGCCATTGAAGACGTCATGGAATCCTTCAAATCACTGCAGGACGAGATCTCTAAGGCCCTGGTCTCGACAACACGGTCCGCGACACGCATTGCAGGCGCAGACATTGCCTTTCAAAGGTCGCTCAACCCAGATGTGGGTGCAACCCTCGATACGCAGAATGGGCGCCTTCTCCATCTTGCGCAACGCCTTCTCGAGAACGCTGCCGCGAGCTCGGACGCTGTAGGTCCCAAGCTACCCGACGTCGAATCCATAGACGGCAATTGGAGGGCGGTCGTTGATGTCATCGACAGCTTGCTTGAGAAGGCCGACACGAGCCTTGACGAGTATACGGGGGTGGTGAAGCGATTGAGTCCCAGCGCAGACCAGGTAAGGAGGACGAACGGGTGTCGTGCACACATTTGCTGACAGATATAAAGGCTGCTGTGAAGCCACGACCCAATATCGCCGAGAAGAAACACCTCGCAAAGCCACAGCTCACATTCGAAAATGTGCCGACCAACGACGAAACTGGCGGCTTCCGCCCATTGCTGGTCACGAAGCCGCATGCGAAGATTCCACTGGAGGAATGCTTGAAGACCTTCAAGGACAGCAAAGGCCGAGAACAGTACCCTCATCCTTACCAGATCGAAATCGAGACCTACGAATACCCACAAGCCGTCTACGAACATGTGGAACCACAGCAATACCCACCCTTCGAGGAAACCACCGCGACATTTGTGGACACACCTGAGGCCGTCGAAGATATGTTAGCTGAGTTGAAGACTGCGAAAGAGATGGCTATCGATCTGGAGCACCACGACAATCGCTCATACATTGGCATGGTATCCCTCATGCAGATCAGCACACGCGAAAAGGATTGGATTGTGGACACACTCAAGCCCTGGAGACGGAAGCTGGAATGTCTGAACGAAGTCTTCGGAGACCCTGGTATCCTGAAGGTTCTGCACGGATCCTATATGGACGTCATGTGGCTCCAGCGTGATCTCGGACTCTACCTGGTTGGCTTATTCGACACATACCACGCGGCACGGTCATTGGGCTACCCAGGTGCAAGTCTGGCATACCTGCTCGAGAGGCACGTCAACTTCAAGGCGCAGAAACAGTATCAGATGGCCGATTGGCGAACACGACCGCTGAGCCAGGAGCTCTTCGATTATGCTCGCGCAGATACCCATTTCCTACTTTACGTGTATGACAAGATGCGAAACGAACTGGTGGACAAATCGGACATCTCGGACCCTGAGAAGAACAAGGTCCACGATGTGCAAGAAAAGTCGAAAGAATATGCCCTGCAGCGATATGAGCACCCGGTATATGACCGCGAGTTAGGTCTCGGACCCGTTGGCTGGTACAAAGTCATCTCGAGATCACCCGTCACGTTCACGCCACAGCAATTTGCTGTTTTCAAGGCAGTACATCAATGGCGCGATGAATTAAGCCGAAAGGAGGACGAGAGCACATTCTTCATCATGCCAAATCACGCATTGTTCAGCATAGCGCGCATGATGCCTTTGGATAAGCCGGCGCTCTTTACAGCTATACAGCATGTCTCGCACCTCGTTCGCGCTCATGCGGATGAGCTTGTGAGAGTTGTTGCGCGAGCAAAGGAGGACGGTATCGATGGACCCGAGCTGAGCGATGTCCTAACGAAGATTGCGGACATGCGGGAAGCGGAGAAGGCTGCGAAGTATGCGTCGGACACCCCGAAGAAGACTGCATCTGAACCTGTCGTGGCAGCCGCTGAACCGGCACCTCTACAAAGCAGCGTTGCCTTACCAGCGAAGAGAATGTCGGCTTCAGATTTCTGGGGTGGGCTATGGTCCTCAGCTCCAGCTTTTGAATGGCAGCGAACCATCGATATTGCTCTTGCCCTTCCCTTACCACCACTGACCGCCGAAATCTTTGCCGATACCAACGGCAAATCTGACACCAACACGCCCAAGGCCGAGAAGCCACGACACACATACGTCCCTAAGGAGGATAGGCCACAAGAAGATCAGCGAACCGACATGTTCGTTGTGAAGCAGCTTGGTGGCAAGAAGAGGAAGCGGGCAGAAGCATCGGAGGCTGGAACCCCAGCAAAGCCTGCACTCGATCCCATGACGAACGACGAAATCATTCTGGACGGCGCAAACGAAGAAGACGACGAAGAGGCCGCGCGGGCCGCCAGGAAGGCCGCACGCAAAGCCGAGAAGAAACAGAAGAAGTTGGAAGCGCAAGCTGCGTCACTCAACGATGCCGGCGAACCTGCATTTGATTATGCCAATGCACCAACGGTGCTGCATGCCGCTGATGAGCAAGCGAAGAAGGATGCGAGAGACAAGAAGAAGGATAAGAAGGACAAGAAGAAGAGGGGCTTCCAAGGTTTTGCAGGCCTCACGGATGCGCCTAAGGGGCTGCCGAGGACGCAGAAGGAAGTTGCTGGGAGAAGCAAGACGTTCTCCAGATAGGGCGTGGACACTTAGCATTAGTTGGGCGTTCCCGGCGCATCATCAGTCCTGCATTATTTCGTACATAGTTTTGCATCATGATACCTTGCTGTGGCGGTATCGATCAAGTCCTTTGCTTGCATTAAGCAATCAGACAGACTTTTCTCCATCGCATCAGCAAACAACCGTGTGACTATAGAGAGGATTTGGCCTGAAGCAATGTTCCTACTAGGAATCGACCGACGTATCACCATGCTTGCAGGCTACCGCTTACAAGTCGTAGAACACAGAAGTGAAATCGGTTGCGCTCGTGAGCAGGCCATGAAACGCAAGAATGCACTTGCCAGCATCGTTGAGTCGAAGAATGTATTCACGATCATCAACGGTAACTGCACACATCACTGCTCACTTAAAGATTGCCTAAACTGACTTCCAAAGCCCATGCACGCTTCCTATACGGCCGCGATAAGACTTATGATGTCGTTGTTGCCCAAGACGATGATGAAGACATGGTCTTTCTCATCGGCTACACGGAAGCAAGCACGCGTCTCAACACCGCTGGTGAGATTGAGGTGGTGAAGAGCAAAGGGACTAGGGACTACTCAGGAGATGGAAGTCAGCTGTATAGCGAACGACTGTACTGAGGAGGGCCCGCATACTGTCACAGACTGACTGTTTATCTCTCTAAGTCATGAACTGCAGCGCGATGTCGATCGTGTTATGAAAGAGCGGAAATTGAAGGTTAAGAATGTGCTTGAGGGAGAGGAGGGATATTTTTGAACATGATTGCAGTCTTGTGTACCGCCGGTCTGACTCTGATGATAAGGGAGACCAAGGCAATAGGTCAGACCTACAATTTCGTGTGCGAAACGTGTGTGGTTTGACGTGAAGAGTTTCAATGGTTTGTGAACATGTGGCATTCATAGCGCCTCAGTGAATGACAATCGTGTTGAATGGTTACTAGGTGATCGATCTATTCTTTGTGGATTTTAAATGGGGAGTTCTGTTGTCGTTTCGAGGTTTCTCACCTCCAGAACCCTCGCAGGAGGAGTACAACATCATGTGCATTAACCTTGTTCTCAGGTACCGTTGCGGCCATTGTCTTGAAATCGAACTGATTTGCGGCGAGAGCAAGTGCAAGCGTACAAAGCAATCACATGCAACCGACGACAATGAGTGCGGAGACTGTTGTCGGAAGATCGACGTCGAGAACCAGACATTGCGAACACGCATCAAGACCATCGAGAGCAACGTCCGCAAGATCCGAGCAAACGCAATCCAGGAATATACCGCCAGCTTACACGTTGAGATCAAGAAGAAATATATCTGTCGGCACGAAGCTACGTCTTCATACACACCCAATAACAGTGCAATCTCGAGCAAAGACTGTCGTTACCATGTGCAGTATTCCACCAGAGTAGACGTGAGGTGCGGAGCCTGCCAACGCCAACAGCTAGTCAACCGCGATGCAGAAGTACAAGGCTTATATGCAGCTTCGCGAGATCTACAACGTCAGGTCGAACAATACGAGCTGGACCTTATCGAGACCATTGAAGAGCGCGATGACGTGCTGCAGAGGTTAGAAAACGAGGGCATCAGAGAAGTCAGGGACCTCCGTGACACCATTGCAGACATTCGAAAACAGAACGAAGAATATGACCTTCAAGCAACTGCATTTATGGCTCAGCAACGTGAGCGGCTGGCTCAAATGGAAGCACAAAATGCAGAGGCGGACACTGCTCTCTTAGACCTGGAAGAGAAGCTGCAGATCGCGTTACTGGAGCACCAGATGCTGCATGAAAAACTGAAAGAGTACCAAGAGACTGACACAGCTGTAGCTGCGACTCTTGCATTCGCAATGGTACGAAGCGAAGGCACTGCCGCCGCACAGGATCAAGATTTGGACGATGCATCTGCCGAAATCGATGACGAGTGGTGGTCAGAGAATGAGGAGAATGTGGAGGTAACTCCGGACGATAACAATAAAGATTCCGCTGTGTTGTCAAACGATCATGTTCGACATCTGGCTGGAGTATCTGAAGAGGTAAGGTCACGGGACCATGAGTCTTCGCCGGTTACCAAAACCGAGGATACTCACCCATGTTCAACTGCGGTGAAGGAGCAAGACACCACAAGAAAGCCATCAAGACCATCGAAGCCGCCCAAATAGACCAAGCTGTTTAATGCAAACTCGACGCCTGAGAAAGTGCCTGTGATACCACCGTTTTTGGAGACATGATGCAGGAGCTGAGAGGAAGGCTTGGACAAGGCTTGGAGAGTATAGCGAATCGTATGGGGTAACTTGATAGTGCATTTGAATTGGTCTTGCTGTTTTAATGGTTCGCGATGGTTTTTGCTGCAGTTTGGGTGGTGAAGACTTCCAAGGTCGATGATGATTCACTCCAGCGCACGAGCCAAACCATCCACAGAGTTCCTTCCTTTCATTTCTCAGCGACTGACAGCTTTGACACGGTGACACAGCACAAGACGAACAACTGTTTTCTGAGCACTTACGCCAAGAGCTCACCCTCAGTTGCGCGGATATTTGGCAGCCTTTCTTGATCAACGATGAAAGTTCTTGCCTCGACGCCGAAATAAGGCCCTTCGATTCACGATGACCCCTCACCACGAGTGCGCGTAACTGCATACCGCGACAGCGCCTACAACATCCATTTTTCAAGACATGTCAGAATACTTCTGATGTTCCAAATCCTAGCCTTCGTGATGTTTGAGCCCAGCTGATGCGGACAGCGTCGTATCCATCTGCCGAACTCGCTACTTGTACCGACGCCAACAGGTCGTTCCCGCATTGCCAAGCAGAGGCGCTTCGAAATGATCAAGCCCAGGCCGCCACCCATGCTTCGCAACGAGTCAACCCATGCCAGCCAAGGAGCTGCCCCGCAAAATGTTCCAACCAAAAAGAACGCCGTTCATGCTGGCGGTGTTCGCTGCAGGTCTTATATGGACTCGGTAAGCATCTGCACGGTGAAGAGCCCCTGCTCGAACACTCTCCACATGCCGCGGAAGAATGAACCATTGGAGCTAGTCGAGGCCCGAATCGATCCTTTCTGCCTCAGAGCAACTGCCGAATCTTTCACTCATATTCTGGTTCTACGCCGTGATTACGCTTGGGAAGGCAGTGAGGCAAGCTGTAACGGATAGCCATTATTCTTATATGGACTGTGCTCTTCCCCAGATTCTTGACCCCAGACTAACGGGTTACACCCCTGACTCACGGACTGGACTGTGTGGGGCCACAGTGCGACAACGGAGGAGTTTTCACAGATTTTGATCGTTCCCATCCATCAAGAACACTCATAGACTTCATCATCATGGCAGGTTATGAGTCTGCAAGCGCAGAGAAAGGGCAGTCTGTCCTCTGTAAGTTACGCCTCCGGTTCGGCATCGACGAGAGCTGACATGAAAGCGCAAGACGAACGCGGAGTTACCTCACCCAGTGACCGCTCCACTGATGAGTTCACATGGACTGAGGAAGAAGAGACAGCCGTCCGAAGAAAGCTGGACAGAGTCATTGTACCGTTGACTACATTTCTCTACTTGTTGTGCTTCCTTGACCGGTGTGTATGAGAGCTTTGCGCCACCAGCATGTTCTGACATATTATAGTGCCAACGTCGGAAATGCACGTATCCAGGGTATGGCGAAGGACCTGAACCTTGTTGGTTACCGATTTAATTGGGTCACTTCGATCTTCTACATTGTCTACATGTTCGTCGAGGTACCTAGCAATATTCTCCTGAAGAAGATCGGACCAAAGTGGTATCTTCCAATGCTTGTCGCTGGCTTCGGATTCGTTTCGCTCTGCACAGCTTTCGTCCAGAGCTTCCAGGGACTACTAGCTGCGCGGGCTATGCTCGGTGTCTTCGAAGGTGGTGTCATGCCGTAAGTGAATTTCATTGCACGGTGTCGCGTTGACTCACGTCCTCTAGTGGTCTTGCGTTCTTCATCACGTGCTTCTACAAGCGCAACGAGCTGCTGTTCCGCATCGGTATTTACGTCTCGGCCGCTAGTATGGCTGGTGCATTTGGAGGACTCTTGGCTACAGGGTAAGTCATTGAAACCAATTAACTATCGAGATGGTCTGACAGATTATTTCAGATTAGCCCGCATTCCTCCATGGGGCGCATCCTCCATGATCATTCACACCTGGCGTAACATCTTTTTCTTCGAAGGTCTTTTTACTCTGATCGTTGGTGCCGCCGCACCTTTCTTGATGCCGACAGCCCCAGGAGAGTGCTGGTTCCTGAATGAGCGCGAGCGAAGGATTGCGCACGATCGACTGATCTCAAAGACTGGAGCTGGAGAGCACGAGAAGGTTCGACCTCGCCACGTGAAGAGAGCGGTGTTCAACATCACCAACTACATTTGCGCTTTTGGATTCTTCTTCATCAACATTACTGTCCAGGGTATTTCTCTATTTATGGTGAGTGTTTTGGACTGCTACGGTGTGGCTAAAGCTAACGTTTGATACAGCCTACCATTCTGAACGACCTTGGCTGGACTGCCACCAAAGCTCAGCTTTACTCAGTTCCTCCTTACGTATGCGCGTGTCTTGTCGCGATCGGTATCGCGTTCGCTAGCGACAAGACCAACCGCCGTGGCATTTACCTGGCCATCTTCACAATACCCGCAATTGCCGGCTTCGCTATTTTGCGATGGGTCACAGATCCGAACGTGCGTTACGGAGGTATCTTCTTGATCACAATTGGCGCGTTCCCTGGTGGCCCTGGTTTCCTTGCTTGGGCAACCAATAACGCAGGCAACCCCTCTGTACGCGCAGTCTCGACCGCATACGTTGTTACGCTCGGCACAGCTGGTGGTATCCTTTCAACCTGGACTTATGTCGCTAAAGACGCGCCCAAGTACCCAACCGGTCACACCATCAACTTGGCAGGTCAATGCTGCGTCTTGATTCTGGCTGTCGCTGGTATAATCTATTCGAAGTGGGAGAACAAGCAACGCGATTTGGGCAAGCGTGATCACCGCCTCAACGGTTTGAACGAGGAGCAGATCCGTGATCTGGGCTACAGGCATCCGGAGTTTCGCTACATTCACTAAATAATGGTGTGTTCCGGAAAGGGGTGTGAGCCTGAATTGGCGCATTTTCATATTTAACAGCATTTCCATTGACTCAACTCATGGATCGAATTGAAATCTTCGACTCACTTTACTGGTGTTCGACAATACGTGATGTGAGCTCGAGCGATGACGTGATGCCGGCCTAGGATGACATGCGGAGCAGTCGCTGGCGCAGTTATTACACATACCTGTCGTGGTACCTGAACAAAGCTTGTTCCTACCACTGACATCTGTTTTCCGTTGCTACGATTTCACCCGACACGACGTTGGTGCTTACAGAGCGTGGTGTACTCATTTGCCCCGCATCTCCACTCCGGTACGCGCCCTACGTGTTGAATCCCATATCCTATAAAAGAAGCATCTCGTCCTGAGAGGCGCGTGGTCACCCATTCATCAGTTACTATGGCATCTGAACTTCCTAAAAGAGTGCTCATATTCGGTGCTACCGGGGTCATCGGCAAGTTTATCATTGAAGAGATTGTCAACGCCCGGTCGGCATTTGACAAGATTGGTCTCTTCACCTCGCCAGAGACTGCAAAGAACAAACGCGACGAGATCAATGGATGGGAAGAGAAGGGTGTCGACATCAACGTTGGTGATGTAAACTCCGAAGAGGACGTCAAGAAAGCCTATGAAGGTATTACCCAAGTCACACGACACCTCGAAGTTATGCTCACGCTTGTAGGCTATGACACCATCATCTCAGCCCTCGGCCGCAATGCAATCCTAACCCAAATTCCTCTCCTCAAGCTCGCCGAAGCCTCTTCATCAATCAAATTTTTCTACCCCTCCGAGTACGGCACAGACATCGAATACAACCCATCCTCCGCCAACGAAAAGCCCCACCAACTCAAACTGCAAGTACGCAAGTTCATTCGCGAGAAAGTTAAGGAGCTGAGAATCACTTACCTGGTCACGGGACCGTACTCAGACCTATTCTTCGCGCCAAACAAAGACCCGCGCATTGGTTCATTCAATGTGAAAGGAGAAGAGGCAACGCTGCTAGGTACTGGTGAGGAGAAGGTTAGTTTCACGACGATGAAGGATGTGGGAAGGTTGCTCGTTGCAGCTCTCAAGACGCCAACCGATTCCTCGGAGAGGATCTTGAAAGTCAACTCCTTCACAGCGACAGGCAAGGAGGCGCTTGCGGAGTTTGAGAAGCAGATTGGTGCGAAGTGGGAGGTTTCGTACACTCCACTAGAGGAGCTGAAGCAGTTGGAGAAACAGGCTTGGGAGGAAGATTGGCCGTCGAAGACTCCGCTTACGCTGAGACGTATCTGGACAGAGGGAGGGACATTGTACGAAACTAGAGACAACGGCAAGGTTAACTTCGATGATGGGCTGGAGACGTTAGTAGACCAGGTCAAGAACACCATCGCGAAGTACAGTTGAATGAATCGCAGGACCAGCCAATTGCGAACCAAGGCAAAGTATGCTACAAATATAATTGTAGCGTATGCTCATCGAACTATCTGGTCTGAGTGCGGTACATCTACCTTCCAACATACTTCAGTTCCAGCCACCTAGCAGGAGGGTAAATAATCATCGTCAAGCCGCACGCAACAGGCAGTCCCAAATCTGCACCGTTACCAACAAGCGCTGCAATAGGTCCTGTAAAGTACGTCTGATACATGCACAAGACAGCACCAACCCAGCCAACGATGAAAGCCAGCAGCGCTGCAAAGCCATGCGGAAGCAGATCCTTGCGGTTCCAAATCTCCCAGTCAAAGTTGCCTTTGCGGAAGATGAACTCATCCTGAATGGTCATAGTGATCCAGATGATTGTCCAGTATCCGATCAGACTCAGCCAGTTGATGAAGATGTCAAACAGCGAGTCGCGTCCGGCAATAGCGACGATCGTAAAGACAATGCAGGTGAACGTACTCCAGATTGGACGAGGGATCTTAGCCCACGGTGCGCCAAGCTGTTGCCAGTTGAGTGCTGCTGCATAGGTCCCCGGAATGTTGTTTGCTGCGATGCAGACGGTCAGGATAACACAGCAGAACTTGCCAAAAGCGTTGAGAGGACTGAAAGACTCAACGACGAGGGCACCGATACCGTGGTCGTTGAACGCTTTTTCCCAGTTCGGGTTCAGGAGCAGACCAGAGCCAAGACCAATGCCGAGAAACTCAATGAGGAGCTTGCCAGTGGTAATGCCACATGTTGTTGCCGCAAAGGTGCCCCATCGGTTGGTGGTCTTGGGATAGTACACGACATAGTCGGCGGATGCGGAAGACCAGCTGAGCGGTCCGGATGCGACAAGGAAGAAGTATGAAAGGCGGTTCCCGTGAAGAACAGCGCCAGTTCCGCGTGACGCTGTGTGGGTGTCGAAGTGCGGGCCAGCAACGCCAATCAGTACGAAAAGGACAAGGACAGTGGGCGCCCAAACGAACTGTTCGAACTTGTAGAACCATCTACTCATGGTTAGTTGGGTCCTCAAGAGGATTTGAGGTTGACTTACTTGATACCGAAAGTAACCACAACCCAGGTGATGAGTGCAACGATGACGATACCGACAATGACAGACATGCCGCCACCATTCACAGCAGAAAGCAGTAGGCCACCAACCAGACAGTCAATGAGACCGTACCCAATCTCGATCGCGAGGTTCAAAATGACACAGAGCTTGGATGGCCACCATCCCATCGTGTACTTGGCGACGTTGAGTGTGCGAAGTCCTGATCGAGGGCCGAATGTCGAGATGTAACCGGTGCAGACAGAACCGAATATGGTGCCAAACATGCAGATGAGGATCGAGTCCTTCAAGCCCAAGCCATAGCTGATAGGTCCGAGTACACCCAGAGTCAACTGGTTGGCTGTGCAATTCATGGAGAACCAACTGTTGTGTTGTCAGTATATGAGTTTGCTAAAAGATCCATAATACCTACATGGTGTACATGTGGACGTAGTCTTTCAATGACATGTCTCGCTCGCGCAGCTCCTCTGGAATCCTCTCAATGCCTCTGGCCTCGACACCACATACCGCATCGAGCTTGTTGCAGAAGCGCTGAAGAGCATTGACTGGTTGGCTGATACCCAGTTCGACGGTGGAAGGTGATCGATGAGTCGATGCATCGGCCTTCTCGAGGTCGGACATCTTCTCTGACATGGCAAAGTCTGGGGACTTGTCCGTAGCCATGAGTCAATCCTTGAGCAACGTCGATGGTGATGCTCAATATGTGGCAGACTATCAAGTTGGTGAGTTCTAAGGTCACAGTTGAAAGACTACCCCTTGAAGGAAGGATCCCGTAGCTTGGGATCGGCCACGATGATGAGTGGCCGCGTTATGTATCGGACTGGAATTCCCTTCATGCCCATGCGCACGTCCATACGTGGCTGCCGGCCTGGGACTCCAAGGCATGGGTCTCACGAGAGTGGGACGATCCAGTCTGTTCCAGGCATATGCCTATCTTCATAAGCGTATCCTATCTCCCCTATCTGCGATAGTCTCCCATAATCTGGGGTATACCAGGATGATCCACTGGGTCGCTGACAAGCGGATGATAATGATGGAGCCTCTGATAGTTGTGCCAAGTTGCGGGGGCGGCTCAGTGTGCAGAGCGGGCCGTTTACATCGAAGAACCAATCAGACTGCAGCCCTGGGAGCCGCCCACTCTTGGGGTGAATGCTCCCACTTTCGAGCGCATTATGAGACTTGAGAAGGACACGTGACTTCTCGAGCTCCATCAATGTGATAGTTCTACTTCTTGACAAAGAGGCTCACTTCTTGTCGTGGCACGTCTCCACTGTGCGGAGATCAATTGCTGCCCATTGAGCATTGCGTCATGTATCGATAGCTGCTTCTGCCATTGAGGGAGGTACAGGTAGATGCAGTGCACGTCTTCGATGATGGTCATGGCAGTAAGGTCCACGGGCGATACGGCTGAAGTGGCACGAACTTTGTTACTTTTGAAGTTCTGGTTGCAGTTCTGTCAGGATGTTAGCAGAAATGGACGAAGACTCGCGACCGTCAGCGCTCCGTGCAAGCACGTAAAGGGGGATTTGCTCGGGTCGCAATATGAAATTTGGCTGAGCGAAACCATAGTGTTGGTCAATGTATTCAATAAAAGACAGTCTACAATGAGTGCTCCGCAGTCAGTCTATCTCAATGTTACCAGATACCTCTTTATCCATATGAGGGTGCGTGAGCGCAAGGTGACCACCACCGAGGTGATCGAGGATCTCGAGATCTGTGGCAATGGTATCGGGGATCGAGATGGCATCAGCGATGCCGACAAACTCTTGTCCCGACTTGCGAACTGCTTTGACAATTCGATCGACCGGGAAAAGATGCTTGTGATCGAAGCACTCGGTCGCTCCGCTACGCTTCGACAAATCAAAGTTCTTCACACCGACAATGGTGATGACGTGGAGCCCAGCCGTTGCAGCGAGCTGGGTGGTTACGGAGCCGACAGAAGACGAGCCGCCGTAGACAACAGTTGTCTTTCCTACAGAAGGCAGGACTCCATCCTTCGGCGAAGGATAAGGCATTGCGAAGGATAGGGCAGTGCGAAGGGTCTAGAGCGCAAGCAAAAGCACCACACCATCAGTGAACAAAATAGAGAGTGGTAGTTGAGACGTCTTATGTTCGGACAAGACGGTATAGAGCCGAAAAGCGCCATCTTCAGGGCGGCCACTCCACAAGTTGGTGGCATGGCTTTCAAAGTCGGGCGTTAGTGCGTCTTTCGTTCAATCTCATCTCAGAAATAAATACGTGGCACGAGTAGAGTGTGAGAAATATGATCAATGCTTGCGCTAACATGCAATGCCAAATCCTATGCAAACACACCCATAAGAACGCCTTCGTGCAAGTCATGACAGATCGAAGTCCAACATCCACCTCACAGCTTCAACCCCTCAAGCGCCTCATCAAGCTCATCAATGTCCTTTTCGCCCTCCTTCTTCTCGACTTCCTTCCTCTTCCTATACTCTCTGGCCACAACTTCCATAACCTTCCCCATCTGCGTATCCAACCCCTCCTCTGCCATCTCACTCTTGACCCTCCTGAAGTTCTCCTTAACAAAAACCTGATACTCGCTCTTCTTCCCCTCCCCCTTCGCACCTCCACCTCGTGGTGCAGGTTTAGTCTGCACCAACGCTCCCTTACACTTCCCACAACTATGTCTCTGCGTATCCACACTCCTACTATGCCTCTTAAACTCATACCCGCAGCTCACACACTCCCAGACAAACTTATACTCAATCGCATAGCTGTGCTTGGTTGTGACTTCCACGCCCCTATCTGCGAAAGCGGCGGACACTTTGCGGCCCCAGGTTTTGAACTCGGCGCCGTGTGGATTATTTCGGATCTCGCTAATCATGAAGGTGAGCAGGTGGCAGAATTCGTGCGCCAGCACGTTGTAGAGACGTTCTTCGTCGTCGATGACCTTAGCTGCCAACTCGATACTACAGTGGTGCCTAACCTCTGTCTTGAAAGAAGGGGGCTCACCGGGCGAGGAGGTCTTGAGGCGGATCACTTCGCGGCGCCAGTTTGCGCGGCCGGCGGTTGTTTTGAGGGTTTTGGACCAGATGAGCTTGATGCCGCCGGTTGCGGAGGAGAGGCGGGTGATGGTGCCGGAGCAGATGGTGGTGTCGAGTTCGGCGAGGAAGGAGGTTGCGATGGAGTGCTTGCGTTCGGCAAAATCTTTGCGCTGTGCTCGGATCTCCTTGGCGGTTGGCTCAGATACGCTAGGAGCGTCTTTCTTCGGAGGCTTAGGACAGCAAATCTTCTTCTTCGGGCTTGTGACAAGGCTTGTGTACGCCTCGTCGCTGCTGCTTGCGTCTTCGAGATCCATGCCGCCCATCATCTTGGTGATGTCGTCGCGCCATTGCTGCTTTCTTGGTGACACAAGCTTCTTTGCAGGAGAGTGGCGGTCATTCCAGTCATTGACGACTTCAGGGTTCCAGAATGCGTCGAGGCTTGGTCGCAGATCTGGTGCTTTTGGAATGAGTGGCTTCTTCTTGGACGGCGAGACAAGTTTCGTAGGGCTTGCAGGTGCTAGTAGAGGAGTTGTCGGACGTGCAACCGGAGGTGCTTTGCACGGCGAGCGCTTCTTGGTAGGCGTAGGAGAGCTACAAGCTGGTCAGAACGGTGGCTACGACTATATTTTTGCGTGTGACATACTATGTGAGGAATGGCTGCATACCATCAGAAGAGGATGTCGCAGGACGTGAAACTGCGAACGACGACGAGCGAGCGCGTGTCGATTCTGGAAGGACGAATGAGTCTGGAGCTTTTGGTGAGTCTGTCAAATCGATGACTTCCTTCGCCCAGTTCGAGATAGTGCTGTGTCCCTTCCTGTGATGCGGTTGCATAGACACCAATGGCTGCGGCTCTTCCGGTTGCTCGTCTACTTGCTTTTGCTTTTCTTCTGAGGCGGCTTCCTCTACGTAGTCAGACTCAGAATCAGAATCGATGCGTCTTTGCGGCCGTCTTTGTCTTGATCTGACCGGCAGGATAACATCCTCATCATCTTCCTCTTCTTCTTCATGCTCTTCAGTTGTGGACTTTTCAGTACCAATCGTCTCGACCTGCTGCTCCTCTACCTCTTGGGCGACATCTTCCTCATCCCCGCAGAGTATGCTCGTCTCCTCTTCTGGCTCGGCCTCGATCTCCTCAACCTCCACAGCCACTTCCTTCTTCTCCTGCCTTATCTTTCTCGGACTCTGCAACTCCGTATCGTCTAGCACATCGATCCTCGAGCTCGCCTTCTTCAACTCCCTGCCTGCGACACTCCTCGCCAAACTCTTCGCATACATCAGGTTCTTCTTCCGCCCTAGATCCATACCGACCTCATATGTCCCACTCCTCTCCCTTCTAGCCCTCCTCTCAGACCTAGGCCTCTTCTCCGGACTCGCGAGACTCTCATCACTCAGCTTTCTCAGTAGGCGGCTGTTGCTTTCGACGGGTCGCAGAATACGTTGCTTTCGTGGCGTGAGAGTCAAAGTTGAGGGACTCGCATTCGACTTGGATGTATAGAAGGGGTCTTCCTGGAAGATTAACGATGGGTCTCCGAGATCGCGCTTCGAGGGCTTGGGCCTGAGCAGAACGTTCTCCTCGTCTTCGTCAGATGAGATAATGTAGCTGACTTCACGAACGGCCTTTCTAGGACTTGATCGTCGGGTCTGGTCTGGCTGCTGGAGGAATATGCTGGGCTCCAGCGGGCTGGGTTTGCGTAGGCGAGCCATTGCTGCGAACTTGGAGGGATCAATGGCAGTCAAGATGAGCGTAACAAATCGAACGACAGATAGGAATGTTCTCCAAAGAATGCCCAACAGGTGTGCACAATTATCACGAGTGGGATATGCGCAAGGATAATTTGGTCGTGGTGATGAGGTCAGTCTTGATGTTTGTTATTGGCCGTTGTCATGGCGATGGTGTTTGTCACGTGCAGATGTGATTTCCCACAGCCCTTGCTGATCCTGCGAACATGGGAATTTGCGATTATGACCTGCAGGCTTCGGTCCGACTATATATGAAGCACTTGGTGCACGGTGGAGTGTGGAGTTATCCGGTCACATCAAAGTTATCGTTCGCCAAGGACTTGATGAGGCGAAAAGGATACAACAGCTGACGTGAAAACCTCTGGGAATTTCACATTTTGAAGATTACAGCAGATTCAGAATGCGTGGAGTTGAAGATCGTATGAACATTTCGATTGCTGAATAAATAGAAGTCGTACATTGCATGCTAACACCGTCACAAATACAAGCCGAACCCAACCCTATTGAGCCCGGATAAGAGCCATAAAGAAAACTTCTTGCACGACAAATCCAATCAAGGGCTGCCAGGCCTCATGTTCTGAGCTTCTCATCCCTAGTTGGGATCTTCCTATCCATGTTCGTCATCGTACCCGGGTATCCTCTTCATATCTACATCCCCAGTGGCGGTTGGTTGCATCTCATCTCAAATGGTGCATGCATTTACTTGCGGTTCTTGGCCATGGTGTTGAGGGCGGAACCGTTCTTGAACCACTCGATCTGGCCCTCGTTGAAGGTATGCGAGAGCTTGACGTCGAAAGCCTTGTCACCGTTGGCGGGGTGGACAACCAGGGTGATGGGCTTGCCGACGGCGAGCTCAGTAGCCTTGATGTCAACCTTGTCGTTGGGGCCGATCTTCTCGTAGTCGGCGGGGTCAGAGAAGGTCAAGGGAAGCATACCCTGCTTCTTCAGGTTGGTCTCGTGGATACGAGCGAAGGAGCGGGTGATGATGGCAATGCCGCCCAAGTGCCTGGGCTCAAGGGCAGCATGCTCACGGGAAGAACCCTCGCCGTAATTCCAGTCACCAACGACGACCCACCTGATGCCGTTCTTCTTGTAGTCACGGGCAACGTCGGGGACGGCACCGTACTCGCCGGAGATGATGTTCTTGACCTTGTTGGCCTCACCGTTCTCCTCGTTGATGGCACCGATCAACATGTTGTTGGAGATGTTGTCCAAGTGTCCACGGTACTTCAACCAGGGACCAGCCATGGAGATGTGGTCGGTGGTGGTCTTACCCTGGCACTTGATGAGGATAGGGAGGTCAGTGGCATCCTTGCCGTCCCAAGCGTTGAAGGGAGACAGGATCTGGAGACGGTCAGAGGTAGGGGAGACAGCGACCGTAACCGACTCGCGGTCGGCAGGAGGAGCCTGGTAGGTGTCCTGGCCTGGGTCGTAGCCGTTGGCAGGGAGACCCTCACCGGAGGGCTCCTTGAGCTTGAACTCCTTGCCGTTGGCGTCCTTGAGAGTATCAGTGAGCGGGTTGAAGTTCAGGGTACCCGCAATGGAGAGGGCGACAACGAGGTCGGGGGAGGTAACGAAGGAGTGGGTGGCGGGGTTGGCGTCATTGCGGCCTGTGAAGTTACGGTTGTAGGAAGAGACAATCGAGTTGGCGGTGCCCTTCTTGACGTCACGGCGATCCCACTGACCTGCAGAGTGTTAATTGAGACCTAATAATGCAGTATGTTGGCTACAATGGGCTTACCAATGCAGGGTCCGCAAGCGTTGGCGAGAACCATACCGCCGAACTCCTCGAAGGTCTTGAGCTGACCGTCACGCTCGATAGTAGCTGAATCATAAGTCAGTGATCTGAATGCCTCCGGGCTTCGAAAAATTCGCCAGAATCGTAGACGCACCTCTGATTTGTTCACTGCCGGGGGTAACGGTGAACAGAGACTTGGACTTGATGCCGTGGTCCATGGCGTCCTGAGCAATAGAAGCAGCACGGGTCATGTCCTCGTAGGAAGAGTTGGTGCAAGAGCCGATAAGACCGACCTTGAGCTCCTCGGGCCAGTTGTTAGCCTTGACAGCCTCCTTGAACTTGGAGATAGGCGTGGCCAGATCGGGAGTGAAGGGACCGTTGATGTGGGGCTCGAGCTCGTCAAGGTTGATCTCGATGAGCTGGTCGTACTCGGTGCCCTCGTCCTCACGGAGCTCGTGAGCGTACTCGCGAGAGAAGTCACCAATGTGCTGACGCTTGGTGGCCTTCAGGTAGTCGTACATGCGGTCGTTGAAGGGGAAGACGGAGGTGGTGGCACCAATCTCGGCACCCATGTTGCAAATGGTGGCCATACCAGTGCAAGACAGGGACTCAACACCGGGTCCGTGGTACTCAACAATGGCACCAGTTCCACCCTTGACGGTGAGGATACCAGCAACCTTGAGGATGATATCCTTGGGCGAAGTCCAGCCAGACAGCTTACCGGTGAGCTTGACACCGATAACCTTGGGGGCCTTCAGCTCCCAGGGAAGACCAGCCATGACGTCGACGGCATCAGCACCTGGAAGTTGTTCGTTAGCCAATTGATTCATGGTTGGAGGAATTGCAATTGTACTTACCACCGACACCAATGGCGGCCATACCGAGACCACCGGCGTTGGGAGTGTGGGAGTCGGTACCGATGAGGAGAGCACCAGGGAAAGCGTAGTTCTCGAGGACGATCTGGTGGATGATACCAGAGCCGGGCTTCCAGAAACCAATGTTGTACTTAGCGCAAGATGTGGACAAGAAGTCGTAGACCTCCTTGTTGATGTCGATGGCGCGAGCCAAATCCTTCTCGTTGCCAACCTGGGCCTCGATCAAGTGGTCGCAGTGGACGGTGGAGGGAGTCGCGACGGAGGGCATGCCCGCTGACATGAACTGGAGGATGGCCATCTGGGCGGTAGCATCCTGGCAAGCAACACGGTCGGGGCGGAGCTTCAGGTAGCTGGTGCCGCGCTCGATGTCCTGGTTGTGAGGGTCGTCCAAGTGAGAGTAGAGAATCTTCTCGGCGAGAGCGAGCGGGCGGTTGAGGCGGCCGCGCACAATCTTGAGGTTCTCTGACATCTTCTGGTAGTTGATGTAGTTGCCCTTCTCCCAGTTGGTCATCTCGACCTTGCGGGAGAGCGGTGCATCGCTGACAGTAGCCAATGACCTGCGCGAAGCGAAGCTCTGGCCGACACGGCCGAGCCTCGAGAACCTCTGCATCTTGGATGGGGTTGAGGATGGGAGGAGTGGAGATGAGGAGTGATGGAGAGGGCGGAAGAAAAGAACGTCAGAAGCTGCCTCGAGCTGTCGATTATCAGACCTGTCCTGATTGGCTGCTAAAGCGACTCCACGGACCGTGCGGTGCTTGTTGCGGCAAGCCGAGGTCTTCCGCAAACGAATACAACGGCAGCCTTCACCCGCTGGGCCGCTGCTTCACGTGCTGGCGCGGTGGGTGTAAGGGTGGGTTTGTTTTTGGGGGGGAGGGGGGATGTTTCGTGTCAATTCGCTGCTTGCGCAGTCGTGCTTCACGAGGTATTTGAGTGGTTGCAGCGCTGAAAAGCTGCGAGCTGGTGCTTGATGTGTATCCGGTATGGCGTCACACGGCATTGCGGTGCATCCAACCCCGCGTGCGTGCTGCTGGGAACTCCAAGAAGCTTGATTGGCAGCGATTGGCATGATAGCAGTGCACAACCGGGAGCGCGCCACAACTGCAACTGTATTGATCCGGAAAAGTAAGCAGCAACGTCACTTTTTGGAGGTCTCCAGACCAGGCGCATAATTAGCCTCCGCGCAGCCCTGCTTTTGCCAAGGCCTAGAGCGCATTCCGCGAAATTTCTTCAGCGTCTGCAGGTCTCTGAACAGCCGCACGAGCCAGCGGCCCATAGCCGAGTCCTCCAGCCAGCACGACAACAGCCGACGGCCGCGGATACAGCCCGCACATTCAACCCACAGTGCCACGATGCCTGCCATCCGGGGACAAGACTCCAAGAAGAAGACGCGTAGACACACGCGCGACCTCGACCAGGTCCACGCTGACCTGCGCGACGAGAAGCACCTCGCAGAGTTCAAGAATGCGAAGCCCATAGAAGACCTGCCTGGTCTGGGGCAGAACTACTGCAAAGAATGCGCAAAGTTTTTTGAGAGTGAGGCCAACATGCTGGCGCACCAGAAGGGCAAGGTGCACAAGCGCAGGTATGATCTTGGATATGTTGGGGTGATGGATATGACCGTGCTAACAGTGCGCAGAGTGAAGGCCTTGAAGGAAGAACCGTACTCGATCAAGGAAGCAGAGGCAGGCATGGGGTTCACCACGAACAACGGCAAGCGCACCGCTGCGCCTGCGCCCATGGAGGTCGACGATGCTGTTGCGGCCTGAACTGGAAGACGATCACGAAGAAGGAAGCAGAAGATGTCTAGCCTTCTAGCATACACTTCGTATGGGGCAGAACATATCGATGAAATCACTACGCACGACCACGACGAGACGTTTGGCGATCGCAGATGAAGACTTTCATGCGAATGAGAGGTCTGCACTGGGAAAACGAGGGACATCTTGGGAGACCTGTGGCTACTGAAGGCTTCGACGGGCAGGCGACTTGCTGTCTTGTTGTATGCCTCAGTTGGGGGTTGCATATGCATTGCACGGCGTTCAAAAAATGGGAAACGATGCATTATAGAGGACACAAAAGTTCAAATGATACCCCAGCTACATCAGAAATGCTTACAAATGTACAAACAAGTCTTGTACATGCCTTGCGCTTTCAGAGCGTTAGGTACCCATTTGCTGTGATGCCTGAATCTGCCTGGTCGTAGCCTGAATGACTGGAACATCAAGACATATTGAGCACCAACATAAGAACACCAAAATGCGCGAGCAATAACTTCGACCCAAGCAACCGTGAACACTCAACTCCAGATCGTTTTTGAATCCTGACACCATGTCGTTCACAGAAACTCCCCTCTACGGCGGCGCCATCACCGTCGACCTGCCATCCAATTTTGCCGACACAAGGTTCGTTCTCAGATTTCCTTTAGCCTCATTCCAAGTCCCCTCCACATCCCGCACATCAGCAACACGCCAGCTAATATGGCAACAACACAGCCAGATCCGGGAAGTGCCGGACCATCAGGAGGTTTACCTAGACACAAACGGCTACTCATCCATCGTTTTCGAGATACTTGAGTATCAGGAAAAGGGCAGCGACGAAGCGGCGCTGCAGTACCATTTTGCCGACCTCATCGATGAGGAAGACAGCACGAATGTACTTGAGCAGGGGCATGCCGCGATGGCGAAGCTAAAGTAAGTATTCAATTCCTTCTCGTAGGTTGACGATGTTTCTGTGCACATGCCTACACATTCACACCAGGATCTTTGAAATCATCTTGGTACTCTTCTCATCCCAAATCAACAACTGACAGCATTGTAGCAACAAGCCAGTCTACACACTCCGCTTCATACAAACACCACCGCCCAACGCGAATCCCAATCGCAAGGTGCCTGAGTTCGTGTACATCCATCTCATGCTGCTGCGTCTGAAAGAGCAGGGCACAGACCTTATGATATCTGTCAACATCCCGCACTACCCTGGCGAGTATGAGAAGCCCAAGGAGGGCGAGGGTGAAGTTACGCAGTTGATGAAGGATAGCGAGAAGATCAAGGATAGGATATTGGAGAGCTTCGAGATCAAAGAGTGGGGTCTATTTGAGGGTTGAGCACGAAGCTTGACCGCCTCATCAGAAGCACATAAGAGGAGGAAGCTCTGGATACAGGATCAGCTACGGAGGCAACAGCCGTCCTGAACAACAACGCGACATCATCTAATTACAAGAACCTTTTAGACTTGCGCCTCTTTGCGCCCTATACGGTTGCCTTCTATTCCTTCTATATCTTCCCCATTCCTTCCCAGTTTCAAGTCATTGTTCAACAACCCACAGCCTTCATACAAAATCCCTGTCTTGTGTCCATGGGACAAAATGCGCAACTTTCGTACTCTTGGTGGTTCAATTTGTTCATGTGAGGCAGCTCGGCTTCGCATCCCCCCGTCCCCGTTAAGGTATCCTGCGCCGCAAACATAACGAAACTGATCCGCGACGCCGACGAACTACGTGCCTATGCGCTGCTCGGGTGCAGAATCATGACGGGTGCAGGCGCGATAACGCATGTAGGAAAGTGCGGGCCGGAGGATGTCGTTGCCGTTGTAGGACTCGGAGACGTGGGGTTGGCGGGGATTTGTGCCGCGAAGCAGCGGGGTGTGAAGAACGTCAGTGCCGTCGACCTTTCACAAGCGCGTATCGATCTAGTTTTACAGTGCGGCGCTACAGTCGGTCCTCTGTCAACGAAAGAGGGGCTCAAGGGCGAGGATATGAGTGTTGCGATCAAGAAACTGACGCCTGGCGGACTCGGATGCTCACATATCCTCGACACATCACCGAACGTTGCGGTGTTCGGGTAGTGCATGGAGGCGCTGCAGAAAAATGGGCGGTTGTTGCAGGTTGGCGTTAGCCGGTAAGGGCGAAGTATGAGTTGGATTTGCTGACGCATATGGTTCATGGGAGACAGCTGGTTGAGGTTATCGAGGGGGATAGAGATCCGGTGGAGGCGTTGCCTGAGCTGGTACAGTGGAGTAAGGATGAAATTCTGCCGGTGGAAGATGTTGAAGGAGTTTGGGGTGAAGAGGCTTGAAGAGGCGAGGCAGAAGATGGAAGAGGGGAGTGTGATCAAGAGTGTGTTGGTTTGGTGATTGGTATCGTACATATCCTATACTTCTATCTTCACAACTGATGAAACTCAAAGCAAACTTCTCTGGTATTCGACCCTGTCTTCTTCGTCGTTCCAATGGAGGCTGAGCAGGCTATCGGTGTCTCCAAAATCGCTCTCAGCGAGTTCCTTACCATGATGGTAATCTGGAAGAGCAATAAAGACACCGCCATCCGCCAATGATTTGGCATAGTAGAAATCTTTCTCTGTCACTCCCTTGGGAAGGAAGTCCTTCAACGGTCCACCTCCCCACCTTCGGCTGTCCCAGATGTTGTATCCATAGAGATGGTCCAAATCAACGGTAGCTCGATTCGCGTAGGTTGAGCTCCTGTCAATGTCGGCGCTGTCCGATACTTCCAAATCCGTGGCGGCGATAAGTTGATAATGCCCACTGGAGCCAACATGGCAATGATCTGTACCAGTATCGGGACTGCAATCACACCCATTCCGCTTCAAAAACATGCCACATAGTTTGCACCAGCTGTACGGATGCACTCTGACTCTTCTCTCCTGGCCCAGCTCAGAATGCCCGTTCTTGATCCATAGCTCGCAGCATAGGACTCTTTGGTGATTCTGGTTGTCGTTTGGAGGGTGCATCAGCTGTAGCTTGATCCCATCCATCCGTTCCAGCGCATCACCTCCGTTCACCATAGTAGAGCGCAGAAGCTTCAGAGCAGCGATGTTTCGTCTGGCGAAGTGGGGCGATCCATGCTGGAAATACACGTCAAGTTCCTCCAGATCCTTCACCACGCTGAGTTGAAACATCCACTCTGGAATGTCATACGGAATTACTGGCTGACGGAGTATGTTTATGGACTCTTGGTAGCCCAGCCAATTGCCTAGCATCCAGCTCCAGACCTCGACGCGTAAATACCGGAGATGGCATCGAGTTGCCAAGATATGACAAAGCTCTTCGAAGACCCCAGGCTCTACCCCGGTCAGATACCCTTCACCGTTCTCATAGTAACTTTCTTCTACTTCGAACTCGAACTCCCGGATTAGTCCAAGCACATGCGGTCGATCCTCTAGGAATCGTTTTGCCAAAGCAACAGAATTGCGTTTTGGTATCGGACTTGGCACATCAATTGAGAAGCGGGTCTTGCTGTAGAAGATAGGGCGTACCTCAGTGAGGACTTGACGGTTTACATTGCAAATGTTGAGCATGGGACCGTCCACGGGCCACCCCTCTGAGTTAGCTGATCCTTCAGATTGGTACAAACAGCCTTCAGGATCGAGTTCCTCAGTGGTGGAGTATCGCAGCATAATCTCTCCAGGAACTACCATGAGCTCGTAGATGCGATTCCTTAATTCAGGCGGAAGGTCGAGCAGGCGAAAGGGCTGCGCTTCTGGAGCAAGATCGGAAGCCATTGTGATGGGTTGCGGAGCTCATCAGCGGGCAGGAGGGTGCGGGCGGCGCTGGTGTTGGAGTGAAGGTAGGCTGGCGCTAGAAGCTGTCTGTTTGTCAGGGTCCTTCACGCGCACCTTCCCTTCTCGAGAGTGGGGCCGTGACGTAGGCGCGACTTCACCGTCACATCGTCAATGTCAACATGCACAACAGAGCACCTGCAACATGCTTGAGGAATCTGCGGAATCTTGGGATACGATATCGACGTGAGTAAGTCTCCACCATAGTAGTGTTGCGCTGGCCAGAGTCTTATGACAGTGAACGCCGCAGCGCAGGGGGATCAGTATCTTACACTGACTGAACTGATCAGTGATCTGCTATTCAGGATTTTCCTCATTCGCGCCTTCTCTCGAGGCAACTCCAGCTTGCTCTGCAGTTGTCTTCTCTAGGTAAGCTGCCACGCCTTTCTTCCTCGCTGCATTCCTACCCTTGACTCGCGATCGCAGAGATACCAGTAGATACCTTACCAAGTCTTTAGGCAACTCTCCTGTTTCGCAGCGCAGTGACTCTATCTTGCAGGTGCTTGCCATGTCCACGACTAAACGCCTTGCGGGAGAATGTTTTCCTGACTCTGTCCTCGTTCCGTTGATGGCGCGGCGGAAGAATCCAGATCGAGTTGTCAGGAATGATTCATGAACGAGAAATGACTGGCTTAGGGTCGCAGGTCCAACTTTGATTGCCAGCATGAAGGAAAGATCGAAAGCTGCGCGTAAGTTAGTAGTCACTGACACAAGATGATGATTTTACTATTGCTCACCTCATAGTGCTGCTTTGCAAAATGCGCGTTGACCTGCTTGGAGTATCCATGTCGCACTGCAATCGCCGTAATAGGTGCGGGAATGAGGGTGTTGTTGCGGGTGAGAGGTACGAGGGTAGCGGTGGATGAACAGCAGCTGTGCTTGCATCTTCACCTGGACCCGAACCAACGTGGCAGCTGCCATCCACAAAAGCCTCTGCGCTGGTCATTACTCTCTTTTCTCTCTTCGCCATTTTCCAGAACCATTGCACATACACAAAGCATACAACCCGCAACAATCACAACAACGCCTACGACTCACCACAATGCTGTTACCTCACCTCATCAAGCTCCTCGCCCTCTTCTTCTTCGTGATCACCATCACCGCTCTTCCAGCGCCGCCCTCGATTCTGGGCAACGCTGCCACAACGCCCTGCCAGTCCGAGTACGCGCGCTGTCTTCGCCACAACCACGATGTCGACTTCTGCCGCAACTTCTTGTGCAGCTACTACGGCGACAAGGTACCTTTCTTCTCTTGCTCGCTCAGCCGGCGGAATGACGCAGCTAACAAGAGGCCAGTGCACATCATGCCAGGCCGGCGACTTCACTGATTTCACTGACCTCGCTGCTACCCAACCCACCAGCGAGAACAACAAAGTCGCAGTGCAGGAAGTGGGCAAGCGTGAGTTTCTGGAACCTCTGCTGAACTCTTGCATCATCGTCTGTGTACACGCGTGGTGCCGCCCGCTGTGCATCAATCCTGCCCACCCTCCTTCTGGCTCCACAGCCGACATGATCGAACCCGCCGTAATCGCCAACACAGCAGACCTTCTTGCCACTACCAACGCGCAACCTGATAAACTGGGTATCCCACTCGGGCCTGGTACGACCACGGTTGTCCTGGGTCAGAAGGATAACGATGGCAAGACGGAGAAGTGCGCGTGGTTCTGCAGCCCAGACACATCGTCGTGCGAGGAGACCTGCTGGGTCCCGGACGGTATCCAGGATGCGGCTGTCACGAGTGGAGGTTTCCTGTCTGAAGACGATGCTATCGAAGGTTTGGTCGACTGCCAGATTGTGGACAAGAACGAGGTGGGCCGACTGATCGTCTGCGCTGTTCCTGAGGTCGACGGAGGAGACAACGTCGGCGCCGGTGACAAGGGCATGAACGGCATGCGTTGCATACTCTTCTGGCGTGATCGTAAGCCGCATCTTGTTTGCCACAAGGTGTGAATGCCCACGCCTGCTGCTGCTGTCAGCTTGCACTGGGCTTGGATAGCAAGATCCGGAGGCGCACTGGTGTGACGCGATGATTCCCTGACGATACCACATCGACTCTATTCGACTTCCACGAGCATGATGGAGCGGAGAGCGCCGGGACATGATGGTCAGGGTGGTTCTGCATGGCTTTTCCTGAGGTTTCTTTCCTGGATGATCTTTCGTGTTGATACGAAGTCCTGATCTAGCAGCGGAGTTATATGGTGGTCAGATACTGGACATATTAGCCATGTGCCTCTAATAAGGGCTGCTCCCCAATCGACTGAGATGGTCCGGGTGCCCAGTTGTGAAGGTATATATGTGATGTTCTTATACAGCGCCTGGCCATGCGACAAAACCCATGCTGATCTAGCTCTTGTACATATTATACAACAATGCTTCATCTTCCCCAGTGTGATCGTTTCCGTCTCGTGTGTGATGGAGCGACGTCTGTCGCTCGCCTTCCCTCTCAGATCTTCACATTCCCCTCCCCTTCAGAAACTCAGCAATTTTGTCTTTGTGGTGCCCCTTGACGATGACATGCTGCGTCAGCGCGTTGACCGTAACGTGCTCGTCTTTCTTCGCCAGCCATGTCTTCAGCTCCTCCCTCAATGCGTGCAGATCGCCTGTGACCTTCCGTACGGTTGTCAGATGCAGATTGCCGCCCCTCTTGTAGTCTGTGTAGATGGGCAGATTCTTGTTCGCTGACCGCGCGACATGATATCTTGGCGGCGACAACGGCATCTGGGGCTGTGTGGCCGGGGTGAAGGGGACGGTCTTGGCTGTCCGCGACGCTGTCTTCAGGTTCTTGGACTTTGACGGCGAGGCATGTGCGGGGCGGAGAGGAACCTCGGCGGGGGCCTGCGCAGAGTCGGACTCGGTGACGGCTTCCACCGCAGCAAGGTCGGCGGCGCGCGAGGCAGAGGATGTGGGTGCTGAGGGTGCCGCAGTGCTGTAGCGGAGGGTGGAGCGGTATGCGGCGGCCCTGGGGGCGGTGAGGGCGCGGAAGAGCGACATTGAGGGCTATATCCTGGACAATACGCCTGTGCGACGGCGAGGGCAGCAGTTGTGTGGGCGCTGCAGCGACTCTCTCGCTGCTGTCGTCGCGGCGATGTCTTCAACACCAAAAGTTAGCGTTGCAGGGGTGCTCGCTACGCACAGTCATTTTTCCTTCGACCTCCGCGCACCCCACCACCGCCGCCCACAAAGACGCCGCCAGTCTTCGCACCACGCGCCCACCAACACCACCGCGCACCGCCCACACACCCGCGCACCATGGCCGACGCAGCGACCGCGAGCGGCTCCGTCGCCGAGCAGTACAGCCTGCTGCCCCGGCTCATGCCCAACCTCGACCGCCATCTGCTCTTCCCGCTGCTCAACTTCTCCAGCGACGAGGATGCCGAGCAGACGCCCGAGCAGAAGAAGCTGCTGCTGGCCCTCCTGAGCCCCACCAACATGACCGACTTCGTTGGCCAGCTGCACCAGGAGGTCCACGGGCTCGACGAAATGCCCGCGGAGTTCACGCAGAAGCGCGAGCAGGTGCTGAGCAAGCGCGACGAGCTCGAGGCGGCGACCGCCAAGATCTCCGAGCTACTCGACGACGAAAACGTGGTGACCAACCTGCGGTCCGACAAGGCGCAGAACCTGCAGTACCTGAAGGAGAGCCACGGCGTCACTCTCGACGACGTGAACCGGCTGTACGAGTTCGGCCAGTTCCAGTACAGCTGCGGTGTCTACCCGCACGCTGCTGAGCTGCTCTACCGCTTCCGCGTGCTGGTGCGTGGGCTGCCTATCCAGTAGCGTTTCTTGGTGTTGTACGTTGTACTAATGATCTGTGACAGACCACCGACAACGACAGAGAGCGTGAGGCCACCTGGGGCAAGCTGGCCTGCGAGATCCTGTCCGTCAACTGGGACAGCGCTATCGAGGAGATCAACAAGATCAAGGAGCAGATCGACACACGCCTGTTCAACAACCCGCTCGCCCAGCTGCAGCACCGCACCTGGCTGATCCACTGGTCGCTCTTCCCCCTCTTCAACCACGAGCCCGCCCGCGAATCCCTCACCGAAATGTTCTTCTCCCCCGCCTACATCAACACCATCCAGACAAACTGCCCATGGATCCTGCGCTACCTGGCCGCCGCCGTCATCACCGGCCGCAACCGCGGCCGCAACTCGAATCAGTACCAGCGCCAGCTCAAGGACCTGGTTCGCATTGTCAGGCAGGAGGGCTACGAGTACACCGACCCCGTCACCGACTTCATCAAGGCGCTGTACATTGACTTTGACTTTGAGGAGGCGCAGAAGAAGCTCAGCGAGACCGAGGAGATTCTCAAGAACGACTTTTTCCTGCTGGGTGCGGCGGATACATTTGTCGATGCGGCGAGGCACTTGATTTCGGAGAGCTACTGCAAGATCCACCAGAGGATCGACATCAAGTAAGTACCGTGCGAAGCGACGCTGCGACCGCAGCGAGCTCCCATCAATCAACCTCGAATGTCGTGCTAATACACTTCCAGGGACCTCTCCACACGCCTCGGTCTGTCGCAAGACGAGGGCGAGAAGTGGATCGTCAACCTGATCCGCGACACACGCGTCGACGCCAAGATCGACTACCAGGCCGGCACAGTCGTCATGAACCACCCGCCGCAGAGCGTATACCAGCAGGTCATTGAGCGGACAAAGGGCGGCTTCTTCAGGACGCAGGTCCTGAGTGCTGCGGTTGCGAAATGAGCGTGCTGAGCGGAGCGAGCGCTGAAACACAGGATAGAAGAGCTGGGTGCCAGAAGAGCTGCTCCTGGGGATGCAGTGGGATGATGCAAAAGTCTGGGCGTTTGGGCTGATTCCAAGATCATGACGAGATGTGTGAAATGGGAAAAGTTCACATACTGCATGGCCACAGGCGTCTGTGTGAGCCTCGCGGCTCTTTATCTTTCTGGAAGTTAGGACGCAGCAAGAAGCTGTACTATAGACGCGAATGAGATGAATGAAGAAACACACCAAACAACGTTATAGTACGAGGCAACGGCGGTAGTCAATTGACAATCGCGTCAGCATGACTGGGTCGATCAGATTTGTTCCTGATACAGCAATACTGTGCAAATGGATAGTGCAATCTTCATGTCATACTCAGTATGTATTTCTCCTATTATCGATCTCATGACATCACCAAACCGCTCATTACAACCCCCAGCATCTTCTCAGACGCTCAACACGAATCGAATCCTACGAAACAAAGGAATAGACCAGCACAGCCGTCTAGGAAGGATTGTAAGAAAAGAAAAACCATCGAGTCTTTGCCACAAGCGGCTTGCGGTCTGCACCAACCAAGCCAGCAACCCCATGTCTCGCATCGACCATGGAGCAGGCGGTCAAGATGGACGCGAGCTCAACGACGCAGTCACATAAACCACATCATCTACACCCCAATCAGCTGCCACACATCAAAGTACTGCGCGAGGTTACTCACCGGTCCCTTCTTCTTCTTCTTCTCCCCATCCAACATCCCCTCCATGCCCACCTCACCCTCCACCTCACGAGCATTACCAGCAGCTGTGCCGGCTTCCATCCTAGCATTAATCATTTTGGCCACCCCATCCTCACTCATCTTCGGCACTGCGGTTCCACGGTCCCGCTTCGCCATGCCCATCCAAGCCTTATTATGCATCACACTCAGCTTCTCGCCTTTCGCGTCGTTTGTCGCTGATGGAGAGGGGGGGCCATAGTAACCCCCTGTCTCGCTCTCCTCAGCACTGGAGCTCGAGCTACTCACACGCGTCGACAGTGTCGACGGCGTTGGCGTAGGAACATCCCAGCTCGAGTTGGTCGCGTCGGTGTACGTCCCCGTCGTAGGTGCAGGGGGCGTATAAACTTTGCTCTCGGTAGGTGTGGGCGTGGGCGTCGAAGTGTCGATGGGCCACGAGGAGAACGTGCCATCGGTGAACGTCCCCGTTGGCGTGGGCGGGGGCGCGTAGCCGCTCTTGCTAGCAGACTCGAAGGAGGTGGGAATCGAGTCGGAGAGCGTGTTCGTCGTCTCGCCCACCGGAGAGCTTGAGGATGGCGTGTAGAGAGAAGAGCTCGATGAGTATGTTGTCGTGGGCGTGAAGACCGGTGGCCAGGGTGGGAATGTGATAGATGAGGATGAGGAGCGTGTGCGTGTTAGGGTTAAACGGGTAGATGATGAAGGCGTGAGAGTGACGTTGAGGCTTGATGACGGGCGTGAGCTGCGACTGCTGTATGATGGCGTTGGGGAGCTGGAGCTGGAGGGGAACTCGAATGTTATGGATGATGGGACATTGGGGATGGAGGTGTATGAAGAGTAGTAGATGGGTGTCGAAGAGGGTGTTGGGGTGGTCTGGTAGCTTGAGGATTCTGATGATGAGGGAGTGTATGAGGGCCAGGTGTACGAAAAGCTTGAGCTTGATGATGGAGTGGGAGAAGATGGAGTGGGAGAAGACTCGGTGCTGGTGTCGGTTGGTACAGTGA